GCAATGAGGGGCAGTCGCAGTCGGTCGCACAGAACACTGCGCTGCCGGGAGCTATCCCACCTTTTGGCTGGCGACCAGACATTATGTGTTTCCCATGCTCTCGCCCTCGCTCACTCATCCTCCAGTCCCAAGCCCAAGCTCCGTCGCATTCCCCGTTCTAACCGCGTCCACATCTCCCCTCCATCCCGTCCAATCGTGATGCTTCACGCCGTGTTGCGGGCCTGGGCTGCGGTCATAGCTATTTAATCCATTGCGCGCCGGCCCACGATACCTGGAGCTGCCCGCTCTCCTCTCTCATCATCCAACGTCTCTGTTCTTCTGTGCTTCTCCAAAGATACCCCTAGAAGTTTTCGACTGTGCCCTCCGTGACCAATACCCCTACGATCTAAGCTCTACTCTCTCGGCGAATCGAGCACCGACCACTCCCAAAGACCGTCCCTAACCAACTCCTCCCTCTCCTCACAACCCCGCAATCCATCCATCATGGCCGGCATCGAAGGCAAAAGCGTACGCTCAACCTCCCCAGCGATGACCTCTCGCCCCGCGAGACGTTCAGAAACATAGTCTGACAGCAGCCGCAGAACCTTTCCTTCATCCTCAACAAGCCCCACGACGTCGAGTTCGCCGAGCGCCCCGTCCCCAAGCTTTCCGACCCCCACGATGTCCTCGTCGCCGTCAACTACACGGGCATCTGCGGCTCCGATGTGCACTACTGGGAGCACGGCGCCATCGGTCACTTCGTCGTCAAGGACCCCATGGTCCTCGGCCACGAGTCTGCCGGTACCGTCGTCCAGGTCGGCGAGAGCGTAAAGACCCTCAAGGTCGGCGACCGCATCGCCCTCGAGCCCGGCTACCCCTGCCGCCGCTGCGGCGACTGCCTCGCCGGCCACTACAACCTCTGCCACGAGATGCGCTTCGCGGCCACACCCCCATACGACGGCACCCTGGCGGGCTTCTGGGTCGCCCCCTTTGACTTTTGCTACAAGCTGCCCGACAACGTCTCCCTGCAGGAGGGCGCCCTGATCGAGCCTCTGGCCGTCGCCGTCCACATCACCAAGCAGGCCCGCGTCACGCCCGGCGCCTCCGTTGTCGTCATGGGCGCCGGCCCCGTCGGTCTGCTATGCGCCGCCGTCGCCAAGTCCTTTGGCGCCACGAAGGTCGTCAGCGTCGACATTGTCCAGTCCAAGCTGGACTTCGCAAAGGACCTGGCCTCCACGCACACCTACCTCTCCCAGCGTATCTCGGCCGAGGAGAACGCAAAGGCCATCATCGAGCAGTGCGACCTCGGCGCCGGAGCCGACGTCGTCATTGACGCTAGCGGCGCCGAGCCCTCGATCCAGACGAGCTTGCACGTCGTCCGCATGGGCGGTACCTACGTCCAGGGCGGCATGGGCAAGACCGACATCAACTTCCCCATCATGGCCCTGTGCCTGAAGGAGGTCACCGCCCGCGGTAGCTTCCGCTACGGCCCGGGTGACTACAAGCTCGCCATTGACCTCGTCGCTAACGGCAGCGTCAACGTCAAGAAGCTTGTCACCGGTATCGTCGAGTTCAAGCAGGCCGAGGAGGCCTTCAAGAAGGTCAAGGAGGGCCAAGTCATCAAGATCCTCATTGCCGGCCCCAACGAGAAGGTCGACGGCAGCTTCAGCACCGAGGTCGACCCCAAGAAGGCGGCCGAGGGTGGCAACCAGGGCGGATGCTGCTAGAGAATTCCCAACCCATAGAAAGAAAAGCGATGACTGGCGGGCGGATGGTGTTGAAAAGTGGGCGTCTGGGGCGGGTTTGCGATGTATTTTCCACGGCGCATGCAGCATGTATCGTTTTGATGGCATGAGGGGAAAGGCATGTATGTATTGGGTACGATCGACAATGATCCAAATAATTACTCTTATTGTCTTGCATGGATTCTACCGTTTCCGGTCACGGAGAGGGTTCGTCGCCGTTGATCAAGCCAAACCACATCTCGCGTGTGTCTACCATCGTGGGCGTCCCGTAGTCAAGCGTCATACGACACTTGCGCCCTTCACGAACTAGTGCCGGTTCCTGAAACGCAGAACAAGGCAATGATTGCCAGCCGACAGGCAGAACTCACTGCCAAGCCCCGAAGTTGTCAAAGTCAGGGTCTGCTAATATGTTAGCTGTCTACCTTCACTGAGACCTGACTCACCCTAGAGCAAGAGTCTTTGCTTATCGCCGCGACTGGGCAGCCTTATCTTCCTTAAGCACTTAGTAGGAAACTTACCATCAGACACGGCCACAGAATAGACGAGAAACAGGCATGCCCACTGGGCCGACTGCGCAAAACTCCAGGCTCCCGTTCAGCTGAAGACGCCACGAAGCACACTAGCGATCTTGAGCGTCCCTCCCAGCTCCCGAACCGGCCTAGTCCGGGCACCCCGGGACCCGCATCTCACCCGTTCCGCACTCTGCCCCCGGTCAGCGCGGAATCTTAAATCTGCCCGTTTGGACTCCTGATGTGGGATTGGGCAGCCATCCTCAGACATGGACTCACACACATACAAGCCTTCATTCACAACAAACGTCCATGCCGTGACTTACATACCACTTTGCGGTACCTACCACGCGCAGATTGCGGTATCAACCGTCCGCGCCTACAGATACAAGCCTACCAAACCTGGCCGTGCCAACTTCGCAGAGGAGCTGAACCGCTTCCCACTTTACATCCCTGCTCAAGTCTGCCTCATGGCCGCTTCTAGCTTAACCAAGCCCACAGCTGGGCTTTCTTCCCGTCGCTCACCACTCGTTTGAGAACAAGCCTTGGCAAGCCTTCCGAACGCACACAGGCCCAGGAGCCTCATGCCAAAGCTCTCACTAACTCGTCAAGTGTCGTGAGGCTGGCGCGCGGTCGCGACAAACAATAACAACGCGAACAAGAAGGACTCTGCAGCCACTACCGACGCCTCCAGGTACATGTGGCATAGCTTGAGATCGAACAAGAAATGGAGGCTGAGTATGGTAGGGGACGGTCCAGTAAACTAGGACAGGAGGCTTGCCGACGACGATGTCGGCTGCTGCCCCGTTCCCACTCCCTTGACTCGACTATTCCACATTCTATGAGGGTCTCAGCCCATAAGTATGCCTACATCCTCGCTCCTCTGCCACGGCGCTCCTGGGTTTTTTGTCGTCGGCCACCCCCGCGATACCTGTGACACTCCAGCTCCCACTCGTCACGCATCCATCGTGAACGTCTAGGCCGTTGTAGTTTGACGCCTGCTGCTCTCGACCCCTCCTACATCCAATTAACTTTTGCCGGCAAGAACAGCCCCTTTACTATTCAGGCATCATGGACCACACGCAGCAACAGCCTCCGATGCAGCCGCAGCCGCAGCCACAAATACAGGCTGTGCCCCAGGCTCAACCTCACCAGCAGCAATACACGCAGCATACCTCCACCAGCACGCCGCCTCCTATGATCGTGACGCCAGCATGGATGGTCGCCATCCGCGGCTTCCAGTTCTTCCTCGCCGTCATCATTCTCGGCCTCTCGGGTGCCATCATCCACTATGTGTATATGGATGAGCTCGGCCTCTCCCTTGCCATTGTAAGTCCTATCCCCTGCAAACCTTTTCCCATTCTCTTCATGAGTGAGAAGTACTATCAAAGTCCTTGAGCCTTGACTAACACAGCCAAGTCCCTCTTCACCTGGATCATCGTCCTCTACGCCGTGCTCACCGAGAAGCTCCCCTCCATACGCCACCTCTACCACACCTACGCCGTGCTCGCCCTGGACCTCTTCCTCGTCATCCTCTGGCTCGCGACAATGGGCGCCACCGCCGCGAGACGCGCCACCTTTGTCGTCCCCGTCACGGCCTCGTGCTCCTCGGACGGCTCCGCCATCAACTCGGGCCACTGTACCGTCTTCAAGCGCTACATCGTCATGGGCCAGGGCGCGCTCGCTATGTTCGCCGCCATCGCCGGCCTCTCGGCGCTGCAGTTCGTCCTGTTTCTCGTCACCTTCATCTGGACCGTCGTGCAATTTGTCCGATGGCGCAAGGCCAATGCGCCCGCGGCGCACGCAGGGGCTAGCCAGGGAGAGATCCAGATGGAGTCGAAGCAGCCGTTCCTTACGCAGCAGACGGCGTACCAGCAGCCGCAACACGGCCAGATGCAGCAGCAGCAACAGCAGCCCTACGCTCCCCAGCAGTACCAGCAGCAGCCGCCCCAGCAGTACCAAGAAATGCCTGTCCAGCAGCAGCAGCAGCAGCAGCAGCAGTATCCCCAGCAGACGCTCTCGCCGGCCCAGAACTACGGCCAGCAGCCGCAGGAGTACCAGCAGTACCAGCAACAATACCCAGCCCAGCCCTATGCACCTTCGCCGGTCAACGGGACGGTCTCGCCGACCAACTCGCCGCCGCCTCAAGGGCAGGGGTACGCGAACCCTCCGCAGGAGCTCCGTTGAACGTGGCTCGTGGCGAACCAAGAGATTGATGACGGGATGTTGAGTATGCAAACGGACTCTGATGAGGATTGAAAGCTTATTGTATGGTCTAATGTCGTGTTCTGAGGAGTTTCACCTTTTGGGATAGAGAAGACCTCGGGGAGAGGACCGAGTGCTGGAGGGCGCTCTGGTTGTGTTCTGTTTGCTAAGTCTCAAAAGATACCTATTCGTGTTTGTGTTGAAAGCTTTTATCTGCATCCGAAATAATCATTCATCTCATGAGATCCCTCCTGGATACACACCTTGGCCAGCCGAAAGCAACACCGCCGACTACATGAAAGCTGTTTGGTGTAGTCAAAGCAACACAGCCTTGGTCTGGTCAAGCACAGCTGTTGTGCCTATTTGTCCCATCATAATGTTCTGACATTACTATATGTCATCTGCTGTCCAGATGAGTTCTAGTCTGCTAACCACACTGAAAGAAGATTGAGCAAAGCGGATGCTAATTATTCTTCATGCACTTTTTGACCAAGTGACAGCTCATGTTTTCCTTTTATGACATGCTTCCTCCTCTTTACCTTGAGCCCCCAAGGCTGACCATCTAGTTCAGCATACCAAGATATCTCGTCTCGATCTTGGTCTCCTTGCTCGCCCCCTTAACCCCAATCTTGACAACCTCCCCAGGGACAATGTCGACCAGGTTGTCGCTGAACACTACATCATCACTCTCAACCTCCAGCGCGACGCCCTTGACAGGCACCTCGGCGCTAATCTCAACCACATCGCCGCCCTCGGTCAACTCCGCCTTGAGGCTCTTGGGCTTCTGCAGGTGCAGATACTTGAGCGGCTCAGGCCAGTTGACGTACCTCGCAATCTGCTTCCCGTTCTGCACAAGATACGCCGCCACGACCGTTCGTGCCTCGTCGCCCGCTTGCTTCACGGGCACCTCGAACGCCGCCATCTCGGTGGACCTGTTCTCCGGCAGGAGGAAATCCTTGTCCACCGTCTCGTTGTACGTCTCGTCACCCGTCTCGACGTTCCACGCCTTGACGACCAGGTCAACCGTCAAGTCCTCGAGCTGCAGGTTCGACCCCCAGATCTCGACGCGCGTCTTCGTGTCAATGTCGACGCGCGTGTATTTGTCGCGGGGGTGCTTGTGCTCTGTGCGCGTGATGCCAATGGAAATGGGCGCCATCTCACGCTTGACGGTGTAGTAGGCGTGCTTGGGGCGGAGGTAATAGTCACAGATGGCCCACGACGTCACGGGCCAACAGTCGTTGATCTGCCAAACCAGCGCGCCGCCGCAGTACTCCCTCCCAGGGCCCTTCCACTGCCGCTTCCACAGGCGGTAGGCAGACGCGAGACACTCGGCTTGCATGAGCTGCGTGCAGTACACAAAGTGCTCCAGCGGGTCCGGAGCGTAGCGGAAGTTCTCGACGAGGTACAGCGCAATACGGCGCTCGTGGCCGTCAGCCTTGTTGTGGAAGTCGACGGTCGAGGACTGCGGGTAGCGGTCCGGGTCGGCTTTGCCCTTGGGTAGGTATGCGTCGATGGTCTTGACCGAGGGGAAGGCCTCCATCCCGAACTCGGAGACGAATCGACCGACGAGCTTGTCAAAGTTCTGGTACTTCTCCTGGGTGCCGTGCCAGACGTTCCACTGGTGGAGATCGCCGACAGTCGGGTCCCTCGTGTCTTGGCCGCTCCAGGGGCTGCCAAAGTGATAGAACGTGTCAGGGATCAGGTCCTTGCACGCATCGACGAGAACCTTCTCGTAGATGTAGCGCGCGGGGAAATCCGTCTTGAGCCAGCTCTCGGCGTCCTTGTTGGCAAGGTCGTACGTCAGGTTCTCGCTCTCGGCGTACTGGTAATCCTCGTTGTTTCCGGCCCAGATGACGATGGACGGGTGATGGCGCAGCATCTTGACATTCTCTCTCGCTTCCCGGTCGATGGACTGCAGGAGCTCCGGCCAGGCGGGATAGTTGCCACAGCCAAACATAAAGTCTTGCCAGACCAGAATGCCCATCTCGTCGCAGGCGTCGTAGAAGGCCTGCTCCTCGTAGATGCCACCGCCCCAGACGCGGACCATGAACTGGTTGCCGTCGGCCAGGAGGCGGATCCAATCGTAGTATCTCTCCTTGCTTATGCGGGGGATGAAGTTGTCGGCGGGGATCCAGTCGCTTCCGCCGCAGAAGATGGGAACGTTGTTGACTTGGAAGAAGAAGGAAGTACCCGGCTGTTCTTTGAGGGGGCGTTGCACTAGCTCGACCTTGCGGATACCAATCTTCTTGGACAGGCCGTCAATCTCGTCACTGCCGCTGAGGAGGGTGGCCGTGACAGTGTACAAGGGCTGCTTGCCGTAGCGGACAGGGTACCACAGCGCGGGGTCCTGGATCTGGAAGGTTGCCGAGGTGTTGGCGTCCGCCTTGGCTTCGACAGTCTCGGAGGCGAGGGACTTGCCGTCAAGGGAGACATCGAAGCGGACCTTGGAAGCCTTGCCCTCGGTTGTAGCGTGAGCGACAACCTTGGCGCTCTTGAGAGAGTCGTCAACGGTGGTCTCAAAGTAAAGATCGGAGAGGCGGGACTCGTAGATCTCGAGGTTGATCGGCCTCCAGGGGCCGCAGGTCAGAAGGGTCGGGCCCCAGTCCCAGCCCTGCGCTTGTTAGTCAGGTTAACTTCAACACCAGAGACCAAGAACATACCCAGTGGTATTGGGCTTTGCGGACAGCCAACCTCGAGTTGTCACCGTTCCAGCATCCCCACTTGTGGTCAGGGTACTTCTCAACCAGCTTCCAGCCGCGCAGGTAAGCACTGTCGAATGTGATGACGAGCTCGTTGTCTCCGTCCTTCTTGAGTGCAGATGTGACGTCAACGCGCTCTGGAGTGAACATGTTGTCCGTCTCGAGGATGGTCTTGCCATTGAGCACGACAGTCGCAAAGGTGTCGAGACCCTCAAAGGCAAGCACCGCCTTGGCGCCTTCGGGGACGGCCTCGGCAGCAAAGGCCGTCTTGTACATCCATTGCCTCTCGCCGACCCATTGCACGTCGAGCTCGTTCTTGCCGATGAAGGGGTCGGGGATGACCTTGTGGTGGATGAGGTCGAGGTGGATGTTTGTCGGGAACTGGCTGACGGCGAGAAGCTCGCTGTCGTCCTTGTCGGCCTGCTTGAACTGCCAGTTCTTGTCGATGGGGATCACGGTTCGGGACGCCATGGCTTGGCGCTGGCGGTGGCTGGAGTGAGTGTTAGCAGCGGCAGAGCTGCGGACGACGTCTGGAAGAACACGCATTGCGTGGGTGTTTCAATTGGGATGTGCTTGGGTGCCAATTGACGGGGTTGCGGTGCCGAGACTCACCAGTGTCGAAGGGAAGAAACGCGGCTTAATTATGAAGGCACAGCGATGAAGCCCGACGGGGAAGAGCGCGCCGAGCGTCGGTGCCCCGCGGAGGATGGCGGGGTAGATACGGGAAAAGCGACGGGGGTTGATGGAGCTGTGAGGGGCCGAGGGGCGTTTAATTCAGGGCGTTATCTGGTGTTATGAACAGATACAAGACAGCGTTCCACTCAATCCACGACCTGGCGGCGATGATGAATTAGTGCAGATGAGCAGCTTCGTATGTAAGCTAAGAGATATCTCAAGAAATGAAATAAAAAGCATCCGGTGTGTGGAAGGGCGGGAGGATGTGCCGTCCTCATATACTCGCCCGTGTCAGTCACTACATATGGCACTGGCACAGCTCATCCTCTCATCCATGGATGTCATTTATACCTGGGCAAGGGAGCTCCCACCTGTCCTCATCTCACCTCACCTCATGCCATCCATTTGTCCTGTGAACTCTCCTGCTGTGTCTCGCCTCACCTCGAGCGTGGACGTGGACCTTCCAGGATCCCAAAGATCCCTAACGCAGGACCAACACGACATTCCAGGGATGAGGACGCAGCTCCAACTTGGCCCAGTCCGTACGACGGGACGACATCCGCCGAGATGCATCTCCAATCTCTCGACGACCGATCCATGATCCAGGGCAGCTCACACTCCTTCACATAGTAAGCTCCCCCACACCGTCCCCTCTCTGGGTCCAAGGATCGCGCGGAGAATGAGGGACGCCTCTTTTCTCCAACAGGCACAGAGCATGGTTCATAGCAGGGCACACACACCAGCGACAGTGTTACATCCCTTGCTGGGTAAAGTCAGCGCGCCGATAAGCTGCATTCGGAAGAAGCCCACGCACATGGCTGCAGGGCCAAGGGGTCTCATTGTGGCTATCGTTTTAGACCATCGACAGGCGCCAACTGTGAAGGAAAAAAGTACATTGGTCTCTCTGTTGGTGACAGCTTGTCTCTCCCCTCAGTCTAATCGAACCCGTCTTGCACCAGGTCAAGCCCGTTGCCCTTGGCCCTGCCCGTGTCCATCACGCCAGTACGAGCAGCTCGCCAGATGGCAAAACGGCATCTCTTCCTATTCGAAGACCTTCGTCCTGGGCCCCGAAAGTCTCACCGTCGGGGATATATACTGCCACCGAGGGAGTGGAGAACTGCCCTTACCCCAAAAACCACCCCCAACTCCATCTGCAGCCTTTGCGAACATCCCAGTCACCTCGGTGGGGTCCTGTCACGGAGGGAAGCCTTCCGTTTTCCTCTTTGGGACTCGCCATGAGGGACGCTGCATCATTCTCCGACGTTCGACCTCCCGGGGATAGCCTCATGACGACCGACACCTCAAAAAAAAAATGCTCCATAACACCGCGAGCTCTTGATCTTTCTTGGTTACTTCAGACTTGTTCAAAAGTAATACTGTTACGACGATCACACAGACAGCTACTTACTGCAAGTCGCCGTTTCGAGTCCTCTTCACGTGCCATTTTCTCCGATCATGTCCCCGAGTGAGCATCCACCTAGACGGACGCATTCCCGCCGACAGCGCGCGGTAGGATATAATGGAGACATGTGGAGGGTGATATCACCTTTGTCAAACGTCCTGGAAGCTGAAGCTCCGTCTCTCTACATGCAACATCGTCTTGGACAAGTGGTCGAGTGCGTTGCTCCCCGGTCCTACAGCTTGCCCAAATCCAGGGCTGGTATCTTGGTATACATATAGGTGTCATTAGCGTATGTAGCTGTAAGAATGTGTATGTGTACGGCCGGCCCCGACCTGGGAACGAGGTATCTATCCCGAACGCCAGCTCCCAAACCTCGACCCGTGAAGGGAATGTGGCTCCTTCGTCGTTAAGGTAAATCATCCCCAAAAGCGTCCTAGCCCCTAAGATGGACTATCCTATGAAAACTCCTTGCGAAAACTCCGGTCCCGGAGAGAAAAAATCGTTCGTCTAGCGCTGTCATGATCCTCACTCTCGGAGGAAGGCTGTTTCCCGATCCTCTTCGCATCTTGTGTTCGCCAACTTTCAACAGCAGTTGCCGCCTCTACGTCGGTTCGTCAACGTAAACACCTCTTCCCAATCACGCAACCCCCAGTTGGCGCCGCTGCGGGTGTTTCGTCTGCCCTTTCGTCTGCGTACGCCGCCCGCCTCGTCGAGGGTCGCGCCGGTCATGGAACTCTTGATGCTTGCCCCATCGCTGGCGCCAGCGTTCCACCCTCCGCCATACCCATCGCCATATTGAATGCCGCTCATCGGGTCGTCCGGATCAATGTCGCCCAGCTCGATCTTGGTGAGGATCATCCTCGCAAGCCTCGCAAAGATCTCATCCACGTTCTCGCCGTTGAAGGCGCTCGCCTCCATGACCACGGGGATCCCGACCGTGCTCGCCCATCTGTTTGCGTCTGCGTTGCTGACCTCTCGCCCCTCCGGTGCCTCGGAGGCCTTCTGTTGCGTGCCAAGCGATGGCAGAATGGTCCCTCCCGATCCTGCAGAGCCATTTGCAAAGTACGACATGGAACCAACGCTACTCGGTGTTGGCGGCGGCAGGCTCGTGTCGATGAGGGCATCGGATGCGAGGTCGAGCTTGTTCCCCACCAAAAGACAGGACAAGTTCGGTGACGCCAAGGCGCGTGCATCGTTGAGGAACGGTTGCAATCCGCGGAAACTGCTGTGGTTCGTGACGTCGTAAACAAGAATGGCGCCAGCGGCGCCGCGGTAGTATGACCGAGAAACGGAACGGAATCGTTCGGTGCCGGCCGTGTCCCAAAGCTGCCCACCCCTAACGTCAGTATGTTGTCTTCTTCATCTAGATGGTAAGAGAAGATCGCCGAAGTCGTACCTGTAGCTTGATCCGTTTCCGCCGGGAACCGGTGCCGACCTTGATGATTTTGCTCGCAAACTCGACGCCGATGGTTTGGGACGATAAGACTCGCCATTCGTTCTTGACGAAGCGGTGAAGCAGACAAGACCTGGTGTGTCGCAAGCCAGCCGTTAATGATGTGTCGTCGCCAGCATGCACCAACGGAGTTGGTCGCGTGCTCCCCTCTAGAATGTCCCTGAAACTCACTTTCCTGTCCCGCTCGGTCCCAGCAAGATAATCTTGGCCAAGTAGTCGTACATGCTACCCAGCTCCTGCGCAACGCGTCAGCATAGTGTTCCTCCTCTTGTGATGGATGTACGGGCGGTTGCTGACCTGCTCGCCGGCGGTTCCGTTGCTCTCCTCGCTCGCGGCGCTGGAGCGACGCGGTCTCGTCATCGTGGCTGTGTGGAATGTTTACTGCAGTGCGGTGCGGTGCGGTGCGGTGCGGTGCGGTGTGTGATCTGAAAAGTCGGGCAACGGCGCAGCAGCGATAAGGACGGCAAGGGATCGTGCGGTTGTCAAGAAGAGACGGTCGAAGGGCTGGAGGAACTGGCAGCGACGTTGAGGTCGCAACGAGCAGGAAAACGCAGCGGATGTTTCGAGTTGAGCAAGGGATGTTGATGTGCTCGGTTTGACGGGAGGTGGTGGTGGTGGTGGTATTCTTGGATTTCGGCATGGGCACTTGGGTACGACAACACAATGACGGCAGACCACAGCACCAAACAACTGGGCCCCTCTGCTGGGAACATGCGACATGGGATGGACCTCTTCGCACCTCCCGCGCTTTCAATAGTGTACATAGGTACGCGGGAGGCCTGAGCGTTGGGCTCTGGGGAGTACGTACCGATAGCCTCCGAACACTAACATGACACTCGGTGAGCGAATGCGAGTACGTACCGTACCCGTCCATCTTATCAGAGCTGCTCTTCATGCCTCTTCCATTAGTGGCTCGACGCCTCACCGAGGTGGGAGGCCCGAGCTCCTCTGACAGTGACAGGTCGTTCACCGAGGCCACCGATGCCGAGGCTTGACATCACCGGACTACCGAGCTCCAGTGGAGCACCCCGTTGTAAGTTCACCCCGACACGGACCGACATCCACCAACATCGCGACTCCCACACATGTGACAGGAGCTTATACTTTTCACAGGCAACTCACACCATCATGAAGATTGAAGGCCACACATTTATCATTTCGGGCGGGTAAGCAAGACATTCCCCCGCCGACCCCTCGTATCTGCTTCATCCCTGATCACATGCAAATGCCGTGAGTGACGCTGACGCTCCATCCCGTGACAGCGCATCAGGCCTGGGGCAGGCCTGCGTGGAGGAGATATGCAAGAACGGAGGACACGCCGCCATTCTTGACATGAACGAGGAGAACGGAAACGATATTGTTTCCAAGTTGGGCTCCTCGGCCAAGTTCTTTGTCTGCGATGTCCTGGACACCAAAAGCATCGAGGCCGCCGTCCAGGGCACCTCTGCATGGGTGAAGCAAACCGGCAAGCCCGTCGGTGGTGTCATTCCCGCGGCCGGTGTCGGAAACCCTTCAACGGTATAGACACGTCCTGGCCTGATTACTGCCCCGACATCTAACCACCTCGCAGATACTGGACCGTAACGGCAACCCTTTTAGCCTCGACGACTGGGACTTTGTGCTCAATATCAACCTCCGCGGCACCATCGACCTCACCCGCCAGGCCCTGGCTCTCATGGCCAAGAACGAGCCCTCTTCGCCAGATGGCGAACGCGGCGTCGTGATCATGGTTGCGTCGTCCGCCGCCTTCGACGGCCAAAAGGGCCAGGTCGCCTACGCCGCGAGCAAGGGTGCTGTGACGGCAATGACGCTCCCCATGACCCGCGACCTCGCCCGCTTCGGCATCCGCGTCGTCACCATTGCCCCGAGTCTGTTCGAGTCCCGTATGACCGCCGTAATGTCCAACAAGGTTCGCGCCAGCCTCGAGCGCTCTATGGAGTTCCCCGTTCGCGCCGGCAAGCCGGAGGAGTTTGCCGCTCTGGCGAAACATGCCATTGAGAACGTGATGCTCAACGGTACTGTACTACGGTTGGATGGCGGTATGAGGATGCCAAGCAAGATGTAATTTAATGGCAATTCGCCGGGCAGCATGGACACCGAAATCAAACCATTGTTTAGCGATTTACGTCCATGAACGAAAATTTGTGTTGAAAAGAGAGAAGTTTCGGTGTGTCTTATTTGGTATTCGGCAGGAATGGGAGTACATGACTGAACGACGCTGTCGAGTCGCTCTGTTGGTAAACCGGCCATGTATGCCTTTCTGAATTGCTTTTATCAGCTTCACCCACAGGGGTCAAGATGTCGGCAGCGCAGAATCCTCAAGTACTGTTCAAGGAAGGCCAATCGTGTATTTGATCAAAGCAACGTTCTTCAGGTTGGCTGTTTGCTTGAAGAGAGGGATACGGATCTGTTTCGTGCTTGTGGTTAGGAACTTGATTAACTAAGGCGATACCAAATTGGAGCTGTGGAGAAGGTAAGTCAATGAATACTTTGAAAGAAACATAAAGGGGTGGAACAATGGAAGGCTTGAGCAAACTTGAGAGTGTCAAAGGCTGGAGGTGAGGTCAGATACTGGTGAGGAAGGCGCTGCTCAAGTGCCTCCCCAGTCAGAGTGAGGAGGAAGGAACAGCCTCAACTTTACCTTCCCTTCCGATCAGGAAACAGTGAGACCAGCATCTGCCTGACAACGGGGACGAAAAAAGAGGAAAAGTCCATAGATACATACTATGGCTGAATGACCCATTTTGGGTGGGATTCATTGTACTAAAAGACATGACGTGACTTTTTCATGGTTGATGGAGCATAAAGATACCGTCGAGGTTGCACGACGATCTTCTTCAGGGCTTCAGATCACTGCACCAGGCATGGAGGAAAGCCTGACTCATCCGGAAACAGAGAGCGCATCCAGACATCCTGATAGGGAGTTCATGAATGGAAAACAACGGTGTGAATTGTGCGTCCATGACGCCTGTTACTTGCCATTGACAATCTTCGGTAACTCTTCTTTCACCTGGTCCATTGCGCTCTTCGTAGATATTTTGCCTGTCTTGCCCCTTCTCTCATACAACAGGCCAAACTGGCTCCTTCTCTGTGGTAGCCACCTTAACATCAATCACCTTACCAGAACTATCCTTGATTGAAACAAGGCAGTGGGCGTCGTAGCACTGGCCCATGATGTATGCCACCTCGAGGCTTGGGATGGACCTAAAATATACCCAAGCAATTTCAAACCTCTCACCCCTTTCATAACTGAAGCCAACCGCAGGCTCCAGTCTGTTGCGGATAGAACAGCCTCTGTGGAAGCCTATGGCAGGAATGGCTTGATTGCGGTGGTAGGGTTCGTTCGAGATGGCAAGGACTCTGAGGTTTGGCAGTCGTCGAAAGCTGGAGTGGAGGCTCTACACCACAACACGGTAAGTAACGATATGTCCAAACAGGATGGCGGAAATGCCTTACCTGGAGCGACCACCTGTTTCCAAGGCGGGTTCCAAATGCCATCATACCGCCAATAGTTAGACGCGAAATTGAGGGGAAGAGATTTGTAATTTCGTCGAAGTCTGAACGGTTCCAGCGAGCTTTCCGAAGTTCCAGATACTCGAGCTGGAGAAGCGGCGCGATGTAGACCAGGTCTAAGGTGTCGGCGGGAGATTTCTGAAGTTCCAGGCTGAGGGCTCGTAGGTTGCGGAAAACGTCCGGGATGAATCTGATGTCGGTCTGCATGGGGAAGCTGAGTGCCGTGACTAGAGGGAATTGCATCGACCGCCGTTTGAGTGTCTTTCGCAAGGGGCCGATGAGGCTGACAGTAGCTTTGAATCGCAAGTCCAGCCGGATATCCCGCAAATTGGGCATATTAGAGAGCACAACAGCGAGCACAGCTCCCGTACCTCGCTGGCAGTTCTCACCCCAGCCCAACAAGATGGCATGTGCCGGTGTACCAACAGTACAATAGCCCTCAGAGTAGATGTTTAGGATGCTGTGACATGTTAGCACTGCACAGAGACTACATCGTCAATGAGCGTTTGTTCTAGAATTACCACACTGCGTTGAGAATAGCTCTATTAGTCTGAACAACGACAAGATGATCGAGAAGTTCGTCCTCGGTCGTAACTAACTGCATTGTGCGAAAGAGCAAAGGGACACTCAGGTCCCGCAAACATCTGTTGACACACGACATCTCTAAGAGTCGGGCATCTGGATCGGCCTCTAGATGTTTGATGACCTCGATGATGAGCTCTCTAGGGAGAGTGATAAGTAGCGACCCATTTGGGGCACCGATGCCCGGATTGGCGTGGTTAGAAGCGATGGGTGCCAAGGACGTCATTTTCTGAGTGATCGTTGTCCATTTGGATGAAAAGAGGGAACTGATGAGGTTTGGTGAAGATCGAATGTAGTCCTGGAGGGTGGTTAAGGGTTGCCAAAAGAAAAGAAAAAAGAAGAACTAAGAAGCTAGGAGAAGGAAGGAACGGCTTCTCAAAAGAAGTGTACCTGCCATATTATTGGGTGTTTATTCATTCAGGTGTGTTCATATGAGCTGAATCGTCTTGGAGGAAATAGAAGCCTCCTTGCACAGAAGTGAAGTTCAGCCATTTTGCTAGAGTGCATACGGCAAGGCAAGGCACAACAGGCCAGAAAAGCAAAGTCTTGAAGCCAACACCACCAAAATTGTTAGCAACTCATGAAGTGTTCAGGGACTTTGGAGATGAGTGAGTCAGAAGCAACATTTTTCCTATAAGAAGCCTGCGTACATGGTTGAAATTCAGACATTTGGGTATCTGACCCGCAACCTCGCGGCGTTGTTGAGTATTCATCTGATAAGTACAATCTATGACATGGGAGCAGTGGCTCTTCTTTCAGGTTCTTGAAAATACATCGAAGGGCAGCCATCGAATTTGAAGTAGTCTAGAGCTTCCTGTAAGGTGTTCAACTACGGCACCCATAAAGATCGTTATCACATTGTCTTTCGGTCTATTCTAGGATGTTCCAGAGTGATAGCGCCAGGTTGAAAATTTGGATTAGTTTCTTTGTCTTTATGCTGTGGAAAGCTCATTGTGCATGAACTATGCAAGTTAATGGTTTGTAACTTTCGATCGCAATAGACAGAAGCTACATCTGCAAGTCGTCTGCTGGCTACAAAATACCAACCTGCTGCATCGGCCATTGTAGCAGATGCATGTACTGGGGGTCTGATGGTTTGGAAATTCCACTCGCAATCTGAAGGGACCAGCCTGTCATGAACCAATAGGGTTCGAGTGTCTGAAGCAGAACGCTATAATACGCTAGAAGAGGAGGGCAATGGGATGTCTGGTCTCTACCGAAGACACGGAACCCTCCTCAAGAACAAAAGTCCAAACAAAAATAATGGTGGATATTGTGTCGTTACCCTTTGGTTCATCAGAGCTGCTGAAGCCATGTTGATGTCGTTCTTGCAGATGCCCAAAAGCGGCATGGTGTATATTATCGTCAGGAGACACCATTTATGTGATAAGACCGGCAACTGCTGCTAAAGGCTTTCCCAATTGAGGCTTCTCTGATCTCGAGACGACAGGTTGATGGCCCCAGTCGTTCCAGGTGGAGGTCCCAGCAAGCAGCGCATCCAATGCTTTTGCTACTATTCTGTTGGTGCCAGTGGTGTTGAAGACAACTCGAACCCCTCGCATGAGCGCCCACCACGGGACGTCGCCCCCCTCCACAACAAGAAGCAGGTTACTCATAATTGGATTCTTGGCGAATGAATACAGGCATATGAGTACTGCGTAGAAAAGCCTAGGAACTTCTTTCCTTTAGCTGCGCGAGTATTGTAGCAACCTCCGGGAATGCCACAGCGGCGTGTTCATTCAATAGACTATGATAAAAAATTACCTGAGCAGGTCGTAGTCGGGCAAGATGCCGGGCTGTGATGGACAGAGTTATTCCTTATGAGGCAATTATACTTGAAGCCGAGAGTCGGGACAACACCTCCAAAACATGTGCCTCTCTTCGAGTGGTTGTGGATGTGTGGCACATGTAACGATATAGTAACTCGAGGCTCTGAGTGTCAAGTATAGTACATGAGGCGTCGGCGTTGATTCCGAAATTCTTCTCGGACGCAATAGGGGCTAGGTCTTCTCCAGAATCGGAGGCGACCGGAGTGGGTAGGTCCGTAATGGCGGTTATCTCATCCGGTAATCTCCTTCGACTTTTGTGGTGAGTTTTCATGTGGTTTTGCGCCGTTCTTCTCTTGGCAGAAGTCGAACACTTGCAGTTCATTGAGAGCCTGAAGGAATTTCTATACCCTGTATGGACCTCATCATACTATCAGGGCGGTATCAGCATGTAGTTATAAGGTAGACGGGCAACTATGTTTAACACTTCCACTTGCCCTGAATCGATTCGGCTTACCTTGACCTTTCTTCTCTTGCAGTTCTGACACCCATTCCTTGAAGTTTTGTGTAAGCGTCTATTGTTTTTACCGCACGAACCGCAGCAACATCCTCCCCGACGGGGCGCGGTTCTCATTGAGGTGGTGCCAGCACAGTCGCCTAGCCATTCGTCTTCAAGTATCCTTTTGAAGAGCTCTAGGACCTACGAAGTTTTCTTGCTAAATAGTATCTATGTCTTTGAAAGGTCATGATCATGCCGGCCTGTCGCTTTATAGAACTCTTTTGTCGCGTTCAGAAGTTGGAGGCGACACTGGCGGCTGGACCTATTGAGTATGTTGCCCCGGTGTGAGATCTTCAGGTCGTAAAATCAAGCCCATAGTCGAGGTACGATCGGAGAAATAGCTAAGTGATCTATTCATTGAGTAACAATGTAAGGATATTGTCAGGATTTAGGTGGGTAAATGCAGACCGGGGATGGTTGTTTGATACTATACAGTCGACTTCTCGTATTCAGATACCAAAATCCCTTTTCCAAACGCTCTCATTGGAAGGTTGACTCAGCTCTTGAACCATTCTCCACTCCAGGAGTCCAGCTGGTGATGGGCATGACAGATTCGCTGCAATAGGTTCCATGGGATGTGCAGGCTGTTATCACCTAACCTTGTTGATGAACTTGTTCAGTTCTCTCGGGCTGATCGCGTATTGTGCGTGACTGTGGTCTCAGGTGGTCATCATTTCTGAGGGCGCAGGGGCTTCTCTCGTACACCACCTATCAAGCTAATCTACAAGTATACATTTGTCTCAGGCTGTTTGGGTCAGACATTACAAAATACATGGCAGCCTACGTGTCATCCAATCATGACTTTCAAGTAAAAAGAATTCCTCTATTTTAAAGTGAATGGCATATGCGTCGGCCTGCTGGTTAACGGGACACCGAAGATTGAGTATCGGGCGCGTGGCGGTAGGGGGCCTGATCGTTACATAAAACAACTCTGGACAGAGAAACTGGCCCTCACAGCGCAAAAAGACAGAATATTATGCAAACAGTATGTTGGTTAATGATAATAATAAGCTATATGATTTGTTATGATAACATGGCGGCATACTGGTCAACAGTATAATATAAAATTACATGAAGTATTGTTGCCACATAACACCCATGAAGTAATGCTATCAAAATGCTATACAATGATAATGACAAGAATCTTTGACAATCAGGCCCTTAAGAAACAAAGCTAGTCGCTTGCGTATGTTGAGATAAGATGACGGTCTATTTATGCCTTGAAAAGCATGGCGGTAGAACCTCGAGCCGAAACAGCCTCTGCTGCAGGCGGATACGGAGGCGCCGGCACGGGCTTGGGTACCGGTACGGGTTCGGGCACCGGCACAGGCTTGGGTACCGGCACTGGCTCGGGAACTGGCACGGGCTTGGGTACCGGCACTGGCTCGGGAACTGGCACGGGCTTGGGTACAGGTACGGGTTCGGGAACTGGAACAGGCTTGGGTACCGGAACTGGCGCAGGAACCGGAACTGGAATCGGCGCGGGCACCGGCACAGGCTTGGGTACCGGCGCGGGCACTGGCACCGGAACTGGAACTGGCGCAGGCACCGGCACAGGCTTGGGTACCGGTACGGGTTCGGGAACTGGAACAGGCTTGGGTACCGGAACTGGCGCAGGAACCGGAACTGGAATCGGCGAGGGCACCGGCACAGGCTTGGGTGCCGGCATGGGCTTGCAATGCTTTTTGTGGCCCTTCTTCTTCCCCTTCAAGTTTTCCGCTTCAACATCGCCGCTAGCGGAGGCGACATTTTCACCGTTTCCCTCCCCAAGTTGTTCCCCGCTGCCCTCAGTAGGCACGAAGGCAGGGGAGATTGTGTCGATAGTTGATTTTGTGCGGAGTGATCGTAATAGCTCTGATCGAGGTATCAGATCAATGCAGTTGTGATCAGATATGTCCCTTATTGTGTTAGTTTATATGTATTACTGCTATAAAATAGTGTTACTTACGGTTCTATTAAGCCATTCTCTTCCCTGGTTATCAAAACCGGGAGGGCATCCACACTGACGTCCAAGACCACCAGAGTGCAGAATATAGTAAGAAACTTCATACTATCTTTCTTTGAGTAAACTTGATATATGTATTGATTGGCTGACAGAGAGGTGAAGCATGGAAGTTTGCTGCTGGTGAGAAGCAAAGTGAAGTCAAATGGACTTTGGACTGCATTTTATAAAAAGTTGTCTGCAGCATAATACCAGTAGAATATGCTTGAAGTTTCCCCTGTACGTCACAGGATGCCGTCACTAGCTCGGTGACGTTAGGCTTGTCATCCCAACATACTTTGGAAACGTTGTCGGGGTTCCGAGCCGGGGGACAGCTTAATCTCGACCTCGTAATCGGAACCGAGACTAGATTTGTGGGGCCATTGACCAAATCAAAGAAGGCTTACTAGTATTGACGGGTTGGATAATACTTCTGCGAGGGTCTCGCTTGATGAAGAAACTCTGTCCGGGTGCAATATCCATCGTTAGTTCATCTTGTGCCGTTTCAACATCTTTTGGCAACAATGACGATGCCAGGGTTATCACTGCTACGTCGACAACGAGTGCATGCTGTGAGTAAAGTTTAATGTCACGCCGTATACAATAGTGACCGTTTGGATATGCCCATTGAGACTATGGGTGACGTGAATCCTGGGTCACACTAGAAATTCATTATGCAGCAGTTTGTATTCCCGTCCGATGGCAGTAAACCTTTCAATAATGGTAGGAGAAATGCTCCCTAGGTGTTGGAATTACACGGGCTAGATCTTCATCGGTTCCACGTGCTATAGAATCTGATCTTTTTTAAAGTTCATGCATGTGAGCATTGGAGCCAGTTATGATGAATCTCGATGACTGAGAGGTGAATAGACGAAGCTTCAGCCCCTTTCCCCCAAGCCCTCTGCTCATATTAAATACCCTGTGCTTGAAAATTTCAGCCGTGACCTGAATGCCTTGTTGATGTAATTGACAAGATTTCGAAACTTTTGTGGGGTACTACTACCTTTTGGCTCTTTTTAGTCAAGCAGACATCCATTCAGGGTTGTGACGACGCAAGTCACAACCCGCGGAGGCCTTGAAACCTTAGTTATGGGCCATATGCCGCTTCCAGACCATCTGACATTTGTGGTCGCCGAATAGCAGTGAGCATTGGTGGTGCATTTGCCGAACAGAAAATGCACCCTACATGCATTCGAGCTTTTTTTGCGAGAAGGTGACGACACTGCAACCCTAGTCGCAACGATCCGCACAGCGATCCGAACATCGCCTCGGCATAATAGGATGCTTACATCGGCGAGTGACGTTTTGATGAGCAAATGTTAGCATGTATTAATTCAAGGGGTTTAGTAGGGGGGAAAGTAAAGACGACAATGACCTCATATAGTAGCATCGCAAACGGGAGGCAAGCACTTTTCAGAAACCCCCCGATAGAACAAAGGTGATGGGAAGTCTCCAAGGTTCATCAGCCCTGCATACATTACAAATCAGTTCAAAAACCAACTCGTTAGAGTCCTAATCATGACACTGTCAATCGCTAAATAGGTACATTTAGAAGGACTTTGTGCGACTTTTACTGAGTAAATTTACAGCTGTTGAGCCGCCCTCTGGAGATTTGAGTTCGTCCAGACTATTATTGTCGTTTCACCCAATCACAGTTGCTTACGTAGAAATCCAACTACTCACAGCACTAGCTACCGGCTACCAATCACTGACAGCATTTTCTGGAATACCAGAAAATTAGGATTTCGACCAAGACTTTCCTTACCGGGAATCTTGTTGCGATTGAAACAGAAATGCGCATTGCATGATTTAGGGTAAGTTTAAGGTTATAAGCTTGGCCTGTAAAGCCCACAAAAGCGTTATTCGACACTTTCTATCGCTTTTGTGCATGCCGACTGACTTTTTAGTGCTGATTACTAGCGACTGACAAAGAAACGATCACACTCTAAAGTACAGGAGCGTCAAAGTCAACAATACCGCCATTCGGAAGTCTTCTCACTCAGCCTCAGGAACGAGTCGTATGACTAGCAGGAAGAACATGATGCTCATCGCATTATGCTAAATTAAGAGCGCGCATTGAGTGAAAAGTCCGGTGTGATAATTTCTCTTCAGGAAAGGTTGTATTCAAGGCAAGCCTTATAGCCCTTTTGACGATAATTCAAGTCGAGGATATTTGTAATCCTAAAGTAATAGAAACAAAAAGTCTGTGCCGAGGGTGTTCAACAGCCTTAGCAGCAGTGGTGGTAGCACCTCTTAAGTAGTAGAACGTCGAGGGCAGATAGCAGATGAATTTGACAGACGGTAGCCGCTTAAAACGGAGAAGACGGGCGACTTGAGGGTGATTAAGGTAAGAAAGGGGGCATGTCTCCTCAGAAGCAGTCACTATGCTCCAGTCTCTCGCATGACAAAGAACTCAACACCATCAAGTGTAGGGTGCTATGTTCCACCACAAAATAGGGATTCAGCATATGTAATTCCATCGGGAATCCTCCCTTCCTCTAATGGTCGCTGCGAGCGTAGGTGATTCCGGGGGGGGGGGGGGGGTATGAGGAGTTCTCTTCATGGTTCTAGGATCTTTCAACCCGTGTCTATGAATGGGTATAGCTTACCCATTCATGGGCAACTTATCTCCTTGGAGTTGCTTCAGAGCCAACTATACAGGTACATCGAGTCCGCAAAGGCTAAATTAATGGTAATGGTATACGAAATTAGGGTTATGTGACATCCACGATACAACGGATGGCAGAAAATAAGGGCAGTGATCTTCAGGGCCAGCTCAATATGTCTAGAAATTTTAAGAAAGATGGCAATACACATGCCGTGGAGCGACCAATGTTTAGGCTTGTAATTAATCTTCCCCCCCACCATCCCACCAGGCCAATTGATAGGCTTCGATCAGCTAGCAAGTTTTTCCTAACGTCAGTGCCATTGAGGGTCTTTTTCGAGTATGTTCACTGCTCTGTAGATGAACCTTAAGCTAACGGTTCGATATATAGTGGGAAAAATTCTATATGAGATTCGTGCGAAGCGAGCCCGCTTGCAGCGCTGAGTGAGCCTGCTCATGGATGCTATGATAATCTGTGGTTCGGTTGCTGCATACTGTTGAAATTGAATGGCTTGGGATTACACGGTTTCGTCACTGGCAAACCCATGAGAAAATTTCTCTTATATCCCTACTTGAATTCAAGTTTTTTAGATTGAGATCAAGGCAGACTTCACTACCAAGAAACATTGGTGAATCTCTCGAATTGACCTGAAATGTCAGGCATATGTTCCTTTCATCCATCTTATAAGCTTCAGCAGGCTCTGGTTAGTGACCTCCTTGCTAACGCTCTCTATGCAAGTACGTTGACAAGGACGTCCCCCGATTGCCATCTCTTGATGTTGTCCGCTTGCTGTTCATACCAAGCATTCAGCGTATGCTCCTCAACATACCCCATATGGGGCGTCAGTAGGACCCTGCTACGTCCATCCTGTCCCCATTTCACCGTACGCCACTCGCTGTCTAAAGGCAACGGCTCGAGGTTGAAAACATCCAGAGCACAGCCCCGAATGCCGCCCTTCTTCAACACGTCCAGCAGGTCCTTTTCGACGACTAGCGGTCCGCGGGATGTGTTGACGAACAAGGCCGACTTCTTCATTTTGGACATGTCACCGGCTGTAATCAGACCTCGGGAGCGGTCAGAGAGAACGAGGTGGACACTGAGGACGTCGGCAGTCCTGAAAAGCTCGTCTCGGCTGACAACCTTGAAGGTCTTCTCCCCATCAGGCCCCTCGACGGGGAAGCCCTCAGCCCTTGCCTTCTCATCAGCAGCTTCTTGCGTAAGGTTCGAGCTCCAAGCAATAATTTTCATGCCGAATGCCATGCGCATGATCTTAGCCGTCGAGACACCGAGGCGTCCCAGCCCCACGACACCCAACGTCTTTCCTGTTAGGCCGGTGGCTAGCTCAGTTTGCCACAGGCCTGATTTGACAGCGAGGTCATCGTTAGCGATATTGCGTGCCAGCGAGAGGATGAGTGTGACACAGTGCTCAGTGGTGCTATTGGTGCCGACCTGTTTGCCGGTTGACTTGTCCACAGTGCCAGCAACGGGGATGCCGCGCTCTTTGAAGGCGGGAAGGTCGAGACTGTTGTTACGCAAGCCAGTAGAGAGAAGAAGCTTGAGTTTGGGCAGCCTCGCGATGAGTTCCTTGGGAAACGGGGTGCGTTCCCTCATGGTGCCTTGTGCTGCATGTTAGTATACATCCTTATATCATTGAACTCTATGACCAGATGCCGCCACTCTTGGAAATGAGACAGGGTGTGATTACAGATGACATCAAAAGGCTCTAGCCGTGAGGCCAAGGCATCCCTGGCATTCTCGGGGGTATCAGGGTGGTTGTAGGGCAGTAGGGTGTCCCTGAAGACGGTGACATTATAGAGCGACTTGTCCAGCTTGTTGAAGTGGGGTTCCGAGATGCCCTGGTAATCGTCGAGAACGGCCACCTTGAGCTGAGTAACCTGCACCATGGTTGTAAGATATCTAGATCCGATAGGGCGGCTGAGAGAGGCGTCGTTGCGCGGTAATATGGCTCGTAAGGATTCCCGTGGGGCGAGAGTCAAGGCTGACTGGTGTAGCGGGGTTGTCAGACAGCTCAGACGGATTGGCAGGCAGAATAACCTCATGCAAGGCAGCGGCAGCGCAAAGTCGAGAGTAAGAAATTAATCAGCGAGATTTGATTCCGGGAGTGATCAACCACAAGCGCTGAGTTCCTTAGGAGTTTCGAGTTCACGAGTTGAGGTTGGTGATATGAGTTGGTTCCGGGTAATTAACGGTAACTCGATTCGGGATTTCCCAAGTCGGCTGGAAAGGCTTGCCGAGGCGTATGTAACCAACGGCCGGGAAGGCGAATGTGCATATGCAGCCCTACTCGCACTCGACACTGACAGTTTTGGGTAGTTCAAGGTACAATTTTGACTAAAGAAAAACAAAACTTCCGAATGGAGGCAAGTCTAGTATTTTGAAGTGCGGTTGAGCGAATCCTTTCCTTGTGCTTGAGATAGTGCCCTGAAAGTGCAGAGGCACACAGCAGCGCTCGTCTAATACCCCAGATGAGGGGGTAATGTCTTAGCCACCAATTAGGCGTCTACGCCGTGCAGGCAAATGAGGGGAACTGGGAGAGACCGAAGCGGCTCCGGAAAACCCGACGCAGCGCGGTCTCCTCTAAACATAACTGGCTGAAGCTGGCCCATTTCTTTCCCGGCACTGAGTTTTCCCCCAATGTTAGTGATCCTGAAGCGCAAACACGTACTGGCCTGTCGAATGTGGTGTGTCGGCAGATGTCGGCATTTGACCCGGGATAATACGGCTGATGTATTGGAATTATCTAATCAAGACCAGTCATAGTCTGGAGTAAGACAGCACCCTATCTCTCTATCTCCAGTGCTTACGTACTCTTTGTCATCCACGATTCGGCACCCACATTTCTTCCCTAAGTCTAGTTCTCTGGGTCACCGAAACCAGACAGGTAGAACCCTCCGGGCTAGGTACCCTTTAGCGATTCTCCATCTCCACGACTGGACTAGTCATGGATACACCCATGAAGCCCACCTGGAGTTGAGATGGAGATTGCCCGGAAAGATTGTGGAGTTCACACATGCCAAATAACGGCTTCTAACCATGACTGCTCAAATGCCGGACGCTGATGGGAACGTTTTCACATAGTTTTTTCGGCCCATTGCGAATGACGCCATCGCCCTAGCGTCCTATTTGGAAAATATTTGCTAAAATATTTTGGCAGCTTCACAACTAAGAGGGCGAAAAGCGGACGACCCTCCAAAGAAGTCGCCTCTTGTCGCACGATTACGAAGGGACCGGGAATTTCTCTCACCGAATGAGACTGTCAGTTACACATCCGCGCCCATCACCTTCGGTGCTGTGCTTCCCATCATTGGATCTAGTTCTGAATACCAAGAGATAGGAATATTTCATAAGTTCCTAGCCAAGCAACCCGTAGCAATCATCGGCGCACTCTGTCTGAGTCGGTTGATCGGTTCGAAACTGCAAAGATCTTCCCATTCTTACTGACAAATGATAATTGTTTGCCAGGTTGGTTGGACGGTTGGAGGTTCACCATGCACCAGACTGATCCTTCCACCTAATTCCAGTCTTTGCAATGCATGAGCCCACCATCTTTGGGCCTGGCGTGTCATTACTCAACGCCTCATTGGTGATTGATCTCGAATGCCTCCCTGAGTGTCGCTCAAGATTGACCCTAAGCTTGAACAAGATACCTTTCTCTGCGACGATCGCTCGCACGCAAATGTAACGTGATGTCGACCACAAGCTTTCCCAGCCCTTTCCACCGTGTCTCGGCCTAGTTCTCGGCGCTGCCGTGTCCTGTTAGGGGCCGCTGCGCCAGCGCCCATCCCGTCGCGGCGTCGCCTTGACTCAGGGTTAGTGGGCATGGCCTGCACATCGAAAGCAAGTCCTCCAAGCACTGTCAAGCTTTGCCGCGGCAAGCCTCTGTTATCCTTTGTCCCCCTTCTTTCCCGGCGCCCGTGAGTTACAGTTCTCTCGGCTGGGTTACCGCCTAGGCAAACCCTCGGCAAGGATTGGAGCGGCTGGGCAAAAGCTGGGCAAAAGCTGGGCAAAAGCTGGGCAAAAGCTGGGCAAAAGCTGGGCAAAAGCTGGGCAAAGCTGTGCGGCGACAGAAGCAGACGTCCCGATAACCTCGTGTCTTGCCGCTAAAAGGCAATCGTCTACAGTGGTCGCAGCCTGTTGAGGGGCGCGCGGAGAGTTTTCAGGGCACAGTGGCTTGTCCAACCCTCCCCCCCCGGGTGTCTTATCATCGCAATCTCACCCGTCCCGCCCGTTAACTCCAACTCCATCATAGTGCAGGCGTTCATCCCAATCAATGACCCCCTCTCACACCCCTCTGAATTTGTGTGGCTTGCCAGTTTGCCAGGGGCTCGATACGTTGGGGATGACCATCTAAGTAAACGGGGGCAAGGACGGAGCTAAGGGACGATGAACTCATGGGTTTATCAGACAGTGAGCATTCTTACCGACTCACAGGGAGCATCCGTTACACGAGAGAACAAGGAAAACGGTGCGCAAAGCCATCATCCTCTTGCCGACAGAATGGCACCAGGGATTGGCGCACTGCGGCTCAAGATATTTGACCAGACTCACCGGAAACGCAACACTCGGCAACGGAACAGCTCGACTCACATGCCTCTTTAGGCTTCAACAATCTGGTAGCCAAGACAAAGTGAGGCCAGTTGTGATGTTGCTTATTGAGAAGGCTTCTCAGTACCGTCGCCCACGGCTTATCGCATTTTCTCTCTGAACAAGCCAGTGACACCAGTCTTCGATCCTTCTGGCTTCTGCCCTCATCGAGGTACACCCATCCAACAGTCGCTTCTGGAAGTGTCGGGATCATTACGCGGTAGCTCAACATCTCGCGTCAGACAAGCCGCGAGGGATGTGGCCAACTCAATCTCGCGCCACCCACCACATTGACAATCTGTCAAACCATGACGCCTGGGGCAGACTTTGGACGTAGGTTCCGGTTAGTTCGAGACTTGCTGGTCTGTGTCCTCTGTCTCCATGGAGCGGAACACCGAGGGAATGGGCGTGTCGGGGTGTTAGCACGCGACACTGCGACAGCATGCGGGCTTTGATCTCGTGGGGGTTTGAACGAGGCGAATTGTGGTAGAGATGCCTCGGCAGCGCTACTGCGAAATAAAGGGCCAAGAACATTCGCAATAAGGCAAAGCTTGGAACACGCTGGCAACCGAGCCTTGGCTCTCGAAAACGAGACAGATGGAGGCACTTTTGAAGAGACCATGCCATTAGCACACGAAGCCAAGACCGTATTTTCTGTCGCCTGTATCCGTCGCCGCCTGGCGCTGGACGGGGTATTTTCCGCATCGTCCCTTGAAACCCCGTACTTTAGTTGCGGGCACAGACAGCACGTCTGGAATCTGGAGGCCGTTGCCCAGGAATTTGGCAACTTTTGACTAAAAGAAAACCCTCAGGAGCGTTAGAACGTCTGGGCAGGCATCCGCAACTCTCTGCTAGCACCGTCGTAGACCGGGCACTCCCACATTCCCCGACCCCTTTGAACCTACACAATTTCGGCGGTATTCAGTGGGGAGAGGGATGCCGATATGAATCGTCCACCCGATTGGTCCGTCTCACCGCAGAGGCTGATCCAAAAGGACCTTCAAATGGGGCCGTTCCAAGGACTGCAGACAAAAATCCCCCGGGGTCGATGGCCCGACTGGGGATGGCCTCCTCCGCTTGGAACCAACCATACAGGGGAGGCCGTAGACGGCGCGACATTAAGCTCATGGACCACTGTGAGTCGGCTCTTATCGCTTGGGAAGGTCGCCGGGGTGGGGCGTTAGTGCCACGGCAAAGTGCTGCGACTTTGCCTAGGCATAGGCATACCGGTAGACTCCTCCTTGTGTCTGCGGATACGTGGATGGAGACCCGAGCACGAGGGGGCTTAAGGTGCTGGGGAGCAGCTACGCGTAGTGCGACGCGACAGCAATCTAGGGAAGAGCAAGAGAGAAAGAGAGGAGAGTTACCTACAGGTGGCATCAGACTAGCAAGGAATTCTAAGAGGGCATTCATCAACGACGAAGTCACAGTGACAGCGTCATGATGCGCAGATGCGGTAATCCTCGGCTCCTCATCCAGACCTAACACAAAGTCGGCGCCTACTCTGTTCAATTCTCCCTTTTCTGACTGGGGCTGGGCCAAGGCCGTGGACACCCATCTATTTTCAGTCGAGCGCCGCCGTCGCAAGATCACCTTCCCCTTCCAACACCCGTTGCTGAAACTTGGCGAAGCGTTCTATCGCAGAGGGATGATTTGAGATGCGCCTTCGCATCATCCACCAACCTTCAATGGCCTAGTCTCCTTCAGTAGCGGCAGGAAGCAGCATACGTATTGGACCTGGCCATTTGCGTGCACTAAGGTAACTAGTCAACGGCAATCCTTCCGTGCTTTGTGGCGCATCAGCGAATCAGTCTCTCGGCATGACACTTTCGGTTATCACCAGTCCACTTGGCTCCCTTCCCGCCATCGTACATAGTACAGACTAGGCTTTGTTCTCGAAGCCGCGCCAGAAGCCAGGTCGCATCAGGGCAGCTGGGCAGCTGGGCAGGCGAGGCAGGTTGACACTCTCCCGCAAGCCGAGAGGACGCTAACACGAGTGGCCATCTCTTGTTGCACCACCACACCAACACGAAGGCCAACAAGCTTGCGAGTCTCTCGTACCAGCACGGATACAGCAGTCAGGTCCGGCAGACGCTCCAATGACAGCGCTCGAGTGAGCACAGTGGCGTCGATGCCAAGGTCGATCAACGTTACCGTCGAAGTCCTTGGCAGTACCGTTAAGCTCTCTCCACTGCTGGCCGAGTTTTTTCGAAACTGGCAACGAGACATCGGTAGGCTGCTGATATGCAGCAGAGTGCTGAGTTGCTGGCTGAGTTGAGCTGCGTGGTTGGGACAGCGAATCGCAAACCATGCATCTGCCAAAGCAGAGTGTATCTACCATGTCCGTACCTAATTACTCCATAACCAACCCCAGACACCCAACAACGCCGCCGCCTATCTGCTAGCCCCCAATTCCTCGACCTGCCTAATCGGGCCATTCGTCCTGGAGTCCATCACGGTCCATCAGGTCCATCAGGGCCCATCATTTCACTCTGACTGGAGTTGACCGTCATCCACAAGTGGCTTCTGTCTCGGTCCAGCCTGGTCCTAGGGGAGCGGAGCGCACCTGTTGGATCGTGCGTTGCCATAGATTCCATTGATTCCTTCCGACCTTCCCTGCACCTTTGGCTGTCCTGCGCGCGCTGCCCGCCATACTCGAGCTCTAATGCGATGATGGTCCCCTGCTCCATCTCCACGTCCGCCCGACCTGGACCCTGTCGTCTCCGACGGTATCACATCGTGTGCGGCGTTGCTCTTCGCTCCGCAGCGCTACCAAAGCTCGAGGTAGCGTGAGCGTGGATAGTCCTTTTCGCCTCCCGTCCCGTGGCGATGGTTACGGGCAACGCGAGATGAACGTTCACCTACCCGGCGGCGTCCACGACGCACACCCGCACACACGCACGAGCATTGCACCCCAGGACACCCAGGTACCTTGTTGTTGTCGAAGCAAACCTTGCCCCCTTGATCGATTGGCCCGTCCCACGCCATCCCATGCTACCTTTCACCGTCCGTGTGCTTGACATTAGTCCATGTCCATCCATGACACCCCCTTACCCTTCCCCCACTCCCATGCGCTTAGCGTCCTGCCCATGTCCGTCTGTGTATCTGCGGATACCTACGAACTGCCAAATGCAGTCGTGATGCGGCCTGCCACTATCGCTGCTGGAAATATAAAACAACTGTCTTGAGTCGCTCATTCATCCGAAAGCCTCCCCTCCCTTCTCTCTCGCGATCAGCAGCCTTTTCCCAACGGCCAACAGCTCAGGTCCTCGTTCGACCCACTTGTCAATTGCTGTCAAAGACTCGTTAACTCGTGTCTTTCGTTAAAACCCGACACGGGACTTCCTGTGCCAAACCGACTCAAACTCTTTGGCTTCCTTCCATCGACAGGGGACTCTACTCTCGCTTCACCATGAGCAACGCCGGAGGTCTTCAGGACGAGGTCCTGGCCAAGGCCCACGTCCCCTCAGCCACCCTCCAGGGCACCGAAAAAGAGACGCGCGGGTCATTCGACGTGACTGCTGCCGCCGCCCCCAGCGTTGATAACAACGGCTACGACTCCAAGTCCGACGATGACTACGAGGACAAGCCCACTGAGGAGGAGCTCAACACCCTCCGTCGTGTCTCGGGCCCTATCCATTGGGGTATCTACACGATCGCCTTCGCTGAGCTTTGCGAGCGCTTCTCCTACTATGGCTCCTCCGTCCTTTACACCAACTTCGTCATGCGCCCCCTTCCTGCAGGCTCGACGACTGGTGCTACCTATGGCGCCGACATTCCTGCCGGTGCTCTGGGTATGGGCCAGAGAGCCTCCCAGGGTGTTTCTCTGGTAAACCAGTTCTGGGCTTACCTTGTTCCTCTCTTCGGGTATGATCCTCTTCGCCCCTGATAATTTGGCCAACATTGTAAACTGACAGCATGTATAGTGGTTGGTTGGCAGACTCCAAGCTTGGTCGCTACAAGGTCATCCACATTGCTATCGCTGTTTCCACCATCGCCCACGTTATTCTCGTCATCTCCGCTGCCCCCAGTGTTCTCGCCAAGGGCAAGGTCGCTTTCGCACCCTTCTTCATTGGCCTCTTCACCCTGTGCTGCGGTACCGGTCTCTTCAAAGCGAACATCTCTCCCATGCTCGCTGAGCAGAACAAAGATATCCGCATGCGTGTTGAGGTTCGGAAGGGCGAGCGCGTCATCGTCGACCCTGCTGTTACCAACTCCCGTATCTTCCTGTGGTTTTACTTCGCCATCAACGTTGGTGCCACCGGCGGCCAGATCTCCATGGTCTTCGTCGAGAAATATCACAGCTTCTGGCTCGCCTTCCTCCTGCCCACCATTCTCTTCGCCATCTGCCCTGTTGTCCTCTTCCTGAACAAGAAGAACTACCACCTCACTCCCCCCACCGGCTCTGTCCTTGAGAAGTTCTTCCGCATGTCTAGCTTCGCTGCTAAGCGCTCCGGCGGTTACACTAAGCTGAACTGGGAGCACGCGAAGCCCAGCAACGTCCCCGTTGCCGAGCGCCCCGGCTGGTTGACTTACGACGACGCCTGGGTCGACGAAGTTCGCCGTGGTCTGAAGGCCTGCAAGGTCTTCCTCTTCTTGCCCGTCTTCTTCCTCGCCTACAACCAGATGACCAACAACCTGACCTCGCAGGCCGGTTCCATGGTTCTCGGCGGTGCCCCCAACGACGTTATCCAGAACCTCAACCCTCTGTCTATCATCATCATGATTCCTCTTCTGGACCACTTTGTGTACCCCGGTTTCCGCAAGATGGGCTTCAACTTCACCCCCATCAAGCGTATGACCACTGGTTTCTTTTTCGCTGCCGCTTCCATGATCGCCGCTGCCGTCATGCAGCACTACATCTACCAGATGTCTCCTTGCGGTGATCACGCCACCATCTGCGATGATGGTCCTGCGCCCATCAACGTCTGGGCTCAGTGTCTCCCCTACATCTTGATCGGTCTTGCCGAGATCTTCCTCAACGTCACCTCGTACGAGTACGCTTTCGCCAAGGCCCCGGAGAACATGAAGTCTCTCGTCATGTCCGTCAACTTGGCCATGAGTGCTGTCTCCTCCGCCCTTGGCCAGGCCTGGACCCCTCTGTCTGAGGACCCCCTCTTGGTCTGGAACTACGCCTCCGTTGCCATCATTGCCTTCATCGGCGGTGTTGCCTTCTGGTTCTGCTTCAAGCACCTAGACCTCGTTGAGGATGAGCTCAACTCTCTCAAGAAGACCAAGTTCCTTGGCTCCAACCAGCCTACCGCTGAGGCTCACGATGACGCTACCCACACTCAGGTTTCTGAGAAGGTTTAATCCTGTTTTAATGCAATCATGCTTTGCACCCCCGCTTCCTGGCGGAAGCAGCAGCCTCATTTGGTTATTATGATTTCCCGCGTCAAACGATTCCCCGGCCGTTGGTCTTGCAGACTATTTGCCAACCTCTCAGCTAGAAAAGTGTATATTAGATGCATATAATGATATATATTCAACGCAAGCACCTGGATCTTGAACTTTGACTGTCTAGTGTTTATGGCCCCCATTTTTAGTACAATAATTACATAACTCGCTTGTACTCCTTTGCTTGAAGCATACAAACCGATAATCCATCAGACAACATCTGTTATGGAATCGAGTTAATAGTCAGCAGATAATGTGGACAAACTTGGTTTTTGTGTTTTTATCCGTGATTCAAGATCTTAATTGATCATCTGTAGTACTCTCTCTTGCAGGTGGCCAACACCTCAGATACCAATCGTACCCTCAAACGACCATCTTTGCCTACTACCACCAAAGCATGTGCATCAATAAGTTGCCGGCCTATTAGTTCAAGAATGCGTCATCCAAAGGCCGCAGCTTGTAACTTCCCAAAGGTTTTAAACGTATGGAATGCAAAGGTAAGTTCTTCGTGGATAACAGGGGTTAAATGGTGGACTCGTTGCGTCTGAGTGCATGGGAAAGCTTTCACCTAGGTTCTACAAAGGTGGTGACAAGTGAAGCTGGAAACATTAGCAAGCACGGAATCTTAACAAAGTTCAAGTCTGTGGACAGAACTGGAAAAACCAGCCCGTAAAACCAGTTTCAATGCTTACTGTTTATGTGATTCTATTGTGACAAAAAGGTACCGAAAAGCGACGGTGGTTATTAGCCAGGGGGGTTATCGGTTTTATTTCTACATGAGAATGAACGCTGCCTCCTAAACTCGGCTCTCTGTCCCACGCACTATAATCACCTAATTCAGTTAAAGAGCCGGATGCTCAAAACGAACCCAAACGAGTGACAGCAGTTGTTGGTGCGAATCTCACTTCGTACACCAACCGAAAAGTATCAATTGTTCAACATGACCAACAGAGAGACGACCGGCGCCGCTGCCCCAAAAATATCTCATGCGATACCGATGTTCGAGTTCACGTCCCGTAACCTATATGTCACATCGTCGGTCAGCCCTGAGTGTGACTGAAATTTTCAACACTGAAATGATGGAATCAAGGGTGAGGGCCGTTTGTCATGTAAACTAACTCCACAAACGCCAAGCATAGTGGCTGATTACCTATGTAAGGTTACAGCAATCACAAGCAGAACAAGTGCCTCATCCTCCGATATTCAGCACGTGCGGTTGATCCGCGGCACTCGTTCTTGATAGTTTTTCTTCTTCTTCTTCTTCCTTTAACCATGGAAATCGCTCCTATAAATCTATTTTTCATGTATCTGATAACGGCTTTGGGCGAGACACACTGAGTCTTAGTTGTGACTCCTAAAAAGCTCATTGGTCTAAGGTATTATCTCAGCTGTAAACTTACCAGTGCTGGTGTACTATTTTCTGGGTTGCCAGACTTTTGGACCTACTGCTGGGAAAGCTGCTCCTGTCTGATTAGAGTACAAACCAACCAAATGGTTTAATATCCTTTTTTTGATTTTCAAATGCGACGGTAGACTCACTGCTCTGCTGTGGTATAGACCGTAGTTCTGTGTGCTACCTACTGGTGCAACTAGTATTCAACCCAAAGATCTTATATTTGATTATGGTTCCCCTCTCCGATTCGAAGTATGGTGCGATGGTGTGAGTTATGGCTCTAAAATTGAACATTAAATAATCGTTTCACGCAAAAGAGAGGACTGGATATCTAGACTAAATGGGTATTTCCCGAAGGCGGATGGATACTCGAAAGATTTTGTGGTTTCGCTTCTATTGGTTGCCACAACAGCCTCAAACCTCTCAATAATGAGCCTAGTCTTGACTATCAATTCCCCCTACATTGTAACCTGAAATATCTAGCTACATGTGTATATATATACAAAGATATACAGGATTGGATGTAACGAAAGCTCTCGGTGGACGCCACAAACATGGTGGCCTCCTACTCTTTTGTAATTAGCCAATGGTGGCAGGTGCGATGCACGATGATAAATTTAAGGCTCCACGTTACATGATACCAATGAGAAGTTGGGCCGTTATTGAGGTCATGCCTCGCTTCATTCTTTAATTTCGTCGCTACATTAATGTCGCTATCCTGTACTTTTCGCCCGAAAATATACCGTTGCCTTGCTCAGTATTGTCCCTCACACTTATCTACAGCCTAGCAGGAAGTCGGCCAGTCTGCTGAGCCGTCCACGTAGAAATAAGGTCCACCAATGTAGGCGATAAGGTGTCATACGTCTCCAACCCGACAGATTTGAACTTGCGTCGCACGTCATCAATGCCGTTAGGGTGGAATCCTTGTTCAATGATAGATGACACAAAAGCAGCAAATTGGGGCTCCTGCCATCCCTTTTGGTCTGACAGCTCTACGTGAACAAAGTCCAAGCCTTTGAACGCGTGAGGCTTCTCGATGCGGCCGTACATGTGGACCCCACACTCCTTGCAAGCATTTCGGAGAATGACTGCCGAGTTGTCGATAATATGGAGCTTTTCCTCGTTTGCGGTCACACTGACCTGATCTCTAGGGATGACGCCAACGACGGAGAAGAGGGCGCCAGAGGGCTTCCAGCATTTGGAGCATCCGCAAGCGTGGTTGTGGGCAACGTTGCCTCCAAGTGTGACCTCTACCGGCCTGGTCTTGCAGTGGCAGCGAAGTTTGCCGCCCGCGAAGTTGGGGTCGCCCTTAGTGAGGCCATTATCGATCAATGGATGGAGAGAAGGCGCCATGGTGAATTCGGGTATGGTGGTTTGAATAATCAGAGTTTCAAGCTAATTGACGGACAGTTGATTGAGAACCTTGATGGATTTATCAATTTATATAAGTCTGAGCGTTAGAATATTTATATCATTGCTATGAGTATCGGGTTACTCTCATCTACCGATACGCCGACCGGTGACTTGGCTGGCTGCACGATTTCCGAGCCATCCCCGAACACGCCGGACCGGAGCCAACACCACACGCATTGGCGTACGTGATTCGACGACTTCCCCGCATTTAAATGTCGAATCTTGTCATTCAAACGTTGATTCAAGCACGCGACTGGGATAAACTTGCCCGTTTGGCATAATCTTTACGAATGCATGTCTTCTCGTTGCTGTTATGGGGGCGCCCAGGCATCGGGTCCAGACCCGATTCGACACCGATGATGATGAGACCACACAAAGTTTCAATAGGAAGCCAATTGCTTCGCCGCAGAACCAAGATACAAACCCCGCTTGCCCGACGTAATCAAGGCCCAATCCAGTGATACGGATGAAGCGGATGACACTGCAAGAAAGTACCTATGTAAGATGATGCTGTCGGCGTTAAGCGTTCGGGGACGACGGCATAGACGGCTAGAGGACATCGGAAGCCTGAGCGATTTATTTCTTGATCTCCGCCGAAAGAAATGACTTTGGATAGGTTGTGAATTTAATACAAATAACAGAAGGCTCGTCACCATCAAGAGTAAACCTGAGCTGCTTGCCTACCTTGTGTCACATACCGCATATAACACTAGATGGTCATCTGCTGCCCGTACTTCCGAAGAGAGCTACTCTGCTGTCTGCTTCCACTAGTACGGCTGTGGACTTTTTCCATCCCCACGAAGCTCGAAGCATCTTAGAAATTGATATGAAAAATCAGAATTGGGCTTCTTACAAAGTTAGGATTGACAAGCTATCGAAAGCAGTCAAATGATTGTACCAACAAATGTGGTGATATCCTATCGGGTGCGGACTCACGTCGTTTTGATTTCTTCCATCATTTATCCAATACCATCTTGCTCGAATTTTTTATTGGACGGGAATACGATAGCAGTAAATCTGCTCGGTGTCTCCGCATCTTGGCAACATTAACGTGAGTCCACACCCGATGGGATAGCCCCGGTTACGCTGGACTTGAACGCTGGTGAGATACACATCAGAAAAAGACCCAAGCCTAGTAAGATGTTTTTGAGTTCTACCTAAAATAATAATAAAGTTTTCCCTGTTTTCTGTGTACTTTCGAAATATGTGTTTGTTGCTGAAGTTATGTATCAGAAGAGAAGAAAGCCACTCCTAGAATTATTCCTAGTTGGGCTGATAGCCAGTACGTATAAAACGTGGCTATAGATAGATTTCCAACATCACAATTTTACTGAATAAGGTAGCATTGATACTTGCGTGACACAGGTTCAATGAAGTGCAAAGATTGACTGACAATACGGCGTGCAATTGTTATCAAATCGTGTCAAGAAGCCTACAAACTCTGAACATGAAATGTGTAATTTTGTATTTGGTACAGTACTCAGCCGCGTTTGGCTGGTCAAGCTTCCATCTATCAATATTACATTCATGACTTGAGTCATAGACGACGAAACTGTCTAGAAGAAGTTTTTACCATGTTTCTCGTCCATTCTGGTCAATAGTCAAGAATTAGATGTTGCTCTCCGTAAGCATTATGATTCTTGCAAACTCTTTGGCTGTCCAATCATGTCCCCAGCTTTTCTTTTGCAGGCCGAGAATCAGTGAGTCTAGCGTTAGCATTAGACTCAAATGAAAGCTTGCGATTCTTCCGTAAGACCGATTTGCTTCACAAGAGCCACTTGAAATAACTTTTGGTACGCCGGGTTGGGAACGTCATTGAATGTTATTGTCAGGCGCCCAGAGGGGGGGGGGGGGGGGCACCGGCGCGGCACTAGTGGGGCCGTCGGCGGGGTAGCTGGGGGCCGCACCGGCACATAGTCAAGGGATTATAAAGGGATTCTAGCTACGCGGCCAACACAGACTCCGACAACAAAGGTTAGCCACTGAGACCAACGTTAGAGAAAGGCGATAGCACAACGCCGCTGAATTAGTGTTATAGCCAGGGGAACTGGGCTTGGTTAAGGGGGGGACCTGGGGGGCATATAAGGAGCAGCTGCGGCGGACCTAGGGGAAAAGGCAGATTGGAATAACAGTCAATACCCACCCCTACCTGTGCCCATCGCCGACCTCATTACTCTGTATGACTCCAGTCTCTGACAGTTATCTTGTTTCTACCTAGGCAGGCAAGTTGCGGATCTGTATCTCAGCATCCCGTGCGCTCATATTCACCTTGCAGTAAATGATCATACTATCATAACCGAGGGCCATCATCAACCTCAGCCTATCTTTGACGGAAAACTTCTTTGTAGTTGTCAGAGAGTAGCGGGATACAGATCCTCAGCTGAAAGCTCAACTAGAAACTATGACTGATTACCGAGTCTGAATGAGAGTTCTTGGGATTCTTGTGATCTGGATGAATATGAGTATCAAGTCGCTTCAACGCATGTGCGTCGGAAACACTACAACCATTTTTCGTTCCCAGGTCTGGCACGTGTGTGCGTATTGCACCATGCACGCCTTCAAAGCTGGCTTCAGGTGGCTGGGCACGGACGAATTGGTTATCTGCGACATGGTCCATACGCTATAGCAGTGGCGTTCGGTGACACATGGCGCTTAACCACCTTGCGGAACGAATGCGATTTAAGTAGGCTAGGGGAAGCCTTCGGCCGAGGAAGCTAAGTGGTAAGGTGGCTGAGTTCGGGCGATGGTCCAAAGATGAGTTGCGGTGAACAGATACAGGTAGAGCCTTCGAGAAGTTACGACTATGTCGATAGGTCGATAGACGCACAGAACGTGCAGTCTCGGTGTCAACTGGAGCCGAGGCTTTCGTTGCCGTTCGCATTCGCATGATCGATGGAGGGACAGCGAAGCTCAGGAGAGGTTGGATCGGGTCGATAAAACTTCAAAGCATGCGAGCCCCCGCATGACGCTTCAGGATATCCCTCCACTAGCCAGCCATATGATCGACGGGCGCACGTCCCATCAAGAGAACCTCGGCACGCCTCCTTGCCTCAACAAAATTCCTCCGGGCCCAAAATCTCAGGACATAAAATCGTGGCTGTCGGCACAACTTATTCATCATTGAATCACCACCAATAACAACCTGAACATCAACCACATACACAATGGCTGAAGAGATCGATGTTCTCATTCTCGGCGCAGGCATCTCCGGGGTGAATGCCGCCTACCGCGTGAAATCCGAGTTGCCTGGCAGCACCTTCGCGGTGCTGGAGGCGCGTGACGTCGTCGGTGGCACGTGGTCCTACTGGAAGTATCCCGGATTCCGCTCCGACTCGAACATGACCAACTTTGGCTTCGGATGGCATCCTTGGCCTCACGACAAGAAGATCATCGAAGGCGCGCCCATTGCCGCTTATATCGAAGACGCGGTCAAGACACACCACCTCGATGAGCATATTAGGTTTCAACACAAGGTCTTGTCGTCAAACTGGGACAGCGACGAGGCACGGTGGACTCTTGAGTGCATGACGCCTCAAGGGAACAAAAAGTTCAAGGCCAAATACCTCTTCGTATGCTCTGGATACTACTCGTACGACAAGGCGCTCGAAACGCACATTCCTGGTATCGAGAACTTCGAGGGCAAGACAATCCACCCACAATGGTGGCCCGAAGATCTCGACTATGCGGGAAAGCGCGTCATCATCATCGGGTCTGGCGCCACGACTATGACGCTGTTCCCTAACATCGCCAAAACCGCCGGCTTTACCACAATTCTTCAGCGCAGTCCGTCCTACGTCTTTGCCTTGGCTGCAGAGTCGTCAGTGGACAAGGCCGCTAAGAAGATCCTCCCCATGTTCCTGGCCAATTGGTTCATTCTTTTGAAAGATCTTCTGTTAGAGACGGTTTTCATCCAGATTGTTCTGAATTTTCCCACCTTGGCGAAGCAGTTCCTCAGAACCGATGCCAAGCGCCGGCTACCCAAGGACTACCCCGTCGACGTTCACTTCAAGCCCAAATACAACCCCTTTGAGCAGCGTCTCAATATGTGCCCCGATGGCGATGTTTTTAAGACTCTTCATCAGCCCAACACGGAAATTGTCACGGATCACATCGAAACTGTTACGAAGGACGGTATTCTTACAAAGTCTGGACGTCACCTTCCGGCTGACATCATCGTGACCGCGACAGGCCTGTACGTGCAGCTTTTTGGTGGTACCGAAGTCACTGTTGATGGCGTCCCAGTCAAGGTCGGCGAGAAGTATAGCTGGCGCGGATGCATGCTTGATGGAGTGCCCAACGCGGCGGCTATCATTGGTTACGTCACTCAAACTTGGACTCCTGGCGCCGACACTGTAACGCGACTCTTTATCCGCGTCATCAAGGAGATGGAGAAGACTGGCGCTGTATCTGCGACGCCCGTCTTATCGGAAGAAGAGAAGAAAAGTTCACCTAGAATGCCGTGCGTCGATGCTACATCCAATTACTTCAAACGGGCGCACGGTCGGATGCCGGTTGTGACCAACCAGGGGCCTTGGTACGGGAGGAAGAACCTTATCGTGGACAAGTTGGCACTTTGGTTCGGAAGCGTAAGAGTAGGCATGGACTACCGCTTGGCAACCAAGTCAAAGGACATTTGATAATGATGATGATGATGATGAGGAAATGAGCAATGTGTCATACAACAACACCGTCGTTGATTTAAGCGTTGATAGCTGGCTACGGAAACGAATCAAAACAACCTGGCATAGTCAGCTTAATCTGTTACCTTCTATCTATTCATTGGCTCGATGGAACCCTCGTGCTGATGCAATTGGACCAGGATGAAGAAGATTACATCGGATCCTTATCAAGTGGATCGATCCTACGTCGTTAGGGTGAGGCGTATCCGTAATCAAGGGCATATGTTTTTGACAAGCCTCAATACAAATTTGCCACAGCCCAGAGAGAAGACTGTTTTGAGGATTTGCGAATAGCCTCTGGCAGCAAGCCGACTTCGATGGAACAAGCGAGAATGGGCATGCAGGAAACTACCGTTAATCGCGAGGAACTTTAAATGATCTTGTCGCCAATCTTGCGGTATACCCTCCTCCCATGGACGCAACATCCCATCCGAACAGAGATAGTTGCGTCTAGCAGCGCGGTCCCTGCGAGTTATGCACAGCATCTAATAAAGTTCAAAAGCAGCAATTGCTTTGTGGCCACGGGTATCAACCCTAGCTGCATATGCAGATAGTGGAACAGACGTCCCAGACACCAAACGAAACAATAGCGCGGGAATCGCGGAATCGCGGTAAAAGTCTCCGCCATTGAGTCGTATCAGGAAGTTTCCACGTTTCTCGCGATTGATCTTGATGATCGACGAAATCCCAGTAGCATTACTGATCTCCCGCCAGGATAACCTTTTCTTAAAAGAGCGAAGTTAATGATCTTCATGAATCCACTACTACAAATGTCAGAATTACCACCACAGTAACGGTAGAGCAGCCGCTGCTCAAACAATGGCTAGAAACGTCGTCTCCGATTCATGAGTACTCGAAGCTGCTAGGCTTAGTGAGAGTTGACTGAATCATGTAATAATGAAAGACAAGCTCTACCATCCCTTACAACTGCCGTCCAAGCACGGCATGAAATATGAGGCTCTCTGCACGGGCGGCACCTCAGACTCCCGACAAGTATTGCCTCACCCGATGTTTTCTCATCCTCCAGCCCACCTATGCTCCGTGTCAAGGAACCCCATCCTACTGGTCAGCCTTGTTCACCTTGGAAGAATTGTCTCTGATCCCATTTGCCGACTACAACGTGGCCCTTGTTAAAGCCCCCCCCCCCCCCCCCCGACGACGATTGAGACATACGATTCACCTGATACCTGAAACGCGTCCGCGATGTCTCCCAGAAGAACCCATCCCAGTGCAATAGCTACTTGCCCAAAATCGTTCGTCCGGGCGAGACAAAGTTGTGTTTCATAACAGAAATAGAGCTTACGTTGCCAAGAGACGTCAGCGGCGTGCCGTTCGATTTTGACTATCCCGGCTTTACGGCACCAGCACGTTTGGAGAGCCCCTCGAATCCTTCCGAGGGAGACTAAATTTTCCGAACCAGCCGGTCTCTTCTGGTCGCGGAACTTGAAATACCCGTGCCTGTCCCTTCTTGATCTCCAGACTCTCTGGGTAGAATTCGTCTTTTGCAGTGCTCCAACTCTTTTTGTGCCGGTCCACTCAGTAATCCCAATTATTTCTTTTCCGAGCTGTGCTCATTCCAATCAACATATCAACGTTCAATCACTCACGCAACTAAGCCAATACCGCCAACATGCGTTTCACTCTTGCACTCACTACCCTGGTAGCCGTGGCCATGGCCGCGCCCTTCGACAGCATCGTCGCTCGCAAGGACGAGCTCACCGCTGCAATTGCCGCCCTTGCCGATGAGAACCCTGCGGATGCCGAGGCTGCCAAGGGCCTCTTGAACCGCGACCTCCAGCTTACACAAGACGAGGAAGACGAGGAGGAAGATGTCTTCAAGCGCGATATCGCCGCCCCCCAGCTGGCGGATGTCGAAGACGAGGAAGACGAGGAGGAAGATGTTTTCAAGCGTGATGTCGCCGCCACCCAGCTGGCGGATGTCGAAGATGAGGAGGAGGAGGATGTTTTCAAGCGTGATGTCGCCGCCACCCAGCTGGCGGATGTCGAAGATGAGGAGGAGGAGGATGTCTTCAAGCGTGATATCGCCGCCCCCCAGCTGGCGGATGTCGAAGATGAGGAGGAGGAGTAGATCTTCTAAACACATAATCAACTATCCCGAGACAACGTCCGGAAAGGTTGAAAAGATTGGGGCTGCACAACCTTCAACGGTTTCGCGATGTCGAAAGTTGCCAGGGGGGCCCATTCGAATAACTAAATGTATACTCACCGCTAATAAATCTTTCATGATACAACTTCTTGTACACAACACGTCGCCATGGGCCAGTCTCTTCCAACCACTGATTATGCGGAAATTCTGCTGCTCGTGAGGAAGGCATTACAAAGCCGCTTTGCATCTATTTGGACTCCATCTGGCAAGGTTCAATGACAATCAGCCAACTGAGAGGCAACCCAAACCAATCCTTGTTAAACTGGGAACGCTACTGTATTGCCAAGAAAAGTCACTATGTGCTGAGCATATACACACGGAAATTGATACAGATGTCGATAGCAGCTTAGTAACCTCCGGGGGTCCTCCAAACAAGGCGAAGGGTATCATTACCGACACGTAGACATTGTTTTGCAGCGTCTCCATAGCTAATTCCACATCCAACTGCCAATCTTCATAGTCAAAGATGACCAGGTATGAGTGATCGCCGCCGAAGGTGGTGGATACGGCGATTGGCTATGAACAGCAACCCCGCCGAGCTGAGAATCGAACGTCAGGTTTCGGCTTAGTTATGTAGAAAGTTGAGTAATACGTATGTCTTGACTAGGCATATACGAAGTCACCTTGTTCTTGGTTGCCGGTGTCTTTCGCCCATGGCATTCGTCTGGGTTGTCAGCCACTCTCCAGTCGCGCATTCCATGGCGCAGTTGGCCGAGCATGACAACGGAAACGCGTCCAGGGCATATCATCACCTTCTCAATCCTAAGACTTGATTGTCCATAATGAACGCAATCCTTAGGGCAGTGGACCAGGAAGATATGGGCTGGTCTCACTTGACCAAAATACGAAAACTATTATTCAGGGGGCCAAGTCGGTAACACTACCCATTATCCATATTATTCATGAACGGCTTGACAGCATTCGCAACAACGATTTCGAACTTACCTCACAGTGAGGTTATGGGAGGGAAGCGAGTCCATATTCGTATTGAACAGAACACAAGTCCACATACCACGACGTCATGACAGGGTAGATAGCTAAGCTCTGGCCCCTTTTCGGATTGAACCATTCTCACCAACTGTTGAAAAAAAAAGTCCCGCTTCAATTGGCCAACGCCCGACGTTCGACAAGCGTTTCTTTTCATGGGACGAGAACCCCCCATGGTGGATTACTTCCAGAGCTTCAGGCTTGCTGATTGTTGGACGACAAAGAAGCGTTGGTGTCGACTGACATGGTGATCCGCCCGATATGCCAGGCACACAATTGATTGGACGGTATCAAGGAAAAAGCGACATATCTTCGGTATTCATTGCAGAATGGGCAAACGGCAACCTACATTGGCCCGACCTCCGTGTTTCTGAGCCGAGTGGATGAAATGAACACTGCACCTTCAACTGCTATGGCGGAGCATGCTCAAGGGGCGAAATACATCATAAAGTCTTCACATCTGAACTCGTTCGCTCCGAGGGTGAAGCCTGCCCAACGTTGGATCCATACAGCACCATATCATTAGTCTTTGCATAGCAATAAGGACAACCCACCCAGTCAGCAGCTACAATGGGGAGGTGGAATACAAGATTTATGGTGGTGCCAAGAACACCGAGAAGGACTGTAGCAGAGAATTAATAGTTACATCCGTGGTGGAATAGCACTTTGGTCTTTCGAACTCAAATCTGGCTTGAACAAGCACATTTTCGTGGTGTAATTGAAAGATCAATACCTTTTTTCTCACTTTCAGACGAGCGACTTCCAATGCAATGGTTCAGCTCGGCAATTTAGGATTCAAGCACTGGTTCCGTAGAACCGGAGGCCTGTAACCTTACATCGGGGGAGGGCCCTTTGGGGAAGCCTTCCCGACCTATCGGCGACCGAGTGGTTACCAGCAGACAGTACACTAGTCAGGCGGAAACTGCTGAAAAACCGGGTGATCTCGTTAGAACATGGGAGTTCCATGCCTACATCATCGCACATGATCAGTGTAGTGGGCAACATGCACGTTACAGCGCAAGCCTTGCAGAAAATACCTCAACCCTAGCCTATCGCAAGCTATCAACCAGCAGCATAATCGACTTCAGCATGCCTAATTAGGACGCCAAGACGGGTTGGCCTCGAGCCACTTTGATGCCCGCGCTGGTGACGAGATGATCAAACCACCGCTTTTCTTCTACCCTTTCTCAAAAGACAGGCAACACCAGCACTGGTTCGGGCCTCAAAGGAGGGGAGAAATCTTATGGAATATTTTAGAGCTGAAAGACGCCTTGTGTCTTGATTTCATAGCCTTAAAGCTATTTTTGATTGTGGAGACTAGTAAAACTTAATGGCCTAGCAGACATGCGGAGGTCTCTTTTTTCCTTTTTTTTCCTTTCCAGCATCCGATGTTTCCGTCCCCTCGGCGGTACCCAAAGCAGACGGTGGTAGTATGCAAGGCAATACCAACCGCGCGTGGAGCACAATAAGAGGGTACTGGGGCAGCGAATGGAGCTTCCCGACGGGATGGCAGCCGAAATGAACCCCTCGCGGTGCTCTGTGGCAGACTTGATTCGTACAGCTCGTAATTCGGATGGTGCTCGTACCGATTTCCTCTATTATAGCGGCTTGGCGAGGAGGGGTGACCTATGAACGAAACTATTCAGATGGATAAGATAATCTTATCAGATCTGCAGTGTGCGTCGCATTCCCCACTGCGCCATCCCGCCATCGCGAGCTTCCTGTGGCAGCGTTACAGCATCTGCTCGGCTCAATTACCTAACGCTTGGTAGCAAAGCAAGGCGAATTAGCCGCCAGACGGAACTGCAGCAAGAGCCCTTCAGGGCAGGAGACCGAAGAATGAGGTACCGATTCCTTGGCGAGATCTGGCTAGCCCTGGCCCTGGAGGGAGACGGCAGCGAGTAAATAAAGGGACTGCATCCCCCGAGGCCCTCGCGTCAAATGGCACTTCTCAGCACCTCAGTGGAAATGTCTGCTTCTGCTTTCGTAGATACCCCTTTTAGTTCTTTCTTGTCCTCCAAAATGGCAACGCCACAGCCTTCTATCAACGATCTCGCAGCCAAGATCAGCGAGCTCTCGGCCGAATTCACTCGCTTTTTGGGTGACAACAAGATTCCCCAGCCCACGTTTGCCGCAGACAGCGTGACAAGCTACGATGGTCTCACTTCAGAGGCTTTCCTGCTCCGGCAAAAGTTGCTGGACGCTGCGGCGGATCTCTCTTATCTGGTTTCAGGGCCTAGTGAGAGTATTTTCAACTATGCTCATAACGTGAGCTACCCATCTTCCTACGACGACTCAAAAGTCGAGTTTTCATTCTGACACTGCATAGTGCATGCCAGACGCCACAACGCTTAACATCCTCAACCACTTCGACTTCTGGTCCGCTGTGCCACTAGACGGCTCGGCCTCCTACCCCGACATTGCGAAGCACACCGACCTGCCAGAGGAGGTTGTACACCGCGTTCTTGAGCACGCCTACACCTTGCGCATCTTCGAGGAAACTGAGCCCGGCAAGCCCTTTACCACGCGCGTGCAACACACGGCTAGGTCGGCTGCTCTGGTGAAGAACGCCGGTCTACGCGCCCTCGTCGCGACTCTCATGAACGACGCCGGCCCACCGATGACGGTTTTGCATGCGGCGCTGGAGAAGTTCCAGCGTGGCAAGAAGGAGCTGAAAGAGGACATGAGAGAAACGGCGTTCACGTTGTACCACTCTGGCGCGCTCTGCGGTGGGTACAACAACTCTTGGGAGCTGCTCGAAAACGATGGCGAGGGCGAGAATAAGGGTTGGCGCCAGAGGAACTTTGTGCAGTTCATGAACTACATCAAAGAGATCTTCCGACTGGAGGGACTAGTCAACGATGCTTACGATTGGAAAGCTGCCGGCGACTTCAGCGTTGTCGATGTGAGTATCAAGACGCCAATGAACAAGATGGTTGCAAACTAATACCTACTTAGCTTGGCGGATCCGGGGGCCACGATAGTTTCGTGCTGGCAAAGAATTTCCCCAACCTCAAGATCACGGTACAGGACCTGCCCAACTGCCAATCTTCTTTCGACAAAAACATTCCGGAAGAGCTCATGGGTCGTGTTACCTTCCAACCGCACAGCTTCTTTGAGCCGCAGCCCTTGCAGGCGGATCTGTACATGATCAAACTGATCCTCCACGATTGGCCCGATGCGGAATCCGTCAAGATTCTTCAAGGCCTCAGACCGGCTCTCCGCCCGGGTGCGAAGGTCCTGTTCATCGACTACGTCGGAAAGCAGGGCGATGTTGAGGAGAACGCAGCGGCTGCCGCCGCGCTACCCAAATCCATCCAGCAGATGGGTACCTCGACGGACCTGAGAATGATGGCTCTATTCAGTGCCAAGGAAAGACCTGTGGATGCGTGGAGACAACTGTTCAAGAAGGCGGACGAGAGGTACGAACTGCAGCGTGTTGAGGCGAATCCTCTGTCATTCTTTGTCATTATCGAGGCCGTTTGGCGTGGTTGAGGGTCTGTACATTCGAGGTGTCAAGACATTGGAGTAAAACATAGAATGGAGGGGAATTCCACGATATCAGTACTTCAAAACTGCTGCAGTAGATTTGAACTATGTGACAAGACATCTCGAGAGGCTCTGGGTCAACCAAACAAGCGTTACATGCGTCAATTTCAGACCCTGCATGTCCCACAAGACTAACACAGGAAGAGTTCCGCTCCAACCCCACCCTCGCTTCACGATGCTCTCCACGCTACACATTCACGCACTACCAGACCATCAAGTATTGTCTCGACTCAGGATGAGTCATCAAACAACATGGTCTGGTGGTGTAGTTGGTTATCACGTCAGTCTAACAGCTCGGGAGCCTCGCCTCTCCCGCCTGAGACACACTGAAGGTCTCCGGTTCAAGTCCGGGCTAGATCATCCATGTGGGCGATTGGTTTAGTGGTATAATGACCGCTTAGCATAGGAGTCATTCTTGATTCAGTCTGCGGTAGGTCCTGGGTTCGATTCCCAGATCGTCCATTCTTTTGCCACTTGATGACGTTTTTGTCGCCAAACATCACGGGATTGAGGCTATGGCGATGTTTCAACCAACGAGAGAAATGGAAGATTAAGAGACAACTCGATGAAGTGGGCAACAACCCTCGTAGGCTATTCTCACTCCGACAAACACTTGCTTTTGTGAAGAGATTTTGACACCAAGCTCTCAGGCGCTGACGGCAGTCTTGATTGGTACTTTGTAAATTGCGATCGTGAGATCTGTTTAGTCCTAAACAGATATCAGTAGAAGTTCAGTTAAGATTCAATTGTAGGTTCGGTCAAATCTGCAACTTGGCAGCAAACAGGAATACCTCGTCTCTGACACATTTGCAATGTTCCTTAGACGAAAACACACAAGGTTGTTTGTTCTAAACGCCAACCAATTCATTTGCTCTTAGTTGCGGATGAGCACTTCACGTTGTCGCGCATAGAAACCATGCTGCCGCAGTGGCAAAGCATAACAGTCTACGTTTGGGGTTGCTCCTTGCAAGTGAGAAGGCAATTTCCTCAGTGTCCTGGGCCTGCTGACTGGCACGTCTTAGTTTACCTCTCATGAAGACGGCTAATCATAGATAACCTATGAGTGAAGGATTGATTCTGTATGCGGCCCACATGCTTATTGTACAATGTTGGGATGAAGGCTCACCAAGGACTAATTATCCAATGAGAGGGAGGGTCCCCTCATGTTCGTCGCGCCCCGTCGCCAAACATCGAATGCAAAGATGATCGGGCCACGAAAGTCCGCGGGGGTAACGGTCCCATAAACTCAATGGCGTAATTTGAGATGCCGGCGAAGACGCGGGAGGCAAAGTGGGGTCCAAATGAACGGCCGTCACCCAGAAACCACACTCGAGTCGCCGCGATTGGAAGGCTGGTATCGTTCAAGGATTCATCATGGCCGCATGGACCGGTGTCGTTCTAGCGTAGTCATCGATGCAACCTGGCATGGAACAGGTCTAGGGCTGGGACGAACTAGTAGGGGGCCTCCGCGACATGCCTAGGTGCCATTGAAGGTTGGCGCCGCGGATCAGGGAATTTGGAGACGAAGAGTAACGCACTAGAACCCAAGGAGAATCCGAGGCGCCGAATGGGATGAGACGGAGTAACCGGTGAGACGGAATTGCGTTATCGACAGCGGCCATTCGGCAGCCCGCATTGTCAACGTGCACCTGCTGCATGCGAGGCAGCCCGATTGCCCATAGTGAGGACTATCTAGGCCGATGAAGGTGTTCGGTCTGGAGGTGGGCCTGCCGGGCAGAAACAATAAGACAAGACACATGGAAATGAGGACAAAGACATTGAGCCACGGAAGCTCAGAACAGAGGTGCGGTATTGGGACTCGTCCATACTATGGCGTTTGGGCAGTCTCACTACCTCATACAGGCCGGCCCAGCCACCGTCTCGTCTCATTCTTAAGCCTCTGAACTGCACCAATCACCAGATGTCTCCAATCAGCTCCATGGCCTGTTGTTTGATCCAATGTACAAGTAGTCACTCACTCTACCAGCTCGAGTCGAGATGGAGAGAGAGCCTAGGGCGCCGCCAGCTTGTCATTACCATCTTTCACCCACTTGACCTAGCGTCTTCGTTTAGTGCGAGTGCTCAGCTTGATCCAGGCTTGTCCCCGGCTTACCCTCCTTATTTTTAGTCGTGCCATGGGCTACGTCCGGTTCTTCACCTCCTGGTCATGAGGACGTAGCAAACCTAATGTCGCATTCATCGATAAAGTGACGCCCGTTCCCCCGAATGCCCATCTTTCGCTCCCTCCACTCTTGTCGCTTACTGCCCCCTCTGCTTGTAGTACCGAATTCACAGGCCCACGCTTGGGGTTGTCTTGCGTTCTTTTAACCTTTAACCCCGACGCTCCGGACCTGGAACATTTCCTCTAGGTCGCGCTGCTGCACCGTGCTGTCGGCTGTGCCTCATTTACCCCCTCGTTACCAAACTGTCGGGTCCGCGAAGAACGAGAAGTGACAGAAGGGGAACGGCAAACCAACACCAACCAACAAAGACAGGACAACAGAACAGCGTAGATGGGAATCACCCCGAGAATAGGAAATTCGGTGCGTAGTTTTATCTGAGACAAGCCATACGGCCAGGTGGTTATTGAAGGCGAGATCAAATTGGCGACGAGAAGCAGGCGACAACACCAGAGCGAGCGAAGCAACGAGCGACAAGCGACCCAGACATGCGCTATTGACAGCATACAACGACTACCGCTTTCCCTGCGTCCCTCGTGTCGCTGAACCCTGTGCGACGTTCCACACTCGTGAGCCAAGCGCGCGAGCGAGCGGCGCAGCCAGGACCAACGGGCGAATCGAAGAGCTTCTCGAGAAGCTGTTGGGCCTGTTGGAACGGAACGGGACGAGACGAGAGGGTCCATCAAGGGGAGCAACGAACGATCGGAAGAGATGACAGGGGTGCACTCTTTCGCAGAGGCAACCGGCGGACCCGGCTCCGCTTCATGTTCGAATGCATCGGGCTTGCTGCTGGTCAAGCTGGTCGGCTTGGTCGCCGTCGCCGCGTTCTTCGTGTGGGAGTTCCGGTCGTGGTACCGACTGCGTAAAATCCCCGGGCCATTTGTTGCCTCTGTCTCAGTCTTGTGGCAGCTGAAGAAGGCCATCGGAGGCACATACCACGAGCACCTGAACGACGTTGCCAGGACATATGGTAAGTTACTCTCGACATATCACACAGCCTGTGTGTCATGTACTCTTGCTTGGTCAAGACCGTCATCTCTGGGTTCATGGATGCACCGTCCACCATGTCCGTTGGTTCACTCACTGCAACACTACCATAACACCCCGCAGAATTGGGGAGATAAGGACGCTAATTTTTGATCATCGCTGCAGGGCCGCTCGCACGGATAGGTCCCAATGAACTCCTTTGCACAGACCCCGACTCGCTGCGCAAGATGTCGGGCGTACGCTCGCCGTACACCAAGGGCGACTTTTACGATTCCGGCCGAATCACACCGGGCGTTGACAATGTCGTCTCAATGCGGGACGAGAGCGAGCACAAGGCCATGAGGGCGCGAATGGCCCCGGCCGTAAGTCATGTTCTTTCCATTGTCGACAATACGTCTTTCGCCAATTCTCGACACGGCTGGAGGCGCGCCACAGGCGCAGTCATTTCGTTCGGTTAGCTGATCATTAACATTTTTAGTATGCCGCCAAAGAGAATGAAGGCTTTGGCTTCGAGATTGGCATCGACCGCCAACTCATGAACTTCATCCGCCTCATAGACCAGCATTACGTTTCCACAGACTCGGACTTTCGACCGCTGGACCTCGCCGAGAAGACGCAGTTCTTTGCCCTCGATGCCATCGGCGACGTTTCCTTTGGTGGCGCTTTCGGGTTCCTGGCCGAGGACCGGGACTTGTTTCGGTACATCGAGATCAACGAGTCGTCTCTGCCCGTGATGAACATCGTCTCGGTACTTCCTTGGTTGGGCCGGCTCGTTCACAAGTGGCCTTTTCGTTTGATGCTGCCAAAAGAAGGCGACCAAGTTGGCTTCGGCCGTTTGATGGGGTGAGTGGTTCTCAGTGCAGCTCTCAATCACTGATCAAATTAATGATCGGAGGGGACACTAACACAACGCGCGCAGCTTCGCCAAAAACTACGCCGAGATGAGGCTCCAACCGGGGGCCAAGCCGCAAAAGGACATGATGCAAGCCTTTATTAACCAGGGGCTCGATCGGGATGAGCTCATACAGCTTGTCTACATCCATATGTAAGTCTTCAATGAGTATCACAACTCTCGAGCAAGCCATTCATTGTTGTGTCTAGGATTGCCGGCACAAACTCAGCAGCACAAGCCATGCGCATGACGCTGCTTTGCTTAATCAACAATCCCGTCGCATATCGCCGACTCCAGAAGGAAATCGACGAGGCCATCGCGGCCAGTACGATTAGTACCCCAATCACCAACGCCGAAGCCCTGAAGCTTCCTTATCTTCAGGCCGTCATCCGCGAAGGGTTGCGCTTCTACCCTCCAGTCACGGGTCTTGGCTTCAAGCAAGCGCCGCAGAACGGTGACATGCTCAACGGCTATTTCGTCCCTGGTGGTACGCAGATAGGACATAATTTCTTCGGTGTCGGACGCTCGCTGTTGGTCTGGGGCCCCGACGCCGATGTTTTCCGGCCGGAGCGATGGCTCTCTGCGGACAAAGATGAACTCAAAGAGATGAATGCTGCTCTCGATACGCATTTCGGCCACGGCAAGTATTCGTGCCTTGGCAAGTCGATTGCCATGATGGAGCTCAACAAGGTCTTTGTGGAGGTGAGTACCTTGGGTCCATTGGTAGATGCTCAAAAGTGACAGAATCCAGCTCCTAAGAAGATATGACTTCACTGTTATGAATCCTGAAAGGCCCATCAAAACCCTCAGCGCCATTTTCTTCGTTGCTAAGGATTTTTGGGTCAGGCTGACTAGGCGGCCGACGAAGCGTTCAATAGACTAATCATACACATAATACAATAATGACAACTCATTGGTGCTCGTTCCACAAACCCATTGCAGCTACTCGGTGCCGACTCAGCAGACCCGACACCAGTCACCACGGGATCTGCATAAGCAAGCAATTCTTTCGTGCAAGCAGCCGCAGCTCTGCTGAGCTGCATGTCGGGAGTTCGGGTTTATTGCCCCCTCATTACCTCCGTATCGCTTATTGGTTTTGTGATAATTGCCACAGAGGTGCATCATCGGCAACAACGCACAGCACTTATTGCGCCCTCAAAGCTGTGCCCTCGAAGATGCGCCCGCAAAGCTGACTAGTGGATTCCTCGCCCCTCATGTGGTCTCACGATGCAGCTCGATTTTGTCGCCGTCTTCCAGTATTTAAGATGTTTCAGTTCTAGCATTTTTTGACGAGGCGCATACAACTCAAAATTCCGTAAATCATTACGTTATTGTCTTCAACTGCTTGATCATGAAGTCGTCACTCCTCAAACTACTCAGCTTAAAACCCGACGGGAAGAACCAGGCGCCGCCACCAACTATATGTCCTCCTCCCTATCTACCGTCTCCGCGGCCTCTCACCCTCACGCCGTCTCCGTCTCAGGACTCGCTGAAAGATCCTGCAGCATTCGCTACCCATCGCTCCCAGTTTTTCCAGCGACTCCCTTATGACCTGCGGAGGAAAGTACTGGTACTGGCCTTTGGCGATCGTATCTTGCATGTAGACCTTACATTCTGCCACCCGTCCGTCCCTGCAAGCCGCAAAAGCCCCCCGCCGAATCACTGTGGGGTCTCGACAATCGACACAGACAACGTCTCGTGTGCACAAAGTAATGCCTTCCGTCATGAGAAGGTCTTAAAGATCGACCGTAGTAAGCCAACAGCATGGCGGTGGTGGAGCTGCGTCTGCCATGCAGTGCCCCCAGGTTCGCGACACCGAACGGAGGATGGAGCTGTGATCCCTCCTCGCCCTCAAAATGATAGGTGCCGCTTAGGCGAGGCAGACTGTTGTGACTTGTGGCCTGGTGATCAACCTTCGAAGTGCTTCGTCGGCGTAATGGGCTGGCTCCTAGCGTCCAGGCAAGCGTACGTTGATATTTTTTTCTGCGTCGACGATGATGTTACTGACGAAAGTAAAGATATGTCGAAGGCATTGACGTGCTGTACACAACTAATACGATCTCCATGTCCAACGAGTTTATGATTTCGCACATGAAGTGGCTATTCCCGAAGCAACGACTTTCAACCATCAGTTCTCTTGAGATCCGCTGGCCGCTCCTGTTCCCTCGCCGGAGCGCCGATAACGACAACCCCAAGGTCGACGAAGAACTTTTTTTGTTCAGACTACTACCTGAGCACCTCACCGGCCTCCGTTTCCTATATCTTTCGTTGCATACTACAAAGTATGTCGGCGATGGTATTGATGCGGAAGAGACGCTCCTGAGGCCCATCGACAACATGCTTCGATTGTTTCCGAATTTGGACTCGTTTTCACTTGCTTTACCCGTCAGCATTTTCGATCGTCTAATGGAAAAAAAGGTGAAAAGAATAAAAGCGGAATATGGACCACTGGACTGCTATCCTGGCCAGATTTGGCGCTCGCAGTCTGGAGAGTATAGCTTGAACACGACGTCTGTGAGCACATATCCGTATCCACCGAAGCTACCAGGCTCGGCAAAACGGGTGCAGGGGCCTGGTTATTGGGTTTTATCTGGCGTTAGTGATGGGCCCGATTTTCCTTGGGGGTTTGGTCCCACTGTTTGACGTGGGTGTCTGTCTCAATCGTCGGTTGGAGTAACAGAGTTTTCCTATGGTGTTTTGGCAGACGGTCATCACATAATACAGAATCAAGATTTAGAATGGAAGGGACTCAAAGACTTGGTGTAACCATCCTTAAACTGACACAGGTTTATGGTCAGATTGTTTAGACTTCTATGTACGACTCCTTGCTCCTGAACCTTGATCCGCAGCCCGTGAACAAATCCATGGATTTTGCACGGCACCGTTTGACAAACAGCGTAATCATCAACGCAACTACAGACAAAAGTACGGCGGTCCAGAATAGCACGACTTCTAGATGATCCGAAACATAGTTCAGGAATTGACCATCTGATCCGTGCCATGACCGTCCAGCTGCGTGTCCAAATACCTTCTTTGCATATCCCTCCCCCAGCAATGCTAAACCATGGTGTGCTTTACTATACATCCACGCGTACTGCCGAAAAGCATGCGTGACCATAATCGGCCCCGTGGACCAGAAGACTCGGAGATATGGGAGGAGAATCCGTCTCGATGTCGAGCCGCCGCGGCGCTTGGCTTCTTGTAAAGCCCATTCAAGAAAGGGCGATCGGCGCTGGGCCATGAAGAAGTGGTTACTCAAACCGGCAGTCCCTGAAGTGGGAGCAAAGATGGCTTGAAGACCGAGGTTTTGAAGACAGGCCATCTCTTCTGTCGATCTCGGATACACGTCGAGGTCTGCGTATATGCCTCCCTCGGCATGAACTACAACCAGTCTTGCTACGTCCGCTCGTTGAATGTTCTGGGAGTATCCCTCGTATGTTGATAGTAGCCAAGTGTAGTTGGTTTTGATAAGTTTCAGGACGTCATCGTCGGTCCAGAGTTTGACGGTGTAGTTGAGAGGCTTCAAGTTCTGCTTCCATGTCTCGTGAGAAGCTAGTACTGGATATGTGCTGACGTCGGAGTTCTTCCAAATCTGGTGTACGGTTTTTGGTATCGGTTCTTGCGGTATCGATAAGTCGAGGGGCTCGCGGGGGGGTTTGAATTTGTCTCCGAAGTGGCACACAGGCTGATGACTTCGATTGAATGGTTCGAGAGGGTAAAGTCGTTTGTGTAGCTGAGTTGATGAAACACCAAAGCGGCCGTTAAAGTCACCACGACGACAGCGGAGATCTTAATTACGACTTTGCCCGGGATGACAACCATTTTGAAGATTGAAAGCTGTTAAAACGACAAAAGCATCGGTTAGAGAACAGTTGTGCTGAATAGTAGTATCGTTTCTTCCTAGGCGTCGTGGAATAGTTTGAGAAGGAGAAATGATAAAAAGGGGCCGTCGAATGGGTGTCTTTGAATGGGCAGAAATGCAAAGAGATTTGTGTGACAAAGTGAACGACGGTGTTCGAGTCAACAAGGAATGGTATCTTAGCAATGAGAACGAGGGGGTATCAAAAGGAGGGATAGGCCAAGCGTAAGAGAGAGAAGTGTGAACGATTGAATCCACGATGAAGGAACAAGTAGAATGATGATAAAGAATGAGAAACAAATCAACAGAAGATGATTTCCAAATGGCATCACTTTAGATATGATGTTTGTATGGCTGATATACTAATGCAATGCTATAGATTCTCCGTGGGCCACGAGAGCACTACATCACTTGACACTTCGAGAGCGGTGTCCCTATCCCACGTTGATGCAAGCTATTCCCAGACTGCACTCCCAACAAACTGGTTCGATTGCCTGACTCGACTACTCTTGTCACGACGTACATCCTCGTTTTTCGAAATTGGACTAACAGAGGCGCGAGGCATTATGTTTGACACACTGCCGGCCTGCCCCATCCGGAACCTGCTCTACGTCTTTTACAGCCGAGGCCATCTCTATCATGCATTTGGGCCCCAAATTGGCTACCACGACATCGTATTGTCTACGTATAGTTTTGACAACTCCGCCACTTCTCGGTACCTACCGATGGTCCAACTGAAACCCCTTAACTTAATGGCACTACTATGCTCATGTAACCCCCCTACGCATATGCGCACGTGTACCATGATGGAACGGGAGAAGCGCGCTTGTGGAGGAAAATAGTGGTTCGTAAAGACAAAATCCTGCGGCAAGATCAGTGTGGGACCAGAGAACTAGGCAACAGTTTAAGGCGTTTCCGGGCGGGATACCGAGAGGGAGCTACCCCGGGGGCCGTAAGGGCCGAGCTGGAGTCTCTACGCGCCATTAGTTTGTTCTGCCTGGACGAATCACAGATACAGGTCCAGTTTCTCAATTAAATACATAGATCCATCTCAATCCCCGAGAGAAGAATGGCATCTATTTCGCAAGTCTATTGTTGTTTCTCCTAGTTATGTCCAGGTAGTAGTCGTTCGGGCGACTACAGTTCTTGGAGACTTGTATCTCTCTACGAAATTACATGTCATAATTTGAATCCGACATAATGCGGCGTAGTTGGCAGGGCAGAGAATAAGAGTGACCATGTAAGAGAATGCGAGGCCATGGTGCACTAAGTGATCCCAGCGTGACATTTTGGGCCACACCCATTTGATTGACTAGTTGACGGTTTCTGCTCCAGCCCCAATGCAGCAAGCCTCGCCTCGAGTAAAGAACGCTTGTTGGCCCGCGACCTTATTGTCGCCATCCCCCACTCAAGGCAGCAACATTCTGTACCGTCTCCGCACAAGGCAGCAGCATTTTTTACTCGAAAAGGGGGACCATGGTAGAGATGACCCAGTGGTTCGGTAGAGCTTATTAGTCTGGAAGTTGGCAAGCCTCTTTACGTAAGTGCCAATCGGGTCTTAAACATGGCTAATAATACATTGACAGATGAATAACTGACAATCATCTGGTTAGTGTCGCCGAGGTCCCGTCATTCAGACAAGTGACGGGCAGGATACCAGGTCGAGTATTCTCGAGACAAGGTATACCACACATCTTACAGCGAAAAGGCACGCGTGCAGTGATCAGCCTGGACCACTCTCAAGGTTGATCTCAAATTCTGGGAGCCTGGTAGCTGTTTGTGCTGGTGGAACTCTGATTCCCTTGCCTCAAGCCCAGATGAGAGTGATTCTCGGCTGGGGGTTCCGCGCGTAGTTCAGCGACTGTTCGTGCCGACCGGTACGTTTAAATGCCTATTTAGGGTCATGGAATCCCAACATTCCACAGAGATAGCAGCTCCATTTTGCAATCTGAGCCTGTTAAGAACTCTAATCAGCCGCGAGTGAGTTTCAATCGTCAATGGCTAGCATCGGCGTGTAAGATTGCCACACAATGGACTTGCGATGTTGGCACTATTAGTAGATTTCGGTGTGCACAATTCATCATATCCGTGTAAAACGCTTTAGAATATGGTTTAGATAAAGATAGACTTCTTCCATTAGGTAAAATGTTGGATTGGTAACAAAGCTCCATGCAGCATCTGATTTGAAAACGCCATTACCACTCTGCTAACCTACCCCTATTCGGTCGTTCCGACGCACTCAGGACCTCGATTGGGATGCACCCTGCAACCACGCAAGGCAACAGCGTGAATAAACGAGGCGCATCTTTCATCTACCGGCGAAGATACCGATCAGAGATGAAGACCAGCCTATGTTCTTTCTAGGCGACGCACCTAAGGCCCTATCAAGGTTTCTGTTACACATACAAAGGCACCGCGTCCCACGAAGCTCACTGGATCAGCCATCGGACCGGTTTCAGGTCATCTAGTTGTAAATGTAGCTCTGGCGGGGTCTCATTAACTGGAAGAAGTACTCTTGTCTTGCTAAAAACTTGTCGAAACGACTCGCAATTTCTTTTGCTTTTGCTGCGTGTGGCCAACGGTATTGCACAGCTTCATGCGATGATATGATCCTGGTAGTGTTTGCCCTCTTCTACTGATGCTTTCAGCCATTCTTCTTAGTCATTGTTTGTAGACAGACAAGATCATTATCGAAGTGCTGTCTGGGCTGTTAAAGTCAGTAGTAAGAAGATTCCAGGACCACGAGCCTTCGTGGCACGAACAGGTACTCAGTCCAGCGAGCCCCACAAAGTTTAAGCTCTCTCATTATGGGTACGGGGGCAAAGAACTCCTCATCCGACTTGATTTCTACTCAAACCATACTACTTTGTACTGCCTGACCCCTGACCTGAAGTCCACTTGTCTCGCAAGAACGTAGCGCTTTTCAAACAACCCAAGTGGCGCCGGGTCTCCGGATAAGTAATGCCGGGAGTTGCCGGCGAGATTCTTCGTCCAGTTCGTATGTAATACGACGACGAGAACGGTTATCCTACCTGCTGTGACAGGGAGATCCTTCGTCATATACCCTGTGCCCAGGGCGTCTTTGAAGGGTGGGACGTCAATCAGATTATACGCAACCAGCACAGATGGGGGTGTTTTCTGTTCAGGTGGTGCCAACGAAGATTTTAGTCACCAGGCCCACGAAGAAGTGTCTTCATGTACCCCTTTCTTCAAACTATCTGCCCGTCACTCTTTAGGTAAGCCAAGCTGAAGTCTGTGATGCCTCAGCTGACTGCTTTCCATTCCGAAGTAATCTCAAGACGAAGCGATGCCTTACGCCCGAAACTTAGACCTCCCATGAACTCGCGTTCTTTCCCCTCCTCCGTCGTTCCTTTTCTATTGATATTGTTACTTTTACCCCTTAGTCTCTTCATGATGAAACCTAGCAGAACAGTGGTTGCATTATGGTCATGCTTCTGGTATACTGCAAAGTCTGCTTGCCGTTGTGTATCGACGGTAGACCGCGAGCCTGGAGCCCACCGAATCGAGAAGTCCATCGGCAACGCTGTCTAACAAACAGCATCAGACCCTTGCAAGGGGCAACCAGTTCTTAAGCATGGAAGACAGCAGCATGCCGTCCTCGTCGTACTTCTCTCGTTTCCTTAAGTTTGTTACCCCTGGCCTAGCTCACAGTAAGTATACTCAGCGACCTCGGAATTTATAATCCGTCGAAACTGTTGCAAGACATCCCCCTTGGCTTCGGGCCCAGGGTTTTCCCAGGAAGCCAGCGGAAACCCAACGACGTTCGCCGCGTGAATTTGTAACTTCAATGTTTGATTGCCTGAGACCCATTCCCACCCTGAAGCCAACAGCGTACCCTTATCATCCCAATGACTCAGTCATGAGCATTCCTGTTCTCCCTGTCAGAAGCAAACGTCCACGAGCCCTCGGATAGGTCTGACCTAACACCCTTTCAGGCTGTATAGGCCCCAGCCCCTGCATACAACTAGATCTCAACATCGTCGGCCGCACAACGGGCAAACCTGCCGACCTGTCTAGGCGACGTCCTCTGACGATGCGACTCGACAATGTCTTTGCTGTCAAGCTTCATCAAAACCTCGCCATCGAAAAGCACATCCCTGAGCCCTGAAGAACCTAGCAAACCTAGTGCAGATATCAGACAACTCGATCCACGTTCACCTCATCGCCTACTGCTCCGCCAATATCCCAAAAGGCGCGTACCGAGCGACGCATCAACTGAGAACGCAGTTTTACGAAAGTTACCAAAAGCGACTAGCATATCAACGGGCATATAGGGGCCAACAGCCGCACTCGCCGTCCCTCGATAAGCACATGTTCGTGTCACGTTTTTCATATCCACCCGCGTAACTTGAACACTTTGTTGCCTGATTGCTATAGAAGACAACATACGAGAAACACGCTCATCAATCCCAGCACTAGGACCTCCTGCGGCACCAAGAATATTCTACGCCCCCTACCGAGCCACGACATCGACGTCCCCCTCCCCCTCGTCCAACTCCCTTTCAAACGCCATCTGGATATCCACAACCTGCAGCAGCTGCGCACAGTCCAGCTTCCGCTTCTTATGCGCAGCGAGGCTCCGCGCCGTCCGCACCACGTTCTTGATCTGCCGCCCGTTCAGCTTCCCCTCGGCGAGCTTCTCATAGCCGGCCTCGTCAACGTCCGCGCCGCCCTCGACATTGTCCAAAAAGTTGCGCCACACCCTCATCCTGCTCTCGCGCGGCAGGTCGTCGTACTTGAGGGGCACGTGGATGCGGCTCTTGAACGCGTCGTCAAAAGTGCGCACGCGGTTCGTCGTCATGAAGAGGATGCCGCTGTAGTACTCGAGCGTGCGGAGGAAGATGGACACGAGGCTGTTGCGCTCCATGTCGTGCAGCGAGCGGCGCTCGAGGAACACGTCGGCCTCGTCGATGAGGAGCACCGCCTTCCACGTGCTGGCCAGGTCGAGCGTCTTGCTCAGCTTCTCGTCGAGCGCGCCCGCCGACGTGCCGAGGTCGCCCGAGGAGACAATGTACAGCGGCCGGCGGCTGAACTCGGCCACGCACTCCGCGGTGAGTGTCTTGCCCACGCCGGGCGGACCGTGCAGGACGAGAATGAGGCCGCGGCCCTTGCCCTTGACGATGTCGTCAAAGGCAGATGCGTTCGGGTCCGTGGTGCGGGCGGTGTGCTCAGCCACGAGAGCCTGCACGAGCTCCTTCTGCGAATCCGGGAGGACGAGCTGCTCGAAGCACTGGGTGTTCCACTCGATGGGGCTGATCTTGTCGACGAAGAAGTCGAGGAACCTCTTCTCGGTGAAGCTGAAGCCGCGAACCATGGGGCTGGCCAGCAGGGCCTGCTCGTCCGTAAGGGGCGGGTACTCGGCTGTCTCTTTGGGGACGAGTTCCATCTCGTCGCTGTCGCCGGCTTGCTTGCGCTTCTGGCCAGCGGCCTTGGGGAACGGAACGACACCGAAGGCGTGGTTCGCCATGATGCGGTGGTGCGTCTCGGCGTCGACCATGATCCGGCCGTCAATGTTGAAGCGGCGGTTATCGTGGTCCAGCGCCACGCCCTTGTACTGGCGGAAGTTCTGACCCGCGAGTGCCTCCCATCGTCGACCGCGCTCGATCAGCAGAGCTTTGACGGCATCGGGGTTGGGATGGTGCTCCAGAGGCATAGCGTTGAGCGACGCAATCTGAGCGGCGCCAGCAAACGCAGGGATCAAGAGGCACTCGTCTCTGATCCCGAAATCGTCCCCGTCAAAGTCGACGTATTGGACGCTGAGCTGAAGGCCAGCGCACTGTCCGCAGATATACTGGTAGCTGTTGAGCTTGTACACACGGGGCTGGCTAAACCGGGTGGCGTAGACGAGGCTTCCTGGCCGGAAGATGGTCCAGAGGTGCTCGTAGCTCATCAAGCCCTGCTCGAGGAAGTTTGCTCCATCGGTGATGGCCTCGTGGAACTGCTCGTTGATGAAGTCGAGCAGGACGGGCATGTGTTGGGCTCCCTCGGACTCGGGATCGAGGTCCCCGGCAGCCGCAGCCAGCTCATGGCGGTAGTGATACAGACTACGAGGGGGAAAGTTGACGGTGATGTTGGAGGTCAGGTAGGACTGGCCGGGATACTTGTTTCCGATGACGTCTCCGAGGATGTCCTTGAGGCCGGGAGAGTTGACCTCGAGAGTCGTTCCGCAAACATACTGGTTCTGGCTATCGTACTGGCGCGTGATCTGAATAGACAGGGTGAGACGGGGCGGCAACGTTGATCCAACGAATAAGACTTACGCAGAGCGCGTACTTCTCGTACCAGTTAACCTTTTGCTCAGGGATGTCCTCGTCTTCCTTTGGCTCGGTGATGTACACATGTCCCTTCTTGGTCCATCTCTTCTCGAGATGCTTCAGCTCGACCTGCATAGGGGCCTTTTCAAGCTCCTCGCGGCGTCGCTTCTCTTCCTCGGTGAGAATGCCGTTGATCTCCTGCTGGTCCTCTTCATCGAGAGTATCATCATCATGCTGGATAGATTTTCGAGCCAATTGTTTGATGCGAGCCATTGTCTGAAGGAGTTCCAAGAGTGGCGAGGTTACAGGTTGCAGAAGCGAGTATGGGGAGATGTAGTAAGATGCTTGCTGCTGATGAAGATTGAAAATAGTAGTCAAGTTGACCCTGCTTTATACTTATCAAAGATGTCCCAGGAAGCTCAGCCAGACCCCGGCCTGCGATCGTGGGTCAAAGGCCCGAAAGCCCAGGCAGGACGCAGGCAGCCGTACCCCGCCCGGACGACCAAGAGGAGTCATCGGCACCCGGATAGGCGTCACATTGACGGGGCCGAGAACCATATCAGTCATCGCCGTTTCAAATCAAGCGTATAGATGGTCCGAACAAAGAGAGATTCGCTTGTTTCCATGGTCCAAGGTCCCTACAATGCGGCACAGTCTGCAGATAGGGCGGCTGCTGCCTGCGTGGTCTCGAATCATGTAAGCCGCGACCCAGACTTGCGAGGCTGGCAGCCTCAACGAGAACGGTTGGTCTGCAAGCGCTAGCAGGTGCCCGAAGCCTGCATAAAGCCTCTCTCACTTTGCCGACCTATGAACTCTGTCTGTTTCAGCATTGCTTGGTGGTCGAGTACAGCAAACGCTGTGAATATAGCGGATGGCAGCCGGCGTAGGTAAGTGGTGAGGTCGGCGATGGTGACTAGGTCTTGATTTGGAAACTTGCAGGAGTCCCCAAGTTGATAGATGTTCCTTATCTTGTAACGGTGACAAAACCCATAGCTATCGTACGGACAAGACGTGAGGCTCGGCGATGATGAAGACGTGGGGAAAGCTAGCGCCGCACCTAAGTCAAGCTTCAGCCACATGTCGGAAGGAAGGCAGCAGCGTCTGTGGCGCACACGACCCTTGCGCATTTCGACCAATTTCTCGGGTAGCCAGCCTCTTCACTGCAATTTACTAGGTAGCCCATCAGAATGCATGATCATCAACGAAAAAAACTGGTCGAACCGACTAGGACAAAGAAGACTTATGCATCTGAATCTACATACAAGCTGGCATAGCCAGCACACCCTCTTGCGAGGGGCATGATTTCTTTCTCCTCCTGCCACTGTAAGCGCATTACAGCGTATGCGAAAAATGGTGTATCTCAATCGCCATGTGATGTTTGCTCTATCCCCAAAACTCCGTAATTATATGTCTGCTGTTTTTCTTTTTGCCTATATACAGCACTTCATAGAACTCAACGACGCGACCGCTCAACAGCAGCCGCACTCTTGCTGGCCGCCTTCTCTGCGGCGCTGGTCATGGCCAGACCGACGGGTGTCATGGTTCCGCTAGCCGGGGCCGGAGTGTTGCTCCTCGTGGGCGGCGCAGAACGGTTGTGCTGCATGTGAGCCCTGACCAAGTGACCCGCCGCCAATGCACTGCACAGCGACAACTCACCAGCCAGGACACCGGCAGCAATGACACGAGCGAGACGGCGCGAGTTCTCGCCAGGAGTCGTGGGGTGAGGACCGCGGACGCCGAGCATGTCAAGCATAGCGCTTTGGGGCTCCAAAATGGTGCCGCCGCCGAGGGTACCGACTTCGAGAGACGGCATGGAGACGGAGATTTGCAGAGAACCGCGGAGGCTGCACAAGGTCAGTATTCAGAGCTCACTACTATGAGGGGAGAATAGACTTACTTCTTCATGATGGTGATACAGTTGGCACTTTCCACCACCTGCGCAGGGTCTTGGCCGGTAGCAAGGAAAATGGCGGCAACAATGTTGGCAGCGTGAGCGTTGAAGCCACCGACCGAACCAGCCATGGCGGATCCAATCAAGTTCTTGTCGACGTTGAGCTGGACGAGGGTATCGACATCGCTCTTGAGCACATTCTTGACGACATCACCGGGGATGATGGCCTCGGCGACAACGCTCTTTCCACGTCCGTCGATCCAGTTGATGGCGGCGGCCTTCTTATCCGTGCAGTAGTTACCAGAAACCGAGACGATGCTCATATCCTCGAAGCCCTCGGACGCCATGACGGAGAGGGCGTGCTCGACACCCTTGGAAATCATGTTCATGCCCATGGCGTCACCGGTGGTCGTCTTGAAGCGGATGTACAGGTTGGTGCCGGCGAGCGCAGTCTTCATCGTCTGAAGGCGGGCAAAGTTGCTAGTGGAGTTGAAGGCCTTCTTCATGACTGCCTGGCCAGTCTCAGAGTCGAGCCAGATCTTGGCAGCACCAGCGCGCTCGAGGGTCTCGAAGCTGACGCAAGGGCCACGGGTCATTCCATCGCCGGTGAGAACCGTGACAGCACCGCCGCCAGAGTTGATGGCCTTGCAGCCACGGCTGGCACTGGCCACCAGGACACCCTCAGTAGTGGCCATGGGGAGGAAATAGCTCTGTCCGTCGATAACAAGAGGACCAGCGACACCGACGGGAAGGGGCAGGTAACCGATGACGTTCTCGCAGCAAGCACCAAAGACGCGCTCCCAGTTGTAGTCCTTGTAGGGGAGCTTGGACCGCTCGAGGCTGCTGGTGAGGTCGGAGGTGGCGTTGGTGCGGGAGATGATGGAACGGCGGATTTTGACAGCACGAGTGAAGTCCTTCAGCGCGCGCTCCAGGGAGTAACCGGGAATCTTGCCACGCAGGGACATGGTGACCACCTCGGAGTCCGTCATCTCGTGGACGCGCTTCTCGGCGATCATCTTCTCCAGCTGGGCAATGGTGCGCTTCTCGACAGGGCCCGTCGGCTCGGAGGGCTTGGCCTGGGTCATGGCCAGCTCCGACTCGTCGTCGGTCGTAGAGGGCGTCGCGGGCTTGGGGGTGGGAGGGATGTACTCGCCAAGGGGCAGGGTGGCCGAGTCGGTATCGTTAAACTTTTCGGCGCGGGCCAGCTCCTTGGGGTCGATCTGGTGGTCGGGGACGTTGGGGTCCTTGATGCCCCATCGCGCAGCGTTGAAGAGGTAGCCGTTCAGGGCGACACTCATGGCCAAGGCAACGATGATCCACTTGGAAAGAACGGGGTCCTCGAGACTCTTCAAGATGCTGCCAACCATGCGGCCGCCAACGCCGTAGTTCTCAAAGTGGTCATACTCATCGTCGAGCTTGTGGCCGGACTTGCTGGCAGGAGAAGGAAGGGCATAGTGGATGGAGGGGTATTCCAACTCGTACTTGATGGGGGTGAGAACAGTGACAACGGTCGGGCGCTCATTGGCCTTGGCAGACTCCAGGATGGCGTCCAGGCCGTTCGAGGCGACCTTGAAGGGATCGACAGGAGGAGCCGTCACAACGGCGCTGAGACCGCCAGTCAAAGAAGCCAGGCTGGGAAGAGAGCTGGAGTTGCGGAAAGGAATGGTACAGATGTTGATGGCGTTGATCAGGACGAAACCGCTCACCATGAGCACCTTGAACTTGGGCACGTTGCTGCTCTTCATCTGCTTGCCGAACAAAGAAGCCTCCTTGGGGGGCTTGCCGTCGAATTGGGGCCAATCGTTGCTCTTGGCCACATTCTCGGCCACGCGGTGGCTGACACCGTCATCCTCGAGCGCGCGACGCATCTGGACGTGGCGCTTGATGCGGTTGATCTCGAGCTTGATGCTGAGAATAGCAGTGTAGAAGGAAAACAAGAGGATGCAGTCGAAGAAGAGAATCCACGCAGCGAGGAAGCAGAACTGCTGGAGACCGCCCTGGACGCCCGAGGCAGCACCGAGGACGAGAATACCAATCTCGATGGCGTAGTCCTTGACAATATCGTAGCCCTTCTCCTTGATCGCGGCCTGGACGGCATACTGGATAACGTTGGGGGACGAAACATCCGACTTCTTGGACTTGTTGTCGTCCTTGTTCCCCTGGGGCTTGCGGTGCTCAATGGCGTGGGAAAGGACGGCGCGCGTCAGAACGATGTTCTTCTCGAAGCCAATGGTCACGACCAAGAATGGCAGGCCCTCGGAAAGCAAGACCATGGTGATGGGCACGCCAAGCTTGGTGGTGACGAGCAGGCCAAACAGGAAGGCGAAGACGGAGGAGAAGAGGACGTTGGTGAAGAGCCAGAAGTTGGAGCCCATGCGGCGCATGGACAGGAACAGGGAGACAAACGTCAGGTGCATCGACAGGTAGCCGAGCACCATGATGAAGATGTCGAGAGCCTCGGCGTTCTTGAGAAGGTCAAGGAACTCGGTCCAGCCGTTGCGGGCCCATTGGACAAGGCTGTTGCGGGTGTGCACCTTGGCGGCCTTCATGATCCACATCTTCTTCTCCTTGCCATGTGTGGTCTCGATCTCGTCGCTGGTGGCATCAGGAATCTCCTGGGCAACAGACAGGAACTCGGCGGCCTGAGAGTAGGGGACGGAGAAGGCGAGAGCGCTGTCCTGGGAGTAGCTGGTGAGGGAGTTTGAGGTCGAGGGCAGCGAGGTGATGGACAAGTTTTGAGGGATCGGGACGGCGTGGGTGCGCGGGGCAGTGTTGATGGACGCGGGAGACTGCGACTCGGGGAAGACGAGGGTCAGGAGGGCCTGGTGGTCGACGTCGCCGGAGATGGAGGCGTCGGGCTCGACGTTTTGCCATTTCCAGCCCGTCTCCGAGCTGGCGTGCAGTCTCCGGCTGCCCTCAATGAGGGACGACCAGTCGGCGGTGCGGACGCTGATGGTGGCATCGAACAAGCTCTCCTGCAGCAGGCCAACGTACGAGGTGCTGGCCAAGACGGCCACAATGACAACGGTGTGGATCGGGTGGGAGCAGGCGAGCTTGGAGAGGAACTTGAGGGCGGGCGTGATCTTCTTGTTGATCCAGGAGGGAGCAGCGGGCTGGGCAGCGGGCTGCTCACCCCGAAAGCGGCGGGGGAGAAATGTTGAGGATATCATGGCGAAAAGTTGCGGTGTATCAAGATCGTCTATTAAGAAGGCATTGGGGTAAAACGGCCGAGGAGAAAGGGACGAAGACGAGGTTCTGCGGGTTCAGGAGTCAGCAATTGACGTCGACAAAAGGGTCATGATCTCGGTTCCCCAGAGGGTTGAGTGCGCGGGCAGACGGCGAGGGGTGGCTGGCCCGGGGAAGTAGACGGAGCTGGAATTTGGGTTGAGGAATTTTGGCGACGCGGATGGGCTGTGTGGGATGCGCTCGCCGCCGATTGGAGGAGGGCCGTACCGGTTGGGAAGCAGACGCCGTTGACGTCTATAGTGCTCAAAAACTCACCACTTGATGCCTCCAAGGTTCGCGCACGAAGAGAAGTTCGAAGAGGGGGGGGAATATTAAACGTCTGTGACGGAGCGTCGGAGATCGAGGGTGGTGGTCGCGGAGAGCCGAAGTCGCAAGGAGCTGTTGAAGTGCTCAAGCGGAACTGCGAGAGTGGGTTGGGCAAATCCTGTTGAAGAGGAGGCCTTGCAAAGGGGGGGTTGGCAGATCACTCTCGGGGAGGAGAGAGGGAGGGAGAGAGGAGCAAAAAAAAAAAACAAGACCCTCGCGATACAACGGGCAGCCAAGTACCTTTTTAGATATGGAGACCAAGCTGGGTCGGGACGGGTCGAGGAGCTTGAGGACCTCAGGCAGGATCAACTGACTACCTACACTCGACTTGGGTAGGAGTGGCAGGGGGAAGTCCAAGTGTAAGGCCTCACTGGGAAGAAACACATACGACGAGATGGGAAAGAATGGGAGGGAGAGGTCGACAAATTTGAAGATTCTGGGGGGTGGACTAGGACTGGTGGTGGGCGAGGACGAAAATTAAAATAATAAAAGAGTTGGTAACGTCCCGAATGCTTGTCGATGGCGCACGACGACGACGACGAACGAGCGAGAGGGACAGAGAGCAACGGTACAAGAGACGAGGGGCCACTAGTCCAGAGGAACAGACCAGAGGAGTACAAGTTGGTTGCGGGAATAACAAGTGAGGGACAAAGTAGCTCGCAGATCCACCACGGGACGAAATTGAAATGATGGCAATCCCGGCAAGCCGGGCTGGGATTGTGTTGGTGCGTCCCGGCGTAGGCTTTTCTGTGGTGGGCGGTGATGATGAGCGACCAAAGGCGTCACAGGGACGATGGGCAGCGAAGACATACGAATGCACTAGCTGCAGTGGGGTACCTACAGTAGGTACATAGTAATGTAATATGGGGGTGCAAAATGACCGGTGAGTTCGGCGAATTTGACGAATTGGACAAATTTGACGTGGATTTGCCAGCAACGGCAAATTTACCGATGATGGTCCGCGCCGCCGTACCTTGATACAGCACAAAGCTAGTGCCGAATGAGGCAAAGAACGCTGTGTGTCGACCTCTTTCAGACGGGTGTAAACAGGGTGAACTGAGGAACGTAGGTACTGTTACCCCCCCTCCCCCTTCCCTCCGGGCCTGGGAACCACCATCAGTGTCAGTGTCAGTGTTCCCAGTCGTTCAGGGCTAGGCAGACGTTGGGAGAGGCGTTTGGCGGGTTGGTGTACCTGTCGCGTCTGCCACAACATGCTGTCACCATCCGCTAAAGCACAATTTGCAGCGTTGGGAAAGGCCAGGCGGACCCTAGAGTCGCTGACGGCCTGATTAGACTAGGTATGGCCTGGCTGTCTGGTCCTCGAGACTGGCGGCCCCAGGAGGCAGGCAGCGTCGTGGTGGCATGTGTCATCGGGGAGCCACACACGACTGGGCTTCTGCAGCCGCATCGCCGCACAGATGGCGCGTCCTGTCTTATCCCACCCGGTGCCTCCTGTTGTTTGGTACTTGGTGAATGTTGTCGTTGTTCGGTGAAGGTTGATGGTGGCCCGACGAGGAGGGTTTGCTTCAATCGCCGAATCAGCACATGGGCAGTACATACACTACATACACTTTCTCACAGGCGGGCGGGCACCGAGGTTTGGTAGGTGGTGAATGAACAATAGTGTTTGTGTCGACATTGTTGCTGTTATCGCTGACTCGCCGGTGGTCTTATCTGATAAGCGGACCTCCCTTGATAAAACACCTCGAGCTGGGGACACCAGCTCGAGACTTTGACGGCGAACCCCAAACTTCCAAAGCACAAGCCCCGCCTGGTCGCTGCGTCATAGTAGGCAAACGCAATGAGAAACACAGCAGACTCGGGGCTTACTGCGACAGCCCAGATGCCGTGCCTCCCAAATCTTGAGGAGCACAAGTGACACCACAGACGCAACAAGGACGACGATGGTACGGATAAGGCGCTGTAGGTTGCGGGCAAGGCAGGGGAAGCGTTGTAATGCGTCTTTCTCAGCGGCTTCTGGAAGCAAACAACGGGGTTTGCGGTGGTTCCGCAGGCGGGCTTAGTGCAAACGTGTTGGACAAAATTTAATTTTGTTATGCATGTGCAATCTTGTACGACGTAGTCTGAACATTGTTCATTGGTCTGGGAACGCCGCAGTACAGCAGCAAACAGCAAATATGCCTGCACTGCACTGCACTACACTTGCAACGTGCACCTGCTCCTGCTGCTCCTGCTGCTCTTGCTGCTCTTGCTGCTCTTGCTGCTCTTGCTGCTCTTGCTGCTCCCTGTGTCGTGTGTCGGGAGCGCCTGCACCGGGTGTCAATTCCAGTCCAGCCAAGTGCAGGCGCAAGGTTGCATCCAGAATGGGAAATAGTCCATTGTTGGAATTGTGGTGGGCCCCTGCTTTGGGGGATCCACCGCTGTTCGTTGGCACTGCGTTTTTTCCCTCCCATGTCCGTTCTTCAGTGAGTGAGGGTTCCTTCTTTTTCCATCAAACCGGACTTGGGGATTGACAAGGCCAGCAGAATCCGTCCATGCATTGCAATCGACATCCAACGCCGCTCTTTCATCTCGGTTTGCATTATCAATATGCCATATTCGGGCCCTCGCCCGGTTTCCGATCCAGTCACCCACGCCACCTCGTTCGCCCCCCTTGTCGACCGTCTCTCCCCCTCCCCCAGATGTTGCTCGACATCGACCTACACTTTGACCAAGCCAGCCCGTCGATGTGTCTTGTTGTCACCCTCGTCCACTCTATTCTCTTACGGACTATCCCCTCTTGCAGGCCTGATCTGATGTGACGAAACCCTCCCTGCCCACTCACCTCGCTCCAATGCCCCTACTCCCGGTTCTTTTTCATGTTATCTTGACGTTTCTGGATGCTGGTGGACACGGCGGGTACTCCTCTAGCGGTGAAACTCCAGTCGTGGTTCGTTGCCCGTGTCCATCAACTCCAGATCTGTGCAGCGAACCCCTGGTGATCCCCCAATTTTTCTTCCCCGTCTCTCTTCCTGGCTCTCCTGCGCCTGCATGGACCAGCTGAAGGTCCCACTGACCCCCTGCCGTTGCGCCAGTTCGCGGCTCTCTCGCATCCTGGCGACATACCCAAGCACGGCTGACCACGTCGACGGCGCAGCAAATCCCCGTACACTACTACCACTTGCTAGGTACTCACTCGATGGGTGTGACGGACTCCTGGACACAAGCCTGGTTACTGCCGCTGCAATGAGTGAGTTGAGGACCCTTCGAACTGCTGGGTCGGCCGATGGGAGGCACCGCGCTGCGTGCTACCAATGTGTAGATGTCTTGCTGCATGGTGTGGTGAGCAGTGCCTTGCTTGTCCTTCTACTATTTTACTCGATAAGCTTTGGCCACCACCTTTGTCGTGTCAGGATAGGGCTGCATCGAGACACACGCCATGCAACAGCCGCCCGGTAGCATTGTACTGCACCACCAGCAGCAACCCGCATACGACGGATTCCCCAAAGGACAGCCGCCTCATGAAACACACGGTATCCCAACTTCATCGCATCGCCCTATCCAGAAGGGGTAACCAGCAGACCATCCCTCCCCCTTCTCCGAGGGTTCTCTCCAACCTTGGTTTATGAGACGACTTTGGGGAAGAACAACAATGCGTCGCGCCCTCATCCTCGTGAAGCCGTTCCAACCCTCCGGACCTCCGGACCCTCCACGCTGACAATCTTGACACCGCTGGCCTCTAACTCGCCCTTGCACTTGACCCATTGCTCGGCGTCCACTGGCCTCGTGCCCTCCTCGACGATGAAGGTCCGGAACCCTTCCTTGTTCGCATCTGCGGCGGTGCAGTTGACGCAGTAGTCGCCAGCCAGACCGACCACATAGACGTCCGTGATGCCCTTGTCCTTGAGAGCCGCCGCGAGTCCGCTGTCCGACACCCGCGGCGACTGGAAGGGGTCGTAAAAGGCGCTGTACATCTCGACGGCCTCGTTCTGGCCCTTCTCGATGACGGTGTCGACCGCCGAGAGATCCAGCTCCGGCACCAGGGCTGCGCCGGGCGTCCCCTGCACACAGTGCACCGGCCACAGGCGTGTGTGGAAAGTCTCGGTGCTGTTTCGCGGGTTGACGATGTCAATGGCATCGACAAACGGCTGCTTGTCCTCGTGGTTGGAGGCAAACGAGATGTGGTCTCTGGGGTGCCAGTCCTTGGTGGCGATCTTGGTCACAAACGGCAGACGCAGCAGCGAGTTGACGACGGGATGGATGTCGCGGCCGTCGGCCACGGCGAGTGAGCCATGCTCGAGTGGGCGTCAGTCATGGACGCAAACTCACTTTCCGGACGGTTCCTCGAGGAGACGGCGCACGCCTCGCCAAGCCCTGCAAGGCTGCGGGGGATGCGACGAACGGGGGTAACAACGTGGTCGTCTACAGATACTCACCGGCGGACAGAAATCCTCCTGGAAGTCGACGACGATCAACGCCGGTCTGAACTGGGCCTCCGACATGGCGCGTGTGCCTCGCTGGTCACTTGATACGGATACTTGTCGTTTTGTAGCGGGTCTCTCTCCTCGCTCGGAAACTTATGCAGGAAGCACGAGTCGCGGGCGTGCGTGCGGACGGATGAACTAGGAGACGAAGAAGGCGGTTCTGCAAGACGGGCCGGCGGAGAGTGACGCTGGCTGGCTTCTGTCAGTCGGCCGTCGTTCCTCAATGTGTCGTGTATCGCAGAAGGCGGTTTGCAAGGTGGGCGGATGGGCTCGTCGTCGACATCGCCATCCAGCGATACGTCCCCGCCTCTTATCGGCCTTATCGCCTCTAATCGCTACAGCGGGGCACGGGAGTGAGGTGGCAGGCCTCTGTGCACCAGGTACCACCTACCTACACTACTCGATACTGATTGCTGGAGCCCAGGGGACCTTGTGCTAGGATTTACAGGGCCCAGCACGTCGTTCAGGGCCCCCAAATTACAGCGAGCTGATCTGCCGCTGCACCTTCCCCAGTGGCTCAAGGCATAGCGGTAGTCACATTATATCGGCGGCGCCGCACTTTATCTTATCTCAATTCAGAGTGTCCCTAACCCATTTCGAGCCTGACGTCTGCAACCTCATGAGTCGAGCCAACGGTTCGTGACAAGCCAGCACCAGCAACGGCATTGGACCAGCGATGGACCAGCGATGGACCAGCGATGGAACTTCCCCCGCCAGCTTGACTCGATGACAAGAACGTGTTGGAGCCGCCGCCCCTTGATCCCACCACCTGGTGGCTCGTCGCATCCCTTCAATCTATCTTCTTTACAGAGGTCTGCGCCTTGTTGCCCCCCTCAAAGTGGGAATGTCAATCTCAACCCGAAAGTGCATCCATCCCCTCGGGACTCTGTACGAATCTTGAAAAGATTCCAGAGGCGTACGCCACCGGCATCAATGCGCCACGCTTCAGCAGCTGAGCCAAGTCCGCCTCGGCACTGGCAGGAGCTTAAGCGTCTCCCTCCGTCAGCGATGGCGCCAACCACCCCGCGTGGTGCTCAGCAACGACATTTCAACGGATGGGGAGCGTATGGCCTGCCATTGGTTTGTGGCCGATGCTCTGAGACAAAGGCGGGCACAACGCGGGCTGTCTTCACCATGTACTCCGCACCAAGCCTCTCAAGACGCGAATAGCGGCGTCGAAAAGTCACCGGCTTCTGCTGTCTATTCAACAAGTTGCTTACGGGGTCGCCTCCATCATCGGCGATGTCGGTCCTCCGCGGCGCAATGTTAAGGTTGTCCAGCTCGACTCACCGGAGTAATCGTTGCCGAGCAGGCCCAGCTCGTCGACCGGAACTTGTTGTCTCTCCAGTGCTGTTGTACATTGCTCAATTCCGTGAGACCAGGCTCGTTCGCTGTTGATTTGCCCTGCTTTCATTCCTATAAGAGCCCTTGACTCTCGTTCAACTCGTCGGTTTCGAAGCTGAATGCCTATTTACTGTGCCAAGTGGCTGAGGGGAGCTCTCGCAAATACCGTCTCAGAACGACTGGTCTCAGCCCTGTCGCGCTCTCCTCCAATCACAGCCCCTCGAAGACAGCTCAGCTGCGGAAGTGTCCGAGAGCTGGCGTCTCGACGTGCCACATCAGACGACAGCCACATTTGGAGCTGACAGGTCGATAGCGCGATGCAACGGGCTAGTCTGTCGCAGAGGTGGCCAGCTGAAGAGACACGCGATATCCGATAAGAGCACCGCGTCTTGCTCCAACGTCTTGCCAACATCCAACATCGACCTCTCTCTTGCACACTGCAACTTGCCACTGCACTCGAGATGCGTTTATCAATCGCCTTCCTGGCAGCGGCCATCCAGCCGGCGCTCTCCTGGGGAAACGTCGGCCACCGCACCGTCGGCTACCTCGCTGAGAAGTACCTGACGGATGAAGCTGCCGCCGTCTTCGGGGAGCTCCTCGCCAACGACCGCAACTACGACTTTTCCGATGCCGCGACCTGGGCCGACACGCTCCGGGGCCATATGGGCTGGGCGAGCAAGTACCACTACATCAGTACGCACGCCGGGTCATCGCCGCCGCACCTCGTATGGACAACCGACTGACCGTCGCCAGATCCCCCCGATGACCCTCCCCGTCTTTGCGGGATGAAGTACCCCCAAGATTGCCCGTCCAGCGGCTGCGTCATCTCCGCCATCCAGAACTACGTGCGTCCTCCGATCCTAACCACGGGTCGCCCCCAAAGGCTGACACGTCCTCCCAGACCTCCCAGATCCTCGACACCTCGCTCCCGCACATCAACCGCAAGAACGCAACCATGTTCGTCATCCACTTCCTCGGCGACATCCACCAGCCCCTGCACGCCACCGGCATCCTCCGCGGCGGCAACGACATCCGCCCCGTCTGCTGGCGCCGTCAGCCGCGCAACGGCGTCTGCACGGGGCCGATGAGCCTGCACTCCGTCTGGGACACGCAGATCCCGCACCGTATCCGTGGACTGCCGCCGCACCTGAACCCGTCCGACGAGAAGGTCGCCGCCGCCGCGTGGGCCGCGGACTTGCACCTCCGCCAGGAGCGGGCCGGCGTCAACGCCACGACGGGGCAGTGCGTCGACCTCGACACGGGCACCTGCGCGCTGGGGTGGGCGAGCGAGTCGAATGCCTTTGTGTGCTCGCACGTGCTGAAGCCCGGGCTGGCGTTCCTCAAGGGGCACGACCTGAGCGAGGCCTACTTTGACGAGAACTGGGAGGTGGTGGAGGAGGTCATTGGGAACGCGGGCGTGAGGCTTGGCGCGTGGTTGAACGCCATTGCCGCGAGGCTGGCCTCGGCGAAACGGCCTTTGTCTGAGGATCTCTGATTTCGAGCGTGGATATATGCAAGACCGTTTTGGGGCCAAGAGTCCTCGGTCACCGCGGCGGTTGGCAGGGTGGGAAGCAGTATCTGACTAGGCGTGTGTAGCGGTTACGCGCCAGATGCCAAGCGCCGACATGTATGCCGAGGTTCTATGTGGGGAATACATCAAACTTCATCTACATCTCGTTGACAGATTCCTGCCACGTGATCCTTCACTTGTCCACGAGCCTTGGTAGGACGCAATGTCCACGATGTAGCTGGTGGACCCAGCGCAAGGAGAGGCCCCTCGGGAGCATTCCCGGGTCCGTTGGAGGAACGAAAACTTACACTCACACGCGCTCGGCCGCCCTCAAACGTAGGTACATCCCGTGTAAGTTGGACTGCCGCGACGGGAAGAACAGAGTTGCGGTTCCTGTGCGGGGTACCCAAGCAGCGTGCCGGCCGGTTCAGCTCGCGGTCTCTTTATTCGATTATTTATCTTGCCAGACTGACGTTGCCGAGGTTCCCTGTGCGACGGTCGTCGACGACATAAGATGCAAATGGCCAAATACTATTCGAATCTGCCACGGCCGCTACCGCCTGGGTCAATCGATATTCTGTTCCACCCAACGCCAACATGAGCTCGACCTCTACTGACTTGCCCACCTCGTATACAAGCCTCGGACGCGATGGCCTATCCGTCTCGCACGTCCCGGCGAGTTCGGCCGCGGTCACCAAAGTGATCATGGTCACCCTCGACCGGCCTGCCAAGTACAACGCAATGACCCTCGACATGCTCCTCGGTCTCGAGGCCATCTTCAACACCGTCAGCGAGGACCCCAGGGTCCGCGCCGTGGTCCTCACCGGCGCAGGCAAGGCCTTTTCGGGAGGGGCCGACCTCAATGTCGGGTTCACGGGCATGGTGTACCTCAAGGAGAGCGAGGAGACGATGCGAGACTTTAGAGATTGGTACCTCTCCTTCCCACGTCGCGAGCCGCGTATGGCCCTCATGCGGGGTAAATCATTCTAACCCCCTTCACAGGGGCGGCCGCGTCGCTCTGGCGATCACCAACTGCAAGAAACCCACAATCGCCGCCATCAACGGCCCGGCCGCCGGCGTCGGCCTCACAATGACGCTGCCCGCCACCATCCGCGTGGCCTGGGAGGGCGCCAAGTGCGGGCTCCCGTTCGCCCGCCGCGGCATCGTCCTCGAGTCCTGCAGCGCCTTCTTCCTCCCGCGCCTCATCGGGCTGTCCAAGGCGAGCCACATCGTGGCCACGGGCGCCGTCTACCCCGTCACGGACCCGCTGGTGCGCGACCTGTTTTCCACGCTGCTGCCGACGCCGCGGGAGACGGTGGAGTACGCCGTGCGTCTGGCGGAGGACCTCGCCGAGACCACGTCGCTCGTCAGCACGAAGCTGATGCGCGACATGATGGTGTACGGCCCGCCGAGCCCGGAGGGCGCGCATATCCTCGATTCGCGGGCCTTTGTGCAGCTCGCTGGGACCGAGGACAACGTGGAGGGGGTGCGGAGCTTTCTGGAGAAGAGGAAGCCAGAGTTCACTGGCAGCCTGAGCCGTGAGAGTGTTCCGTTCTGGCCTTGGTGGGACGGTGATACTGGGCGGTATGTCTCTCAGCTTGAGAAGGCGGCGAAGCTATGACTCTTGCTCCTGTTGTAGTGAATTGTAGTCTCGGTGGTTCGATCCTTTTAAGATCCTCTGAGTTGGCCAGATTCAATCAGCTTATTGTTTTAGAATCAAGTTGTATTATCCTCTCACTCGATTGCTTAAAGACGAAAAAAACACTCATTTCATATTGTCTGACATGTAAGCAAGCCTGTGGCATGATGCATTAACATATACGGGAAGGACATGTTGTGGTGGGAAAGAACGGTTAACAGTGCACTAAAAAGCTGCTCCTTGCCATCATCATCATCATCAGGGTCGACACTCTGGACCCCTCTTTGGCAGGTTGAGCGAGTGGGCGATCAATGAGAACTGTTTTTCAAAAATGTGGCTCGCAACAAACAGTTCCGAAAACGACTCGCATCCATTTTTGGGCTAATATCCGGACGCTCGATACCAATGGAGTAGGGCAACAGCAAGCTTCACATGAGTAACATGTAATATCTAAGCCCAGACGGTGTAAGTTGTTTGTTGTCGAGTGTTGTCGGGCTCGTCCACTAACAATTTAAGCATCCCACTAGCCTCGATCTTTGGGGGTGGACCGATCCCCCAGATTGATCGCTAATTTCTGGGCGCAAACCAACGACAAAGATGGCGTTGCGGGGAATGACCTCATTAAACTCCAGGTCTCAGCGTCATAGACAAGAGGAAGCAGCACAAGCTCGTGCCGTATTTGATCGCGGGCGCGTCTGCATGTCCATTCGATATGGCGGATACCATGAACCTGCACCCTTTCATTGATGGCAACTCAAACCTTCGATCGTGATATTGAGCAAAACAGCCCAGAAAACATGTCGCAGAACGGAAATACGGGCAAGGATGGGCGCAAGAGGGTCCTCGTCGTTGGCGCCGGTGCAGCCGGGTACGTCTTGATGAAATCTCACGGTAAACATGCTGCTAACACCCACCAGTATGTCGACGGCTTACCACTTATCCAACCACCCCGACAAGTTTGATGTTACCATCATCGACTCGGTCGACTATTGCGGAGGTCAGGCATTCTCGATCCCTCTCGACAAGGAGCGCCATGGAGCCAGCTGGTTCAACCAGGGCGTACAGGGCGGCAGCTACATCTTCCATCACACGCTGACCATGTTCGCCCGCCAGGGGTACCACGCGGACCCCGTCAAGCTGCAGGTCTCGTTCGGCAAAGACGACAAGTTCTGGACCAACGTCTTCCCGACCGACTTCATCGCGAAGCACCAGGCCGAGGTCCGCAGGCTGGCGTTCATGCTCAAGTTTATGAGATGGTTCGAGGTCTTCTTTGCGCTGCTGCCGCTGAAGATTGTCTTCAAACTCTTCCTGTTCTCCGAGGAGTTTACAAACGTCGTCGGCCTCCCCATGACTGCTCTGTTCCTGGGTACGGGCAATGCAACGCCAGAGGTCCCGGCGATCATGCTGGAGCGCCTTTGCACGTCGCCAACTTACGGAATGTGGTACCCCGCCGATAAAAACAGCGTGGTGTCGAATCTCCCGCCAATGGTGGTCTTCCCGAATTTCACCGACTTCTACACAGCCTGGAAGAAGGACCTCGAGTCTCGCGGCGTGACGGTTCGCTTGTCCACTGAGCTCACCGAAGTCGTCCACCGAAACAAGCGCGGTGTGTTTGTCAAGACCAAGCCCCGCACTCCCGTGGAAGATGGCCACAACCCCGTTGACGGCGACCCTGACGCCCCTCAGTCCGAGGAACACTACGATGAAATTGTCCTCTGCGTCCTTGCCGACACAGCCAAGAAGATCCTCGGCAAGACATCGTCGTGGCGCGAGCGCAAGGTCCTCGGATCGGCCAAATTCTCTGACGACATCACCATCACTCACAACGACTCCAACTACATGAAGAAATATTACGAGAACTTTTACGACGAGAAGAAGGCCGTCAAGGCTTTGGGAAAGAACGGTGACTTGGATCAGTCTTCTCGTCTCGCATACGCCAAGGACAATTTCAGACCCATGTACTACATCCGCATGTACGACGACGACCGTTCCAAGCTCGAGATGTGCTTCGACACCACCAACTACCAGGGCCAGTTCCCGCAGAAGGTGCCGTTCGAGCAGCACGTGTTCCAGACGATCTATCTCAACAAGGGCCGTGACCGCAGGCACTGGACCGACGATGAGATTGACAAGGACAAGATCATCCGCGCCGACTGGTGGCATCAGCTCTGCCACTCGTGGACGCACTACGTGTTTGTCGTGCCCTGGATGATGTTCCTCCAAGCCAAGAAGCGCACCCGTTTCGCCGCATCATGGACATTGGTCAACGCGCACGAGATCGCCATCATGTCCGGCATTGCCGCCGCCGTCGACATGGGCGCCGACTACCCCGAGGACCTGGAGCACGACAAGTTCGCACTGCTCTGCTTCAGGTTGTACTACCTACTCGCCTATGGAAAATGGTACCGACGGAAGTTCAAGGACAGCAAGAGCCAGAAGGCGAAGGACGGCGCTAGCTGGGCTTCAGGTGTCTATGGCAGCATTTACAAGGGGCCAGGCGTCGCGACGGAGGAGAGGTCGACTTGGAGGGAGGATGTAAAAGCTGGCAGGAGCACGGAGAACCTGGCCGATGGTAACAACGGGCGGAGCCAGCCGTAATTCATGATTGAAGAGAGCGGAAGTGCAGCATCGAAAGAGTATGTGCATTAATCAGGGTCGAGTGTGCCGTTACCATCAAGATTGTGCTGCCTGGCTAGGTTTCTCACCATGTACTCTACGCTTGTACTCCTACAGAGAAGAGCTTAGTTATCATCAAACAGTCTGGCCGCATCATCAGTCGGAGGGCGACACGACGAGGGCATTTGCGATTCAATGAGGAGTCGCTAACCTCGATGTGCGTCAGGATCTCCATAATGATGCATCCTAATAAAAAGTCAGAATACCATAGCCAGGTAACTATGAGAAAGGCGGTAGGTGATACTCAATCTTTCGTGGTTTGGCTCGGGTACTTAAGTAAATTTGATGATAAACTCATCATCAAATAAGGCAAGATGGCCGAGCGGTCTAAGGCGCTAGCTTCAGGTGCTAGTCAAGTAATTGGCGTGGGTTCGAATCCCACTCTTGTCAGTACCCTTTTGCCTCGTTTGAGGCGAGAACCAGTTTTTGTTGACCATTAGATATTCTCACTGTTTGCACGTTGATTCTGCCCTATTGTAGTGAGATGAGTTTTGAGTGAGTGTCAGGCAACTCCGACGGCGCGTCCTGCCTTGGCCTGCGATGGTGGGGCACTCACCCAAAAAGAACGGGAGGATCATACAGGCTCACTCCCGATTCTTTGGGACTGCATATTTTCTTAAAGCGTCATGGTGTGTTTCTACCTGCTACGTGTAAAGTAGTCCCGAAGCGACCAGTGATGGGGCTGGAAGAGTAGAAGAGAGTAGAATAAATTATGAGATGCCACCCAGGCTTCGCTCAATCTCTCACCGAAACGTGTAGTCCCTGACCTCAACGTCGTCTGTCATGAACTCGCCAAACATAACGCCATGCACGTACGACTCTCCAACCAGCTCATGGTGCCCTGCATCCGTCTCTCGAACAGTATATGGAGTTTTGCCTTCTAAGAGAATTACGATCTTATCTCCTGGCTGAGCATGCATCGGCGCCAGCCCCACATAACCCGACTCTGAGAGGAACAGCCGCCGCGAGTGGAGATTCTTCATCACAAACATAAACCACGGCTGCTGCCACCCGATAGTGTCAACCATCTCTATGCCCATCTCCAATTCGACGGTGACATTGCGAACCGCATTCGTCATCCTCGAGACCGCCTCGGCGTAGGCCTCTAGCAGCTCCTTCTGCCTCTCCGGCTCCCTGTACTGGTACCGGTCCGCGATGCAGATACGCATGACGTCTTTTAAGTCCGCGTCCTTAATCTTCTGGGCGAACATAGGTGACTTCTCGCAGAGTTTACGGACCTCGGAGATGTACTCTGGTGCTGCCTTACAGTCCAGCTCTTCGATCCAGCTTGGGTTCCAGACATTGCCGATTTCTGTGATGACATCAACTAGAACGCCTCGCAGTTGGATGGTCTCACTATCCGGAGCGACGACGACTTGCTCGTGGATTGAAGACTTTGAGGCATCGAATTTTGAGTGCCATGGGTTCCCGGTGTTGGGTCTCTTAATCCTCATCTTCCAGTCAGGCGCCCATGTCGTCGTTAAAGATTTATCGCGTGGGAACTGACAGTAGGACAAGAGGTCAATATTCCCCTGCATCAGGATGCGTCGAGCCACGTCTCGATAGACTTTCTCACAACTGAGGGTATAATTCGGGAGACCCTCAAACTCGAGGACGTCGTCAGCAAATTGCATTACGGCGAAGATGCGGTCACGGTGATCAGTTGCCTCCGAGTGATTATAGTCGATCTCAAGCACCAGCGTCGTAACCAACACCGCGAAAAGACTCTCGCTGTCCTTAACCTTGGCATTCCCAAAGCCCTCAAGTGCCGGTATCGCTTGATTCGTGGGAGGAACGCCGTGTCGTGTCTGATACCTGCGTCGTCGGGTGAGGACAGCTTCGAGGAAGCTGTTCGCCGAGGTTTTGAAGCCACGCAGCATCTCCGTAGGCGTTTTCGTCACCTCCGATCCACCTTCCTCCTGGATCTTAGGATTGTACTCGTTGAGCTTGTTGAGGAAGACGATGAATTCTCTCAGGTCAGCATACCCGATCGATGCATGTCCGCAGATTATGTCAATCTCGCGAGCAACGGCAAATTCTTGGATGATCCAAACTCGACTCCAGTACTCCCTCTTACAGAACGCGCGGAACGCATGAGATACTCTTCGGAGGAAGGCGATGTCGGTGTGAAATCGCACCACGTCGAGGTACTTCTCTTTTCGGATCAAGGCACACATGTCCCTGATATGACGTAAGACCATGTCACTGTCGTCGTCTGGAAGGCCCAGCCAAACAGCGACCCGGGTTGCGGTCGAATAGATCTGGCGCATCATGCTGACCTGGTGCGCCTTTTCGGCGTTGTCGTTCTGATTTATGCATAGTTGGTCGATCCAGACGTAGACGCCCTCAGTCCTGCGAAGATGTCGAAGAGCAACTTCGCCGTTGAAGCCGCATCTCTGTGACATGCCATCGATCTCGATATTGCTCTGCGTGGCGGCCTTTCCCCAGCAGTACGACAGGGCAACGAAAGGAGGGGCTTTCTTGAGGCAGTAATGTTGAAGCTCGCCGATGACTATATCGTCGCATGAAGGAGCTGCGTGTTCAGCAGTAGGTGTGAGGAACAAAAGACGGAAATCATTGTTAGTATGGTCCAAGGCACGATAAGCGATGCCCGGCTGTTTACCTGGTGAGTTCATGGGAGTTCGAGTGCAACAATTGCGGCTGAAGGTGAGATTTCTAAATTTGAGGCCGTCCAGCTGACACTTTAAAAAGACTCTGTGGTGGATACTTATAGGGGCGAGCTGAAGCGGCTGACACTAATAGTTATTGGAAGCCAAGACATGCATGCCAAAGACGCTTGGCCATGTGAGAACCTGCTGAGAAATGTATTCAGATAAAAGGACTATCTATTTCGCTCTTCGTGACTTATGCTAGCGTCCAGAAAAGACGAAAAAGACGCCGGCGCCAGCTATGGATTCGCTTTTAGCTGTCGCTTGATCTCCTGCGCGATCTGCTCCCGGTTCCACTTCTCTTGTTGCTTCTTAGCCTTGGCCACCAAAGCCCACTGCTGTGAAAGAGGCAGATGCATCAATGCCTGTCTGTCTCCAGGACGTAAGGTGGCCAGCTGCTTGTTGAATAATAGATCCCGTCTCTCAGCCGATGCCAATTCCTTTTTGTTGTTTCCGCTCAACGCTAGGGTTTTAGATGTTGCACGTCTCGATGCTTGCCCTTCCTCCAACAATACGTCGGTCGTGCTTTGGTCATCCACCATGACAGGTCGATATGCTCGAGCTTTCTTGGCGCTCCGATGGGACAGGATCTTCCCCGATGCCAAGCGCCGAGTCTTCTCATCGACGTCAATGAAGCGATCCTCCTTGGGGTTCTTATTCGCTTTTCCATTCTCATCCGAGTCTGTTCCCGGAACATCGTGGAAATCATAAAAGTCTCTGAACTCCGATTCGTCTTTCGTGATATCGATCCGACAGTGGCCTTTGCCCGTCATATGCTGCTGGGCCGCCTGTGGAGATTTACGTGCAGAGCCACAGAAAAGACATTCGGCGTAGTCGAATATCACGAGATGAAAGTAGCCAAACAGTGTCTCCAGATCCACTATGAGATTGTTGGGACTTGGTACGAAAAGACCATGACGCTTCTGCATATGACTCATGTTGTCCATGAGATCTGCGCTGTGTTTATTACAGAAAAGGCACTGAGCGGAGTTGAAAGCTTTGGTAGATACTTCGTCTTCCCCAGATGACTCGGCAGTTTCATTTCCTTCTCCTGAGTCGATCAAGTCGAGCTGCAACAGCTGCTTTTCAAGAAAACTAGTCTACTCATCAGAACAAATTTGACTGCAAGCGGCGGAATAAAGGCTAAAAGCTTACTCTAAATCAGGACTTGGAGCCGCATTGCTAGGTTTGTAAGACCTAGATTCGGAGCAAGCTAGGATTTCGTGTTCAGACTCAACTACGAGGGCTGGCAGTGCAACCTGTGTGTTCGACATGCTGGGGAAATCTAAGGACCACTGAATGAAAAGTTCAAGACTGTTGTGGTGTTATCAATGATTGTTCCTCTGAGACAACAGACAAATAAAGAAGATCTTAGTGAACAATATCGAGGAGACAAGGGGAGAACATCAAGAGCTTTAAGTATGCGGTTTGTGAAGGTCGATACTCAGGGTCGTTGCTGTTGAATCAATACGTTGCAAGTTCTCGTCAAATGTTCACCTTCCTGATTAAGTAAACTACCGGTGACTGCATCATGCAGGAACCCAAAAGAGCTCGCCGAGGGGCGGGGGTACGAGAAGGAACCAACATGTTTCTTGCAGGGGGAGACAAAGAAAGGCCGGCCACGAGAACAGGGGCGGATATGACGTGCAGGGCTTCGTGCAAACCTTTCACCAAGGCGTAATGGGACTTGACATTCTATGCGTCCCTCAGCATGCTAGTAAGACCCGCCTATATCTTGGCCATAGCCCGAATGTCCCACGCCACAGCGAAGGTTGCTCTAGACTCTGGTTTGACATTATTGGAAACACGGACAACAATCTTGAATGAAGCTCCCGGGACATTGTCCCAGATGACTTTCTCAACATTGTCTGTACTTTTGTTAGCAAAAGTATGCTGGTTTAAGAATGAAGACTTACTGATGTGGTCGAACTCCTTGCCCTTTCCCATGTTACCGTGCCTTTCAGCACCCGCCGACAGCACGATGAGATTCAAGTCGTTTTGCAACAAACTACCTGGCGGATCAGGGTATGCAAGAGTGACGACGAGCCTATTGCGACCGCTGGGCACGGGGATTTCAGCACTCGCCCATCGCTTCTCTGTCTCTGGAATTTGGCGTAAAGCGGACACATCGAATTGCGTAGCCTCTAGCAGACTACCACCCTCGATAAACGAGGAAGCCGCAATCATGGCAATAGAGCTGTCAACGTCGACACGCCCAAAGCCCTGCTCGTAGTCGTAGCCTAGACCAAGACCACAAGCTTCAGAGTAGTTCACCGCGCCGTTGACCAGCAGGGATTTTATCAAAGAAGAGCTGGGATGCTGCTTTCCGTGTCTCTGCAGGGCTTCGCGGAGCAAAGCAACACAACCGGCGACGAGCGGCGTAGGCATGCTCGTGCCCGACATAAAGAGCCAGTCTATGTCAGCCGACGGCCCAAATCTTGTTCTCACAGCGTCATATTTGCTCACAGCCCTTGATGCTGCTGACAGTATGGCAACGCCCGGTGCTACGATATCTGGCTTGATGCGACCGGAAAAGGGCTTGCCATCCTTGTCAAGGCTGGGCTTAGTAGGCCCACGGCTGCTGAAGATTGCCGTGTCATTGACTTTGGTGACTGGTTTTGCACCAGGAATGCCAACGAAACGCTGCCCATCATTAGCTCTCGAGGAACCAGTGGCTCCTACGGTGATGGCGTTCTTGGCTGCACTAGCCGCGCCAATCTGACTCCCCCATTTCTTCGTTTTGTCGGCATGGTTGCCCGCTGCGACGAGAATAGTGAAATCCGGATTCTCATAAATAAATCTGTCAATGTCGGTTGCTTGAGCTTCGTAGTCGATTTGACCGCTTGTCTCATCCCAAGCCTTACTCCAAGAGTTGCTGTGAATACGAACCCCAAGACCGTACGGTTTCGAGAATAGATCCCTAAAAAGGTCGACAGGAACCTTGATGATCCATTTCTTCCAATCCGTATCCCATTTTGATATGGACTGCACCATTAGCTTAGCAGACGGCGCGGTTCCTCTCACGCTGATATTGCCCAACTCAGGGTGCTTGTAGATCCCGCTCCCACAAATCGACGCACATACGTGAGTGCCGTGACCAACCGGGTCTCTGGGGTCTGCGTACTTTTCATCGGGATACAGAAAGTCTAAATGTTCAAGACTACCTGCAAACGCCGGATGAACTTCGATGGGGGGCTCGTCGCTGATCTTGCCTTGGTCGAAGCCTGTGTCTGCTACACAAATTCTTTGGCCTGCGCCTTGGTATGCCGTGGACAATGCCAGCATATCGGCGTTTAGAGTGCCTCGGGCCTGATCATTGAATAGCTCGTCTGGTCGTACCTCTTCTATTCTGTTCACACTGTCAAGCTTCACAAGCTCTTGGAGCTTGTCCTGGTGCACAGTGAGCCTGATTCTGCTGGGACAGATTTCCAACTTTTTGATATCAGCCCCTGCCGCTGTTGCGATATGTGGCGCCAAGTCCCTGGCGTTCACGTTGGGGTTGTCGTGAAGAATGCAGTCTATCTCGTAGTTTGTCCGGTTCTCATCTCTCTCGACGGTATCTTTCAATGAAAGGGTAGTTTTGAACTCTCTAAGATAGCTAAGGAACTGTCAGTGGGATTGCCTGCGGCGTCTGCGTGGCATTTGTGTACTTACATGGTGACGTTCTTGACATAAGGCTTCGCTCGGATTGGATCAAGATCTTTTGGCATGTATCGGCACAGGTACGTATGCTCCGCGACGTATTCTTGGATCTCCACCTTCAGATCCGCCAATTCTTTCTTCTCATTGGCATTGAAATCACGATATCGGCCTTGAACCAAGATGAAGTTGGTGCCTTGGGCGGTTTGCGGGACGTGGTCGGGAATTTCATCCGATTTAACCGTGTTGCCATTGATTGTGATACTGGTCATATTGAAGATCTGGACAATCTGAACTGAGAAGAGGATGAGCCCGTAATCTGATGAGCTTCAATGATGGTAAGGAAGTCAAGCAGGAGTGGTCTTGCGGCGGAGAACATGTGTTAGAGATCTCTATAAGAGTTCGGCTGGAGGAGGCGACGCGTAAGAAAAACCTTCGGTTATCTCGTAAACTGGTCAGATATAATTCTTCAGAGACTAAAAAATTCGAAATTTTGCTCCGAAATCCCCTGATGCTCTCTGGCACTAAGCTTATTTTTCCTTCCCTTGACACGCCATATGAATCATGGAACAATGCGAATTGGTAACCTCTTCTGGAAGGCTGCACCATGTTGAGGGTCAGAATCCTAATCTAGATGTTTGATGCAGGCCTAGTTACATGAGGCTGGCTGAGTGCTGGGGTAGCTGCGCTAGTACTATGTACTGCACGTCGATCCCGGCCTGGTTATGTTCGGCGGTCGCAACCCTTGGGGTACCAGGTTGGGCGTAGCTGAATGGCTTTTTGTGTTGATCCCACGTCAATATTTGAACAAAGAAGCGGAAGCATGGGACAAGTTTAATCTGAAGTTTGCAAGGGCATCGATAGTTACACGAGGTTATATCTATTCAGCTCAGAGCGGCGATCACAAAACTGGGAAGTACCTAAGCTCACGGCCAAAAGAGGGGTTGGTGTTTGTGGCCAAACAGCATTAATGTTTGACTTGCTATTCACTAGTACTTCTTCAACTTTACTAAATAAGAAGTGGTTAAGAAATAGGAGACTGAATTTGTACTTGCTACTATGAAATCACTAATCACAATACATGATTATTTGCCGCAGTCGCGTTCGGGGACAATGCAAACACCTCTCGATCGAGATAGTTCTTCACACCATCCACATCGTCCCACTTCTTCCCAGCTTGTTTCAACATTGCAAGACCTCTGCACTTATCTACTGCGTCACGGCACCCAATAAGGCCATTCCACTGATCCAGGTTGCCTAGATTCCTGGGGTCCGGAATCCCGTCAGCAGCATGATCATAGTGCGAATGCGCAGCGCCATTCTGACCACCGTAGGTGTGAAAGTTTTCGATTGCGCCCCAACGATCCGTTGCCCCCTGCCTAACTCTTAGAGGATCTGGAAAGCAATATTAGCGGCGTGGGCTTTAGATACGCTGGTGCCGAGAGGACCACTGACTGGTAGTTTCCATGTCTCCTGGGTTCAACGGCGTACGCTTGGTATGGCCAATAGCGTAAGAATCTTGAATGACATGGAACATGCTGCCGAGTGCTCGTCGATGAATATCCAAGCCTTGGAACTTTGATTCCTTTGCCAGAAGATAAGCCAATGACTTGAACCTTGGCGGAAGGGACAAGACAGGGAAAAACTCTTCAAGTTTTGTGTGTTGAACTTCCGTGTTAGGAGTGATTCCATCTTCACCATTGGCGAGCTTGTACATTACTTCCATCCACAGCATCACCTTTGCCTTAGTTATCGTGGGCTCTTCCCCAGAAGCAGAGGCCATGCAGTGGAGGAACTGAAGGTCGCCGTAATGTGAACGGCCGATAGGGTTCCGGAGTCGGGTTGAGTCAAGGTCGTTCGGATTCCACTCAGACTCACCCTGCTTGTAATAGTATAGCCACATGCCTCCTGTTGAGTAGGAATGGTTCTCTCCCGCAGAGTCGTTGAAGAGCTGACAATCCGGGTCATCATTCCAGATTGCTCCCCGGATGTATTCCCAATCGTGGTTACTGGCGTTCTTAATAGTTGTGCCCCGACTAACATCATAATTGCTGCTGATCAGGGCAGCCAATGTGAGGGACTCGTGAATTGGTTCATGAATCATGCCCCATGGTCCCCCGGCGACCGACATCTGTGGTTCAACCTCAAATTCATTTGCGGTGGCAATTTCTGTAGTGGCTGCCATTACGTTCTGACTGTTCACTCAATTCGTTTGTCTCAACAATGAAAAAGAAGTTATGCAATCAACAGGTTGGAAGTTTGGTTCACCTTGTGACTAACCGGATACTTATGGCCGGTTGGTACAACAGTGTGTTAAGGCTGCTAATCCCAAGATGACCAAATCGTTCCTGATGAGATTCCCATCGCTCTTACCCTTTTAGGTCTTTGTGTACATTTGCCAACTTTGATCTCAGTGATATGTTAAGTCTGACCAGCATTGATCCGTTTTCCCGCTACATCCTTGTCTCGGCTTGTCCGTCACCCTAATCCAGCTGCAATATTATCCTACTTGCAATAGTTCAGAAATTTTTTTTGAGTTATGAGAAGCTTGCAGGCATTCTCCTCAAACAAGAAGGCCACGGTCAGTAGTCAGCTAGCCATTAAATCTAATAGTTGGGAATAGTCAATGGAACTACGGCTGTTGGAGATGGAATATGATCGCAGCGTACAGTGGCTTGCTGAAATCAATTAGCCAGCCGCAGTTGTATGACAGAAAAATAGCTGTCACATCAGTGATGACATGCAAATTGCAATGGTTGCCATGGGACGGTCAATAGTGGCTAGCGAACGTGGAATAACCATACCCGGGCCAATGATGGTCAAGCGCGTCTTGTGTCGCTCGTGAACTACCCCGCATCGGCAACGCTGCTCCTCTTGGTACCACTGCATAACCGGGCCTAGTGACAACGTTCTTTTGCCCCCCCAATAAAGTCACCTGGCGGTTGCAGCAACGCCATGAACGTGATTATTTCCAATCTCGAAAGAATCTACTGATTATGGCTAGGTTGTCTCTAGGATCGGCAACCCTGTTTGCCGCCGAGCATGCAGGTTCAGCTGTGTATAGTGGGCTCTGCACATGGCCTGTCATTGGTAACAAACAACCACACATATTGTAGCCAAAGTGTAATCTCCTAACTTCAAGCTGTGTGAGTAACTTAGTGACTTGGAGTTGCCTCATCACATAGCTGAATGTCTGGATGAAAGAAGGGAATGAGTAGGTCAAGATTGCATAGATCAGTAGTCCCGAAGAGGAGATCTTCATGAACGGAGTGTATATAAGCCCGGCGTCCGGCACTCAAAAAGAAGAAGAAGAAGGACAAACTGACATCATCAAAACCACACCTCTAAGCAATATTATCCCATTTCACAGAGCATTCTTACCCGAACCCAAGTCATAACTCATAACCATGGCCGATACGCAACCCCCTGCCGATGCCAACGTTGGCTGGCAAGAACTGAAGACCAGCAACGGCGCAAAGTATCAGGTCAAGGCTAATGACTATGAAATTTCCGACAAGCCAGCTCCTACTGACGACGAGCTCTCGGCTCGCGGCCCGGAGTTCAGCGATGTTCGGCTCAACTGGGGTACGCACACCAGCGGAGCGCCTCCCCAGGATGTCCAGGACAAGACTGGCATTACCTGGTACAATCTCAACAAGGCCCCGTGGTACTCTGTTTTCAAGTGGAGGTTGACTATCAACGTCAAAGACACGTACAACTACGTGTTCACGGACCAGTCGGGCGATACGTACAGCCTCGGTACTTGGCAGCTTGGCACTCATACTGTCGATTACGATTCCTCGGAGCCTACCATTGTTAGCATTTCGGGCAACTGAGAGAAACCGAAAGCATCGGATGAGAACTCCGTGTAGTCACCTTTTTCACAGAAACCACCGAGGACATAGCGGGGAATGGCGCTGAAGACTTATGGAGAGTCAGAATAGTCTAGTACACCAGGATTGCTCAGCCAATAACAACAGACAATTCGTGCTATCGTTTTGGCGATGAAGCTCTATATATACTCTGTGATATTCCCATTATTTTCGCTTTCACAACACTGATGTTGGTAGTTTGCTATTGCGTAGGCTTTCGACAGGGATTGTGAATACGAAAGGTAGCATGCTATAAGCAACCGCTCGGTTCAGCAAAGGGGAGATGAATTTCTGATTTTCCGTTTTTGGGTCGCGTTCTAGCTGATGCTTTCTTTTAATCAGAGCAGCGGCGCGGGAAGGAGGGCGGTTAAATGAGCAAGATGTGGTTGGGACCTGACAGTTGTTTACTAGCATGCAGATGGACCTTCCATTATTCTAGCCTCTTTCTTCAACCAAAAAAAGAAAAGGAATAATTGCTCCGAAGGCCTCTATAGGCGGAAGGAAGGAACAACTCGTCGATGCAACAACCCAGTGTACCATGACCTCTGCTCTCTTCTTCCACACAATCATCTGGGGACTATTTACCAGTCGGAACCTCATGCCTCCGAGTTCCAAACAACAGCAAACGCATCACTGACGCAGGCCATTGCAATCCTGCTCGATACCTCTTCTACACAAATTTCTAATCCCCCCCTGCAGTAGAGCAACAACCATCGCACCCATCATGGTCGTTGATCAACAGACAGTTAAGCACCTCGTCGATAATGGACACGTCATCTCCGACAAAGAAGTCTCTGAGATCGCCCAGGACGAGAAGGCCTTGACTGGCAACCCTGTCCCTGCTGCTGGTGTTCTTGCAGGTACCTCGATCTTCTACGATTTGACCTTCCGGCCTTCATCTAACCCATTCTTTACAGCTACCGCCCAAAGCCTTCGTGACAAGCAGCAGAACTTCTCCACCGAGGAGGCTGAGATCGAGAAGAAGCCACAGTCGGACATCACCAAGGACGACGCCAAGGACATTCAGTCAGCCGAGGTATGCCAGTCGTCTCTATCTATTGTTCCCGCCGCCACTGAAAACCCATATTGATAGGCCCGTCTACTCGGGCATCGCCCTCCCACCGGATCTATTTCCGCCCACACCCAGTCCATTGCCAACAAGAACGAGAAGCCTCTTCAGTCAGAGGTCAAGGATAGCGTTGAGAAATACAAACTCTCTGCACCTTATCTAGACAAGGCATTCATACTCATGGTTTACACCGTGAAACGGTTCCGCTAAGTTCAACTAGATACTTCGCTCTCATTCGAAGAACCATCCACTCCGGTTCCGGCAAGCCCTCGAAGGTACATGTACCTGCGCCGTTTTCACTACCATTTTCGGTACCGAACAAGACGTTCATAAAGAAGCTCGACTTCCAAAAGAACAACGTCGAAACGGAAAACCCCTCACATGTGACTCATATATTTGTAGGCCACCATTTGCTGTCAGACCCTCTTGTGCTTCCAAGGTTCCACGATGCTCGGCAACCTGTCCCGAGTGAGACGATCTCCTGTAGAGCACGCAGCCTAATATGGAAGGGGCTGTCTTCAAAGCTAATAATTGTGCCGTTCGATCCGAGAGCTTGTGTTGGCTGTTGGCTGTTGGCTGTTGGCTGTTGGTTGTTGGTTGATGAGGAGCACCCCCTGCTCCGTCGTATTCGGCTATTCTCTGAACCTATCACACCATAGCCAGTTGTTTCATTCTTGATAGCATCGACATAATACCGCACCTTCCTTCTTAGGCACTCAACACGATAACCAACGATCAAATCACATTTTGTCCCTTAGGTCTCTTGAAGGACACAAAGGAGCCCGAATTCCCTTGCAACGAGAGAGGAGAAGAGACATGCTCCCAGAACATTCTTCCAATTCCCTCATCCTCGAGAACGCATAGGAAACCGGTCCAAATAATTTAATGCTCTTTGCGCTGTTGGCCACTATGGTTCTAGGCGCGTTTCGACCACTTGAGGGTTCGCCAACCTTCCAAGAGGAGTATCGCGGCAACTATGTGCCAGAATTCATCGAAGCATGGCATGGCCCCCAGATTGTAGCGCCAGATACTCCATACGTGGCAGCGGTGGGCAGAAATCAGCTGTACTTTCTCGATACTCGGCTCGATCCTGAGACTGCAAAGCACATCAAGAACCAAATCGAGTGGGCAGGTGTTGCAGTAGGCCCAAATGACGTTATCAAGATAGACGAAATTGAGGTTACAGCAGAAGTCCAAAACACTGTGACCGGCGAAACGCTGTTCGTCTTTGATCCCGCCTACGTTAGGGTGTTCTTTGCGAAAGGAATCAACAAGCGAAACCCGGCGATCAAACTGCCTGAACCTGAGCCCGCTGGCGATTGGTTGGTGACCTACGACATCGGCACTACATTAGCGAAGAGGAAAGAGTGCACAGCCGGCGCGTTACCAACTTCCCAAAATGAAAATGCTGGTCTAGAACGGTCCAAAACGAAGGATTGATCGTTATTACATCACTTACGTTGCTTCGCAGCACCTTTCATCAGCATTCTTTCCAGAATGTCACCATCTCATGAGAGGAAGAGACAGACTGTGGGTTGTGAACAACCAGTACAGGATATCGATGGTGGTGGATGACTTCGCTCGATGACGGAGTACATCGCGCTAAGGATAATTCGAACTTGTTTTTTCATTTAATGGGTGTCCTTAGAGCATGCACTACGATTGGTAGCAGAAAATTTCACATTTGGGGCGGCTGCGCCTATTGGGTTGACGGAAACGGCAATGTCTTTAATGGAAGTCCGTATTCCAATTAACAAGACCCAAGGAGTTATCGTATACTTACCATGAGTTCCGGGTCGCTCTCCAGGAGGACTTGCTTGGGTTGTTTGCAATTGAGATGACGGTTTATGACCTTCGGATTGACAGCCTGGGCTGCTGTCACTTCTTTCTTTGTAGTTGTCTAGGTCAAACTACTTTGATGGGTAAGCAGGAAACATTCCTTCATAACGAATTCATGACTTTCACGTCACGAAACATTTGCAAGGTTATTCTCTCAACATGACTCCAGTGACATTCTTTGATGTTTCTTGTTTATTGCAGCGACATTGGCCGTATGTGTCATCTCAAAGCGGCTCTCAATCTCGAGAGCTACAATTTTCCAAGTCTTAAAAGGTTACGTCTAGCGACACGCTTACCTCCTTGTTACAGGGCAAGACCGTGAATCCCCCGCAACACAAGAACGAACAACGTTCGTCGTTTCATGACCTGCTTCTTGAAGTTGACTGTAACCCCTCTTAAAAGAGTGACAAGACGGGTCAGAGGTATCACAGGCTTCAGCGTGTCATCCTTGGCCATGACGTTCCACAATGGGCTGGATCCTCCCGAGGTCGTCGCGATTAGTCGCCCGAACCTTCAACCCTTCAACCATGGTCTCCCAAACAGATGCAATGCAATGTTGATCAATCCCGCGAGCGGGAACTAGCAGTCAGATAATCCCTAGCTACCTTATCTGTAGATTGTTCATTGGTGCCCTCAGCCTTATGAACCATTTGTTCCGTTAGTCATTCTATCCCGTCTCCACATTGTAAGCAAGTGGAAACAGGGACGCACTTCTCTCATTGGCTTTACTTGTGGATATGAGTCTGGGCAACACCCCTAGTCTTAGTGGAGTCTGACATGTGATAGCCAGCCTGGGAAAGGAATTGCTCAAAAAATCAGATCCTTCTGCGGTCAGTTTTCCGGTATATGGCCTGAAATATTGGATGACTGCACCCGAGATCGTAACCGGATGTAGGATTCCACCAAAATGACCCGATTCGTTGGGTCGGACTGGGGAAATCCATTCCAGAAATGCACTCGACGATAATCCAGCGGCATTGCCCATTCGGCCCATCGGCTCGCATGGTCACAAGCGACTAGTGTCATTTCGCTGTTACTGCCAACACTTTAACAGCAATCAGGTGCGAACTGGGTATTTTTCCTGGAGGGAGTGGGTTGTCCAAGAAAGACACTGATGTCGGAGTGAGTGAGGCCTAGAAGTCCCAAAATCGGGAAGGACGTTATAAATTTGCTTGGTTTTACTCTTTTAGTACTTTTCACACTTGTCCGGAAAGTATTCCTCTGTCTATTTAGAAGGGCAATGTCTTAATTTGAAAGCGAGGTGCATCTTAGAATGAACCTAACCTAGTGATGAGGACCACGGCACCTGGGACAGTAAGTATTGTCTTGCGGATCTTCGGCTTCGTAAAGGTGGCGACCCAACATACGTGTGGGACTGGTATAAATCGAACGGCTGCCTCTTCGGTTCGCATCAGGACCGGATGATGAACGGCTGGAACGCAACTTTATACATCGATGGGCCTGGACACCACACGTTCGCGCTGATCGACGGAGATGTGGGCAAAAGCCCTGGCGGCACTGACCACATCCTTTTTGTGTTTCACGCTGTCGAGAAGGGTGTTACATATAGCTGGGAGAATCGTAGTTAGTTGGTTCACTGGGACTTATGTTTGGTGGAGCAACACTGTCTATAGCAGGAGCAATTCACCGGGGGACTCGAGCAACGTAGGTTACAGCTTTAAGTTCTTTGAAAGCCCTCTCTGACTTTACCACTCTTCTCGCCACTTGTTGACATCCCAAGGGCCAGGAGAGGCACCCCAGGTAAGAGACAGGTTTAGAGAAGAATATACTGTGCAGAGATATCTCTTAGGTATCTCAAGTAGATCAACATTCTCCTGCTATTCAATAGAATTCCTTTTGCTTAGTATATCGATGTAGAGGAAATGGTGCTGTTTACTCGTTGTCTCGAACTTAGTAATGCAGACTTGTCAGAGCAAAGCGTTCATAGATTATGACCAAATCCTGGGGCTACTACAGGCTCAACCTGGTTATTAGATCGGCAGGGTAAGGGCCGCTTCAGTTCCATATCGCTGTTGATACCTTCAAGCATCGGACGAACAATTGTTTAAAATTTCAGGATTCCAATAATGGATGTTTGCTCATTTATAGCGTAGAGTATTCCCCAGGGTTCTGTGAAGTTCGATTGCTCCGATGCTCGCACCATGTGCCCCTCGTCGGCAAGTTTTTATAAAGGACATCGGTACCGCAATATCAAACTCAAGAACTAAAGAAATAATAACCATGCATCTTGTGATACATTGCGAAATTCTGCTTGCAATTGCGCTCTAGTATTTTATACTGTGCACTTTGCCCGGTGATCAATCTCTTCTATCAATCCTATCAGGGGAAGTTTCCCGTTATTGAAGAGGATCCTCACATTAGAAATATACTGTCTTTGAGTACCCGAGGCTGCTGGTAGCGAAGGTCTCAGTATGCATCAAGGCTCCTGGGCATTGGTCCATCTTCCATGGAGACTTTGTTAGAGGAGATAGTCGACATCATCACTGTACCTCCGCCAGCCTTCTTTCTGGGCCATTACGCGAAGACGAGGTTGTGCGTGGAATTCTGAGCTATCTCCATTGGCTGGTCATTCTTCGGAAATCGTCAGTAGCCACTCCCATATAGTATAGTGGTTAGTATACTCCGCTTTCATTCTACTAGTGAGATCCGGAGAGTCCCGAGTTCGAACCTCGGTGTGGGAACTTACGCTTTTGTCACGTCGGATATATTTTGTTTATTTCCGATTCCTTGGAAACGTGCTTATTTGTGGAAGCTCAGAGTCACAGTTTGCGCTGGTGTTATGCCAACGAGTGGCTGCTTAGCAACCAGACCACGACAAAACTTTTGGCCGTGATTCTTTCCCTTTTGATCAGAGCCAGCGGGAAAGGCACAATTGTGCTGCGTCTCTGCTGAACAAACTGTATGGTAATCACGAGCTGCCAAAGGTATGAACGTGTGGCATGAGGTCGCTAGGAATGCTGATGTGCCCGAGATGAGCTTGTGGATGGCATTCATTGGGTTGCATTTAGCCTAGGTCATGACCCTCAATACCGGAATGCTACCATTCTTGGCCCAGCAAAGCGAATACAATTCGCCAGACCAGTGAGGACGTCGTTGACTTAGAAAAGAGACACTGCGAGGCTGGAATCCAGTTGCAACTAGGGCTTCTGGAAGGGAGTGGGTCATACGAGACCGAGCCATCGACCAACTTTGGCTAGGAATCTGAGCTTTCGGCAGCTAAATATCAGCTTATGTCAAAGAAAGTGGATGCTCATCCACTAGCCAATACAGACACATGAACTGGTCTGCACAGGTGTGCGGCTGGATGCTAGTCCATTGTGCATTTGCGTGTCTCAAGCCGGTTAGTATTGTTTTATGTTTGTGAACAATCATCGCTTCAATGCACAACCAAATAAGCATTGGGTATCTTAATGTAAAAGCTTGTGCTCTGCAAGGAGATCCACAAACTCCTCAATCTTCCGTTTGCGAGTTTCTGGCCGCCTCGTCGTCTCGATGCGCCACAGAAACACGTATCGCTGGGTCTTGTTCAACGCATCGAAGTACTTCTTCGCCTCATCGTTCTCCTTCAACGCCTCTTCAAAATCCACCGGCACCTCCACGACGCTCGCTGAGGAGTACGCTCGATCCCACCGACCATCTGCCTTGGCAGCGTTCACCTCGGCCTGGCCAGCGGGCGTCATCCGCTGCGACTGGGTCAACATCATGACTTTGTCGACGTTGCGCTTCGACCACAGGCTGTTCTTCCTGCGCGGGGTGAACCTCTGGATAAAGTGCTGCTCGTCGAAGGTTTTGCGCTGCCCGTCGATCCAGCCGAAGCACAGGGCCACTTCGAGGGCCTCCTCATAGGTTACCGACGGCTTCTCTGCGTTTTTCTTGGCAATTTGTAGCCATACGCCTGGAGACTCGCGGTGGGAACCCTGCAGCCAGTCTTGCCAAGCAGTTTGATCTGGGAGGAGGAGAGGTGTAGGCCCAGTGGGCTTTGCTGGTGAAGGTTCAGAAGCAGATGGGCTCGGAGAAGACTTGTCTTCCTTCCGCAGTTCTGCCTTGAGGGTTGATCGTGTGCGTCGCGACATATTTGTGGCTGTGAAGGCTTGGGGGGCAAGCTGGGGTGCGTGATGAGGGGTGCTGCTGATCATGAGACGATCCAAACAGGGCTGTTAAGGTTCTTGGAGAAGACGGAAACAACCGCCCAATTACAGTTCAGCTAGCACTGTGTGAAGAAGCCTTATTCGCTAGAGGGGAACACGTCAAATGTTCGGATGGATTGATCCAATGTTGGTGGTTGATGAGAAGAGGTTCGCCGTCAGGCAACAATGGGGGGTTCCTTGGGGAAAGATGTCCCGCCCTGAGAGTGGAGCTAAACCTCTTATGGGCTTTCTAGTTTCCTGTGATGACTCAGCACTTTAATTCCTTTTTGAGTATCTACATCTCCCCACGCCCCTCCCGGGACCATTTGGCGACAATGAATTTGTCAAACATACACCAGATCACTATGTCTCCACCCTACTATGATGCTGATCCAAATGAGATTGTTTATACTGCGATGCTCTAGTAATAGCATTACTACTTCCCTGTACAAGACAATCAACAGCGGACAGGCAGTTGGTTTCTTCGTGGATGGCGTTCATTTCTCCTTGTCAGTAAAACACGTCCAACAGGTGAACTGAGTCCCGGATATTGTATGGAAAGTTTCCCCCCAAGCTGGAAGTTGAAGAATACAGCCACCAACCTTGATTATAATTCCTTTGGCCAAAGTTGTAACTGTTCCAAGTCGATGGACGATCCTAAACCTTCTCAACACCATGATCCCGTGCTTGTGCGACCCGAACTGCCGAACAAGTGATTCACCCTCAAATCTACTCCTTCTAACCTATTATCTTCGAATAACGTGATTTTGACCGGGCTGGTCCAATGGTTCGCTATCGCAAATCACTCACCCATGCGCTGTCGAACTCAGTTCATTCATGCTCTTAGGCTCCCTCAAACTCAAGAGGCGCCAATAGGCAGCGAAACCTCGTTCGCGATGCCATCTTGTGTCCAAAGTAAGCGGTTAGGCGTTGAAACTTTGAGCCAACGGAGATACGTTACTTGATTCACGGTTCCATGTGGCTCTTTCGTAGGATACAAAAAGGTCTCTTTTTGCCATGTCCTCTTCCAACTTCCTCTTGCCATCTAATATTCCACTCTGTCACTTCTTCACTTCTTCGGCTTGAGGCCTGTACATATTTCACTTCGATTAGCAATCTCGGTTCTGAGAGCCCTTGGGAGTCCTACACATTATTGTCACATTCAATCATCACAACCCTGGCCACATCGTTGAAAATGGCTACCCTAATTATCAAGGACACGGAGTTTACCACCGCGGTGCCCTGCATCACTGTTGACGGCATCAGTCATGACAACCACCTTAAATGTGCGTTGTCCAGCTACAACAATATTGCTTTCCTGCCTCGCAGGGTCGTCGACGGCCAGCAGCCCGAAATCCACAACGCCATGATCAAGTCTGCGGACATGATCGTCAATCTCCAAAAGTGGTTGGGCGAGATCGAGGATTGCCACAAGGCTGAGGCTATGGAGCCACTTCTTAGAACTATCCGCGACTGGATCTGCATCGCCGACGTCGATCTCTCCCTGCACAACCTCCAGCAGGTAAAGCTGGCTTAAGCCATTTACAAAAAGCTCGTGTTCGAAGACTTTGACCACTGGTCTCATTACGAGTCCTGCCTGACCCACCACGAGAACCTCGACACGGACGAGCCCTCTGACCCCAAGTTCAACTACACAGGTTTCGGCCCTCTCAACCGGGACTTTGAGTGGGACGCCAAGACCAAGACAATCAGCTGGCGTAACAACCGCACCCGACAGATCCAGAAGTTTCGTGTCCCCCAGATTGTTGAGGCCAAGAAGATCTGGGCTGGCGTCAGCACACCCGAATTCCACCATCGGTGGGCCGAGGAGCGCCACGCCCACGAGCGATATCATCAGCTATCTGGAACGGCGTGTGAAGCTTGGGTCGATGGTCCCCAGAAATTTCACCAAACCAGCAACACGGCCAATGAGCGTACCTTGACCCTGTACGCCCACCTGGCCAAGAAAAGATGTTGCTCAAAATGCTCCAGGAAAGGGTTCGGGTGCACCACCTGCCACAGCAGCACCTGCTCAAAGAATAGAATCACCAAGTCTATCATGAAGACAAGGTCCAGAAACCTCACCATCCGCACCAAGGTCACGGTGTCTGGTGATCTCACCCAGAAGAAGGTTTGGAGTCTCCGAGAAAAGAAGAAGTTGTGGGATGCCGTTCAGGCCCATGTTGATAAAGTGGCCACTGATCTCAACATTTCAGCTGATCGTGCTACCATGGTCGACAACATCTTCATCAGGAGCAGCTTTGACCGGGTGGAAGGCCACCAGCTAAACAAGGAGGAGAGAGATGCCTTCTTCCATGCCCATCGCGTCGGTCTCTGCTACGAGACTAACTCTAGTCTCCGAGACCCCTATGAGAGCATCATGAGGAAGTAGAGTCGGGAGCCCACGTGCGGCTCTCGATCTGTGAAAGGCTTGGCCTAGGAACCACGGGTATTGAATGTCATTGAGCGGCAGTAGTGCAGTAGTACATAGGCCATTGAGGGCACTGGGTTGTAAGCCTCTCTAGCACAGCTGTCAAGAATGACGTCTGGATGTCCTCAATTACGGCCTGGTTCGTGAGCGTTGATGGTTATGTATAGAATGGACTTAGGCATCTCCAATCCTGGATGCGTTCACTCGACCCCGTTTCCTTCACATAGTGCCCTCGTCGTGATATATCAGCATATTTACTGGTTGCCTTATAAACGATGCAGATAATTGCTTAGCTTGACGAGCCCTGTTTCCCAATCCATGTATATTGTGTCTTGGCTACGCAGCAATTACGCGCAACGCGAGCGCATCCTATTCAAACATCGACCCGACTAGTCGAGGCTAGTTTGAGAGTTACGAGTTGGGCCCAATCGGAAAACGTCTGCAATCTTAACGTAATTTAGGATCTGTACTTTGTATTTCCCTAAAACTTAAAAATTTTTAAAAGAGGCGCCTGGTAGCTCCAGTTGTAACTAAAAGTGCACGACGAAATGCTGGACTAAATCAATACCAGCCTCTGCGCTCCGAGTCTAAAGTACGCGCCTCTCCGATAGCCAGCTTCTACCTAGCTGGAGTAGTTATTTATTTTTCAGTGTTCCATCAAATAGGCCGCCATCCTACGGACTACGGGTTACCCAGGCGGTCGGGAAGGTAGCAGTCTCGGTGACGGGATGGAACAGACGAGGCAATTAGAGCGGGTCCAGCAAGGAGGAAACGCACCCGGAGCAGACGATGCTAGGCGAAGAGGAACAAGCTTGTCTTGTTTGCCGGATTTCGAGAGGTTCGTTATAACAGCCGATGAAGTATAGTATCCAGTGTTGTTCAATTGACGTTAAAACTACGCAGCATTTATTCCAAACAAATAATCTAAAATAATCTAAAATACACAAGGGTTTGCTTGGCGCGTCCAGCTTAGAATGCGACGATGGTTCATCAGGCTAAATCGCATGCGACAGGGGTCACCGTGATGATCACCCGGCTCCGCTCCGGCAGATGACTACATATATTCGGCATGCCCCAAAGCACTCTCAGAAACTTTGCGATGATTGTTCGATTGACCGCACTGGAAATCTTTCAGGATAGTCGCAAGTCGCAGTCATGTTGTACTTCATCAACCTCCTCTTGTGGGCAACGCTGGCCCTTTCCATCCCAACCGGCGAGAACATCCACCGGCGAAAGGAAGACAGCCGCTGGGTCGCGACATGGACTTCGATGCCTCAAGCGGTAGAGCCAGCGAACCTTCCGCCTTCACCTTTTGTATGTCCACCTACAGCCTTCTCAGCTTACACGCCAGAGGGCAGCTTGTCGTGAGGTGATGATTCTAACACAGCCAGAACGGAGCAACCGCTCAGTTCGCAAATGCAACCCTCCGCCAAACCTTCCACGTCTCTGTCGGCACATCTCGCCTCCGAGTCCAGCTCACAAACACCTTTGGCGGCTCCGATCTGCCCATCACAGCAGCCTCAATTGCCCTTACCGCCAACGGCGCTGCAGGCGTTTCGGGCATCGATACTTCGACCCTCAAAGGACTTACTTTCTCCGGTTCCCCGTCCGTGGTAGTCAAGAAAGGGGCTGCCGTGTACTCTGACCCCGTCAACTTCGCTGTCGCGCCTCAGACGAATGTTGCTCTTAGTGTGTACAGCCAGCAGGGTCAGTTGGGAGCAACGATCACGGGGCACCCAGGCAGTCGCACGACTTCGTGGATGCAGACGGGCAACAAGGTAAACGCCTCGTCTGTCGCCGGGACAAGCACGAAGCATTGGTTATTCGCCAGCGCCATCGAGGCATGGGCTCCCAAGAGCACGTCCGCCATGGTCATCCTCGGTGACAGCATCACCGACGGTCGTGGGAGCGACGATGACAAGAACAACCGGCAAGTGAATAAATCTGATGTTCGGCCAACGAGACTAACATTAATCCAGCTGGCCTGATCTCCTTCTTGCGCGCATGCAGAAGCAGAACATCACCAACGTCGGCATCGCAAACCAAGCTGCAGGCGGAAACGCCATCCTCAGTGGCGGTCTCGGTCCCACCCTCCTATCCCGTTACAAACGCGACGCTCTCACCCAACAAGGCGTCTCTCATGTCATGATCTTTGAGGGCGTGAACGATCTAGGCCCCAGCGCAGCCGACGCTGCGTCTCAGCAACGCGTCGGCGACGGGCTCATTAGCGCGTACAAGCAGATCGTAGCGGATTGTAAGAAGGCGGGGTTAGTGACGATCGGCGCAACGATCACGCCGTTCGCGGGCAGCGGGCAGTCGTACTCGGACCCGGCGCGAGAGCAGACGAGATTGCGGGTGAACAAGTGGATTCTGGAGAGCGGGACGTATGATCACGTCGTGGATTTCGCGGGGTTCATCGGTGAGGGAGACAAGCTAAAAGCGCAATTTGATGGCGGTGATCACTTGCATCCGAACGTGGCTGGATACCAGGAGATGGCCAACAGGTTTCCGTTGGACATATTCGAGAGCTAATGAGGACTTGGCGGTTATGATGGGTCCTTCCGGACTATACAAGAACGCAAATAGTTTTCCTACTTCCATGGACCGAGTCCCGTGTGACTTTGGACGTGTTCAACCGAGATTTTGAGAGACGTTCTGAATGTGGGACGTGTCCTAGACAACCTCGCCTAGGCTGACATAATCCGCTTCGAACTCAAATCACTGAGCGACGGCCTATAGTGAGACTTGTATGTGCTGTCAGTTCGGGTTGTCGGCTCTAAGTTCAAGCTGAAAGAGTAAGACTGGGCAAACCTGCCGATCGGTCAAGACAGAGCCCGTGCTTGGCAGCTGGGGGAGGCTTCGCCTCAATTTGGGCCCAGCTGACCAACAGGTTCAGTCGAATAAACACCAACCAAGACATACATTTGCCAGTTGCATTTAGTTTCAGTGGAATCGCCTTTCAAACCAGAATATGTCGCATCAGGAGAATAGTACTAGTAGCGCAGAAACCTCGGAGGCAAAATCGCGGAGGAAAAATCGTAGAGCTAAGCAAAAGGACCTCGCGCTGAAGCACGAACACCCAGAGCAGGCACAAAAGCCAGTTTCGGCGTCGCCAAACACAATGTTTGATGTCATCGGAGGTTATCCTGATGGCTCAATGCTCCGAATCAGACGGTCCGGCCGGGCACGCCATTGCTCCGCCGGAAAACTGGAATAACCCGACCGAAGAGCCTGGGATCCGTCCTGTGTTCAGGTGGCTGTCGCCGCCACCACTGAATAACGCCAGTGTCAGCAAACGGTTCAGCTTTAGACAAGCGGTACAAAGCCGTGGCCAGCGCCGGTACAGCTGGAGTTCGGATTCGACCATATTAGGGCTCCTGTCAGGAGACAGCGACCGGTACCGAGGCCGTCGACATCCAAAAGCACGGCGAGTGGTGGATGGTTCTAAGTTTCGGGGTCGTCATCATCTGCGAAATTATCGCCGTGGTCCTCGCCTCAAGGGCAGCCAAGAGGGTCAAGCATTTCCCGGTCCTGGAGCATAGGCCCTCGTTCGTGGGTTGAGTTGCGCGGCCACGCGTACCATAACTTTGTGGGATGCAGAACTGATGCAAGGGGCAGTGGAATAACGCTGTTATCCAGCTTCGCTGACATTGTCGTGTGGGTTTTGACCGGGATTATAGCGTGCAGTTGTTTGAAATCTGGGTTTACCATGGTCGCTACCGTGTCATTTAGCCCGAACGCCAGCGCGACAGGGTCATATCTCATCTTTATGATGAAGTTCAACACAGACAATGCTTTGTGTGGCGGGTACGGTGGCAGGTCCACGGAGTATTGGACTGGGCTCAGAATGGGAATGGCGGCTGGTGTGTTCCGCGGGATGATGCTGTGAGTGGCAGCTCTGAGCACCGACGGGGATGTTTGGTTTGCTGACGCAGAGGCAGACCTCTTGGTGTTGTCATTTTAGACAGGATAACTCATGCAGAGGGCTTGGAGGAAGCAGAACAGGGTGCGGGGTCGCGCCTGAGAAGGGTCAGACCCTAATGGTCGAGTAAGGCGTGGTTGCTCGTTTCCTTGGTATGAAAGAAACGTCGGTGGAATAATACTACATAGTATGTAGTGGGTTTCTGTCATAGAAGATGGTTCGCATGGGTCGCCAGGACCGCAATTACTGCCAATGATGCCAGTGGAGACGACCCAGCAGAATGGTAGGGAGGAGCGGGCGCGACGGGACGCCCGGGGGGCACCCTTGACGTCTGGTGAACGTCTTGCTATTTCCAACATGTTATTCCCTGCATCGGGATGTCGAGTCGAAGTTAAACTCTGAGAAGGTAGGACAGACAGCGGACAGCGAGGGTGTCGACAGGTTCAAATCCCGAGTCTTGTTCTCATCCAAATGCCGCTTGTCGAGGCACTTCAACTGCCGGATGCGCATGCAAATCTGCGTCAAAAGAGACCGAGGTTTCGATAAATCAGTTCATGGGCAAGAGGACCCGGTTCCGTACTTTATGATAGATGCATGTCTCACCCAGTCTGGCAAATGATGGTCTGCATTGTAACACTCGAGTCCGTTCACGCTCGTCGCTTCGCAGGCTTCTTTCTTTTTCCTGGCAGCGGGCAGCAGAACGTTCCTTATTGCAGTCACCGGTCGTCCAGACCGACAACAGAGGGCATGGGAGAGGGAGGGGTTCCCCCGGCAGTCGGTAGGGGGGTATAGCGACAGCCACCCGAACCTTTGGACGCAATTTCCAGCCAAACGGCACCCTCTCTCGTACGAGGTTATCGCTTCCAAGTGAAGCCCGGGGAAGGTCGATCTGACAAATAAGAGAGGACGGCGACTGGGGGCCTAGCAAGCGCGGCCCATTCTCGTGTCTCCCCGGCGTCCCGAGATGCAAGCCACAAGGAAACGCTTGCTGCTCGTTGCCGCCCAGCCATTGGCGTGCCATTCTCTCGGGAACCCTGTGGTCCCCCACCTCGTCCGATCGTTGTCGTGCTCTGAGGATCCAAAATGTCTTGCCCAGGAATGCAGGAGTGCTGCAGCTGTCCTCGATCCCTGGGCGAGGTGGCTGTTAAAGGAAGAACCTTTCCTGTTCTTGCCCGCCTAAGAACACTCATACGGATCGCAATCCCTGGCTATGGACGGCAAGCGGCAACCCAGCGGAGTGGTTAGGGGTTCCTGAAAGCGTGGTCTTTAGTGGTGGTCGCCTTACTGGGCCGCCAGCTTGAGACTTGAGGCTTGGGACTTGCACCAAGGCGAGGGGAGTCCAAAAGAGAAAGCCCAGCACCGTTCGTGCAACATCAAATCGCAGGTGCTTGTGCACTCTTTGCTTTTCCCTTCCTGCCCAAGTCTCTGCTTCGCCTGTTCGCATCGTCTACTGCACTCGGCCCCATCCACAGCAGCTTCGGATTCACGCCTGTCAGGGAAACAGGACTTGTGTTCATCGAGTCCCGGTTCTTCATCATGGCCACTGGCAGCACCGGGTGCTTGCCCGGCTTGGACGATATCAATTACTTTGGCATCGGTACGGGCGCAGAGCTTGCGGCGTCCAGCTACCAAAGCGCCAGGAGCCAATCGCCTGGCGACTCAAGCATCAATCTAGAACTGAGAGGAGAAATACGCGAATTCCTGTACCGTCGACCCTCCATCCAAGACCCACGTTGATAAAACTGATATACGGCAGGTTCAAAAACAATGCAGGCCTGCTGCGCTTTCGTCATTCGGGTGCTCCGTCTCCGGAATCGCTCTTGGCCGGCGACGAGACTGCAGTTGGAAATGCCGTTCAGCAGGAAGAAGACGCACAGCAGGTGACACAGCCGAGTGACGACTACCCAGCAACGCCGGAAGCATCCTCTTCCAGCAGCTTGCGGACGATCACCACGTTCGCCGGACCCTTAAAGTCGTATCTGGCGTGTCCTCAAACGCACGAGAAGCGGGCTTTATCTCTGTTTCGTGATGATGACGATGGCGAACAGGGTCCAGGCTCTTCAGACCGCGACTCCGTCGTCGTAAGCAAGAGAAGAGTGCCTAGCCTGTACAGACCCCCGAACCGAGACTGTTCCCCGCTCAATGCTGCCGTAAGCGCCAAGAGCTCGAGGTTCGGACACATGATGGAGCGCTACTTGGCCTCTGAAGATATTCACGAAGACTTGGGAGACCAGTCAGGAGAAATGGCCTCGAAAGATGGGTATGAAGATAGCCCTGAGGTTCCAAGCCACAACTCCGAGGCAGCTCAGCCATCGGGGGACGCTCCCTCTGCCCCAGGCCCGTCAATACCATTGTCGATAAGTCAAACGGCAGATGTCATTGCCCCCATTGCTGGAATACTGGATGGGCCCATTGAAGTCGGAGATGATCGCCATAGTGCTGATTCAGCAATATCGGACATGGAGGCAGACGAGCTCCATCACCTGTTGTAAGTTGATTCTGCATCGTTCACGGCTCATTTGCTAATGCTCGGCAGAGGGCAGCGTCGACGGGCGCGAGAGGCAGCAAGCAACCGGGTTCTCAAACCTCATAGAATACCAAGAGGAAGAGTGGAAAAGCCGAAACGAATGAGATCCCGGAGGTGATATCGGCGAAGCATGAATAGCATTTTTGGTGTCGTTGCTTGCAATAACGGGTGGAGCCCAGACTAATGTCCATTGTTGAGATGTTGTTGTCTACATCCCCGACCAAGTGTGTGTATGTAGAGATGCGAAAGAGAAGATGTTATCGGGTTGAGCATACACAGATGCTGGACAACATAGATTAGTGGCAGTACGACTGACGAAGAACCCGCCGGAGCAGTTTCCCCTTGCAGGGCGACATACCGGTAGAGACGAATGACGAAACGATTGGAAATTAGGGAATGCAAGGTGTCGGTTGGCATCGGCGATTTAGCGAACTCTCACCTATTTAATATATATAAACTCCTCAAGGATTAAATATTCTTCTTTGTGCATTGCTGGGATGTTTGGTCGAGTAGAGAACGATGATTTGCTGACGGATGGATTGGGTGCTGCGCATGCCCAATCTCGAAATCAGTGTGCCATCATCACAGGCTGGAAAGTCTTATCCTTATCGGCCTTATCGGAAGTGTTATCGCTATCGGCTTATCGCAAACGCGCCGCAATTGACCTGAGCTTGGGACTTTGGGCCCGAACCGAGCTTCGTTCCCACTGAGCTGTTGCCCGCTATCGCTGTGGTCGTCGCTGCCCGTTGCCGATTGCGACTCGGCTCAATCAACCTCACTTTCGTCCCAAACCTCCCCTCCCACCGCCGATATCGATCGCGACACAACGGCGTTGCCAATGGCGCCGTGCGAGCTCGCCATCCATGTATAGCCGCGAGAACAAGATCATGCGAAAACTCCTCGGCAAAGTCACTGCCGACAGCAGCACCGACACCCACCACTCCATTGGCATCACCAGTGCGCCACACTTCCAGACTTCGTACCGACCGAGTGTTTCGCAGAATGCAGTCTTCCCTGCTGGCGTTCCCATCCTATGCCTCGATACCGCCCCTGATCACCGCGCCGCAGTCATAGCTGGAAGACATATTCTCAAGACCATCGTTTTCGACGGGCTGTCCATAAGCGAGGGCATCGACGTCCGCAACGCCATCACAGCCCAATCCGCCTCTAGCAAAATTGCTTCGACCTCTTTGACAGCAGACCAGCTCTCCATACGAGACGTCAAGTGGCACAGTGACTCCACCATCTTCACAGCTTGCGCAAATGGCAAGATATTCTCCTACGACCTGGCAAGGATTTCGACAGGAGGCGCCGCACTCGAGTTCGTCCAGACCAGAGAGGACTCGCGACAGGTCAACAGTCTCGATATCAATCCCCACAGACAGACGACCCTGCTCTCGGGCAGTCAGGATGGCATGGTGCGATACTTTGACATTCGCGCCCCAGTGCAGAGTCGGTCGGGCGGCCTCACCTACAGCCCGCGCGGGGCCTACAAGTGCAACGCCGACGGTGTTCGGCAAGTCAAGTGGTCACCCAAGGACGGATTCTACTTTGCCTGCGGGACTGAGTCGGGCGTTGTACTGAAATGGGACGTACGAAAGATTGCTCAGCCGCTGCTCAAGATACCCGCCCACGACAAGGCTTGTACCTCGATCTCATGGCATCCTGATGGCAACCACCTGATTAGTGGCGGTTGGGATAGCAAATGCGCAGTCTGGGACATGTCCAAGAATGCCGACAAGCGGCAGAAGCCTCGATGGCTCGTGTACACTCCGGCGCCGGTAGCTGCTGTTGCTTGGCGACCTGGGCTCTGGTCAGCAAGCGCGCAGGGGAAGCGCGCCGCCCAGGTTGCCGTCTCCTATGATGACAGTCACAAACGATACGGAATCAACAGTGTGCATATCTGGGACCTAGCCCGGCCGTCCATGCCGTACAAAGAGATCGACCGATTTGACTCCTCTCCGTCGGGCTTGCTCTGGCAGAACCAAGATCTTCTCTGGACAGTCGGCAACGACGGCTTCTTCAACCAATGTGATGTCGCATTCGCTCCGAAGGTACTTGACAGGCAGCCAGTCTCGAGCATGGCCTTCTCTGCTCGAGGTGACGCCGTCATGTTTCTTGACGAGCGACCGCAGGATCGACCGCGGCCCTCCATCGTCCATCATCATCAAGCGAGCGTCGTGCCGCCACGAACATCCTACAGTTCCAGCCCAACGACGCCGATGCTCAGTATCAGCCGCAGCGATTCTGAAGAAGACGTTGTCGGTAGCTTCTTGGGGCCACGTCGTAGAGTTGGCCGGAAAAGGAGGTCCAGTTTGCGTTCTATTCCTGTTCTAAGCACCACACCGCCTTCTGGATCAAGCGTCAGTGATGATCTCGTTTTGGGCCTCGAACAGGCTATCAAGGTAACTGGTACCTACAAAACCCAGCAGTCCATGGCAGTCGGCCACATCCCCGCGGCGGCACGAGTCGACATATACGAATACCTGTCCAGCTGCTATCTCGAGACCATGGAGCGTGAGCTGCCGTACGTCACTGGTCGGCAGCCTCTCGCCAAAAGAGTTTGTGGCATTATGGAGCAATATGCACGTGCTGCAGAACATGTCAACCAGTTTCGCCTGGCCCAGACATGGCGGATCCTGTCGTATTCGATGAACCTGCTGCTGACCCGTCGGGCTCAGTTCCACCTTGAAACTCGCTTGGGGCGGTTCCAGAAGCGGCCGTCCATTTCCAAAGGAAAAGATATCCCGAAAATCAAGGTGCCAAGAGCCTTGGACGTTGTCGTGGAGATGAATGGTGAGGAAACTCCTAGGAGACCGTCGGCCCTCGCTTCTAGCAGCGTTGACGCCAATTCTTTGGGGCCTCGCTCTCTGCTTTCAGAAGAAATCGAAAGTACTTCAAATGTTGCGACACCTGTTGCGAGAGCTATCAACGAGGAAAACGCCGATATGGGCGATTTCCCACCAGATACACATTTGCCCCCAGTCATGGAACCAGACAGTTTTGCTTTGCCCCCCGCTGTTCACAGTACGTTCAATAACAGTCCACGGAGACGACTGGACTCAGTTCCTTTGTCTACCACAAGCCATGAAAGCGACGGGACACAGACTTCTATCACAGAGGGATACGACTTTTATGATACTGACGCCCTATCTCAAGCTATAGATGTGCCCGAGCCAAAGAAAAAGGAGCAGAAGCCCCTGGACTACGGCCCCCGCACCCCGAATAGCCGACGCACGTTGAGACAAGATCCTGATGGGAGCTTTGCACAGATGTTCTCCATGTCGGAGAGCAGTCGACAGTCATCTGGTTTAGCATCGTCCTCTGAAGCAGGGACATCGGCATCCACGCGATCAATCACGAGTCACCCTGTGCAGCTCAAAGAGCAAAGCGGAGTAAGAGACCAGGGAGAATACGAGAGCCGCATCCGTGGCAAGGAACTCGAAGACTCGCCCGAGCACGGTGCCCTGACAGTACTTCATGGACCAGGAGAAAGCGTACCAAAGGATTCCCCGGAAGAGATCTTTATGATTTCCCAGACAACCATGGCATCCGATACAGTTACCGATGAGCCATCGACACACTCACAACTAGGGTCTTTCCCTACGACTTTTGAGGATCATGCCCCTCTCCACGTCGGTGTCTCAGCTTCGAGCCCGCCAAAGATTACCCAGGCCATTCAACATGATTCTACACCAACCATACTCGAATCCGACTATCTCCCCTGGCCGGAAGATCCCTCATACCCGCACCCTGTTGCAATCAACCCGGATGCAGACCATTCTCCACCGCTGAACCCTTACACCCTTCTGAGCAGAGCTTTAGATTTCGAGACCCGGACGTCAGCACTCAACGCCTCTGCCATGGTCCTCCTTTTGAAGCCCCTCGTACCCGAATGCGTCATTGATCCTTTCCGCGCTACATCCATCCTCCGTCAACACCACTCGCGCCTCACTGGTATGAAGCTTTTTACCGCAGCTGCCCTCCTCCGCAAACTCTGTGTCCAGGGGTGGCCGGAGGGCATTCCCGAGTGGGGCGAGAACTACACCTCCATCTTCGGCCCGGCTCAGCAGAGCGTCAAGGGAGGCTTCATGTGCCCGAACTGTCGAAAACCAAGAGAACTCGACCCATCCCTCGGCCAGAAGGCCCTGTGGAAATGCGAGCGGTGCCGCACGACAATGGGCCCCTGCGCCGTCTGCGGCCATCGCGAGACCACGCCCACAATGTTGTCCCTTACCGAAGGCGTCGACGGCGCCCAGCCCGCGGACCCGGTCATGAGTTCATGGTGGTATTGCCCCGGTTGTGCCCACGGCGGCCACGCCACGTGCTTGCAAGACTGGCACGCCCCTTCAGACGACGGCACCTACAAGCTGAGCGACGGATGCTGTCCGCTCGACGGCTGCGGTCATGCCTGCCTCCCCGGGAAGTGGCGCGAGGAGAAGTCGATGACGCGGTCGGACGAGCTGGGTCGCATGGCTGTTGAGAAAGCTCGCGCCGGCGGCAACGGGGGCGCAGGCGGTGGTGGTGGCGGCGGTGGCAAGTCGGGCGCACATAGCCCCGTGATGCCGCCCAACGTCCGCGGCGACAGCGTCGAGGTGCCGCAGAGCAGGGCCGTCGAGAGCGTCCGCGAAGCGCTGGCGAGCAACACGCCGACGTCGGGGATCCTCAGCTCCAGCCCGGGAAGCCGGTCTGGCGAGCGGGAGAGGAGGAAGAGCGTCAAGTTTATGCCGACGGAGCGCTAGTGGCGCATCGACCTCTTCTTGAGTTCTCTGTGGGTGTAGATGCGGCAGGATGTGGGGTCGATACATATTCTTACGGCGTTGGGGGGGGGGGGGGGCGCGGCATTGGGGGGATGCTTTTTTCGCATTCTCATTCAGGGGGTCACAAGCTTTTCAATCCGGGACACGGGCGTAGTGGGTGCGATCGAGAAGGATGATTCCCCGGGACTTTGGTCAATTGCAGGATTAGCATTTTATTAGGACGGCGACTTGACGCCTGGGTATCTTAACAATGAAACCACGCAAAGTAATCCGCTCCCGCCCATCCTGATCTCTCATGTCCAACTTCAACCATTATGCATGTCCCTCACCTTCCTGCGCTCTCTCTCATGCCCTTTGTTCTCAGCGAGACCTTCACCTCGTCGAAGGGCAGCCCCGCGGATCCGCCATTGCCGTTGTGGTCGTTGTCCACGGGGGACTCAGCCCCCTCGCGGACAGTCATCGCTCTCCGGAGCTCGTCGCGCTGTCGGCTAAGCACCTCGCTGTCGGTGCTACCGCGGCGACTACCGCCGACACTGCTCGTATCTCCGTCGCCCACAGCAGCCGAAGAGATGCGGCCCTTTAGACGTCCAGCCCAGAGACCGCGAACGCCGCCCCGTTTGCGTTCAGGAACTTCGTCGCTTCCTGCACTGCAGACGTAGAGGAGATACTTGAGGTTCGGTAGGGTGTGACGGATGTCCACAACCTTGAGGCCCTGGCTTGCGCAGAGGGCCTCGATGTCCTTGTTGAGGATGAACCAGCCGTAGTCAAATCGATACTGCGCTGCGGTGGAACCACCTCGAGGAAGGTACAGAGGGAAGTCGCGCTGGCGAGCTGCTTGTACCGAGTTGAGGTCCGTAAGGAGGGATATGTCATCACGAATGGACGAGCGCGAGCCGAAAGGCGTGACGGGGTACGGCAGGGGCACAGAGAGGTAATACTGCAAGGCGTTCGTCAACGCAGCAACATGGCCCAGGGCGCCGGACAAGAGGTCATCGTCGGGGCCGCGAGAAGTAGCAGTGTCGTACGTCGTGTTTGGGAGGGCAAGGCCCACGATCTGGAAGGAGAGCGGGGTGCCCGAGGGGCACGGCGTTATTTGGTAGATGTTGCCAAGGTCAGCGCAGATGCGACGGCGCTGGCCGCGTATCTGTTCCTTTGTCTTAGCGAGGACCGCTTTCGAGGCTGCTAGGTGCTCCGTCGCATCGACTACGTCCTTGGCGAGCTTGTTCTGCAAAGCACGGCCTTGGGTGATGGCCTCTCTGCGCGACTTGAGAGATTCACGCAGCTCTTCACGCCGCTTTTCGGCTGCCTTTAAAGACCGTAGCTCGTACGCCACATACTTGTTGGCCAGCTTCACCTTTTCCTCGGCGGCGGGGGTCTCGTTGTGGGGCGACTTTTCGAGAATGTCGTTAATCTGAGCCGTAAGTTGCTCCTGTGTCGCGATGGCGTCCTGAATCGACGTGTCTAGCGTTGCGAGTTTCATGAGCGCATTATAGGACGACGTGTGGAGCGGCGGGAGATCTTTCGGGCTGGTTGGCTTTCTGGGGACGTCGAGCGAGTAGATTCCGTCGGCAAGATGGAAGATGAGCCCATTCGGAGGAAACTTGCGGTTTTGAAGGGTGCCGATAAAGTGCAGGCTCCGAAGGTCGATTGTGTCTTCAAGTAGGAGGGTCCATGATGTTCGATTAGCCCAGATCTTGATCGTGACAACCGGCGACCGAGTGACAGAGGGGCCGTGGTGATTGAGGTCGAAGAATTGGAAGTTGAAGTTCTATTCATCCGGATGTTAGCTGGGATGTGGTGATGGTACGGTGCGACGACAGCTTACAGTCGCATGCTCCTTCATCTCGCTGATGTATACAGGCTCGTCCTCGTCTTCGCAGTGCAGCGAAAAGAAGACGTCGGCGGCCCTACCGTCGATGGTGAATTGCAACATGCGCTGTCTCGTCACCGGGGTCGCCTGGGCGAGAGCAGTGCTGCGGCGGCGCGGCGCCTTGGGCCGGAGGTTGTCGCTAGAGAGGGCATGGTGGAGCTGAGGGGCATCGCGGAAGGCTTCAAACTTGGACGATGACTTGTTCAGAGCGGTGTCATCAATGGTATGTCCCCGAGGTCGAACGAAGCTCAGGTTTCGGAGGTAGATGCCGTGGAGGTGGCGGAGTTTGCGGTTCTGGGGAAGGAGGAGGGGTCGGGACTCGGGAGGAGGCATCGTGACGCGTGGCTCAATTCATGGCGTTATTGAGCAGTTTCACGAACGGGAGTCTCGGGAGCTGGGCCTGAGCTCATGAGACCGTGTCGCAGGAGCACAAGTATTGACAAGGGTGCTGTGGACAAGGGAGCGTCGACCTGGCCTCGAGAAATCGCGATGTTGTGATGGTCGGGATCAGCAAAAGCGACAATGGCGGTCGAAGCTTCCCGATTGTTGTCGTTTGTTGCTGTCGGTGCTGTCACTGCTGACAATGGAAAGTGCAGTGCACGGGCACTCTTGCAGCTTTGGTGCAGGAGCTCCTCCGCACTGCTGCCGTGAAAAATGGGCCCACCATCGTCATCATCCTGATAGATGCATTGTCATGGTATCTGCGTAGACTGCTCCTATAAGCATAGGAGCTACTCCTCTCAACGCATTGATGCATGTCTCCCACTGATGCACATTCGGCGGATGTTCTCGAGTCGTTCTGGTCCCCCCAAATACCTGTGCACATTCCAAGCTACAACCGTATAATAACACAGTCTTCATTGACTATTACGTTATACAAGTGGAAAGTTCACTGATTCAACGACCTTGTCGGCGATCGAAGCTTATTGTTTTTGCTCATCATTTTACATTTCCGGCGTCTTGGCCTCGGAATAGGCTGTCAATTGGACCATGACGCCGTTCCCCTCATCCCGATCGCCCACCCTAGGGCCGAGCTGGTTGATAAATCTCCGGCCGGATGGCCTGTCCGCTTACCGGTCGATCCGGCATCTTGGGCGGTCCCTGACGGAGAATTTATAAAGGTCCAATCACCAGTACGGTACCTAGCTTTCTTCTCCGATCGCCCCGCCTTCATTGAAACAACAAATCGCTGGCAGGTGTCCGAGCTCAGATGGGGGGTTTCCCTGCTCATTCGACCGTTCTCGGTCAGAAAAATAGTTACGTTGTACGTCACCAGCCAACCTTACGCCCATCGAGCCATAGATTGCAAGTTCCGCTGGTCCCTACGCTTTGGATGGCAACTGTGGCACCTTTGGTGCCTTTCACGCTCAGAGACAAACGGTTCGCCCATCCGTCTCACCATCAAGCTTGTGGACCATGGATGAACCGCTTTCTATGGCTTTCGCCGTCCCGTCTTCGGCCTGAAGGCAATGAGGAGGCAGCGAATCATGGAGCCGCTAGAAGCCTACACCGAGGAGGCGCATCAAATCGTTGGCGTACGTCACAGAAGATGCGAGCAAAACGGCGAGTGGCTTTTTTCTCCAAGATCTTCCATTAATTAAAGTCCTGGCTGTCCCCCACACCGACCCCAGCTGCTGCGACGCCATCTTGCAGTTGACCCAGCAGAGCCAAGCTACGGACAATGGAACAATCACCAGAGCTACGGCATACTCTCTATTTGAGTCGAGGCGACGACGACGCAATCACAATCAGCCTCATCAAACCCAATGGGGTGTTGTGCCCTTTTACAGCGTCACTCATAACGCCAAGATGACCAAAATGGAAGTTCGGAGAATCAAGTGCGACGCCATCTCCGCCGAACACCGTCCCGTCGGCTCCATCAAAACCCGTACGATACCGCCAAGAGTCGACGTCGCCGTCCGAGGGGTCAACTTCAAGCTGACCCGCAAGCACCCCCTGTCCAACACTCTCAGCTTCCGCTTCCTGGGCGTGGGGGAGATGCGCTGGGAAGAGCTAGGCAAGGGGTGCAGGGGCATGAGGCTCATCGACTTCAACGGCAAGACGCTTGCACACTTCCGCCCGAGGCTGCATGTGCTGGGTGCCACCGAAGGAGGCAGAGAAAGAGACGAAAGCAACCCGCTCGCAGGCGGCTTGCGCGGGCTGACCAGGGCCGGGTGCGGTCCCGCCTTCGAGCTGCACGCCGCGCTTGCAGATCTCGACCTGGACCTGCTTGTCACGACTGGCTTGGCGGCGGCAGAGCACCGTCGGCAGTTGAACGAGGACTGGGACATCGTGTCCGAGGAGTAGACACGGGATGCACGGCAACTGGACAAAGCGCGCGGCGGGCGGCCTATTGCGAGGTGTTCATTACTCGGTCACGCGCCAGAGTCTATTTGTACAATACCTGCGTTCTATATCCATGCTGAAACAACAACATTATTTGATTGGTATCTCTTCTGCTTTAAAGTCAAGTTTTCCGAGTGCGCCGTCGCTTGCATGCCGAGTAAGACAAAGTTTACATTACGCCCATAAGTGCTGGATTCATGATTCAGCAATTGCCGCTTTGGCGAATCAGAACCTCCCATTCACGTTCTTCTGCCACTTCTTCCCTGTTCCTACGTCTTGCAACTCGAAGTCGGCACGCAAGTTCATCTCTTTGTCCTTCGCGAAGATGACTTGCCGCTTCCCGTCGGCTTTTGCGGCCATCTGGTCGGCAATGTCTATCGGCGTCGGCGGCAGGTCCTCTTCGAACGGCGTCTCGGAAAGCTCGTGAAATTTGTCCTTTCCAAGGTTGAGTATTGAGCGCCTAGACTGTGCTGTGCTGGCAGTTTTTGTCGTTTCCTTTCTGCTGGTGAAGAGTTGAGGAACCCTCTGGAGCAACGGCCGTAGAGCTGGCAGACTTGCACAGAGAATGGCGCAGAACTCCTCGACGATGGACCAAATCACAATGTCGACGTTGTCCCATGTTGTATCGAACGTGCTCGAAAACATGACCAGGTACTTGAGTCTGATCATTGTCGTGATACAAGCACTAATGTATTACGTCCTTGTTAGCGAGGTTCTCGGGTTATGAAACAGTACAAGTAAATAGCGGGGAACGTACAATGACCCCAGACTGAACATGAAGCCCAGTGCAATCTTCTTTCGGATGTTGAGTTGGAGTTTCACCAACTCAGGGATCGGTAGGACCAATATGACAAGGTCCTCGATGATGCTGAAAACAGCCCCAGCGTACCCAATGGCCGTCACGTTCAGACACTTGCGGTTCGGGTTGCTTCTGTCCCAGGTCGACGAAATAGGCGTACACTGGAAGATGATGACCAACAGAAAGATGAGGCCGTGGAGCAGTAAGAAAACGATGAAGTATCGAACCGTGAGCTGGAACCATCGTGCCGGGAAGATGCGAGAGAAGAATAGCAGGATCGAAATTTTCGCGAAGACCTGGATCAGGATGTAAAGCATTTGTACCACGTAGAAAAGCTGAATCAACTTTGTGCCCGAGGCGAGTTCGACGTTCCAGTAGTGCGTTCCGAATCCCAAGTCAGCACTTGCAATTTCGATACCCGCCAGTCCGGCGAGCAGTATCTATTTCCGCGTCAGCCTCAACTCTTCCATCAAAGTATCTGACCATCTAACTGACCGTTGCAAACACTGCTGCCCAGTCGTCCCACCACAGCCGATGGGTGGTCTTCCATCTCGAGAAGCACCGCAGTGCAACAGCTGGAAAGGTGATGGCTGAGAGGGCGATGGCGATGGTCTTGACTTCTTTGCTCCTCGACTCTTTCGGGTACGCGGCGCAGAGACTTGTCTCCAGTTGCGCGGTACCTGCATATCCGTCAACGCTGGCTTACACAGCCTTATTGACAACAAATGACCTACGCGCTTGGTCATTTAGGTGGCAGTTGAGTTGCATACAAGTCGACAACGCCGATTGTAACGGGATTTGGGGACATAAGCATTCCGCGACAGTAGCAGTTGATACCAAGCTACAGTTGCCGTTCGAGAGACCCTGTGTGACGCATGGAAGCTATCGCAGAAGAAAGACCTAGTCAGTCCTCCAATCGGAGATTATTGCAGCAGGTCTCATTTCGAAGAGACAGGAAAATTGCAAGGGGGTGTTAAAGAAAAAGAAATTGGAAAATCAAAATATCCGCCTTGGGAACTCACAGCGCATGTCGGGATTTGCGAGAGCAGTTCCGTAATGCTCTGCGCCTCGACTACCGCAGCCCAGAACCACAAAAGAAGCAATAGCAGCGACCGCTGGCCATAATGCCTCGAATTCCCGGTCATCTCCTAGGTATCCTGTACGGAAACATGTAGAGAGATGAGTGAATCCGAGACGAAAGCGCAAAAGACGAGAAGAAAAAGGAGAGGAGAGAACCGCTCCAGAGGCTGTAAGTGGCATGTGTGCGCCTTCCTTGTTCTTTAATATGGACCCAGACTCTTGTTCGACGACGAAGGGGAGGACAAGACGGATAGATGGAACGCAGTGGGCAGCATTGGATCCTCACTCCCAGACGGTGGCCAAGCCCGATGCCACGACCGCGCGAGCGAGCGAGCACCATTAATCATCACACGCGCACACACCAAACCACTCAAGCACGCTGCGAGCCGTTCTGTCAGAGAACAAGTAACCTGCCGCCATCTCCTGATCCTACGCTGGACGCGGAAGATATCCGGGCGAGATGAGCAAGGTAGGTTAGTAACCCCGAGGCAGAACTGTTCCTGATATGCCAAAAAGGAAGGGGGATCCCCGCCTGCACTACTGGGGGAATCCACATGGCGTGGATTTTCCTGACACACGCTTCTGCATGAACCCCGGTCAACGATGCTTTGGACCAGAAGCACCTGTCAATGCGTCTAGAAACACTTACTATGGTACATACTTCGCTGGTGTGTGGACCCTCTCTCGGTTTAGAGCATCAGCAAGTGATCGAACAAGTCAATCGCGGGAGATGTGAGACCCGTTTAATCGGGAAGAGAAACATGGCGCTAACCATCTATCGCGAAGCTAAGACGAAAGGATGGCATTCGGCCGGCGCGGTAGGGTTGCACTGGGGTTGGCCTGGAACCAGGCTGACGTCCCCGATAATGGCACCCGCTCACCACCTCCTGAGGAGGGTTATCACGCTCAAGGCCCTGTCAATGCGCGGGTAAATTGGAATGAGAGGGATGCCAAAGGTGAGAGATGTCCCATCTTTGAAGTGCCCTCCCGCTACAACAATCCGGACATGTCTACTGAGCACAAGAGCTTCGGATGCGCGATGTTGGGGCTAAGCGCGGAGATGTATCAAGTCGACTACCTTGTATCGCTCAGAGCTTCAGGGGCAGCAGGCTGTAGGCTGCTTACTTTGTTGGCAAATTTTGGACTAGGCCTGCGCGAACGCCATATCCGTTAGAGAAGCGGACAATGGACAAAGGCAAGGCTTAGTGGGACGATCAAAGAGTTCTGGCCGAGGAGATCAAGAGCTTCTTCAGCTAATGACTCGCAATGGGGGTAAAATCAAGCTTACAGGAGAGCTTGATTCGACACGCCGATGTTCGACCCATTAGGCAACTCATTCAGTGGCCAGGATGCGGCTATCTCTTTACCGTGTTCTTTTTGCAAGCATAAAGAAGCCTAATGCATGGGTCCATTGATCGGCGTAACGTGAATGAACTTCGTAAGTTTTCAGCCCTTTCCCCATCTGGACCCCAAAAATTTCCCCACCTTTCCCAATCGAGTCCCTCTAGAACCCCTAAACGTAAACCGAAGCGAAGCAACTCCGTCCCCGAACCAGCCGTGCGGCCGAAATTTGCCCCTCATTGCACAACAAAAATACCTACTTGGGCCGAACGGCGTCAAACCATGGTCGAACTCTGTTCCAATGGTCCCCGACGCCGGTCTCGCTAGCCTTTATTAGCTGACCCTGGAATCAGCCGACGCCTGGACGTTGACAAGTGATGGTGTTTCTGGTCGTGTGTGTCCCGCCCGTGTGCTGGAATGTCACCAGTTGTGACAAGAAAGCGCGTGGCTACTGTTACGGTTTAGTTTAGATTCTGTCAAGAGAGCTTTCACCTTCTAGACCGCCCGAATCTACTTCGAATACACTAAACATTGGTCCATCTAAAACTTTGTCAAACCCTCACAGTTCTTCTGTCTGATTTGGCCCTGGTGTAGGCGTTTTGCTGCTGCTGCCGTACGACCATGAGACTGCGTGGTGTTAACCAGCATATTTGTTCATTCTTAACTTCGATACTTCTTCCCCTTTGTTTGCGTCACCCTAGGGTGAATTGCGAGGGAAGAAGGGGTCTTTTAGAGTTCAGGTAGCATCTTTTGAGTCGCATATATCGCCGCTGCACGTCATGTTGGATGGCCGGATACCGGGTTGGCTTATCCGAAATTTTCTCGGAGCTGAACTACGCGTTGCCTTACATGTCCAACCCCCGCCATTTTTCAGTTTCTTACACTGGGATAACCTTGGGCGCTCCAGGCTGAGGGTTTCAAAAACCACAGGACGCACTGAGTGTTGTCTATCAAATCATGGAAATCGGGTCACTTTTCGGCCTGGGCTCTTATTAGATCAACCTTATTTTCAAGTTCTCCAGGTTTGAGTTGCTTAGACAGTACCTTTCCCTGCTGTGAACTCGCTTGGTCATCGAAAGGCGGAGCCTCCTCCGCCTTCTTGCTCTTGAGTGTGTGAAGTCGACGATTCCTGGGGTCAGAGGTACGTCTCAAATCTTGAGGTTAAGCGTACCAGCACGATGACATGTCAATCCCATCCAAACCTGTCTAGAATTCTTCTTTATTCTCTTAGGGTATTGGCGATGTCAGTGACAGGCTGAGATTGTTTGTGTCGGAAGTCAGATTTTCGGATATCTGCGCTTCGAAATATCCGCCATTGCCGCATGCTCTGGCTGTCAGGTGCCTTCAGACAAATCTTACCGGAGGCTGCGGATCCGCGACGTCGTGACAATTCGCAATGAGTGAACTCAAGATCCGTCAGCCTTTCTTGCAGCTCCATCGCTGTGACCGGCCGCTGGTCCCAGCACGTTGCAAGAACAGACCAGACATGAGACCAGCCCAACCCGGGTCCAGGCCACATGCAGGTCGGCGTCGCCTTCAGCATGCCCAGAAGCTTCGAATATCACCCCATAACCCCCTAACAGTTTCAAGCTTTGTTCTACTCGGACTCGGACATCATCCCGATGGATATAATCAGGAAACATGCGCATCTTCACCAGACAACGGCCGCCGCGGTTGATTCTCTGAGTGATCGAACGCAAATGGTCCTATCAGGAGAGAAAGCGCCGAGTTCCTGTGCGCCCGGATATCCTTTGGCTGACCGACATCTACTATGGTGGTATGTTTAAACTCCCTAACAGGTAGTGTGGAGACAGATCCACTTTCTAAATGACTCTCAGTGGTTGGATTTATGCTGGAGGTGCACAAGAACCTCGAAGTACTCATTGCTTAGATAGTCGAAGATGCACGGCCACTTCTACCTCAAAAGGGGGTTAAACTTTGGCCCGATACCGTAGTAGTTAAAATACGAAGTTGTCGGCGCGAATTGCCTTTGTTGGCTGTCATTGTCAATTCGGCGAACTGATGAACCTCGGCCGTTACGGTTGATTATGAATTGTTTTGCTTCAGAATTACAAATGAGCTCACTCCCAACCGCCTTTTTCTTTTTTTTAAAGCTAAGCATCCAGGCCATTTCAAATGTCTACAAGCAAGGCGAAAACCTTAAGCTCTAACGCTGAGTGGATTGGAAACTGCAGCGGTGAAAACAAATACGAAACTGCACGTGTCTTCTAGAGCGCTATACCGAGGATCTGGTTTGCCTTGGATGAGTGAGATATCCTCTCCCAGCTTCGGGAACCTTCATCATGTTCTAGTCTCAACCAGTGGAACTCGGTCTTGAAGTCGGGATTTCTTGTGGTCTCGAGCGGTTGATCTTTCCACGGTGTCGCCATTGGCCTGATGACTCGAGTTCCAACGGTGCTGTTGGAGGTAGGCCTTCTGGTGAATAATGTGGCCCGGCGCGAATTTTGTCGCATGTGTTTTAGCGAGTTTCCATGCTTCCTGTCTCGAGAACATCTGGCAAAAAGAGGAAGAATTGGTGGCACCGAGCTGCAGACGATTCCAATTGTGCACTCGGCAATCGAGCACAACACCCACGAGGCCCAATTATCTAATCCAGCGAGCCTTAATACATGCTTTGGCGCTAGGATTGACTCGAAAATTCATTGTATGGGTTCATGACTTACACGTCACATCGTCCTGATTCAGAAGCCGCAAGTTAACCATCTTTATCACCGCCGCAGCACATGAACTAAGCATTCATCAGCTTTCCCTTCTACAATCAATAAGGACGGAGAACTTACACGCCGCCCAAGACGAAAAGGACCGTCACCAGAAGTTTCTTTCCCAACGGCATCTTCATTTTCCAGAAATACGCCAAAGGCATGGTGCACAACAATACGTCGATGGCGATGTTGATAGCCGTGCTGGCGTGGAGAAAGTCAAGGAAAGGGTAGCAGGAGCTACCGCTGATGCTCGAATCCCAAGCTGCTGAGATTGGTTTGCATTGGAAGATGACAGCAAACACGGATGCAATGCCAAAAAGACTGGTAAGTATCGCCGTCGTAAAAAGTATCCACCGCCCAGTCTTCTCTGTGATGAGCCTCAGAAAGGAACACACCGCCGATAATCGTGTAAATGCAATCGCGCAAGGGTATATGATGTTCGCAATGAAGAGGAGCTACCGCAGCTGTTAGCCACCGACCAGCGGAAGTTCTCTTGTCCCTTCGCAATCCCTACCTGAAGCAGACTCTTCGTATTATCGGGCAAAAGGTCGGCGTCGATGTTCCAGTAGTGCTGCCCGAGACCGAAATCGGTCGCTAGGATGCTCGTCAGCTTCAGACTTTCAACCCAAGAGACCAGAAATAGTCCTGACGCGCATCCATAAACTTACCAAGTGGAAGTAATGAGCAAATCCCAAATGTGAAGAGAGCCGCAACAATGACTAGCACATCGTCGCTGTAAAAATTCCTCGTCATCGTACAGCGGACTATAACCCGGAGAGGCACGATGAGGCCAACCAAGACGAACGCCGCGAGATTGACTCCCCAAATTACTGTCACCAAGCTCGTTGCATCGTTGGTTTCGGCGCCAGTCGACACCTCCTCTGGCCCTGGCGCGGTTGCATTATCGAAACTCATAGTCAAGGAAATTAGAAAAAGGAGTTAAAATTTTTCACCAAACAATCATGGCGACACTCAATGTCGACAGCAAAAAGTGAAGCCAAGAAAAACATTCGCCAGAAGTGACACGATAGACGACAGTGCGTCGCGTCGGGGGAGGTAGCCGACGTTTTATTCCGACAGTGATTTTCCACCCTTAGTCGTTATGAGCCTCGACAGCCACGCTGGTTTCACGAGTGATGTTTTTGTTCCTTCCCCTTGGCGCCGCCACGCAAAGACAGGTCAAAGAAATTTCCCCAGCGACCGAGTCCCCGCGTCAACATTCGGGAGCTAGCTACAGCTGCAAAGGCGACTGTGCAGCGCGCCATGGAGGCTTGATAACGTTCGTGCCATCTTCGTGTCCTGGCGATCACATGCTAGTGATTTCTCCAGTGCCTTTTTGGGGATTGGAGTGCCTCCACTTCAGACTACCGCGATCTCGTGGATCTGGCTGATACTGAGCCGGTATATTCTCTAGTTTCATGACAAGTTAACGCGGAAAAGGCCTTGCTCTTCGTCACATTGTGTTTCAAAGGCCACGGCTGCTTTGTTTTATGCCAAAATCAATCGGCCATGGTTCAGAGCGAGGCGCTGTTTCCAAGTGGAACATGACCGTGACAATTTTAGCAACTCGAAGCTAGTCTGCTGTAGCTCGGTGAGCTTGAACTCTCAGGCACTAGATCCTACGCTAGTCCCTTGATTTCTGCAGCTAAGCTGTAATGCTTTGACGGTCTTTTCAAGGATATCTAAATTCTGCTCACCTAATCGAGCAATATTGTTTTGTTTTAGCATCACAACATTCACTGCACGTAGCGACAAGCCCCATTACGAGTTGCAACGAGGGTTGTATTGGATGCCCCTGAGATGTGCTTCAGAGAATCATCGTGCCGGTCTAGAACTGAAACGTATCCCATCACAATTCTCGATATAACAGGAGCCGCGGTGAGGCTAATCAGATGTAACTGTGGTATGTAAGACCACCATTATTCCCCTACGGCTATACCAGTTTTGCATTGCCAAGCATCTCGACCAGGAGAACTGGATGCAGTATTTCAAGAATACTTGGCCTGGAGAGATGCATGTATGGGAAAGGCCCTTTGCTATCGGTCGTCGCCGTGCTCGAAATATCATTCGAGCGTAGTCCGTGATTTGCAAGTGCATGCTTCAACTTTCGTTGCCTCCTCTAAACGGAGATATCAATACGGTACACTGCAGATTTCACTGAAGCCGCTGATTGAGAACAACAAAACTATATCTGCATGAAAATGATTCAGGGACATGTAACAACAAGGCGATGATCTTCTACTTTTAGAGATTGTCGTTCAACTCCCCTACCATGATTACCACTGCTCTAGAGGTGCGACTCCAATCTCGGAAAGATACTTGCTGACTTCAGTGGTAGTATTTTGCCACATTCCTCTGACCTGCTCCATGTCATTGGCTACTATGTTCGGAGTCACGACCTTTCCAAAAGGCTCCAAATATTTGCCTTTGAACTTATCGGGGGTTTCGCGAACTTCGCTTGCGGTGGCCGCGAAAAGAGGCGTCACAGCACCTTGATCAGTCGATATAACGATGGCTGCTCTGAGGAGCGAAAAGACCAAATTTCCGATTTCCTTGCTCCCGTCACTGGCCACGGCTCCTGGATGCACTGAGATAGACAAGATTGGCAGCCCTTGTTCGTCCATCAGCCGCTGGAGTTCCTGGGCAAACAGGAGATTGGCAACCTTGGATACCGAGTAGCGAATCATGTCAACCAAAAAAACGTGGCTTGATAAATATCGCCATTGCCAGGGATAGTAAGAAACGGGTTTAGTCAGAAACGATGGGGAGTCGAATGTGAACTGGTAATTCGATGGCAACATGACGTAGTTGACGTTTGAACTTAGTGTAATTATTCGCACATCGGCTCCTTGCTGCATAGTTGCCTGTTTGAGTAACGGCATTATGCCATTTGTAAAGACAAAATGACCAACATGGCTATGTCGAGAAACGTCAGCATTTCCCAGCCAGTGGATAATACATTGGCTTGGACGCCTTACTTGACTCCCATGTGGTATTCCCAGCCGGGACCCACTGGCTCTGTCGACGCAGAGCATAGACCAGCATTGTTGACTTTGTGTTTTTCTCATCAGTAGCCATCACCGTGTAAGTTGCATAAGTTTGGGACTGACTCAATATATCTACTTTAGTCTCCTTCAACTTCAACTCCTTAACTGCTGTCTCGACGCTTTTCAAGTCCGCCAAATCGAGCGGAAGCCATACAAGCTGGTTTTCGTCGATCTCAGGGTGTTGGGATGAAAGGATAGCACGCGTCTTGTCAGCCTTGTCTTTTGATCTCGCTGTGAAATATACTGTGGCACCTCGAAGGGCCAGAATCTTGACGGTTGACAGTCCGATGCCGGCGCTGTAACCAGTGAGATTGGATTGAACAACTGTCTCATTTGGGGGGGGGGGATAAACTTACTTACCTCCAGTCACGACAACTACCTTTCCCTTGAGCGGGGCATATCAGTCATCGGATCCCAGTAGTTTGACATTCTGAAATCTTGTTAGGGACAATACAATGCTCGAAGGGGCACTTTGGCAAAAGATCGAGTGTGACTTGTCTCACTGAATGGCAGCTTGGGCTTGATCTTTGGATCTGGTAGATTTCAACTTCTTATACTACATACGACTTGTCCTTGAAGCGCGGCATCTCGTCCTTCACAGATAGGAACCAGTCGTCCTCTCGGAGACTTTTTGACTAACAGTGTGTGGCTGCTCAGATAATCGTCCCGCACGCCGGAGTTGACAAGGACACGGGGTTCGGATGAATCCACTGATTTGAGGGCATTATCCCTTTTTGGGAAAATGTCAAGCTTGGCATTTTGCGACTGATCCCTGGTCGGCGTCGGGATGGTTGTTGTAAGGAGCTTCTCATTCGTCAAATGCGCCTATATACCCGTTAATCCTTCCCTAGTAGTCATCTCGCAATCAATTGGTCAACGTCTGAAGGGTGGAGAGTAGGTACCACCCCCTGGGCAGAAAAGACGATGTAACCTGACGGGGTTGCGAACGACACCCGACAATCAACAAACCATTAGCAGATCATTCCCTTCTCTGCCCATTTTCGCCCTCTCCTCTCGGTGTCACGTTCTTTACAGGTTGTGAAGACACATGAGATATATGCAGCTCGTACACTCGCCAGAGTCGTTAAATCCAAGACTGGTCGCCACTAAGACATATTTCGCTCTCCGTTCATGTCGTCTATTTGGCGCAGCAATGCGATTCGGCTATTCCAATCGTTATCTCCGACTAGGCTCCTAAGCCTTGCTCCACAGGCGTGACGCCACACGCCCGCATTCCCAGATTCATAGTCAGATCCCAATGGTTGACGCCGCTACCATGTCAACCGCTAAGGAGACTTCGCAAGAGGGTGGCTTCGTTTTCGTTCCGATATCTCACCCGAGCGAATCAGCGGCATGGAAAAAGAAAGTTAGATCTCATGCGGCGAGAGGTATCCAGGCCCGTAGGCAGCGGGTTATTGCCTATCAACAGATTGCCTCCACTTCCCCATCGGGACCTCCCTCAGATGGCCATGATTCAGAGGTCGTGTCATCCCATCCATCAAACCGATCTCCAATGGTTTTGGAGAGGGTCTCTGTCAGGAGTTCTCCAGAATTGAAACGTAGCCCTCCTTTCCTGACCAGCCCATATCATTTCTGGGTGCTGCAAGAACCGACCCGTTCAATAGCTATCACAGGGTTGTCACCTCATGGGAGAAGCAGCTCCTCGATCACTGTAAGTAAATGATTCGTCTACCTAGTAACGCGTACACAAGGGGTTAAGTTTTGGTGGGACGTATCCGCAAGTACGTACAATGTTGCAGACGCCTTTGAAAGCTTGTCCCATGTATCCAGCCACCTAGAACCGGAATGCTGACCTACTGCAATACACAGTCATGCAATACCTGATCATGCCACAGTTGATATGCGTCCCCTCCCTGGATATGGACATCTTGGGTGACAAGGGGCTGTTCTGGAAAGGCATGGCCACTTACTGGCTGCACAACGCCCTCTCTGACCCCGGAATGCTTGCCAACACCCTGCTATGGTCCTGCCGTCACATGGCGACCGTACGACACCGCGAGGTCTGTGACCTTCAAGCGACCAAGTATCGATTGGAGTGCATCCAGTGTCTCAACCAGACCCTAACAAAGGAAGGGAACGACATCAGCGATCTCACTATTGCTAAGACACTAGCTTTGGCCTCTGACTCGGTGAGAGGATTCCATCTTTGAGCCCACTATTTACACAAGCTGACTAGTCATATCACTCAAAGAATCTGACTGGCGAACATGACATCGCAGCAAAGCATATAAACGCTGTGGGTCACATGATTAGGATACGGGATGAGGGACAAGGGTCGAGCGACTCCCTCGGTAGGCTCGTCATATGGTTCACTGATGACAAGAATTCAGAGAACATGCTAGGCTCGGCGAACCTGAGCTTCGGCACAGAAATGACCCCTGTCGCAAAAGTAGAAAGGAACTTGTTAATTCATTTTAAAGCCTCAATAAGTGTCTAGGCAGCAGCACTCGGCCCCAGGCTTAGCAATCAGCAGTTCACGACGCAACTCAAGACGACAAGATCGCCGCAACGCCCCCGACCGCCAATGCCGACCCTGAAAAGGCCGCGGACACATGCCATAACTCAGGCGGCGGCGCCGCACACGAGACCACAGGAATTACCGTCTTCTACGCCCGCGCCTGCGGAGGCATCACCAGTGTGCTTGCCACCAAGGCATACCTTTCCGCCCGTCTCCATGTCCTTCTCGAGGGCCCCTACCCTTCATTCGGGCCACATCCCCCCCACAACTCGCCCACTGCACCGATATCCTCTGCATCGCCGGTGGCGTAGGCATCACTGCCTGCCTACCCTTCCTCCGCGACAGCGCAGCGGCAAGGAGCATCAGGCTATTCTGGTCGAGTCGGCACAAAGGTCTCGTCACGGCTCTCGCGCCTGCAATCGATGGTCAACCGGGCAGGGTGCAGGTTGAGACTGTCGTGGGAGAGAGGCTGAAGCTAGAGGCGGTTCTTGCCAATGAGATGGTCGCGGAGTCGGGTGGTCCATTGGGTATTATCGTGTGTGGACCGCCGGGCATGGCGAACGATGTACGTAGCAAGATTGTCAAGGTGGCGAGGACGAGTCCGAGAAGAAGGCCATATGTCTTGGTAGACGAGGCGTTTGCATGGTAAATCATCGTTGGATGTTGGAACGGGGCAGGGCTTCCTGCTCCCATTGAGGTGGTCTTTGCGTTGCTATCTTCTGTTTCTTAGCCATGCAGGGTCTGATCAGGGGTAAATATAGAAACCTCTTCAACATGGGAAACACAGATCAGACACCATCAATCAGCACACACTTAACTGACTTTTTTGTCCTCAAGTGAGAACCAAGGGAACATCCTTTCTGTCTTTCGTGATGACCGACGCCCTGATCATACCTGCACAAGAACTCTGGGGTTCTCTACTTCATTCATCGCGCTGCAGCCAAGCTTGATCAGGCCAGATTTGACCTGATCAAGACAGTTGATTCTTAACTGGCTAAAGGCGTCTTTCATAGCTATAGGTGAAGGTTGCGGTTCTTCACTGCACCGCACCGCTCTCTATAGAACTGATCACCTGCACGCTTCCAATATAGTCTGCTTTCAATGCTACGTCTGTTGCTAAAGGTACATGTATGGCAATGAAGATCACGAGAGGATAAATTAGTAAATGCAAGTGCCAGATCAATCATGATACTTTTTGGAGGGAGACGTGGAGATAATACGTGTCAACATGGCTGAATGATAAACTATAGTAATAGACGTAATTAGTGGCAATATTCGTTTCAATATCTCGATGGTCTCCCAGTGACAAAGTCCTTTATCATGGGCACCGTATCGAATATGGAATATAGACAGACCGCAATAAACGCCAGCGGAATACAAGGCAGTGCTCTGAGGAGACACGACATAGAGTGGAGCAGAGTATTGAGAACAGGAGTGGAGACAAGAGCCTACAATGCAAGCAGTCGCAGGAAAAGCTATGCATCGTAATTAAATGTCAACTTCATATCGTCAAGGCCACTTAGGGTATGCCATGTAATCTTTCCAAAGCTCAACCAGGTGATGCTTAATTAATCTCTTTGTTATCTTTCACTTTCCCAGAGTGTATACGACTCACTGACCAAAAACACTGCAACCTGAAGCAGTTTATCATCACCGTGATTGTCCTAGGAGCCTACACCTTGGGGGTAAGTGAAAAGGCTCTTGGCATCGTACTTTGCCTTGATGGTCTTCAACCGGGGCAAATTATCCTTGTAGTATTGGTCCTGCGCGTCCGCCTTACTCAATTGCGAATCGGCGTAGTTCACGTACCGACCCCAGCCGCTCTTGACCATGGTATTAGTAACTGAGGACATCCATTTGCCAAGGAACGAATAGCCAGACGAGGGATACGCAGAGCCGCTAGAGGAGTCATAGAATTGCCACAGCAGCACCTTATCGCGGTGCGCGTACGCGGTCGCCGTGTTTGCGACCTGCGCCGTTTTGGAGTTCTTGCCACCATGAACGTCAATCAAAACGAACCAGCCTGTGTTGGTTGACTTTGCAGTGTTTTGATAGAAGTTGACAAATGCCTGGAAGCCACTCCGAGATACCTCCTTGGTCATCAGGCTCGAAGCGTAGAAAGTGTCGGTCGCAGATTGCGGCCCCGTTTGGTCAAGCTCCTGACCGGCGTAGTGCTCCAACTGGCCAATCCAGTCTGTTTGTGTGATAGTGGCGCCACCAACGTCGATGCCTAAAGGCGAAAGGAACTTCGTCAGGACGCTGCGCGTCTGGGCTTCGGTCCCAAAGTAAAGACCATCGAAAGCTGTGCTATCTGGGGTGATGACTGCTCGCATGTTCAACTCAGCGGGCATGTCTCCCTGGGCGTACGTCTGAAGAGCCACAAGTGCGTCGATTAGCTTATCCTTCTTGAGAGTGAACGGTATCTTGTACCAAGTGACGACACTCGGCGCCGCGAAGGTGTTGAACTTGAATTCGGTGACGATACCGAAAGATGAGCCCGCGCCGCGGATGGCCCAGAAAAGATCGTCGTTCTGTGTTGGCGAAGCCGTGACTATTGTACCATCGGCAGTGACGACAGTCGCTTCCATAATCCAGTCGGTCGCCAGACCGTAAAGATGAGAGCTGAAACCAAAACCGCCGTGGATGCTGTGGCCTGATGCACCGACTCTAGAATGAAAATGTGAGCCACGACTTTCTCAATTAGGTATGGTACAATATGACTTACCCTGGACACGAGCCATGTGAAATAGCCCGGCCGCCTTGGTCGAACAGCTCCGTCGCAACGTGTCCGAGCCGAGCACCGGCCTGTACGGTGGCCGTATTGTCTCCGTTCAGCGTGACGCCAAACATCTCATCCAGCCGTACCACCACGTGACCGTCCTCTCCACCGAGCCCGGACGACGAGTAACTGTGTCCGCCACCGCGGGCCGTGATTTTTTTGCCGTACTGGGACGCGCATTTTACGGCCGCCTGTACATGGCTCGCATTTGTCGCCGTCACGACAAGCGCCGGGGTGAACTGCACGCGAGCGTTGTAAGGTCTGATATCTTCGGACCAGTCTGAGGAGGACGTTGTAGCGATTGGGACATTTGCGGCGTTGAGGCAGCCTTGAATGTTGTTGATAGAGTTTCTGGTCTTGCTGTTCTGAGCGTCTGCGGGAAGAGGATTGGCTACGGTCAGAGGAAGAGCGGTAACCGCTAACGAAAGAATGGAACTGATCCGCATATTTGAAATGAGTGTAGATTGATTGGCTTTTGAAAATTCAAGAAACGAAACCTCATGTCGGACATTATCAAATGTTATATACTATCATGACAGTTAGGACGCGGTTGATGTCTGTTTGTTCTTCGGAACTTGGCCACCTTGGATTCTCGGGGGTGGCTTGGGTTCGGCCGGGCCGCTCATCAACTCTTTGATGAAGGAGATCACTTTTACGATCTTTTGCACCGTAATTCTTAGTGCAGTGGGCCTTTCTGGGGTTTGGTCTCATCAATGCGAAGAGGCGCAAAATCTAGAGTCGGTGGCTGTCCTTAGTGTCCCTAGTTGAAGACGCAACTAGTTTAGCCTCGACAGAGAATTTATCCGCACATACGAAAGCAATTAACAGGCGAGCCTCGACCGTAGCTCTAGCGACGTTGGTTCGTTGGGAAGAGAAGTCGAATGTTTCTCAACCAACTGTACCGTTTAGACTGGCGCCCAATGTCTCGGGACCACCTGGGTCGTCGGGAAGATTCTTTTGGGTCCTAGTGAGGCATCGCCCCTCCATTCCTATATTTTAGTTCTATTATCGAAGTCAGTTCACTGAAACATTCAAAATTGTCTTTCCAGATATCACAACCAAACAAGATGCTGGTGGGCTAACACAATGTGATTGGCAAGGAGTATAGCTGATGAGCAAATGTGAGAGCTGCCTGGAGGAGGGTGAGTTATGAAAAGGACCGCCCACTAACCCGAGCTTCTACTGTAGGGTTTCTTACTATCGGTCATTGACGAAGATGTTTACGCCTAGGACAGTTTCATGTGTCCCTTAGCCACAACCTCGTTTGCATGGACGTATCAGAGATGGAAGAGGGATATCAAGACTGGAGCTCGAAACAGAAACCAGGAGAAAAAAGATGAATCTATGAATCACAATGGGCTACATAAATCTGCATGTTTACCCCAAATCTCATGACAGAATACACCTAAAGGTCGCCTGAAGTCCCAGTCCAAGGTTGAAACGTGCTGAAAGGTCCTCCAGCTCTAATTTTATCGCTACTTACTAGCCTATATACGTTGAATACTTCAACCACTCTTCATCTTCTTTGAGCCTGGCCATGTCCTCGTCCCTCAAGCAAATCGCTAGCGCGATGCTACCTTCCCGTGACTTAGGCATCAAATATAACAGGCCCTCCACTGGCGTGAACTGCGGTCTCCTGACAGACTCGGGCTGTCCCAGCCCCAGACCGAAATCCTGCTCGTACAGGTCAAGCTTCGCCCAGGAACTCAGCATGATGTCCCTATCTAGACTAAATGTCCCGATTAAGGACAAATTTCTCTTGTCGGGAGATTGGTCAAGAACCGTCGCGAATGCGCGTGTAGCATAATTCAAAGCTTCAGGGTTCACTGTTGACCGTAGCTGCGATGCCGCTTTTCCAAGGGGCCCGTCAACAAGGTCCTTGAGAGGGGACGAGTTGTAGGTCATGATCTGGATCATACCGGGGAATGTTTGAGGGACGCCAAGGTAGCCCCGCACGTTGACGGCTCGTGCAATTTTTATTTCCTCTTCAGGGGTTAGACGTGATGCGCGAACGCGAGAGACAGCTTGCCAGACGAAGGCGGTGAGGGTGTCGTCTGTTGTTATATATCCTGACTTGACCGTTTCAGAGGCTGCTGACTTCAGGGTTGAGAGAGAGCTAGCGGCAAAGTCGAAATAGGCCCAACTGCATTTTGCAGGTGCTGCTGGAGGTCTTACCGGAGGCGTCACGATCATTGTATCAATCTCGGGGCCTCGTTGGTAGTTGTCCAGCAACGGAACGATGTTGTGACGGGGTAGGTTTCCGGTCGCGATCTCCTCATCGGTGAAAGACTCGTTTTGACACGCTTTCGACAGGAGATCGATGATCTGGCCCTGACCAATCCCATCCATAGTCTGATGCTGACCAAGGAATGTGAGGATGAGACCGCCTTTGATGAAAGTGGCCTGGACGATGAAGACCGGGTTAGGTGTGCCAGCCAGAGTCGGGTCGATGGGCAGCGTCGGGCGAGCAGCGACGATGCTCTCGTCAAGCATGCTGAAGGGAAAGTTGGCCTGCTTCATGGCGTGCATCGTCGGCGCCGAAACGTCATCCCGTAGATCCTTGATGACCAGAGGCGGTGCCGCCTCATGTTGTTTGATTTTAAAGACGCCTGTGTTGTCTGCGCTTGCGCCTTCATTGACAACCTGTCCAGCGATCCATGGAAATGTCGCGGCGAGCCTCTCAAGGCCATTCGTGAGAGTGTTGATAATTTTTGAGGTTGAATGTTCTTCTGTGGCTGAGAAACAGATTGCGATTTGAGTGTAAATGTTGAGGTTTGGGAGTTGACCGAGAATCTCGATCGGCTCGTCCATGTCTTGTGTGAGTGTTGGTTGTCGTTGGTGCCACCAAGAAAGTTGTTGGTGGTTGGATGACTTGGTGTTCGCTCACAGGACACTCACGATTTCGGTTGTCTCATGATGAAGGAAGATATTGCTCTAAATGTAGGGGCAGTCGCTGTACTTAAAGTTGATGGCCTCGGTCACTGAGAATACATACATTCTAAGGACATTATCAATGGCGGGCTAAGCAGGGGTATCAGCTGTCATGTATCTTTAGATGAAATTTATGTGATGAGGTACAAACGAAACAATCAGATGTGTTAGGCACGATCCGTCCGAAGACACCGTCCAGACTTTGGCGTGCATTATCCATGCACGTCAGAAGCGTTATGGGGCGAAGGCTCGTTTATTTCGGGCCAATCTGGTTCACTATGACTCATCCACGCTTGTGCCAATTTAGCCGAACACTCACGTCAGCAAAGGCTGTACATGTCTGATAGTGAAGATTAACGAACATTACTTGTGTCGATGGTATGGAGATGCTTCAAGCAGACTCTTGAGATCATTGCATGTCCTGAACGAGTTTTCCCGATGCGCAAAATACCCTTGAGTCGGAGTCAGACTGTCAAGGGATCCGGTCAGATGGCGCGCGGCCTGCGCAATTGACTTTCAGGGATCCAGATCCTTCCGTCAGGCACCAGATCCCACCGACGAGAATTGAACGGAGAAGCTCCCAATTCACGTCAATTCACGCCATGCTGCACTAGCTGTTGGGTTCTTGGCGTTGTAGAAGGCCGGCGGGTCGGTGGTCTCAGCTCCGACGTTGTCAGCATCTTCGTGTTTATGCTACCTACTACGTAGTCCGCCCGTAAGTCGGCGTCGGATCTGCCAAGGTCGTAGCTACGGTCGCCACAGTTGATCATGAGGTCGGTGGGTTTGTTTGCTTACCTGACGAGGAGTTTCCGGCGGGCATGCTTCCATCTACGGCGACGATAGAATGCATGACTGACAGAATCCGGCCAGTCATTTTATCATGCGTCTACAATATAAATACCGCCACGATGTCTGTCCTGCTAGAATGTAGTATTGCACATCATTCATATTACGCTTTCAGCTCATTGATCAACTTTGACCACACCATTTCCTCACTCATAACAACCACAATAAAACATGGCTCAAGTACACGGCACTTGCGATCCCAGGTTTGAGCAAGTCCGTACTCAATTCCAGCAATTCATCGACTCTGGAGAAGAAATCGGCGCCGCCGTCACTGTCAACATCGACGGCGAGGATGTCGTCGACCTGTGGGGCGGTTTTACAGACAAGGAGCGCACACAGCCTTGGGACAGAGACACTATCGTCACCATCTTCTCCATGACGAAAAACATTCTCAGTCTTGCCATGCTCATCCTCGTCGATCGCGGGGTCCTATCAATTACCGACAAAGTCTCCAAGTTCTGGCCCGAGTTCGCTGCTAACGGCAAGGAAAACGTGGAGATTCGTCACATCCTCTCTCACACCTCAGGACTTTCCGGCTGGGAATCTGACAGGCCGCTGACGTTCGATGAGATCTGCGATCTGGACGCTGCCGCTGCCAAACTTGCTGCGCAAGCCCCATGGTGGGAGCCGGGCACTGCGTCCGGGTACCACTCGTGGACTTTTGGCCACCTGCTCGCTGCAATCGTCCGCCGTGCCACTGGTTCGACATTGCAAGAGTTCGTCATCGAAGAGATCGTCAAGCCTCTCGGCGCAGACTTTCAGTTCGGAGTCTCCGAGAAAGATCTGCCCCGAACCACAGATGTCATCGCTGTGGCCATGCCTCCCCTCGGGCCCGGAATGGGTCCACAGCCTGGTTCCATCACAGCCAAGTCGATGAACCCGCTGCCGATGCCGTTAGACTTTGGCAACGGAGCTGCTTGGCGTCAGGGAAACATCCTCTCTGGAAGTGGTCACTCAAACGCCCGCGCCGTAAACCGCATTCTTTCGGCCATCAGTCTGGGCGGTAGCGTCGACGGCAAGCGCCTACTCTCTCGAGAGACGCTTGACCTTATTTTCGAGGAGCAATCCAACGGCGTCGATCTTGTCATTGGTGCGCCCTTACGCTTCGGCGTTGGCTTTGCTCTCACCGTGGACGATGGCCCTGCTGCATACCTGTCGAAGGGGCGTGTTTGTTTTTGGGGTGGTCTGGGAGGTTCCCTTGCTGTAATGGATTTGGACAGGAAAATGACCATAACGTATGTGATGAACAAAATGTCAATGGCGGGCTTGGGAAACAGTGCTGTCAAGTCATACATCAAAACGATTTACGAAGCATTGGACGAGGCTTGAGTCGGAAGGATACGCAGGAAGCCTATATAGCTTGTTTCTGGATCGGACACCATGGAATCCAGAACGATCCAAACTTAACTCAATATTTAGAAATTAATCAAAAACACAATCCACAAATCCAGAAACCAGGTGCGTTTTCAGCTATAGTCTTTGGAACAAATATGTAGTTCTAGATTGACACAATACTTGATCTGTTTAGGGGACGCGCATGAAAGGGACGAAAGAACCACCCGGCACCATGGAGGAGAGTATCGCAAAGACTATGAACTTGATGGGTAATCCTTTTGAATGCAGCGATTCCACTCAGATTCGTCAGATGATCCAGTAGTAGCTTGACAGTTCAACATGCGAGATGGTGTCTGGCAATCTCTCCAATACGTTGATGGCAAGGAAAGCCCCTGGTAATCTGCCCGTTGGTTCTCCGATGTATTGGCTCGTAGTCTCATCTTAGTAAGATGTTGCATCTCATCCTATCGCAGCTCTTTGTACACACAAGCCCCCAACTTGACTTGATTCTCTCATCGGGGGTGTAGACTGGAGGACTTCGTGTATGATATCCCAATGCGCCATCACACACATAGTGGCCAAGACGAGTTACTTATTTGAGGGAGTTAAACTCGTAGTCAGGGGAAAACATTGCTCCAAATCGTAGGTTAATGCTCTGGATAATGTCGTTAATGTGTCGCGTTCACACCTAGGAGCTTTGAGCTGCCTCGCTAGGGACGGCGTAAAGGGGCTTCAAGTTGCCCAGTCGATCGCATGCGGCAAACTTCCACCATTTCGTGTGGAATCGATATGTGATTTGTTTGCAGAGAAGCTTGATAACCGGTGGTGCCGGTGGCCAGTTTACCCATCGGCCGCCCTCGAAAGCGATATCGTGATTAGAGAAGCAGAAAGGAAGGCCCTTGACCAAGCCCAGTGCTTTCTACTCGATATTCGTCAGAACATCATGCACCAGCATTGGTCCAGTGAACATCACTTACCATGCTCTTCTCGCCTTCTTCTGCAAACACCTTCTCCAACGGTGCCATCTTTTCGGTGCCAAAAGTCTTGAGCCCCAAGATACTCGGGATCTCATCTCCAAGGTGTTTTGTCAACACTCCCCCAAATGCGTCAATCAGCGTAACCAACTTCGGGCCATCAAACATTTCCTCTCCAGAAACGCAAGCGTCAACGTAGGTCTTGAAAGCGACCAGCCCATCATGGAACTCTTGATGCTGCGAGACGTTGCAGTCCATCAGCCCCTTGTGCCCCGTCATCTCCTCTATTGCTGGGAAGAAGTCGGCTTCTTCTCCTGAGTGATGGACGTGCAGCAGACTGTACCAAGCAAGTGTGTATTGCAAGAAAGCTTTCGTGTCAGAGGCTGAGACGTGTGGCGCTTGTAGGTATATCGAGTTCAGGCCGCGAATCGCCATGTTGTGGATGAGCGCCATGCCGGAGGCGATGCGGGAAAACACATCAGGCTATCTGTTTTAATTTCCTATCCAGTAGGTATGAATTGTTCGGGTAAACTGACCTCGGGCGCATCTTTTTCATTTTGAGAGGCTTGGTACGTCGGGGTCGGTATGAGAGCGTACGGGTGATCGGCGTAGATGGCCATTTTGGAGCTTCTAATTTAACAATGTTGACGCTCGTGCACGTGAGTGTGGGCAGTAAATCAGATAACTTCGGTATTGTCTGACATCTCTCTAAAGGGCGGTTCAAGCTCCTTCTTATTGTTATTTTTCAATGGCTGCACTGCGAGGCGTGCTTTTACAGATACCTCAGCTTCCATCCACATTCCACATAGTGCTCCAGCCTCAAAGCCACGTCTAGCCATAGCTAAAGGGTCTGGTCAGTGTTTGTCGAGCCTGCAACCTAACCTTAGATGGCAAAGGGAAGGCACGTTTGGAAAGTAGTATAACCTAACCTGACCGTCTTCATCGTTAGGGAGCGATGTGTTAAACCCAAATCTCTCGCTATTGGTTGCATTTGCATTCTCGCCTTTCAGCGTGGCGCGCTAGCCACTTGAGGGGTGGCTGGCGGCTTCCGAGCTGGATGTTGAAGTCATCCAGGCTTTGAACTTTAGCAGGGGCTGAAATTAGACTGAGAACCCAAGATAATGATATACCATCAGGTTGGAAGGCACCGAAACTTGGGGAAAACCAGCTGTTACGCCTTAGATTGATCTACCTCCAGTTCGTACAGACTGTGGCCACTTTACTGCCTACATTGCCCCCGATAATCCCTTTCGTCAGTCCGGCTGAAGCGTGCAAGACGCCTGAACAGGTTTAGTACCTGTTTTGTTGTGTTTTCTGAATTATCTCTTCAGAAGGGAGGGCACAACAGTCAAGTTCCATGTGGAATGGCTGCAAGAAAGGTTGAGGCAGCCGTTACCGACCGGAGGAGATCCACTCTCATCGGGAAAGGTGGGCCACTGAAGCCGGTATGCCGGTATTCCCCGCCGGTGTCCCAAATTCGGGCCGGGGGCGCAGTGAAGAAACCCGCTGTCACATGTGAATTGGACTTTCAATTATGCATGATTGTTTTAATCGAAATTGCGTCATGCCAACGAGCGACAGTCTGTGAGTAGGCCACTTGATGAGACAACCTGACTATGTCAAGGTAATGATTGAAGAGTGTGTATATACGAATTGAACAACTATGTACATAGAATAAGGTCGATCGGTCAAAGCCGATAGTGTTTTGATCATTTTGGCATGGTTATGCCCCAGCCTCACGGCAGAACACAGCCAGCGACAGGGCCCGTCCCAGGCACTCACGCAACATAGCCCTTGAGCAAGCTGTTGTAATATTGGTATCCCGTGCCGGAAGGAGGCTCGAAGCCGTAGATATAGTCTGCCCACCAAGGCCCAGCCGACCACCAGAGCGCACCGGTCCACACGTCCGAGTTGGCCTTGAGGTAGTCGAGCAGGCCCTTGACGGCGGTCTGGCACTGGGGGTTTGCTCCACCGGCGAACTCGCCCAGGACGCCAACCTTGCCGTTCTGGCGCAGCCAGTTGGTCGCGGCCTGAACCCTCTCGACGCCAATGGTTGTCGACACGCAGGTGGCCGATGTGCCGGAACTGTCTGAGTCAAGGTACTGATGCATCTCGTAGATGATCTTGTTCAGGGGGTCCGTGAGCGCCTTCATGTTGTCGTTAACTGTCGTCCAGGACCACGCGCCGGACCACTGGTTGCCCTCGACGAAGATGTACTGCGTGGCGCCGGCGGCACGGATACCATTGATTGCGGCCTGGTTAAGGTTAAGCACGAGTGTTTGGTCCATGGTGTTATATTCGTTGTTGGTGTCGAAGATGACCTTGTCGTTGTTCTTAAACTGGGTCGCGAAATTCTTCCACCACGTCTGGAAAGCATTGGTGTCGGTGATGATGGCGTCGTTGAAGCGGCCGTAGTTGTGGGGGTCCAGGACAGCCCATCCTCCGCTCTGGGTGATGTGGTTAATCACCTGCGTGTAATTCTGCAGGTAGGCGCTGTTGAAGGCGCTGGTCAAGGAGCCGGGCGTCATGCGCTCCATCTTGAGTTGGACACGGAATGTGTTGTAACCCTGGCCGCGGAGAGTCTGAACAAGCGTCAGCACGAATCAATGGCTGGAGGCTAAAGACTCAGGGGGGGACTTACGGTGATGGCTGCCGGGTCGGGGAAGGTGAATTCTTTGCCCCAGGTACCGGGCAAGACCTTCTCGCCTACGAGGTTGAACGTTAGTGGAGGTCTGATACCATCTAAGTGGACGAGAACACCTACCGAACTCTGCTCCAGCCTCGTTGACTCCAAACCACTTCCACCCGCCGTTGCTGGTTGGTGGAGGTGTCGAGGTGGCGGTGGGCTTGACCGTCGATGTCGTCTTTGTGATGAGAGTGGTCGCAGGTGGAGGCGGGCTGGAGCCGGGAAGGCACTGGCTGTACCATTGGTTCGAAAAGGTACAAGTGTAGCCGTCGACACAGGTCGTCGCTCCGGACCAGCCTTGGCCACCGCACTGAGACCAAGCGCCGGCCTGGGCAGAGGCCGCGCCGACGAGGGCGCCAAAAGAGAGCATGTACTTCATCGTGAGCTGTCTTCAAAATGAATCGTTTCGATGCCGAGGTACAGAACTAAAACAGTGTCTCGGTACATGGCCTTGGCTGCCTTTCTTATATAGCGGGTGTGGAAGCATGCCTCATGCGGCGATGAGCCCCTTCGACCTACTCCGTGATGGTGTTATTATCATGGAGCCCTCCATTCCGTGACACCTTCCCGCTTTCGTCTTTGAGGGCGCCAGCTCCCGTAAGCTCACTGGAGCTTCACGGCTCGTTACCGACACGACAGGGATCATCTCGACGTGATCGATCTCACCATCAACCTATATCGTCGGCTCAGCGATCCGCACGAAGCGAAATATAGCGCCGGGTTCCCGAGCTCGTTTCTCCTTCTAGGCCGGCCCATCTGAGGCCGGAGGTGTTATGAAGGCTTGATGAGGAGAATAGGCATCGTCGGACCGGTTCACTGGAACCACGCGAACCAGGGCCGAACCAGGTGATCACTGAAAGATGCGACCACTGCGCGGGGATATCATTTCCGAGAGCGGAAAGACGGGAGTCGCGACCTCGGACAAGATGTCTTTGGGGTTGGGGGTTGAGCCGGAGTATAAGCTTCCGACGTTGCATCGGGCCACCGGACGCGCACTTAATAACACATGACCACGGCTCGGGCACTTTTTCGGTACCAAAGATTTGAGAGAGCTCTCGCGATCGTTTCCACCACTTGGGTTCTCAGTTAGAACGAGGCTGGAATGGTGGAATGGGCAATGTGACCCGGTTACGACGTCCTTGGGCTTTTAGGTGAACTGGCCTCTTTTGAGCCCGCAAACTGCTCAAAATCTGTTCGAAAACGCTCTACCTGCTTCAAATAAGAGTTGTATAACTCGGTAGCACTCGATCAGACCCCAAGAGCGGAAGCTATATGCTTCAAGTTTATTAACGTGGATCGTCTGCAAGCCATCGGAGAGTTGTGAGCTTGGCCTCTTGGCGCCTGCGCCAAACGGACTTTTGCAGTTTTCATGCCACCTTCCTACTCAGATGCAGCTGAATGCAGACCGCCTGTTCACTGAGCGACAGGAAATGAGAAGCGCTTGTGAGCTTTCGTTGCAGATATTTCAGTTTGCCATGGTGTGTCGGGACTGAAACGTGGCCCAGTAGTTAGACTGAATCGGTGTCCGTATTAAGATGCCTTTTATCCCTAGGAGATCCAAACTATGACCTGCCCGAGTTTCTCGCGAGCGTTTCTGAATTGAATGGGTTCCATTCGATCTGATAGTTGCCAATATGGACTGGTCCGTGGACTCGCAGGTATGGCAAGGAGCGTCCACATTCGGGCTCTATTCAATGTCCATCTGGTATCTCAGTGAAGTTGGAATCCGTAGAATCTAAGCCATCTCGTCGCATATCCAGCAACAGGACAATCGGTATCATTGAACCATCACTCCTGTAACGCCCCCAATGCTATATGGAGTCTTATCCTTTCCCGCCGTTGGAGCCCTTGACAATCTGCGCACTACAAGTCATCTCTTCCAATGCCGTACTTGTACGCAGACAAGGCCCGCTCACGACACCCCTTATGCTCGACCATCTGCTCAGGATACCCAGCCTTCTTCGCCTGCGCACCAGCACCACGGCCATAGGGGTCGTGAATGGCCTTGCCCTTGATGCCCTTCAGCTCAGGAACCCACTTCCGGATATACTCCCCGTCAGGATCAAACTTTTCACTCTGCAACAGCGGGTTGAAAATCCGGAAGTAGGGTTGGGGATCGACACCGACACTGGCAGAGAAACCCCAGCCGCCGTTGTTTGAGGCAAAGTCGCCGTCAATGAGGTTCTCCATGAAGTGACGCTCGCCCATGCGCCAATCGATAAGAAGATCTTTTGCAAGGAAGCATGCGACGATCATGCGACACCGGTTATGCATCCATCCCATTGTGGTCATCTGGCGCATGGCGGCGTCAACGATGGGGAAGCCCGTCTTGCCCGCGCACCACGCCTTGAACTCGTCCATATCGTATGACCATTCGATGTTTGCGTACTCGGGCTTGAAGGGTTTGTTCATGCTGGGTAGATCCAGTCAGTGATCATGACATCTCGACGGTGGAGGCGATATGTGACTTACCAGACATAGGGCCAATTCACCAAAACGTGCTTGTAAAAGTCTCGCCACGCCACCTCGCTTATCCAGACACGGATGCCCTCAATGCCCGCATCAAGCTTCTTGGTCTTGTTCCGGTCGCGGGCATACCGTACACAGGTTCTCGAACTGATGGTTCCACTGGCGAGATGCACAGAGAGGTTCGAAGTCCCGGAATCATAGGGGATGTTGCGTTTGTTGTGGTATTGGCCGACCTTCTCCTCGCAGAACTTCTCTAAGCGGCTTCGTGCCTCGTGTTCGCCAGCCGGGAAGAAGGCGCGAAAACGCTTCTTCTGTTCATCGTCGAGCTTCCGATCCACAATCTCGTCCGGAATCTCTGTGTCAAACAAGTCATGGAACTTTTCCCTTGCGCTAGGAGGGTTCCGCGCGGGCGGACCGTACAGCTCGAGAAGGTCCAGGTTCTCGTGTACGTGTCGGACCCAGGCTCGGCACCAGGGAGAGTAAACGGCGTATTGTTTGCCTGCTCCGCTGGTGAGTTGCCCGGGGGGGACGACGCACGTGTCATGCAAGACCTCATACGAAAGGCCTCTGCCAGCAAACATTCGGACCATCTTCGCCTCTCGGCGAAGCTCGTCGACCTCGTACTCCATATTAGCAAACAGGTGGCTGGCTCCCCATCGATCCATGAGCTCGGCGATCCTGTCAGGTATCGTCTTGCGCTTCTCAACGGTCTCGACGTATAGGGGGATGTCCAGTTTGGCTAGGTCAGCCCTCAGAACATGCAGTGTCCGGAGCATGAAGTCGACGCGGATGGGGGCTGTGAGATGGGCTTCGTAGTCCTGGGGGCTAACAATGAATAGGGCGATCAACGGGACCCCTGCTTCCTTGGCCGTTTCGCTCGCAAGGGATAGCGATCGGTTGTCCATCGTCCGCAAATCCATCTTGAACCAGTGGACCACGGCGTCCTTGGGTTGGACTGCCTTTCGCGCTTTCGACGTCTCCTCGAGCGCCGAGGTGAGCTCCTCGATGGGCCTCGGGAGTTCGTCATTGTTGTAGGCGCGTGCGCGGTCGTTGCTCATCTCGTGAGGGTAGTACTTGCGGAGGACAATTCCATGCCTCTCGGCGTCCTTGTAGAAAGGATGCGGCCGACGCAGAGGATCCCCGTCAGTTTGCTCGGTCTTGGTTCTCTTCCTCCCAGAGTCACTGGATTCAGCGGCGGGTGCCGACTTGCGCTTCTGCTTGGGTGGCATCGTAGAGAGGTAACGGGGTTTGGTTGTCGGAAAGCTGCTGTGGGACGTCTTATGCGCGATGAAGAAAGGAGCAGAGCGCGAGGCGAGGGAAAAAACTGTAGCGGAGGTGGCAGTTGCAGTGAATGGCAGACGCGTGTTGCTGGGCAGCAAGACGCGACACGGGAGCATATGGAGAGATGAAGATGGAGGGTTTCGCGACTGGGAATTTCTAGATTACGGGATTCTAACTAACGCATCTCCCGGTATCAGCCTTTGCGAAGCTGCTCTAAAGCTCCAAAGTTCATGTAACAGCGGCGATGGGATCATGCTGGAGAAAAGTTCACGATCGGCCGATGTCTTGTGCGTCATCATGTTCCTGAAATCGGGAGATCTGGACGTGCATCAGCTTTAGCGTCCCAGGGCCCTGGTTTAGCGGGGAGATTGGGGGGAGGCCCCGATTTGGGTTGCGGGACCAGACCAGACCAAAGGCAAGCCATTCTGGTGGGCTATGTATGGTACCTAATCGGATCCGGTTGGAAGCCCCTTGGGTCTTACCTAGTATCCAGAGATAGGTGGGTACTATCTCTAGATCTCGGTACATCTCTCTGGCGTTCGACCGAAGATCTGCCAGCACGTGATCTTATCGATAAGGATGACGTCCGTTCCTAGCTCTTTGGCTCGCGCATTTGGCGACGACGAGAAGCCCCCAAAAAAACTTACGATCTTCACGACAACAAGGTAAAGCTACCCCTTCAGCTGGCATATCGAATCGCTATCGCCAATCTCTCCCCTTACGAAGCAAACATGGACCCGGGCCGCAGAGCGATGTTGTCGGGGCGCAGATCCCCCAGTCGCAGAGACCGCGAGAGAGACCGAGACATTGCGTCCCCGCGACGCGACCCCAATAACCGCATCACCAAGCCTTCGAACCCTCCTCCTTCTTCGAGGCCACGTCAGACCAACAACTCGAGCTACATGACGCAGGATGAACAGTCCAGACAGTTTGTCGCCGATGAAGACAAGTTTGTTCTGAAACAGGCCAAGAAGAAGGCTGACATTCGAGTTCGGGAAGGCCGAGCCAAGCCCATTGATCTCCTGGCATTCAATCTGCGCTTTATCGACTCCGATCGAGACGTCTTCGACGACGACGATGCCGACCTGCATATCAACGTGCCTTCTCCAGAGGATGTGCTGCAGGGCCTCGACGAATCACAGCTGCAAGACCTGGATTCCGACATCACGTCCTACCATACCCTGGAGCAGAACGACCGCAACCGCGCCTACTGGAAAGCTCTGCAAACCATCTGTGCCGACAGGCGGCAGAAGCTGAAACCGCAGGGCCCAGACGCTCGGGTCGTCAGCACAGTGTCAGAAGATGTCGACAGGATCCTGCGCCCCAAGACATACGAGCAGCTCGAGGCCCTCGAATCCCAGATCAAGGCCAAGTTGCGCTCCAATGATGATATCGATGTCGACTATTGGGAGCAGCTCCTCCGCAGCCTATTGGTCTGGAAAGCCAAGGCTAAGCTCAAAAAGGTGTGCGATGCAATCAGTGAGAGCAAAGCTGCCATGTTCAAGCTGCAGGATCCGGAAAAGGTCAAGGCCCTGGGGCAACAGCAGCAGCAGGCCAAACAAGCCGACTCTATTTCCGGCCCTGTAGCCACCAATAACCTGTCATCTGAACACTCAGGCAGGCCCGAAACAAAGGAAGTGCCTGTGTCAAGTGTATCCCAAGGTGGCGCGCCACCAGGAACAGCTCGTTTTGCCCAGGTGGGCAACGAGGACTTCTCTCAGGCCACCAAAGCTCTCTACGACCGCGAGGTCGCCCGTGGCATCGGCGAGGACGAGGAGATATTTACGGCTGAAGAGGCCGTTCCCAGCGGTTCGAAGCCCCAGTGGGCAGACAAGTATCGACCCAGAAAACCCAAATACTTCAACCGCGTGCAGATGGGCTATGAATGGAACAAGTACAACCAGACGCATTACGACCACGACAACCCGCCGCCCAAGGTTGTCCAGGGATACAAGTTCAACATCTTCTATCCCGAGCTTATCGACAAGACAAAGGCGCCTACCTTCAAGATCATTCGGGAACACGGGAGGAAAAGGGGAGAGTCGTTTGCAGCGGCAGGGGAGGAAGACACGTGCCTCATCCGTTTCATCGCCGGTCCCCCGTACGAGGACATTGCATTCCGGATCGTGGATCGCGAGTGGGATTACAGTGCAAAGAAGGATCGCGGCTTCAAGAGCTCCTTCGACAAGGTACGTTTTGTGGCGTTCCCCACGCTGTCTATATTGCCTTCACGTGGTGCTTCACCTCCTTTCCCGTAGCTCCGTGGCGAAGTCGACATGGTGCGTATGCACGGAGAGCACAAAGATCACCTAGGAGAAGGCAGAGCTGCAAAAGTGCGCCCGCACAACTGTGCCTCTTGCCACTTCTCGTCCTTTCTCCCTTCCCCCCTCATCTCTACCGCCTTCTCGAAGGAATCAACCCTCCTTGAATTGGCCATGCAATGCCGAGGTAGACGCACTTGGGGGGAGACCGCCATCCCGCGAGCTCCGCCCAGCACCAGCCGCCTACACGCGCCTCTCTTGATTTGTCTCCTGTCATATTTTACTCCCTCGTCCACCCCAGTCAATGGCGTTGAGCTAATCTTATCACCTACAGGGCATCCTGCAGCTGCACTTTCAATTCAAGAAGGTAAGGGACAAGTCCCACTCCCACTCCGGTTCATTGATTGCGATGACTGACTCGATGCCACCTGCAGATCTACTATCGGAAGTGATGGCACATGGAAATCGGGCTGGGGAAAAGGAGGGCTGCTTGTATTGTCACGATGCATCGGAGATGTGACAGAGACAACCGGCTGGGCGGGTACATCAGAACAGTTGTTGGTGTTGGAAGTCCTTGGCCAACCATAAGACAGGTCGAATCTGTGACTGCTATCTGATCGGGCACGCGTCCGCCTTGTCTTCATCGCCTGGTCGCCGCTCTCACTCTCGCTAGTACCATGTACTAGATTTTCCTCGTCACCGCCACAGACATTTCCCTCAAAGACACAAGCCGACGACCGCCGCTGGCCGCAAGCCGACCTTGGGAAGACAAGAGAGTGACGCACAAACACACAGGCGACCATAGCTTCGCCCTGAACTAATCAATATCCTGCTTCTCATCTCCTTGTGCAACCGTCGGTACCAGGGCTACCGGCTTGGCCAGTCAATCTCTTCGCTGTGCCTTCTCCAGAACTATCTACCTGGCCCCCACGACGCTAAGAGCTGCCACCCTGGGCGACTGACATGATGCGAAGCAAAGTTGTATCAAACTACCCTGACAAAAATCGGAGTACAATGGCTGCAGCTACTTGCTGATCTCCACACCGCCGCAGATAAATCCACTTTCACCCTGCCACGCCTTACCTCTCATCTCTACGACGATGATCCAGGCCCTTCACCGGCTAGGTCTTGGGCTCCAGCCATGAAGATGGTCTGGGATTCCGTGACAAGCAGCCAATGCTGTAGGAGGAAACCCTTGGGTACCACTAGACCCGGAACGATCCGCCTTCTCTGTGATCCATGGCTGCCAAAAGCGAAAAAACTCGAAATAGCTCTCCTCCAACAGGCGGCGACATCTCGGGCTAAACGGGAACGAACGTCTACCCTGACAACCGTCTTCCCTACTTTCTGAATCCCGTGGCAACAACACTGCGCCGCAGCATGGGCTTTCTAGAATGCGAAAGTGATCAACGTGTCCCTGGATTGGCGCCCAGCAGAGCGATCTTCCGGTCGTCCTGCAACCTCGTCTGGACGGCGACACTGAGGGCTTCTGAAGCAGGGCTCATGATGATGATGGCAGGCGATTGGCCCTCTCGCCAAAGTTGATGCACGCGGCCGGTGTACCTTCTGTTGCTTTCCGGGAAGGAATGCTGCTGCTTTACTCCTGGTGCCTCGCAGCTGAGTGAATACCTGGCCTGGGTCCAGTCGTGGCAACGACAGGCCTAAAGTGTCTTGGTCAAACTGTACATTGTACAATGAGGCCGTCACATCTTGCTACTACTCAACTCGGCCTGGCTGTGTCAATGTGTGTAACAATAGACCTCTCGCGGGCTCTCATGGTGCTAGCCTCAAGCCCTCCCCCAAAGAGCGCGTGCCATGCTGGCAACCTGCCGCCGACATCTGCCTCCTCGTTTCTGTATGTGCCCTGGATGAGCGAGGACAGGCAGTCTTGGGCTGCCTTGGTCGTCCTCTTTGTGGTCACTGGGGCAGAACTCCGCTACTGCTGTCGATCAGTGGTTGCACGCAGACGACCTGGATTATGGGTTGGCCGCTCTTGACGAATGGGCTACAAGCGCGGTGGCGTCGTTAGTTCCAACGGTCGTGGCAGGCCACTCTCGTGGCAAAGGGTTGATGGCGGAGAGGACAAGGGACTAGAACGAGGAAACCCTGAAGAGGTCCTACGGGCCAGTCCAGCCCCAGCCTACTGCACATCTTTCTTCCTCAACCGACCACTCCATCTTCAAAGTAGAAACTGGCCCAATGTTCGCACTGTAGGCTGAAGAGGGTGCGTCTTCAACGCCCCCCCCCCCCCCCCCCCCCCCCCCCCCACGAATGAGAAATGAAGGTCCATCATCCCGGTCGCCTCTATGAATGCGCCAGAAGAGACCTGAGACTTGGAAGCCATAACCAAGCCCCCGTCCGTTTGCGTTTGCATCCAAGCTCGCAGAAGATTGGTTGCCACGGATCTGTATACGTGCAGCGGAGAGCTTGCCGCAGACGTGGGAAAAGAGTTCTCATCTAGTCAACACACACACACACACACACACACGCACGCATGTCAAAGGAGACGGGGATGCAGGTGCGCCAGTGCCAAAAGCCAGGGTGTGCGAGAGATCCAGAGACGGAGAGGGAAAGCAAGCGGGCATACGGACGAAGAGCAACAGGCAGACGCACCTTCGCACGCAAGCATATACAGTACAAGCAGACACGCACATACACACAGGCACACACACAGGCACAGGCACACATGGCGCCGTCGCGGCTACGGGAAGACAAGACTAAATCAGGCCAAGCAATGAGCTAGCAGGCGGGCTGCCCTCCTTCCCCGACACCCACATGGCTGGCTGGTTAAGCCAACGCCCTCCCACCCCTTCCCCCATGCCTATTCTCTCTTCCACGGCCCACACACCCCATCCCGTCCATCTACCCTTGTCTTCTGTCTCTTTCCCTCCTCGTCGTCCCAAAGTCTGTACGTACCTTTGGTTGTACACAAGGCGATGGCCAAATGGGTCGGGATACGTCTATACCTTGCACGACCACGACGTCCTCTTGCCTCTGACCAACATGCGCCTCAGAGGAAAACGTCTCTCTTGTTAAATCAATGGGGTCGAAACCCTTGCTCGAGGCAGCTTTCAACATCGAACAGCACTTCTTCTCTATCAAGCCGCCATCACGAAGAGCCGCAGCTTTAATAACCACTCACGGCGCCTCTCTCTCGAAGCTCTCCTGAGACGCTCTTCACTCGGTGCCAACACTCTCATTGATCGTCATCATCACCATCATCATTGTTATCCTGTTGTCCCACTTGTTACTTCTTAAGCCTCGCGACTTGCTCGTCCCTCTCATTCTTCATCTTTACGATAGCAACACCAAGTAGTGTCTGTACCATCGGGCTCTACCTATTCTTCTCACCTTGAAACTTTTACCCGCCCAAACTTCTCCTACCTTGTTTCAGGAGTCTTATGTTGATACCCCATTCTTTTCGGCTTCCCGCTCAGATACATCGTCCCAGTATCATGACGACAAGCTCTTCGCAACCCGAGCACATGATGCCCGGTGGTGACATGAGCCGCCAGCAACAATACATTACCAGCACCACGCAAGCACCATCCACCTTGGTCGTGAGGACGGACTTGATGAATAACTACAACACCATGACCTCCGAACAACAAGAGCACCAGTTCCCCGTCCAAGACCATCAGCGACAAGGCTACTACCAGCTCTCCGCAATGAGCCAGCAATACGAGTCCCCCAACTTGAACCAGACGGTCTGGCCCTCCCCACCGTCAATGGTGGCCGACGACTTTGACAACGGCAGCAGCACCAACACTAATTACTCATACCACGGCCAAGTTGTTGCCGTGAATTACAATTCGTCTCCTCTCTCCCCGAGGACTTGGCCTGCTGCGACCCAGGCACCTCCTCCCACCTCCACCGCGCAGTTCGACCTGCCCCTTCGCTCCCATGAGACCGTCTATGAAGGCCTGAACAACCAGGTCTCCATGTCGCCGGACGACCTTCGCGGGGCAGACCTGCAAGTCCACCTGCATTACGACAACGGCGCCTTCCAACAAGGCTTCGAGCCGCGTCACTTGAGGAGCGAGCGGTTCCAGTATGAGTCCTCGCCCGCTACAGACGCTGCCGGGTCTCCGTACAAAAGCTCACCAGCGTCTTTCAGCGGCGACTTCAGCGCGGAGCCCGACGTGATTCCGGATCTCGGCTGCCAGCAGAACCATCTTACCCCAAAGCCACCACCCAAGGAGAATGCCAGCGGCGAGGAGCCTTACGCCAAACTCATCCACAAAGCCCTCAAAGACGCCCCGGACCACGCCATGACCCTGCAGGAGCTTTACAAGTGGTTCAAGGACAACACCGACAAGCCCCGTAAGGCCGAGGGCACCGGGTGGCAGAACAGCATCCGTCACAACCTCAGCATGAACCATGTGAGTGACCTTCTCTCCTCAGTAGCTCTTGGCCTTTCTTTCGCGTCTCGTCAGAGACATGATCCTGCCCCCGCAAAGTGCTCTAGGCGCACCACACCACGCCAGCACCCTTGCTAGTTGAGCGTCCGCAGCATCCTGCGAGGCTAAAAGCCGATCCTCACTCTCCCTCAACGATCCATCCGCGACCAGGAGAGCCCAGACTAACCCCCTCGCGTAGGCATTCCGGAGGAGGTTGCAGGCGGTGCTCCCCGACGTCGACGGCAACCACACAGGCACAGAGAAGCGCGTGTCGGAGTGGTACCTCGTCCCGGACTACATCAACGAGATCAAGCCGACGACGCACTTCCGCGAGGGCAACCGCGGCTCGTCGCACTCCGTCTTCTCTCGCCGCAACACCGCCCCTGGCGGAAGCGGCCACAGGCGCAACAGCCCTCCCCGCTCCTCCACTGTCACTCATTACCAGAACCCGGATTACCCCAACCAGTCGATGCCCGGGCGCGCCATCTCTGGCCGCCGGGGGGGCCGCGCGACCACTTCCGCCCGGAATGCCAGGCGCCAGCGCTCGCAGACGGGGTCCTTGTCTCCCGTGCTGGGGGGCGCCGCGGCCGCCCAGCAGCACCTTCAGCACTACCCGTACTCTCCCGCGCATCTACAGGAGCTGCAAGCTCGTGCCGACAGCATTCGGAGACGGAACCACACTGCCCTGGAAAGAGAGGCCGAGGGCATGAGGAACCCCGCCGTGGGACCCATGGCTCCCTCTCCTCTGGCCAACAACGTCGGCATCGGCAACGCTGGCGTCCCCGTGGCGTTCATGAGCTCCAACGCCCCAGAGGCGCTCCCCAGGGCTACCAGCTCCATCAATTCGGCATGGCTGACGTGTCTGGTGTATACCACTCACCGCCCGCGGCCGACGATGTCATTTACGGCTGGGGGTCCGATGCGCAGTTGTGAAAGATGGCCAGATTGCCCACATCTGCATGGTCTATGGTCACGGTGGCCGTTGTGTTGTACTGCGGGAGGGGGCCTGTCTTCATTCGACGTCTAGTGGCCGTCTATTAACCGTTTTTCCCCTTCTTGGCGTTCATTGGGGGTGGGGTTTTTTTCTCACTGGGAGCGGAACAGGGATGGAGGGACATTCCCGTCTTTCAGGGCGACGAAAATTGTGCTTTTTTTTCCCAATCCTCTTGTCTTTTTTAAAAGGATTTGCGGCGCAGAGCCAGAGAGGCATGCTTGTAAGTCCTGGCTGCTGAGCCGCAGGGTCGAGGGATAGCCAAAGAGGGACAAGAGGCTACGCGATATCCATGTTTGCTATCTCCAGATCCGTCTTTCTCGCCATGCTATCCTTATTGAGAAAGAAGCGTTGGGTTAATTTCAGTTCCGTTCCGTCCGTCAGGGTCTTGTCTGATACCGGGCCGTTCCCATTGGCCGGAAACATAGGGGGAGGCGGCCGGCCTTGTCCTGGGCTGTGTGGGCCCCGTTTCCCCCTCTACCCCGGCTGCTCTTCTCCCGCCAAGATCTACTAGGGTCCTGTTGGCCAGTGCTCGGATTCCGTGGGCTCGAGGCGCATCGGGCCAGTCGGGGCCGGGCTAATTACTTGTCTGCTTTCTGTGCTGGTGGTTGGGCGAGCGAGATGCCGCCGACGGCGACGACGGCGGCGGCGGCAGCTGCAGCGGTGGTCGTGGCAGGCCTCGGTGTTGGGCGGTGGAGGAAGAATACATAGACCATGGATATCTGAAAGATTTACCGTCACAACCAACTATCCTCCCTCCCCCCTCCATGCAGCCAGCTCATACACCCACACCCCCCTCCCCGAAATCCGAACTCCTGCTTGAGCTAGTGTATGTGGTTTACGTGGAGCAGGGATAACAGTGTCCGTTTTTCTTCGACCTGCAAGGTTCGAAGGAACAAGGCGAGAATTGGTTAGCTATCCTATCCTCTCTTTCCAATATCTTCGTTTCTTTCCCTCTTTCTCATCGAGCTGTGTTGGAAGGGGCCCTGTTCGCGGCAGCCGGGAGAGGAGGGAAGCAATAATGAAAAGGCGATCCAAGGGGGTTGGTCGGGGGATTAAAGAGCGAGCGCGAGCGGCAAGGGAGGGAAGGGAGAAGGGGAAATGAGACGAGAGACAAGAGAGAGGGAGAGAGGGAGAGAGGACGCGGCAACACCCCGCGCTCCTGTTGTCTGCTCCCCCCTCTTCATTTCTCGCTTCTTGTCCTCTCCAATTTTCCCTTTTCCCTTTTCACCTTTTTTTTCCCTGTCCGTCACTTTTCTCTCAACTACAGAAGTGATGCAGCTACGGCACAGTGCGTTGGGAGCATATTTGAGGGGCATTTGACAAATCCGTGGGACAACAATAACAACAAGAATTCGCTTCTTGGGACGACGACTACCGGGGAGTGAGACAATACCAAAAGCCATTTGTTTTTTCTTTCCACGTCGCGGTACAACATCCAAGTCTTATTTTCTACTTGGGAATAGAAATAGTTCATCTTAAAAAAAGAAGGACCAAGAAAATAGACCATCATCCATAGAGCACGTGCAGCCGCTGCTGTACAAGAAATACCCCCTGCTCGCCACAATGTATTCACTCTTCTGCTCTTCCCTACTAATCTCCCGGTTTCGTCCTTCACATCTTCTCAACTCGATGACTCGGTACGGATATGGAGGCGTCCAGACTTTCGTGCAGTCAAAATAATGCAGTCCGCCTCTCGATTCAGGCAACGAAGCATGGGCGAACGAATCGCCATGACAAAAGAGAGGGCTACATCCCGCCGTCACTGACGGAAATAAGGCCCCAGGCCGAATGCTCGGTGACTCGTTGACATCAAGCGCGCTCATTCTTTCTTTTTGCAGTCTCTGGTCCCTGCCGTCTGCTGCATCATGCCCATCCAAAGCCCATTCGGGGCCTCGTCGGCTCTACGAACACTCACGCCCCCTCACCAAATGCCCTTCTCATCTCGTCGTGGGTCTGTAATTTACCAGTATTTCGGGAAAAGAAGGGCCTCGAATCCTTTCTCCCTTGCGTACAACGGCGCGCGCATATCACCTCCCCCCTTTGTCACCTCCAGTGCCAGTGGGGCTGCGGGCAGACCAAGGGATGCGAGAAGATCTGCCCGCGCGTGGGTGAGTTGTGACTTGACTACGGGTGTGGGTGTGGCGGTATGGTAGACCTTGGGATCAGTACAATCGATCACCCAATTCCCTGCTTCTCGGTCATTGGTTTACGGAGGCGCAAGGGCGACGGTTGATCGGTGGCAGGAGTTGGCGAGCCCCAGGGGTTGGACTCGAGTTGGAGAAGGTAACCGGGGAGTCGACAAGTCGACGGGGGCTGTCCGGGATATCAGCGGAGATAAATGACAAAGAGATGATTGCCCTTCAGATTACGCGGAGTCTACAGAGAATCGGAAGCGTGTGTCATCTCCCGCCTCTGTGAGTGGACGACAACCAGCGGGTGGTGATGACCAAGAAGTCCAGGGGTGCAGGCATGCCGAGGGGGTGAACTGACTGGGGTGATTGAGTATGCAGGACAATGGTAGTGCTGGCGAATGACATGGTCAGTCACTGTTTCCGAACCTGGCCACATCAATGTGGAATAATGGCAGTAGTACGGGAGGCATGGCAAAACGATAGTTTAGTAAGCTGAGTACTGCAGCGTAGGTTGTGCGGATGGGCAGGCTGAGTCCTTTACCAGTCAAGGTATCTGGACCGCGGATGGCGTTCGCAAGCGAGGAGCCATTCATTCATTCAGAGAGAGAGCTACCATGAAACTCGAGGGGAAAGTGTGGCTTGTTGGAAGAGCAGCATCGATCTGTTGACTGTGGTTGAGAGAGATGGGAAACAGGAAATCTGATCGTTGCGAAGGACAGGGAGGGATCGTCAGTGACCTGCAAGTAGGCAAATGCCCCAGCCCCCGGCCTTGTGATGGCCCAGCCATCACGGCTTGACGTCGTTCCCTTGTCGGTTGGGGCATAGCAGACCTCCCGCAGGGCAAGCGTCAGACTCTCATAGGTTGTGTAGACGACGGGCGGCACGTGGTTGCATCGACCTGGCCAGCGGCATCCGTACGAGCTTCGCATAAGGGCTGAGCGATAAGGCTCGGCGGCGGAGGCGGCGGAGGTATATCGTGCATCTGAGTGGTGAAAGTACCAGCGGCCCACCCTAAGCGGCACGGGTTCTTCGAATCCCGAATAGTGCCAGGGCGATAAGTGTACACCGGTTTCTTCTCCGCAGTGCATAATCTTTGGTCTGCACACTAGCAGTCCGCAGTCCCTTCGTATATCGTATACTCCCCATCTACTCTTTGATGAACCTGCCGAGCATCCCCTTTGAGCTGGGTTCCGGAAGCAAACCCCGCAAGGCGCGGCGTTTGACGTGGCGCTTCTAATGCAGAACCTCGAGCGTGCAGCTGAGGTCCAACAGGCTCACCAAGTCGCTAGAACAAAGCAGTTCTCATACCCGTGGGGGGGCGTCAGGCCGCATATCACCTTGCCGGCGATTTCTGCCATGCAGCCACGACTAGCCGTTGCCTGCCGCACTTGGGCGAACGTCATCCTTGCTCATCACATCTGCCATTGAGGGTTGCTGACACCGCAATCCGCCGTCTGCCATTGGCTACCAACTGCTTGGGTTGGGCTAGACAAGAGGATCCGGGTCCTGGTCCTCGTAGATTGTGTTGCCAGTTTTGTATCCTGACTAGCATTGACTGGTTGTGTGGGCGTGCAATGCCCACTCAGGCCAAGAAGGTGAGATGAACAAGGCTTGGCAACGAGCCATCGATAGAGGAGGTATGTCGGCGCCTTTCCCTAATTTGCCGCTTCTTGTCTAGGCGGCTAGCTGGAAAGTTCTAGGCGTCAAATCCGTATCGCAACATCCAGCAAGGAATTAGGCCCACAACAGCAGCCTAGAAGACAACATCACAGTCTTCATCCAGGTCAACACTTGCGTCGGGCTTGGTCATGGCCTTGTAACGGTTACCACGAAGATGTAAGGCATATTCTTGGAGTCCAGCGGCGCAGCACACCAAGTCGGGCGACCCGGGGATTGCCTTGGGACCGATGCCCAACCCACATTCTTCTCTCAGTGACCTCTGTCTTTTGTTTCACTAGACTAAGTGGTAGAGCACGCCACAAAGATGATCGCAAGTTGGCCACTCACTTCCTGGACTGGAGAGGAGGCTTGCGTCTTCAGGGATGGAGGGTTGGGTTATTTTGATTGACAAAGAGGGACAGTGGTTGCATGATCAGATGGCCACAAAGCTGGGTTGCCCTGGCCTCTCATCCCTTGATCGAATCTTGGGGGTACATCCGGTGTGACGCCATATGCCGGTGAAATGGTAGCGGTCGCCGGGATTCCACTGCGGCCGTGGGGGGCGGGCTATTGCTGCGAGAGCGTTCCTCGATAGACTCTGAAGAAAGGTCGACGATGAAAGCACCAACGGCAACACGTCGTTAAAACAGACTTGATTGCGTCCTCTGTCTCTCCAAGGGGTCCGCTGCTTTCTTCTTCTAGCGTATAGCGGCCGATAGGCGGAGACCTTGCCGATAAACCAGGCCCACATGTAAACGCGAACTGTTGGGTGCTAGTGAAGTGAATCTCAAGATTGCACCTCGCTCTTACACTGACGCCTTGGGTGCTGCTATTCGCGGCAACCCGGAAAGCCTCTACGCCTCTCCTCGAATCAGAACTCACGTCGGTTGCGCTTGTTTAGGTCGAGACTCGGGTCACTGTCGCTAGGACGGAAAAGACTCGGCAAAACCATATGCGCGACGGCTCTTTGTGGAAACAACCTTGTAACCTTTGTCATCTTTCAGTTCACGGATTCGAGCCTGGTCCCGATTTTGCGAACGGTCTGGTGCACTTGTATCTTCAATCACATGTTGACTTCTTCCGCCAGAGGGACGAGGGAGAGCAAGTGCTGGATTAGGTACCCGAGTCTGGGTCGCCATGTTTGGCAGGAACATTGCAAGAGCAATGGTGCTCTAAGTCCCCGCGTGGCCGCGCCAACGGCTTTGAATCGCTTGTAATGCCTTGGCGGTACGGCTAAGATAAGCCGCGTTAGAGACCGTTATGGCCTGGTCGGAGGGCGCCACGGAAGCACACCTCCAACGACATCCTAGGAACGGGGAAGTTGCCGATGCAGTTGTGATTCGCTCTTGGCGGCTGTTCCCCCACCAGGAAACCATATCCTGGTTAGAGTCCAAAAGGCAACAGGCTGCCTGTTTGACACATTTGACAGCCGCTGTGCTAGGCGAGTTGACACTTGATCTTGCTTTGTGGCCACCTTCTCGAGTTGCCTCCAGCAGCCGTTTCAGCGATGGCGTAATCGACAGTTGCAGGATGGGAATTCCTGTGCTTGTTGCTGGCTGAGTGGGGGGCATATCCCATCAGAGCGGCCGTATGTGGCTGTTCTAGGCTAGTCGGCCGTTGATAACCATGGAACAGCCCTGAGATTCACCAAAAACCCGTCACATTTCCTAACCCTGCAACAATTGTGGCATGTAAAACACAGATCTAGGTTTGAGCTGGGCACTTACCGCACCACCACCATCGGGAGTCCGTGTTGCCGGCTGTAAGTCGTCATCAAGTATGATATCGATGCCCGCAATACGTGACAAATCCTGGACCTCTGGTGTATCGGGATGCTGGAACCACAGTGTGTCCCCGGGTCCCTCCATCTCTGCCTCTCTGAGATACGGACGTAAGGCAGTGAGCGGTAGCACAGCGCATGGCACTGGTGAGGGAGAGAGCGCCCCCGAAGATGATTCTAATCTCGCCCACCGCCATTTGACCCTCCATCATTTGGCTAGGCTGTTAATCGTCCCTAGCATGGATTCGTCGTTTCGCCCTTGTTACCAGACGTCCCGATGCATCTCGTCACTACCCTCTGCATCATCGGGTTGAAGTCGAGTCTTGCCGGTATTCACTCACCGTGTCTCGAAGACTAGGCAGTCATTGCCTGTGTGTTGCCATTCGCCATCTTTGACACTCTCAGAGAGCAGATTTGGGGGGCCAGATACACCCTTGTTGTGCTTCATCGCGTAGCACGAAAAGCAGAATCGGTGCTCTCACAGGCAAGCTGCAGCCTAACCGGCCCATGACAAGGATCCTGGTGGTGTCTCTGGAGTCTGGGTAGGTATGTTCCGTCCAACCGCTTTGACTGCTTCATCTCATCAACTTCGCAGATCTTGCTATCAGTAGCCAACGACCAGCAGCATGTCAGGTAAGCCCTTGGACTGCCAGTCCCATCGTCTGCTATACTGTGGGTACACATACTCGAAAACTGGTGTCGTTGGGGCTTTGAAGGCTTGTCGGCACTCCCCTCTAGACGACTCGTGGAGTGTGTGACTCTTTGGTGAAAGGTTTGTGATTCTGAGAACTGATCTTTACGACGGCAAAAATTCTTCTCCAACTTCACGACCTCAGGTCTCAGTAGTGATGGGTTTCTTTCCATTCTTTTGCGATCGAAAGTTGATTTTCTCAGCCCGATGCAGCTTCCTTAGTCTGTGTCATGTCAGGCGGTGAGAAAAGCCGGGCAAACCCGCCCAAAGTGAGTTTGAACAGTGTACTTGGACTCCTCAGTGATTGCTTCGAGACCAGGATTACTCTCTAATCGAGTGGTTTCCGAGACTCTTCTACATGGTCAACGGGTTTGGGAAGGTTAACGGCTCCCTGTGTGGTTCATATCCACGTCGAAGTTCCGCCTTCACCGAGACGACCCGGTATTATTGAAGCCATGGGATCAGCATCCTTGCGTTTGAGCTTCCGTGCCAGAAACAGATCACTGGTCGGCGGCCGAAGCGGAAAGGGCGACTTGCCACGAAGTTGGCTTCGTTCAGGTGATACATGAGCTAAAGGCTGTGCTCGCTAAAGTAGTCATCCATCCGCCAAGACAATGTCCTATCACCTTACGTGCGGAAGGGCACAGTGTGTTGTGCGGAAATCCGGCTAGTGAACGGGACGAGCCATCGAAGCCTCATCCGATGCAGCATCTGGATGGCGTAGCCTCTCGCTCAATATATCTCTAGTCAACCGGGGAGCTCTTGATCGAAGTGGCGTCCGACCCTCTCTGTCCATATGCGTTCTGCGCATATGCGAGATTGCGTGGCCTAGTCTCGATGCAACGACGTCTAAGAAGGCCATTCGAAGGCCATTCTCCGTCGCATCGAAGTAGCACGTCGGGTGGGGAGGTTGCATGTAATACTGCAAGGTCGCGTTGAGGGCCGCGCCTGTGGGCAGATATCGGGACGCAAATCGTGTGAAGTTACTTCGCCCGGTCTTGAATCGGACTTATACACAAAATATGAGGCTGCCCGAGATCCTGTCGTTCGCAGAAGCATCTGCAGAAGCCGCTGCTAGCTATCTCCGACAATGCTCGGCAGCTAGTTGTTTGAAGTCACGACTGAGAGATGAGATAAGGTGGCGCTCGCTGTTTAAACATCCGAGACATCATGTCTCATCTAGTCGCGCAGTTCCGCGTTGTTGCGTTATTCTTTTCTCTGGCAGGATTGCGGGGCCCATGTGAAGCAGCATTCTCCCCACGGCGTCATGTGGAAGATGCCGTAGATCCCTAGCCTGATTGGAAGAGACGACGAATGTCAAGCTAAACGTAAATGTTCCCTAAATGCGTCGGGGGAAGGGCTTTCGGTAGTTCAAAGATGGCAATTCGTGACATTGCACGTCAAGTAAGCTGTGCAGCAATACGCATTTGGCTATCGTAGGATTCGGCCACGTTAGATCGTGAAACAGGCTGGTGAGTCGCTAGCCTCTCTTAGGACCTCGAAAATACTGAAGAGTGTGGCCCTTGCGAAGGTGGGACATGTTGTTCGCCGATAGGATGCGACGTATGAATGCATTATCGCTCAACTCCTCTGCACTCTTCTCGAAGAGCTGGGTAGCACCAGTCGCGTGACAGAGCATGCTTCCTTTACCGTCTACACTCACCTTGCATCGCTTGAAATTCCGGTATCACCTCGGAGAATGGTGTAGCCGAAGGTGAACTGGCGGCTCTGACCCCACTCGAGCATGTCAGATACTGTTACTCAACATCGGACAGACGGGAACAAACATCTAGTGTCGGACAAGGCGAACAGCGAACATTGTTTCGGGCCGTTCGGATGATCCTAGAGCGTTCTGCATGGCCGGGATTAGGACGCCTGTGAAGTGCCGGCAAAACGGTGTGACTTTGGAAACGAGCCGCATCTGAATCTCGCTGTAGGATGATAGGCATCAAACGCTTGCTGGTAAGTTCATGTATAGCCCGTACGGTATCTTTCCGGCGTTTGACTGATCGCGCGGGTCTGTTCCGAAAGCACAAGCTAGTGTACATCAGCTGCGACATGCTGGCGTAACACCCGAAGCATGAGGTACAACCGTGATTCATAAGGCAATGCAGTGCTAGCGGTATGCACTGCCTCTCGTCACCGTCATGGGCTTATAGGCAGAGATATCGCAGTGCGGCTGGCTGTGTCATATTATTGGGCCTCCAAGGTAGCAATGGGAGGTGCAAGATTTGGAACTAGGGTCGATTTAGAACTTCCGCTTTTTTCGCGCCGGTCCTGACGCGGCCTTTTTCTGCAACTCTTTCTGCAGCTCATCTCGTTTCCTATCCGCCCGTTCTTGCGAAGTTTCCCTGGGTTTCTCGTGAAGGTTTGTGTCCTCTCGGGGTCGACCTCGCTCTCCCGTAGCTGGAGCTGTTGGCTCGGGCGTCTTGAGAGCACGAGCATCTCCGCCAATCCGACCTAGCCCGTTTCTCTTTGGTGGCTCGGGTGATTTGGAATGCTTTGAGTCTCCACCGATGCGATCCAGAGCTCCTTTTCGTGGAGAATCCGGAGCCTTAGACCCGCGAGCTTCGCCTCCGATAACACCAAGACCAGTCTTTGGACCCTTCGTACCAGACTGCAGTTCGACATGTTGAGGCGGCGACGATGCCTCAGCTAAAGAGGCGGTAGCGTCCTCGTCAGACTCTGTCTCGGTTTCCGAACCCTCTGGTTCTGGCACCTTTGGAGGCGATGGGGCGCGAGTGGGCATGGGTTGATGTCTCTTTCCTATTGTTCCCAATCGTGAAGGCTGGGCCTTGTGCTCCGGTGGAGGTGCCGGTACGCTGTCGGGTATCAGCGAGGCGTCTCCGTCCTCGGTGCTATCGTCGTCGTCCCCGGATGAATGTTTCGCAGGACGCTTGCGAGTTGACATGATATGAGGTGGCGTTGACTGCACCTGGAAGTCATCGTCGTCGTCGTCGTCATCGGCCGCGACCTTGCCGTCCTTGGTTTCACTACTCTTGGATTCCTGCTGCCCGGACGCAGAAGACGACGCCCCCTGCTGACTTTGGCGAGAGCTTGGCTTTGACTCCACGATTTGGATACACGAAGGCTGTAATTCGGTCCACCAATTGTCGAGCGACGCGGTGTCGTGTGCGTCGGCCTTTCGGCGGTACTCGAGTCCAGCGGCACCAAACACGCCCCGGACAAGAGTAGACATGTCCTCCTGGTCTCCATCCAGATGAGCCTTCCAGTGGTCAGGCCGGAAGGGTGCTAGCCCTTTGACCTTTTGCTCGGCCATCTGTCTTGTGGGCTTTTGCTTTGCGGACAAGACAGTAAAGATGTTTTCCAAGCGGGTTCCAGTGGCTTCAAGTTTGTCGAGAAGCTTCATGATGATAGTATCCTTTTGCTTGATGGTCTCCTTGAGGAAATCGACTTGTCTAAGTCCGAATGAGTGTGCTTGTGCGAGTGGGACAACAAGTTCGGCAGCGAGCTCAGACTGGGAACATTTTTGCAGATACATCGGCCATTCTAAAGGCTTCATGTTTTCCAATTCGCAGATGATATTCAGCGTCAGGCTCTCCTCTCCTGCTTCTTTGCTGGGGCTGGTTGATAATGTCATGGATGCCTTGTCATGGTCTGGGTGAGAAGGGTCAAAGACGGATCTGATTTTAGACAGGAAGGCACGCATATTGCTTTCACTGTCCGTCGGGTCGATGCTGGTGGATTCGTTGAGACTGCGCTTGTAGATGGCCTTCCGGTCCAATGACTCTACCCATATGTTTGCTAGATCTGTGATGTGTATCGTGTATGACGTTGCCGAGAAGTTCGTTGAAATCAGGAGGTTAGGCAAGCCCATCGATGGCGAGACAGGCAGGTGTCGCCATACTGGTGGGGTTGTCATGGTTGCTGCTCTGGGCAGTCACCGGAAGAGAGATGTCCGCGGGACGCTATCGGAGAGGCCGACGCAGAAGATCGCACGGGGCGATGGAGGAACGTTCTCTAACAGCAGGAGGGCTTTTGCAGAGAAACCCTGTGGGAAACCTATTGGGGCGAAGCTTTGCAGCGGCGTGGTGAGAGTGCGAGTGAGGAGGATAGCGGTGCGACTCTGCGGAAGGGTGCGATGATGTTCCTATTTGTGGGGCCGTTGGCGAACGAAGGCTGCAATAGTGTATGCTGTGATGACTTCCAGTGGTATTCGTGGGAATAGATAGACGAAGACAAGCCTGGGAACGATGATGTCGGGCGACGTGTGGGAATTGCTGCGCTGGGATAGCAACGTGGTGAAGGTTGCTTTGGTGTTCGCGCACGCGAGGAAGAGCTAAAGTGCCACAGTGTAGCATGCAGTGAGTCGTGATGCGGTTGAAGTGCAGCCGTCTCTGCGTGCGTCCGACGCGGGAGTTGTGACAGTGTTGACGGGTGGATGGCTGGGATGGATATGGAGATGGAGAGTATCACGACAGACTTGGCGTGTTGTTGTGCGTTAGTCGACATCCGCATCAGGCAGCCACGTACAGTGAGGGGTTTGTGATAGACTGTGCGGCTGCTCAGAGGGGCTGGTGTGCTTTTGGGGAAGGAACGGTGGAACTGAGGGGCCACCTGCCGGCGAAGCACACTGTACACTGCACTGTATGTGTCTCAAAAGCGCCGATGCAGCTTTTGGGGGTGAGGCATGCTGCTCACTGTATGACTGGACATTCGTGAGGCAGCATCAAAATGCCTCATCTAGATTCTCTCCAGATGATGCTGTCGAGGACGTCGTCTTACAGAAGCCCCGACATGTGTACGATGGAAGGAAGCCACGGGTAGTTGAGTGCTTACAGGCCGATGCATCCACATCATCACACAACGACAGACCAAATGGCGTTTCATCTAGCATTTGACACTTTGTATGTGCTGATGTTCCTTCATGTTCAAATAAGCTATAAATCGCTTGTTTTGACGTGTCTCGGGATGGATGGCACTCTGATAGTTTGACTGCTCGACTCGGGATGGTCGGTCGCCCCATGTCTCTGAGCTAAGGTTCAGGTGGTTCTGCGACGGGAACCGGGGGATCCCAATAACCTTCACTCACATCTCCTTCAAAGAGCCGGTGCTTGTATTTCATTCAATCAACGTACAGGTGCTTGACTCAGGGCAGGGTGCAATGTGATTGAGGTGTAATTTGGTCAAGATGCTCGATCACCTACTCATGTCAATTACTGCCCCGTTTACAAATGAGCTCTCACTCGTGTCATGTCACTGAGTGGTGAGTGGTCCGCGCATGACTGATCTGAACGCAAGTGAGGCTGCTTATGTAAGTCATGGACAAGCTGCCGTCCGCGGATCCATTCTGATGCGGTTCCCTCCTTCCACAATCGCACACAGCCTAACATGAATGGATATCCTGTATTGCTCTGGCCCAAGTCAATTTTAGCGCTTTTGCAACACTCTGGCTGCTCCCAGATGGTGTTCGCCGACCACTTGCGATCTCGAGATCGACGGTCAAGGTCGAAAAGTGAGACAAACCGTTGGAATGCTACCATCCACGGACGCCGAACCGGGACACGCCAAACCCCTGAGAGCCCGTCGCTCTTCATCATCTGGATTCTGTGATTGGCGCAGCTCTGCACAGCCATACGCCAACCGTCGTTATATGCGCCACCATCTCTCCCCCACCTCAAACCACGGTTGAGCACCGGCTCTGCGTGCTGTGCATGATAGTCCCTCCAGTGCCAAGATCCCACGCGAACCTATTGACTCTGTTCAACATCTCGCATTCCTACCCCACCCCGCCAAACAAGCTTGGTGTGCTTTCCTTGCGAACCACACGCACTACGCTGACTGGCCCGACAAGGGAGATCTCCAGCGCCATGCGTGCCAGGCACGCGAAGCTAGGACAGGGCCATGGCGGATGACGTCCCAAAAGAGGAGAGCTTTTTCGCTCTTCTTGCGCGGCGCAATGGAAATGGTGGCGATCTTCCACGTTGCTGGCAACGCATCATTGGCCGTCTTTCTGTGGTCCAGCCTGCCACGCATTAGCCACGCCCTGACCGTTTCCTTGAATTGGCGAGGCGGTCTTGGTGTGCGATGGCGAGAAACAGGGTGATGGCGAAATGACAGACGCCCACGTACGATGGAATGATCAGACAGGGACGGCAATCCTAGCCTGCCGCTGCCAAGCCCTCCAACACGAGGCATCGGAGCCGTCGTTCGGACTCTCCCGCCGGTGAATCTGGGCCTGGCCGATCATCTCCCATTCTTTGGAAGTATATTCAAATGGGAAGGAGCAGGGCGCCAGTAATCTGGCAGAGGCGGGTCGCATGGGGGCGCACGTATAAACACAGTCCCTCCGCGACTCTCTTCTGCTTGTGGGCGCACGATCCACCCTTTGCCATTCATCGCGCATCAACTTTTGTCCCTTCGCCATAAATACTTTCACACGTGGCGGCCGATATGGGACAAAAGCCCAGCAGCCCGTTGGCGACATGCCTCAACAATGTCTGCGATGGCCGTTCCTCCTGCGTCGGCTATCCCAACGACCCTCTCTTCCAAATCAACTGGGTGAAGCCGTACAACTTGGATATCGCGGTCGAACCGATCGCCGTCACCCGTCCCGAAACCAAGCAAGACGTCTCAGGCTTCGTCAAATGCGCTGCGGACAACAATGTGAAGGTGCAGGCAAAATCGGGAGGTCATTCTTATGCGTATGTCGTTGTGACGAATTTGCCTTTGCTCTCGCTCCGCAGCTGACCTGCTTTGTGTAGTAACTTTGGCCTCGGCGGCACTGATGGCGCCCTAGTCGTTGACCTCGTCAACTTTCAGAACTTCTCAATGGACACAGATACTTGGCAAGCAACCATCGGCGGAGGTCACAGGCTGCACGACGTTACCGAGAAACTGCATGACAACGGGAAACGTGCTATGGCTCACGGCACATGCCCTGGCGTGGGCATCGGCGGCCATGCCACCATCGTAAGTCTTCGCAGCATCGAAACTGCACCCGGTGACTCTGCGTCCTCCCATGACCACGCCACGCTGACACAAAAGCAAAACAGGGTGGCCTCGGTCCCAGCTCACGCATGTGGGGGAGCTGCCTCGACCACGTCGTCGAAGTCGAAGTGGTCACAGCCGACGGCAAGATCCAACGGGCCAGCGAGACACAGAACTCGGACCTATTCTTCGCCCTCAAGGGTGCTGGCGCCGGCTTCGGCGTCATCACCGAGTTTGTCATGCGGACCCACCCGGAGCCCGGCGACGTCGTGCAGTATTCGTACTCTATTACCTTTTCCAAGCACCGCGACCTCGCTCCCGTCTTCAAGCAGTGGCAGGATCTCATCTCCGACCCGGACCTTGACCGCCGCTTCAGCAGCGAGTTCGTCATGCAGGAGCTCGGCGTTGCCATCACGGCTACCTTTTACGGCACCGAAGACGAATTCAAGGAGACGGGCATACCGGACAAGATCCCTACGGGCAAGGTCTCCGTCGTCGTCAACGACTGGCTCGGGGACGTTGCGCAAAAGGCACAGGACGCGGCTCTCTGGCTGAGCGAGGTTCAGACCCCCTTCACAGCCAAGAGTTTGGCCTTCACGCGCGATGACCTCTTGACGAACGACAGCATCCGGCATCTGATGGATTACATCGACGACGTCGACCGCGGTACCCTGATCTGGTTCCTCATCTTCGACGTGACGGGCGGCGCCATCAACGACGTGCCCATGAACGCCACGGCCTACCGCCACCGCGACAAGATCATGTTCTGCCAGGGCTACGGCGTCGGCATCCCGACGCTGAGCACCAAGACCAGGGAGTTCATGACAGGCGTCACCGAGACCATTCGCAAGGCCAGCAAGAACGAGCTCAGCACGTACGCCGGGTACGTCGACCCGACACTCGTGAACGCGCAAGAGCAGTACTGGGGGCCCAATCTACCGGCGCTACAGCGCATCAAGGCGGCATGGGATCCCAAGGACCTTTTCTCGAATCCGCAGAGCGTGCATCCCGATGCGAACGCAAAGGACGCCGACACCAACGCGAGCAACTCCAGCGGCAGCGATGCGAACAGCAGCGATTCAAGAGGCGGTGACAGCTAGGAAGAAGCCGGGAGTTCACGGCGCTCCATTGGTTTCATGGGACTTGCATTTCTCACAGCTTGGGTTTCGGTGTTTTCACTCTTTTTCTTGTGACCTCAGTCACACTGTCTCGGTAGATCATGAGGCGGTCGTTTGCACTTCGTTCCAAGATACCCAGTATCCAATGCATACATGTTCATTTTGACTCGCACCACTCTTGCGTTGGTGGTTGCGTACGTTCATGTGATGCCCGACGGTCGCCTTTTAAGCAGGCATCCACAGCGCTTCGTGGTTCTGTGCCTCTTTAACTAACACGCACGTAAACGAAAGCAGCAGGCACCCATGATGTGATCCTGGTTCAGACACAGGTGGGGTTCATAATCTCTCATTCTCGCGAACCAACACGCCTCGGCACCTTGAAAAATTCAACAACGACCGTCTCGTGATGTCTTCATCGCTAGAATCTTTCCTTCACTGGCCCTAGACATCCCGCATCTTCTTCCGACTTTTGGTCACTCATCAAGTCTGCCATCGGCGTCATCAAGCCTCTCGTGAGAAGACTCCCCCCCACGCCATTCCCCTTCACCCTCGACCGGCAACCATGCCCACCATCATCGACGGTCGCGTCTCCCACCGCCCCTACACCCGCTCCGAGACAGCGGCCCGCATAGCCCACCTCCTCCACAACCCCCACCTCCTCACTGTGCGTGAGGTCGTCTGCGGCATCTACCTCCTCTACGTCGCCTACCTCGCCCTCCTCACCCTCCTGAGCATCGGCTTCCTCATCTTCGAGGCCGACGGCCGCGAGATGTGGTGCCCCGCGGACCCGCCCGTACCGGCCTGGTATCCGCCTGGGTGGAAGGTGGAGATGAGCCGTTGGGACTGCTTCCGGGTGCTGCGGTGGATGGTGTTGAGGAGGGTTTGGGCGCTGGCGTACGAGCTTTTCGCGTGGGGTTTTGTAGGTGCTCTGGGGGCCTTTGTGGTTGAGGAGGGGATTAGGCGGGCGAGAGGGAGGTAGAGGCTTTCGGATGCCGCGTGTGTGTGATTTTTGGCTATGGGCATTTAGATAGCAGGTTGTAAGGCTGCGAAGGGGGCCTTGGTGTCGACATCACGGACTTGCTGAGAGCTTAGTCACGCTGAGCATCTTGGCTCTTGGAAATTTGACCTATTCGACCGCAATAAACTATATCGCTCTTCACTTTGTTTGAAGAGAGGTTCAAGCCTTTCATCCGAGTTATACGGCATGCCCGTGACGCTTGACCATTTCATGCCAAAAAGCTCACATTGACAAGATATCAAAATTGAATCATTCTCCTACTTTCACGACCATGGAGCACCTAGCTATGTAAGACGCAGAGAAGGACCATCCTACCCGTTTTCAAGGCAACCCGCGTAGAAAATCTCGACAACCGTCTAGCATGGACTCTGCTTACGACCCGGCTAGGCCATCTGGCTAACAACCCCCGTTACCCAGAACGCCGCGAATTTGTGACGATGGCTTACTGAGCATTCGTCATCCTTGGTGTACCCTTGTATACTTGGAGTATCCGGCTCCTGGCTGCAAGAGGATGGACTTGTTGTGCCCTGCTGCAACGAGGTCGGCAGGCTTTGGTTCTGGGATCCAAATGCTTGGTAGGGTCGGGAAACAGTGGGAGAGTTGCTCCGTGAGGGCTTCGGAGGCAAACAGTTTTGAGAGGGGACGAAATTGGTTTTGGTTTTTTAGTCTCCTAAGTGTTGAAGTGGTTGTGGAAGGGGCGTCGTGGAGATGAAGGAGAGAGCGGGAAAGGGGAGGTTGAAGGAGAGAAGGGTGTTGTTGAGACGACAGGAATATTTGATAACGCAAGGTAAGCAATATCCAAAAGAGCGAGACTATTGAACACGAATTACTTAATCGAGTACTTAAAAGGCATTGTTCGAAAAGAATTCGGGTCTGAGAACTCCTTTTGCTAATATGATTTAACTGGAAACCCTAAAGGTTGCCTAAGCTAACAAACACGTTTAAACAATTTGAACTTTTGAACATTAGATTATAACCAAGTGTTTTGACCAACACAAAGGCCGCAGCTGAGGTAGCATAGAAACTCACATACTTTTATTTATTTAATTAGGACTCTCAAGGAGAAATCTGAAGATGTTGGTACCGCCATTGCTATAGAGTTCTAAAAGTCCACCCAGAGACAGACCGTAGCTTCTCAAGAAAGACCAGTTCTCTTCCGTTGGACTTTTTGCGTTTGATTGGGCCAAGGTAGATTTATAAAAATTATGTCATTAGTCAAAAGTAGCAAAAAGTTGAAGTACCCTTGAGGCAGGTATGAAGCACCGACCACCATTTTGCCAAATTTGTTTGGCAGAAAATAGGCCAAAAAGCCACTCGAAAATAAGACTCAAGAGATTCGCAAGCCGGCCATGAAATACGCTCAATGGAAAGTCTTTTTCAGAAGATAAGAAACTTCTCTTGGTCTTAACTAAATCTGGCGTAGTTCCCGCTTGGGTTAGAGAACTTGTTACGAACAATGCATGGATTGCGTGTTTGGCCGCTGACCCAAAGATACACCTCCTAGGGGCACTGTTTCGTAATTGACAAGTGCACAAATACAAAGCTTCAAAGTGTAGAACATACTGAGATTAGATATCACAGCGCTTGAGACAGATCACTTGAAAGCACACTGCATCGCCTCGTCATAGTACAGGAAGCCTATTAATTGACCATGCACGCTTGACACGCTGTGATGGAATGTAAGAGGCACGAAAGTTGATCAGTGAGAATTCCTATAAGCAGACCGCAGGAGCTAGATATCAAGCATCCGATCCACCTCCAAGTTCATGTCTTCAGAGCTCATTACAGAGAGCATCAAATCTCCAACGAAAAGCTGGTTCGAAGGGTGTCGCAGAGTCACCACTAGGGTAGGAAAAGACATAAGAACCGGCTTGGATTTCTATGTGCAGGCTTGCCTTGCAGTTGCCGTATCAAGAGTTTTCACTGCAACTTTAACTCACCCCGAGGCGATGAAGATGGCTGTGGTGGGATCACCATTCGGCATCCGGCCAGTGTGGCTAGTGAGCTGGTGCGCTGGGCCGAGTTGGGCAACCGTGCATGGACCGTATCACGTGGCGATAAGATAACACACGCTTCGCTTCCTTCCGCCGAAAATTCGTAGGGTTTATCTCGCTGATTTTGGGGACCCACTCACGAAATCGAAAACACACTGAAGTCGTGAAATTTCCAGTTTGCTACTGCACGATTCCACGTCCGCCATCTAACCCTTCCAGCCAGCCCCGTTGTTGAATCCGACACCCCCAAACCGACACAATGGCCAAACTCTCGTAAGTGACATGCCTTGCCGCTCTGAATCGTTCGACTCCTCGACGGCGCGAATTTCTCGACTCCCCCGCCTGCCTGCCTCGGTGGTGGGAGGTGGGATGCAACTCGGCGATGCGGGCGGGCGCTTCGAAACGACACACGATGCACGAACGACGCAGGGAAAGAGGAGGAAAATTTTCGACAAGAGGGATGGGAAGGCTGGGACCTTTGGGATTCAGACACACGACTGCGAGAAAGGAGACCATTGCGACACCTCGAGACTTTTCTTGGACGGTTGAAAAATTCCTGCCAACGCCCCGCCGATTGCCCGAGACGAACTGCCGCGCCCGTCGACTGAGGAAACGAACAGCATGAGACTAGATGCAGAAGTGCTGACCAGATTTTCACAGGCGTGGTGCCCCCGGTGGCAAGCTCAAGATGACCCTCGGTCTCCCCGTGTACGAACACTTCCCACTCCCGACCGCCTCTCCTTCGAACGAGAGACGCCCCGAAGGAACTTTTGGCTGACTTGTGATGTGCAGTGGTGCCGTCATGAACTGCGCCGACAACTCTGGTGCCCGTAACCTTTACATCATCTCCGTCAAGGGTATCGGTGCCCGCCTCAACAGACTGCCCGCCGGTGGTGTCGGTGACATGGTCATGGCCACCGTCAAGAAGGGAAAGCCTGAGCTCCGCAAGAAGGTCCACCCCGCCGTCATCGTCCGCCAGTCCAAGCCCTGGAAGCGCTTCGACGGTGTCTTCCTGTACTTCGAGGACAACGCCGGTGTCGTAAGTAGTCCCTGATGTTGGATGCGACGCGCCGAGAGAATCGGACTCTGCCTCTGCGCGGATCTGGTTATCGGCTGCCGTCACTCACGAGAGAACTCTGCTGACCAAATAACACAGATCGTCAACCCCAAGGGTGAGATGAAGGGCTCTGCCATCACCGGCCCCGTCGGTAAGGAGGCTGCTGAGCTCTGGCCCGTAAGTTTTCCCCGTCGTCAACGACGCTCCAGCCGACAGCCACTAACACCCTTCCCAGCGTATTGCCAGCAACTCCGGTGTCGTTATGTAAAGGAGTTTTCTTTCACAAAGTCAAGAAACAAAAGGGCGAAAAGGACGACGTTATGGCTACGGATTAGGTCAACCGGTGCGAACCATGGGACATCATCATCACCATTCCCCCACCCTCCCTTGAGAAGCCTCTCCAGTCACGGAGGGCGGAGCAAAGGAGGGGATCAAACAATCAGAAAGAGGGTTGTTGGCCTGGTCTCATTTCTTTTTAGTTTCCTCGCTGGAACTGGCAGGCTCTGCATTTCGGCTGTGGCGTGTAAAGGGAAAGAAATTTCATACCAGGCATTTCGCATACAGGAGAGATACAAAAATCCGATTCTTTGCGCACGTTACATATTCTGCTCGCCTCCTGTCGCTATCAAGGGGCATGTCCCGTATTTCCTGTGCATGTGAGGTTTGACTCGGTCCGAGGAGTCGGCACTGTTTGTCGGAGGTCTCCCGGATGCCTGCGACTAGGCGGAGCCCTGCCCGATAGGGGCTCAAGAACCAATGAAGCCTCGCTCGCATGTACGAATCAGCGAAGAAAGTCCGTGGGCTCAAAACTATGCAATCCAGCTGCGAACCAATGGTGAGTGCGTGGGCAGTGCCATTAGCAACGCCTCGGGGGAGGTTAAAATCGCAGTGAACCATATTTAGGTGAAGGACTCCGGCTTGATTGGCTTCCATTTGGCTGCATCAATGTGGCTGTTTCAGCTCAGCAAGCCTGGCAGTCGAGACATATTTTCTAGTAACTCAGGCACGGATGAAGTAGGGTGGCTTTGATTTGTTGTCAGGGCCATAGGAGGCTCGGTTAGTTGCCTCATGGCTACCACCGATAATGATGCTCACCACATGGGACACATCGGTAGGTCACGATCCAACCAGACGAGCCTATCGTCCTTGCAAAGAGCTAGCACAAAGCCTTTTTCGCAAACATATACCTCCCAAGCTCATCAGCAAGCAGTGATTGGCGAGGGGCGATGGCTACGAGAAGCCGACAGGAGCAAATCCACTTGTGATGCGGATTGCTTTACATTGGAGGCAAAGGCTTTGGTGCCGCCACCGCTCAGGCTGAACGACAGCCTCGCCCAATTGACTAGCCCCTTGGGACGCGTTGAAAACGCAGTGAAATGGATTTCTGGCCAGTCAGAGTGACAAGTTTCCCAGGAGAGCCCTTTGGCTGGGTTAAAAACGCAGTGAACTGGGTTCTTAGCCATACAGATCATAGATGTGTACGCCTCGGTGAGTTTCAGTGAATATGCAGTGACCCAGTTTAACCGTCTACCTTCATTCAAGAGTGATGTATTTCAGAACAACCTCGGATGCTTACACCTCGATCATTAATGCAACCAAAGAAGTCCTTTGGCTACTTTGAAAACGCAGTGAAATGGGTTTCTGACCATTCAGATGGCTGATTCCCTCTCGAATACAATCTACAACCTGCCAATAAGCCTTCGCTTGCCAGGCTGTGATGTCTCGATTCGGCGAGCCTGACAGCTGACTGGTGGGATTCCTCGGATGTTGCCAAGAAGCCCCGCATCTTAATCTTTCAATTCCATGTCATCCAAGAGTCCATTTCAACATAAAAAACAAAATCTCCGTCGTGAAAGCGAAGCGAAAGTGGGGGACGCGGCGTCATCGCGTAGATGACAAGTCGGTGAGGAATGTGCGCAACGACGCCGATGGCAGCCTCGTGAAGCCCCGGGTGTTGTTAATGATGCAGTGCAGTCATCGGAGAGCGATGCGCCACTGTACACCATTTGTAGTCTTCGCCAGCAGCCTGCCCAATTGTCCGGCCCAAAGAAAGACATGAAACTGTCGTTGCCGGGACAATGATGGCATCGCATTATAGAAAGCCGGGTTGACAAGAGACTACACATACCTCTGCCTGAAAAGTCAACGATATGAAGGACGGCCGCTCTCTGTTGCGCACAAGTCGACGCCGGAAGCCGGGTTGGGGGAGCTATGGGGGAGCTGAGCGCGACGTTGCTCAGGGGCGCTTCGAGCACCCCTTCAGCGGCGCATGAGCGAAGCCTCGATGCCAGACGTCACAGCCTGCCGGGGGGTTAAAAATGCAGTGAAGGATTGATGTGGTTCGGCTTGCTGACGTGATGTGAGTCCGAAAACCCCAAGGCATACACTGAAGTAAAAATGCAGTGAACAGAGGGCGACCGCTGGTGTGGCACTAAGGGTCTGGACTCACAACCTGCGAGCTCGAATACGCTGTAGCATATACTGAAGTCGAGGGAGAGAGGATTGCACCACAGCAATAAGCCTGAAATGATCAAACAGAAGACGTGGCATTCTCAACCTCCCAAAGTCTGCGACCTAACGGAAGGAGTGTCACGCTTATCGATTGGCCGGTGGAAGCGTTCGTCGGTGTACGTTTCCTGCGCCAGTCGAGGACCAGGAATCCTATCTGGCTGCTTGTTCCACCAGAGAAACCCAGGCTGGCGACCACAAAGGGATTCACATCACAGCCTGCGAGGGAGTTAAAAAGGCAGTGAAATTCGGGGCACGCGTCCCGTCGACCGGCAAATGAGGCATCGCCAAGGATCGTGGCATCGCAGCCCGCGAAAAAAGAGTCGAAATTGCTCTGAACGCCGGATCCCCGGAGGGCCTTCCCCGGGCAACGCCACAAAGTTAGCCGAGCTGCCCAGGATCCCATCCCTATGAACGGCACTCAGAAACAGCACAACGAAGCCGTGTCCGGCGAGCTGGGCCATACTGCCTGCGCGAGAGTTAAAAATGCTGTGAAATCGGGGGTAGTCTCCGGTGAGACGGGCTCTGCATATACCACGCCACAAAAACAGCCCGGCTGCCCAGGATCCCATGAAGAGACACATCGGAGCGGAAGAATCACGTTGCGTCTGGCAAGCTGACGTGACGCGAGCTCGACAATGCTGTGGCGTATACTGGAGTGAAGTCGGGGGTGAAGAGAACTGCAGCACGGGTATAAACCCAGCATGGTTCGATGGAAGCCGGGGTGTTCTGAATATCCAACGTCTGGGACCCTGCATGAGGGGGTGTTACACATATCCGCTGGCCGGTGGCTACGACGGTTTACGGATGCTTCTTGCGCCAGTTGACGATTGCAACCGAGTTTGCCTGCCTTGGTTTGCTGAAGAAACCGGCCGTGGTGACTACACGTCGAGGCCGACGTCTAATGTCTTTGTAAGCGGAGATTGCACCAGGCATTGGAAGGAATACGACGCTGCTGCAAGCAGATCAGCTTGTCAGATTCGATGGGAGGTAAAGGACCACAGGGCCCTCGTCAGCAGCCATCGTGACTTGTTATCATCTGTTTTCACGGCAAGTAACATCGCGGCAACAGCATCGCACCCGCCAAGACACGTCAAAGATTGTATGGCAATCAAGATCAATTTTCCATAGAAGTATCGACTCTGTCACGTCCCCGGCCCTCGTGCGAGGCCACGCCCATCGCCGCCCACGTCCTAGGGGTCCCGACGAGATCCTTCGCAGGAACCGGAGCCCATCTCTCTTCCATGAGCCGCCCAAGAGCGAAGCTTTCCCTCAGGCCGAGCGCCAGACAACACGCAATTTGATTCTCCTCAACATGATCTCGAACGTCCACTTCTGAACTGGGCCCTTACTCGAGCCACGCATGCTAACGAAGTCGTGATCGTTACAGGGATTCATAGGGGGAAAAGTGGAAAGGAAATAAAACACTTATTGGAAAAAGATGACGAAGCAAAAGGCCCCCTGTGGCTCCCCTCCAATTCGGAAAGTGGGGCATACCGTCCGTCCGTTTGTCCGTCCGTTCGATGCAAAGATCCGTACGCTCTTTTTTTGGTTTCCAACACAGAGGGTAAAAAATGAAAAAGAATATTGGATGCCCTCGCTTCCCGATGCTGATGGAGAAAAAAAAGCTCTCCCAAAGTCGTCCACCCTCCCTTGCTGTGTGTACTCGCACAAAAAAAAGATTAAAGTGTGGCAGACGCAGGCCGCCCATATTCGCTTTGCCCGCCCGTCCACGCCATCCGGATGCGACTGTCGTCAAGCGAATGGGTATATAAATGCTGTAAAGTGTGGAAACAAAAACATGCTTCGAGAAGCATCAATGCTGGTAACGGTGTTCTTCGTGGCTCTCGTGACCGCCTTGTCAATCTCGGCGGGGTTCGTGTGGCCTTTGTTGCCTTGTTCGACGTGGCAGACCCACGTGCCGTCTCTTGTGACGGTATGGTGTGTGTGATGATATGATATGGTTTGGTTACTGGCTCGGTCCCATAGGGAAGGGTCCAATCTGTTGGAATGGCATCGCCTTCTGTTGGGCGGCTTGTGCGGCTTGAGCCTCGGCGAGGGCAGCAGCTTGCTTCTTGGCGGCGAGAGTCGCCTTTCTCTTGTTGACGGCACCCTGCATGCTGCCGTTGAGCCATCGTTCTGTGACGAGTGTTAGCGAAATCTGACAACAAAACCGTTGAACCGGTATAAGCTTACTCTTCATCGAGGCCGACATCTTCTCCGACTTTGTCATGGTGGAATAATCCTTCTCCTCTCCGGCCTGGCTTGGCGGAGCGGAGGACTTTGCCGATGTGGGCGCAGACACTGGCGCCGGCCGAGGTGTCGAAAGGTTGTACTCGCTGACGTCGGTCGATGTTTGGCGCGGGGATGCTGCAGACTTGAGGGTCCATTGGTCCTTTCCTATGAGCTTAAAGGATACCGTCAAACGAGGAGAGTCGGGCGCAGTCGACGAGGTTGAGAAGTCGTGGAGCTCGGTGAGAATCCTCTCCGACGCCGTCTTCTTGGGCGCGAGCTCGGGTGCGCTCTGTTTCCGGTTGATGCGGATGATGCGAGCCTTCTTTGGCTGAGGTTCCGGCTCCGGCTCCTCTTCTTCAACGCCGGCCTCTTCCTTCCAGTTCCGTTGCCGCTTGTTCTGGCGCAGTCCGTAGGTAGAGCCGTCATCGGAGATCGTGGCGTTGGAAGATGATGAGGTGGGGCGAGACTCGTCAGTCGATTCGGTAGTAGTGGTGACATGGCCGTTGCTCTGTCTCTTCGCTGCGCGTCCACGCTTCGGGGTAGGCTTCTGCGGCTCCTCTGCCTGGGTTTCTTCGACGACGACGGCCGCTGACTTTGGCTGGCGACCACGTTTACGCTTGGGGGGTTGCGTGTGCTCTGGCTCGGGAGGCGGAGCGACGGCGTCCTCCTCAGGCACAGGCGTACCAGGCTCAGAGACCACCACGGCAGCCTTCCTGCCTCTCGGTCCTCTCTTCCTCGGCCCGGGCTTGGCTGGCGAGGTTGTTTGAGGCTCTGGCTCCTCCATATCGTCTTGCGCGGCGGCCCTGTCTGCGGCAGAAGCCCTGCCTCTTCTCCTGGGACCAGGCTTGTTGTTGCTTCCAGGCGTTGCTGCACGATGGTCATCCTGCAGCACACCGTCGAAAAGCTTTGGTGGGTTACGGGTTCTCTTGCCCGAGACAATGACTCCGTCACCCTCGGCCGCCTTGGCGCTCGCCTGGGGCTGGCTTCGGAGCTGTCGACCTCCCTCGCCACCGCCTTCTCTCTGCGCGCCGGGGTCCTGGTTCCCGATCTTGTTAGGATGAGGGTCGTATTCGAAGCCGTACGCATTGGCCATGATTCTGTCCTGCCAGCGCTGGTCAAGGATTCCGGCGTCCTTCTCCTTGATAGTAGCTCGGGAGCCCTGCACATCAAAGTCCTTTTCTATATACGAGTCCACCTTGGCAAAGGCGTTCAGGTCGGCAGTCTTCTTTTCAAAGGCAGCGTCTTGAACGGCACGACGTTGGGCATTCTCTTGGTCGTCCACAATCCTAGTGCACTTCTTGTACTCCTCTTGATAGGCGACGAGGCACTCATTGGCCTTCTCCAGGAGATACCAGAGTTCCTCGTCCGAAAGGTCCTTGGTGTCCTTCAGGTAGGCGGCAAATTCGGCGGGATCTCTGACCTTCTTGAACTTATACTGCTTGCGGAAGCGCTGCTTAGGCATGAGCGGCGCCGGTGTGCTTGTACCAGTTATGGCAGCGGGCAGGACGGGCGAGCCTTGTCGGGGCGTAAGAGCAGGAGTAGGGGCCGCGGAGTTGTACGCGGAGCCTTGGGACAGTTGTTGGCCCTGGCTGTCTGGGGCAAGATCTTCGTCGTGCTCGGCGTCGCGGTCGACATCGTCGACATCGCCATCTGCGTCCACATTGCCGTCCTCGTCTCCATCGGCTTCGACATGCTTGTAATCGGCATTTGGGTCGGCGTCTTCGACATTCTCCGTGTCACCGCCAGCCTCAGCTGCATCGGCATTTGAAGTCGGTGCCGAACCCTCTACCGTGACAGGATAAATGGAGTGGGTGACATATTCGCCATCGATGTAGGGTGTAAGGTGGGACCATGCATAACGTTTTTTCGTCGCCTTCGGAATGGATGTGGGCTGCGGAGACGCAACCTTGGGTGGTCGAACGGGGATATCATCCTGCACTTCCGCATCTGACTCTTCCGAGGCGTCGACGTCCATGTCATCTTTGGCCAAAGAGGATTTCTCGGGCTGGGTAGTAAATGAATCAGCGACGTCACCATCGTGTTTTTTGGTGTCGTGCATTGCGGCAGCGGCAGCAGCAACAGGAGGTTGCGAGCTTTGTGGCTGCTCATGAGGCGGCAGGTCATACTCGGTAGCTTCGACATGACCGTTGACGATTGCTTCATGAGCACCTCGCTGAGAGATAGGCTGCGGTGCCGCCTCAACAGGTTGTGCGACAGTTACATGGTTGTTATGATTGGTGGCGGTATCATGGTTCTCAGCGACGGCTGGAGCGGAGTTTTCATGTGAGCCGAGAACCACAGCAGGCCCGATGGCCGACTCAGCCGCTTCCGGCAGGGCCGTTCTGTGCGGCAAGCTCTCGGTCGGGCGCACGGGGGAGCTGGCCTCTCTCTTTGGCTGAAACGAAAAGTCTTCTGAGAATTCAGGGCGGTGCGCAGGTACCGGCTCAGCCTCTGGGCGAGGACCAGCGCGGTTGATAATGGTAACCTGGTTGACGCGGATCGGTTGGGGATGGGCAATGATGAGACCAGAGTCCCTGTCCGAAGCGGCAACTGCGCCTGAACCGTCTTGAGCATGGCTCGAGTGCCTGTCATGCTGCTTGATGATTTGCTGGTCGACGGGAGAGACGAGCTGATGGACCTCTCGAGTCTTGCGCTGGATGGGCGATGAGGGCTGCTCGTGTTTTTCCGGCAGGGAAATACGACCCGAGACGTCGTTCTCGTCCTCGTCGTGGTCCGAGGCATCATCGGAGCTCACCAGATCAGAGGAGTCGCCGACGACCTCAATAGTGTCCTTGACAATGTCCTCGTCTGAGGGCTGAGAGTAGAAGGATTGCTGTTCGACGACGCTCCTGCGGGCCGGGGTCCGACGGCGAGCGGCGGCACCGCTGGCGACGGAAAAATCTCGCGAGGTGGCACGACGCTTCTGGGCAGCGGGCGTAGAGTACTCGTCGTCGGCGACTTCACTGTCCGCCCGTCTCTTGCGGGTGGCGGTGCGAGGAGCGGGGATGGCAATCTCTGGCAGCTCATCTTCAAAGTCGGCGGCCGAGTAATCGATTTTGGCACGCTTCCTCAAAGTATGAGGGCCCTTGCGGTAGGTCTCGTCGTCCTCATCGCCGGCGCCGTCAAAACCGGTGCGAGACTTCTTCCTCAGAGCCGTCTTGCCGGGGCCCGGGGCACTGGTGGAGGGCGAGGAGCGGACGCTGAAGGGACTGTTCATGGAAACGGGTTTGGCGCTTCGGCGGTTTGGAGGCGCCGTCTGGGGAGTGCGAGAGGCAGCAACGGGGGTGAGCGCGTCATGATGGTCGAGGTTGACTCGGCGCCGGCGCTGGTATCAGACTGTATGCTGGAGGTGGGAAGAGTTTTGCGACGATTCGGACGGCCGCTACGAGAGCGCTGGTCCATATTGGTATGGGGCAAAGACGTCGGGTGATGAGGCGATCAAGATAAGACAGGTGACCTGGCTTACGGAGACCGATATGTTGTTGATGGTGAATGGTTGGTGCCGCAATAAGATGCCGGGCGAGGGAGAGAAGTCATTCAGTCGAACGGACGTGACCCTTTTGAATAAGTGACGGGGGGGGGGTTGTGCAAATGAAGGCCGAAGGAGTTTTCCCCTGGTGCGGCTTGGACGGGTCGGGGCAGTATAGGGAGAGGGAGAGGAAGGCGGCAGATGAGGTGAAGTATGGGCAAAAACCGGAATTGATGCAAGTGGTGATGTGGTTTGACTAAGGTGAGTGAGAGAAGAGAGCGAGACCCGACTGAGCCTGTCCGTCTGTCTGTCTGTGCCTGTGCCTGAGCCTGAGCTGAGAGCAACGGGCCTTTGGTGCACTTTGGTTGCTGGTGGCCGTATTGATGGGCAAAAGTAGGGCCCGGCCAGGGACGGAGTGCGCGATACCTGGAGCAAACAAAAACGGGCTCCAGAGAAAGCCAGAGCGACGGAGAAAACGGCGACGATGTTTTCCCTTGGGCCAGGTGGTTGGTGATGGGGGATATCTGGGATGGAAAAAGTGGTGATTCTGGTTGATGCTGACCCCTTCCGGTCTTGTTGGTGAAGATGGCCGCTGCTGGGCTAGTGGAGAGGCTGTCTTTGGCTTGCAATTCTCAATTTTGCCAACCGGGGGCCCTGTCCACACGTCCACGTCCACGTCCGTCTGGCAGGCCACTGTTCCGTTCCGCTGGCGGGGGAGGGAAAGAGACACAGAGAGAGAGAGCAGAATTGGCAAGGCAAGGCAAGGCAAGGCAAAGGCAAGGAAGGCACGACGAATGGGCCCCCTTTGGGATGGTTCCTTCTGCCCTGGCATTGGCTGTTAGTCTTTTTCCGAGCCAGCCACGCCTGGGCCAGCAGCACCGCCAGGCAATTGGGGGGAGAGACACACTGCAAAAAAATAAAATACCACGGGACGGTACGTGGGTACAAGGGGGTCACGGGGGGTACGTACCCCGGCTCTCTGTCCGTGGCAGCCCTGCCCTGTGTGCTAGGGCGTTGCGTGATGGGGGACGGAAGATCCTGTTAGGGGCGACAGGCCTCCCAAGGCCACCTGAAGAATGATCGCTAATAGGGGACTATAGCGATAATCAACCCCTATAAGGTGTGTCAGGCCACCCGACCACCGCTGATGCTGCTAGTGGATATGGACGGCCATGCAAGAAAAACAGCCAAATGGCCACTTCAGACGGAGAGGGCCCCACAAGACACGCTTTTCATTTACAGCCGGGGTCGACGGCCAATGAGAGAACACGGCTCTCGTCTCTTTCAGATCCGGACTAGCGCCTCCCGTCTCTCCGCCCGATGCATATCCCCGTCCCTGATGATGCATGTCTCCAGCTGCCAACCTGCGTGCGGTCGGTAGGTAGCGCCTCTAATTAGTGTACCAGCCAGTCTAGCGAGCGCATCAGGTGCTTCTGTTCATCGAACCCCCCCCCCCCTTTCTCCAGATTCAACTCAACTGTGCACTTCGACCACATCGAGAGTGCTCCTGCTACCAACCGTTTCGTTCCTGCATATCGCCCTCATTGCTCCGACCTGGATTGTCGGACTTTCTTTCTCCATATCTCTTGTTACTTTGAGCTGTTGTTTCAAGCCATTTTGATCCCTAGCGCCGCCTGACTCAGCTAGCCGACCATCCCTCTCTATCAGGGAGCTACCTATCTGACGGGACCTCAAAGGTGCTGCACCTCAGCTGGTGACGTCTGCCCCGCAACAACATCTCTAGCACATCAACACATCAACAACACCACCCACCATGGCTTCCAAGAAGACCAAGCCTACCGCCGCTGGCGACGACATTGACGATCTCTTCGAGGGCATTGGGGACAACGCCGTCCCCAAGAAGTCGCTCGAGAAGAAGCCCAAGCCCACCACCGCCGCGTCCAAGGCCATGGCCGACCAAGATATCCTGGCCGAGCTCGAGAAGGACCTCGAGCAGCCCTCCCGCCCTCACACGCCCCGTCTTAAGGAGCCGGCCGCCAAGGGTCTTCCCAAGCGCTCTGCGACGCCCACCACCGACGACAAGTCCGCCGCACCCCGCAAGTCGACCGACAGCGCACGATCGCTCCGCGCGAGCTTCACCCCGAGCGCTACTAGCTCCGATCTGCAAGAAACCGAGAAGAAGCCGGCCGAGCAACCCGCTTCCGCCTCGTCCGCCGCCGCGCCCGAGGCTGCCCCAGCTGCTGCTGCCGCCGCTGGCGGTGGATGGTGGGGAGGCATCTTCAACACGGCGACTGCCGCCATGAAGCAGGCCGAGGCCGCGGTCAAGGAGATCCAGAAGAATGAGGAAGCCAAGAGGTGGGCCGAGCAGGTGCGAGGAAACGTCGGCGGTCTCAGGGCTCTGGGTGAGTTCTACATCGCTCGTCCCGTCGTCCATACGCGCTGAAGCGCAGTCCTGGACCGGTAGGTGCGATTGGTTGCTAACGACTCATGTTCAGGAGACAACCTTCGCCAGCAAGCTCTTCCGACGTTCACGAACATCCTCCACACCATCGCTCCCCCCATTAGCTCCCACGAACGGCTGCTCATTCACATCACCCACGACATGGTCGGGTATCCTTCGCTCGACCCCTTGATCTACGGCACCTTCTCGCGCGTCATGTCCCAGGTGGAGGGCGGCGAGCTGATGGTCATCCAAAGGGGCCAGGAAAACACCAGCCGGAGACACTCCAACGACGGTGGCGCGGGCTGGAGAGACGGCCCTTGGTGGAGACAGTCCGACTCTCCCAGAGACCTTGGCTTGATCAAGGGACTGACCGAGGGCACAAAGCTTTGCCGTGCTGGCGCCGAAGGCTATGCCAACGAGTACTTTGGTGCTCATGGCGGTATTGAGAAAGCCAGGATCCGGGCTACCGAACCGTTGAGCGAGGACAACCCGGTGCGCAGCTCCGACCTGTTCCTCGCCATCCAGGCGGTGGGAACCACGTCTGACTCAGCCCTCTTTGCCCGTAAGGCAGCCGTCGAGAAGGAGAAGGAGGCCTCGGCCGTGGCCGAGCAGGACGAGGCGGATGAGATGGTTTGCTTCGCCGTCTTCTGCTTGGACCCGGTGCACGAGATCGAGTACTCGACCATCAGCCAGACCATCCCGGCCAAGTGGATCCGCTGGCTGGACGCCTCCAACCCGCTGACCCCCGCCAGCGGCGACGATGGCCAGGAACCCTCTCTGAACCAGTCGATCCCCGATGAGATCCGCGAGATTGTTGAGAGCGGCGGCGTCGACCCCCGCGAGTGGGTTGCCGAGTGGATTGAGGAGCTGTTGGGCCTCGCCGTTGGCGTTGTTGCGCAGAGATACGTCGCCAGGAGGATGGGCGTCGGTGAGGGAGGCATTGGCAAGGGCAAGAGAAGAATGGACGACCTCGTCCAGGATGGCGGCGGCGAGGCGGCGCGGGCCGGCCTGATCTGAAAAGTGCCATCGGACGCACTTATGTGTGAATGATTTTGCTTAGGTGTTCGGGTATACCGCTTCCTTTATCCATATCGCAAAAAATGGACAGCTCTGCATGCCATTATCAAAATCCAGTGGCCCACTCGATTCGTCAGTTGAAGGGCCTTGATCGAGACATTGTATTCACGTCGGTGGTAGTTCCGGTCATCACAATGAGCAGCTTAGGTCGGGGCACAATATCTGAACATAATAACTCCTGTGGTGTATATGTGTAAGCATTCAGTCTTCACGTGGGAGCTGCATGAGCTTAAGTCCCATGGTAGTCTGAAGACCACCGTATTAATGAGACTCCGTTTCTATCAGCCAGCATCTCGTTGAAATTCGTGTGACAAGACTGCTTGACCGCCTGCGGACTTACACGGCATGTAAGCCCAGCCGGTGCCAGCTGCATGAGCCACGTCCCTACCGTTCCACGTTCCATCCAAGAAACCTAGCCTCCGTTGTCAGGGGTCTGCGGTCCATCCCCTCCCACGGATTAGGTAATCCTTGATTTTTCCACCGTAAAATCCGAAGAGAAAATTTCCATCCGCTGCTTTGCTTGTTCTTCACCCACACCCACCAACCACCACCTTGTTTGATCAACACATCATGCAAGCGCGGTGACATTTGCGCAACGCAGAAGGCTCAAGTGAGCCAGCAGGCGGTTCTCCCCATCTGAGGATTGGCATTATTCATTGCCTTTGCCTGTCTGCAGCATGCTGACGCACAATCCATGATGCCATGAGTAAGAACACGACAACCAGCAGCATCTACCCAGTCACTCGGGCTTCTCACGAGTCTTCGCTTCGGCGGGGGTCTCCTTCTTGTGCCGCGTTTTGCGGTGCACTCTGGAGAGGACTGGAATCGCTACTTGAAGGGGGAAGACGTAGACGGGATCGTCGGGCTTCTGCTCGGAGGTCGCGCTCTGCGTCTTTCCCCGGCTGCGAGAGAGAACAGGACCATCATAGTCCACGCCCATCTTTTTATCTACATGGGCGAGGCTCCAGGCGTACCGACATATTATCATTTGTGACTGTTGTGTGTTTGAAATGATCCACGCCCGTGATGTCTAAGTGTTTAATATATAGAGATGGTGCGTTGCTGAAGGTGTTGCAAATCATCTGCAGCATCCACTCCCCGGCAAAGCTATGCCGCGCGAACGTTGGAGAAGTCAGGAGCAAAAAAAAAAGGTTCGCAGCAGCCCCGAGACCCAGTTTCGGTGGTTCCCTTTCTGCGGATTGGACCGCACGGCAATGCGGGCGCTGCTGGGGAAATCGCCGTTGGCAGTTTGGTCACGCTCTCTGCGTTCCCTCAAAGGACATTGACGTCACTTGGCAGTCAGCGCTTCACGCTCGATTGCACCCGCCCCTTCCATCTCATGTCACCTCCTTCCATGTGTACGTAGCTCATAGCTTAGCGCTCCCTCCTGCCAAGGAAACCAGACGGACCCGAATCCCAACGTCCTATCATAAGTCTTTCCACGTTTGCATGTGCTTCGCGTCGGACCATCTCAAATACTCAACATCGCGCAACTTCACGGCTCCCCGGTTGAAGTTGGGTTGCAAATTCCTCGTTGTTCTATATATGCCACCCCGGCTACCTGTGAACCATCTTTGCAAAGCCATCGTCCGCCGCTTACACTCGCCCCGTCTGTCGCACACCATGGCACCTAACAAGGACCGTAAAGAGTCAAAGTTCTCCCACTTGCCGTTGAGCACCAGCGGCCCCATCAGCTGCGCCGTCACCGGCACCGCCTTGCTGAACACGCCGTACCTCAACAAGGGTACTGCGTTTCCAGAGGACGAGCGCCGAGAGTTCAACCTCACGGGCTTGCTGCCGCAGAGCGTCCATAGCCTGGAGCAACAGCTGCATCGCGCCTATGAACAATACAAGACCCGGCAAGATGACCTTGCGAAGAATACGTTCTTGACGTCGTTGAAGGAGCAGAATGAAGTGCTGTACTACCGGGTATGCTGTGTCTATCATGCTTCACACAGGCCTATTGCAGGGGCTGACAAGCAGGCAGCTCTTGCAAGAGCATCTCCCTGAGATGTTCAGCATCGTATATACACCGACAGAGGGCGACGCCATTCAGAACTTTTCCCGCCTCTTCAGGAGACCCGACGGCTGCTTCCTCAACATCAACGACATTGACCGGGTGTATCACGACCTCGCTCAGTGGGGACGGCCAGAGGACATTGACTACATCGTGGTCACCGGTGCGTACTGTTACCCCTTGCTATCATGACACAAGCTAAGAACTTGAAGACGGCGAAGAAATCCTTGGCATCGGGGACCAAGGCGTCGGCGGCGTCTTGATCTCCGTGGCAAAACTTGTCCTCACAACACTTTGCGCCGGCGTGCACCCTAACAGGACACTTCCCGTTGTGTTAGATTGTGGCACAGACAATGAGGAGCTTCTGAACGATGAATTGTACCTGGGTCTCCGCCAGAATCGTGAGCGGGGACACAAGTATGACCGTTTTGTCGATGAATTCGTCAAAGCTGCCAGGAGGCTGTATCCGCGCGCTTATATCCACTTTGAGGATTTTGGTCTTACAAATGGTGAGTCGGACTTGAATTGACCGTCGGTTCTTTGCTAATATAATCGTGAATCAAGCAAGAAGAATTCTGGACCAATATCGCCCTCACATCCCTTGCTTCAACGATGATGTGCAAGGAACCGGCTGCGTGACGTTGGCCGCGATCATGGCTGCTTTGCATGTGAGCAAGCAGAAGCTCTCAGATCTGCGTCTGGTGATTTTTGGCGCCGGATCAGCTGGCGTCGGCATCGCGGACCAAGTCAGGGACGCTATTGCTGCTGAGAGGAATGTCGGCAAAGAGGAGGCGGCCAAGCATATCTGGTAGGCTCCAGTGTTCCTAATCCTGAACCGTCCTATTAACATTCCTTAGGCTTATCGACAAGCCCGGCCTGCTGACCACCGAAAGCGAGCTGTCGGCCGCCCAAAAGGTTTTTGCACGGGACTCATCTGAATGGAAGGACAAAGACGGCTCGCTTCTCGAAGTCGTCAAAACAGTCAAGCCCAACGTACTGGTCGGCACCTCTACCAAACCCAAAGCCTTCACCGAGGAAATTGTCCGGGCCATGGCCGAGGGCGTTGAAAGGCCCATCATCCTCCCACTCTCAAACCCCACGCGTCTGCACGAGGCTGTGCCCGAGGACCTTTACAAATGGACCGATGGCAAGGCTCTTGTTGCGACGGGGTCGCCGTTTAAGCCTGTCAAGGGACCTTGGGGCGAGGGTGGCAAGGAAGTTGAGATTGAAGTTGCAGAGTGTAACAACTCTGTTGTGTTCCCCGGCATCGGACTGGGCTCCGTGCTTTCCCGCGCGAGGTTGGTTACGGATAAGATGCTCGTGGCGGCAATCGAGGGTGTTGCTTCTTTGAGTCCAGCGTTGAAGGACCAGAAGGCGCCCCTCTTGCCCGGCGTCGACGTCGTCAGAGATGTCAGTGTGAGGGTCGCGAGGAACGTGATCAAGGCTGCAATCGAGGAGGGCGTTGCGACGGAAGAAGGTATCCCTGACAACGATGAGGATTTGGATGAGTGGATTCGGGAGCAGATGTGGTTTCCCGAGTACCGGCCCCTCAAGCTTGTAGAGTTCAGTGAGGCGAGTAGGGAGGCCAAGGGGGAGATGAAGGTCGCGGGCAGTTTGGCCAAGGTTGGGAATTGGTGAGGGTGTTGGTCAATGATGTGTGGGCCACAACTTCTTTTACGATACTATAATGAAATATGAAGCCACTCGGTATAGAGTCGATTTGTAATGTAATACTAGCTGAAAGACCTATGCTGTTATCCTCTCACACAGCCACGACAGTAGTGCTGTGCCGGCCATACTTTATATTTAGTTGGATGGTAGTAGTTATAACAGTACAGGGCTGGGTAAACACGTAATACGTTATGAATGTTGTAGTTGCCAGCTATTCAACTAGGAGTACCAAGTTTGTAAGATGCATTATACATCGGGGTTTTTTTTTTCCATATGAGTATAACACAGACGGAACTATACTATCTAGTTGCCTGGAAAGCTTGGTATGAGACACAAAGTAAAAACTAAAAATCTCTGATGAAATTCTATTCCTGCTATTTTTAATTTTGTGAAATAATTAGGAAATGTGAAAAAGTCATTAACGAAATGCTTGTAAGAGTTTTCGATTATGGTGAACTTTGGAACAGGTTAATATCAAAATAACAAGCGAATCCAAACCTAACCTAGTTAGAACAGAACTAAATCAATACTCTATCGACGTACAAGCCACCGCATCCAAGCTATTATAGAACCCACAAGATTTGCTCAGGAGTCCAGAAATAGACGTAAACAGTTTTAGATAATAAGGCCAAGTGAGAAGAAGCACGACCAATGGAACGCTTCTTTTCTTCTCTCGTGTAAACTGCTAAACTAGCATTACCCCAAGACCAATCAATTGTCGAAGCTCGTGTTTCGGTTGTATTTTGGTGCTGCAAGACCTTGTAGCTGTCATGGTTTGTTGCTGCGCCAGACTTGTTGGAATGTGTAATTTACATACGCATTTTGCAACACAACAGCCTTGATCAATCTAATCCAGAACATTCTTTTTTCCACCTTCTTTGTCAATAGAGGGCATTGACGAGTTGGTAAAGAGCACCAAAGTTGAACACCAAGCAGTTCAAGATGAAGATTGGATATCGGCAAGAAACTGCGACATTTTGTGTTTGTTCACTCGGCCTTTCTTTGCAAAAGCCAAATCATTTATCACCTTCACAAACAATGGTTGGCAATACACTCAGTACATTTGGCTGGTATTACATTGACATCATTTAATTGTTTTTTTTGTTGCCCATCGACAGCCCTACTGCTGTGACAGATCGACCTTGCTCCACCAAAACTCGGATTCCTTCCTCGCCCACGTGTCGGGATGCAACCTCGCCGGGACCCCCGGCTCGCCGCCGATAAGCTCCTTGTTCTCCTCGCCAAAAACCAATGCCTTGGGGTCCTCCGCCACGTACTTGTCCCACGCCGGCCTGTTCGGGCTGCTCTCGCCCCGGACGGCGTTGGGGTCGCCGGTCAGGATGAAGCTGGTAATGTACGCATTTAGCGTCAGGCACAGCTCCTTCTGCGCGGGCGAGATCTTGGTCTTGGCCGGCTCACACGCCTCGTAGTACATGTTCTCGCCGTGCCGCGCCCGGTCGAGGAGCGAGCTCTCCAGCCCCCACTGGTACAGGTAGACCGGCTCGGGCGACGACTTTGACGCGAGCTCGGCGGTCTGCCGGACGGGCGCGACGTACGCGTACTGTCCATAGGCGACCTCGAGGCGGCGGTACTGCGGGCCCGTGCCGTCGAGCTGTTCTTTGTAGGGCGAGTCCGCGACGGTCAGGGGGTCTGGGTAGAGCCTGTCGATGGTCTCGACGTCCTCCTTGGACAGCAGCGGCAGCAGGTCGGCGAAAAACTTTGTAAACTCGTCGGACTTGGACACCTTTTTGTTGATGTAGATGGAGCCCTCGTTGCGGTTGAAACCCGTCATGATGGGCACCTTGCGCCACTTGTCCAGCCGCCAGGACTCCATCGGTGGCCGCGGGATGATGTCGCCGTCGATGACGGGCTGGAAGGCCCACCGCAGGGAGGGGTTGTATTTGTCAAAGACGGTGATCTGGGCCTTTTGCACGACCTCGGTGGGCGCGCTGCGGAGGTGGGCAAAGGTCTCGGCGGCGGAGAGGCCGGGCGGGCAGCCCGTCTCGGCGAGGAAGTCTGCGAACTGGGCCTCGTGGACCGGGGCGCTGTAGGGGCGGACGGCGCGGGATGTCGGGGCACCAGACTCGAGGATGACCTTGTGGAAGAGGGGCGGGTTGTATTGGCCCTCGTCGTGCAGCAGGATGTGGCCGATCTGTGGGGACGAGTTAGAGTCGAGTCACATGAAAGGGAGGTCTGCCAACTTACAGAGTGTCCTCCGGCAGAGATGCCGAAGAGGGTAACGTTGTTGGGGTCGCCGCCAAAGGCCGAGATGTTGTCGCGCACCCACTCCAGCAGGAGGAGCTGGTCCTTCAAGCCCAGGTTGACCGCGCCCTCTTCGAAGCTCATGGTGGACGGGAGGAAACCCAATGCCCCGATGCGGTAGTTGAATGAGACGGCAACGAGCTCCTGTCCCGAGTTTGCCAGGAACGAAGCCGTGTTGTGCATCATCGCCGTGCCTCTGTTGAATGCGCCGCCGTGGATGTACACGGCGACGGGCAGTAGTGACTTTTTAGTCTCATCTTTAGGCGATGAGGTCTGAGGCCGGAAGACGTTGGCCGTTAAGCAGTCCTCGCTGTACTCGAACGACGGGCCGCCGGGGAAGAGCTGCTTGCCGGGCGCGACGGGACCCCAATTCGAGGCGTCAATGGTCTTGGTTGAGGGTTCGACTTTCACCGGCGCACGGAACCTGCGATCTCCTGTCGGCGGGAGAGCATACGGGATGCCTTTGAACGCTTCAACCGGCCGGGGGAGACTTTCTGTCAGGGTCGTGCCGACCACAGTTCCTTGTGTAAGCGTTACTGACGGACGAGCGTCTTGGATTTTTGAACCCATTTTCGTTGATGTTTGGTCTTGTTGGTTTGAGATGTACCGTCAAATCGAGTTGAGAGCTTCGCAACAAGAGGGGGTTGCGGCGATGCTGTTATCGATAATCGGCGATGAATTGTACCGGGCTTGCGGTTCCGTTCCAAGGGCTTGGAGTTATCGATATCGGTCAAGCTCCGGATAGTGTACCTGACTAGCTATCAACAGGTCCAAGCGCTTGGCGGGAGGGTTGATTAGATGGTCGTTAAATGGGAGACCGTCAATAACCACCAGGCAATTTTCCCGCGGGGATCGGACCGCCGATCTCGGCGGACGACGTGCTCTCGGGCTCAGTTTTGACGACCGAATCCAGCGCAGACGCTCGTCGTCCGGTCTTATCAGCCCCCCCCGAGTTCCGGCACCAGTTCCCCGACTCAGGGACCCGGCGCGATACCCCACGGGAAACCACTGCCATTCCTTGGGACGCATCCCAGTCCTGCGGGTACCGTAGTCCGTAATTATGGTTCGAGAGGGGTCCATGCTGAAGATAAGATGTCCAATTGACGTACTCACATCCCTCCGCGCTATCAAGTTATCTGGCTACCTATCTGGTTTACCCCGGACTGGGAGCGTGGGTGGTCAGGGTTGCAGAGATAGTGACCAATGGGCCATGGGGCCTTAAAGTGATATATCCCTTCTCCTCGGGTTCGGGAGACCCCTTGAGAAAGAGAGACTTCAACCCGGATCTCTCTTGGGCCAACCTACCATCGTCTTTTAGACTGAATCTCCGCAGTTCACCGTCAACATGGCCGAAAAGGAGAGCTACAAGGACATCAAGGACATCAAGGCCGCCGAGAATGGCCTCGAGCCGACAAAGTCCCTCATGGCAGGGGAGGTCGAGCTCCTCGACGAGTCGGCGGCGTTTCTCCAGGAGAACAACATCACTGAGGAGTACCTCGCCGAGCTCGTCAACGACAAGGAGAAGAACCGCCGGTTGGTCCGAAAGATTGACCTGACGATTCTGCCTCTGCTCGCCGGCACCTACGTCCTGCAGTACATTGACAAGCAGGCGCTGTCGTACGCGGCCGTCTTTGACTTGTTCACCAGCACGGGCGTCTCGCAGACGCAGTACTCGTGGTTCGCGAGTATCTTTTACCTGGCGTACCTGGTGGCCGAGTACCCCTGGGTCTACGTTGCGCAGAAGACGCGCATGGGCAAGGTCGTGGCGGGATGTGTACTATCGTGGGGCGCCGTGTTGATGCTCACGGCGGCGTGCTCAAACTTTGCGGGCCTCGCCGTGTGTCGATTCCTTCTTGGCGTTTTCGAGGCGCCCATCACCACCTGCTTCATGATGATGGTATCCATGTGGTAAGTTGGACACCCGGGACACGGCCATCAAGACAGACAAAGACTAACACCCACCAGGTACGTCCGTGCGGAACAGCCCTTCAGAGCCGGTATCTTTTACTGCTGCAACGGTGTGGGCTCCATGCTCGGCGGCATCCTCAGCTACGCCATCGGCCAGATCGACGGGTTCCCCGTGTGGAAGGCTGTCTTCATCATCTGCGGCGGCATCACCGTCATCTGGGGCGGCGTTCTCTTCGTCTTTTTGCCGGACAGCATCCTGAGCGCAAAGCGGTTCTCTCTCGAGGAGAGAGCCCTTCTCGTCGGCCGTGCCCGTCTGGCCAAGACCGGCGTCCTCAACAAGACGATCAAGTGGTACCAGGTCAAGGAGGCGTGCCTCGACCCCCAGGTGTGGCTGCTGACCCTCTTCGTCCTGCTGAACGAGACCATCAACGGCGGCGTGGCCAACTTTGGCAAGCTCATCATCAAGGGCCTTGTCACGGATCCGCTGCTCACGACGGCGCTGGGCATCCCCCAGGGCGCGTTCCAGGTGTTTTGGATCCTTACGGGAACCTACACCGCGACCAGGTTCCGCAACCAGCGCACGGCCGTCATGGCCGTGTGGATGATCCCCACTATCATCGGCTGCTGCATGATCTGGAAGCTCGACCACACTCACTACAAGGTCGGCGTCCTGTTCGGGTACTACATGATCGGCTGCTACGTCGCGTCCCTGGTGCTTGCTCTGCAGATGCCGGCGACGAACCTGGGCGGCTACACCAAGCGCATCACGGCCTCGGCCGTCGTCTTCACGGCGTACTGCGTGGGCAACATCATCGGACCGCACGCGTTCCTGGCAAAGGAGGCGCCGCTGTACCAGACCGGGTGCAAGCTTATCCTGGCGTGCTCGGCTGCGCAGATGGCCATCGCCATCTCCCTGCGCTTGATGCTGATACGCCGCAACAAGACAAGGGACGCGGCGGCGGCTGCGGCGGGACGCGCCCCGGATGCCGAGCACGACGACGAGAATGTCGATCTGACCGATATGGAGGTGAGTTATCCAAGTGCAAGATACGATGGAGTAATGACGACTAACACGCAGACAGAATCCCAACTTCCGCTACGTACTCTGAGAGTCGGGTGCATCTCGTGTGTGGATATGAGGATGGATGTGTTGATAGCAGATATAATGAGACCATGTTTGATCAATGACACGAGGAGCGGCAACTATTTTCACTATTTATGCAACGTGACTTCAGTAAAGGCTTACGCTGGTCATCGGAAAACGGATGTATCACGGAGGCACACAGCAAGTTTCAAGCTCACGTCGAGGCTTCAAGTTCACTTTGCAGTCCGGTCCATCATGGATGGCTACTGCTGCACTTGCAGGATTGCCGATCCAGACACCATGTGCAAATTGCAAAAAGAGTTGCCATAAGTTAGCATCGTATTGTGTCAGGCCGGCTGCTGCGCCGGGACATGTGAGACCCGTATCTGTACCATGACGAACACCTTAACCGCCACGGCTTTTTCAAGGCCTGCATCAATCTGCGGCACGGGGCTATCGGAGTAGCCCCAGAATCCTCGACCATGGAGACCATCGAGGGTGGCACGAGAATCCTTCGCTAGCCGGGGGCGTGGAGTGGAAGACGCGCCAATTGTGTCGCATCGGGGCGAGTTGGAGAGGGGTCACTGGACTCTTTTGCTTGTTCTTTTTGTTCTTTTGATCTCGAACGCGGAAAATCTTCATTTTGTTGGGTAGTCGTGAACCATTCCTATGCCATTTCCCTCTCCGCAGAGAGCCGGACGCCTCGAATTGGCGATATACCATGCAACCAACTCTAGATCCATGATGTTGACCGACCGAACCGAAACGACTAGACCTGCGGCCAAGTCAGTCCCACCGTGTCCGACCGAATGCAACGCCCTGTCTCGAGCCGCAAATAAACTCCCGGACGTACCATCCTCCCCCGAGGTCGCAGCCTCAGCATTTATCGCTGGGCGGACCAGACGGACTTGACGAGGCCATCACGCTGGGCCAGGCGGTTGAAGGCGTCGTCGGACTCGCCCATCGCGCGAACGAAGCCGGAGAGGGCGTAGACGTGGTTCTCGCCGGGGATGGCGCGGCCGTTCTCGTCAACCTTGGCGACGGAGATCTGGACGGAGGCGTGGTCCTTGGCCTTGATGATGCGGTTGGTGGCGCTGCACTTGCGCGGAACGTAGCTATTGTAAGAAAAAAACAAGAGGTCAGCCAATGTTTCGAGGTCGGAGTAGCAACGGCCCTTCGCGCGCGCGAAAGCTTTCGTGGGTTTTCTTTTCGTGCGGCAAGTTCGTGGGCGGTTCGAGGGGGGGATGGGTGTTCTCACAGATCGACGATCTCGCCCTTGTCGTTCTCCATTGCTGCGACTTGCGTTCGGGGTTGTCTAGAGGCAAGTAGGTGGTGGTTTGCACGGGTGATGTCGTCGACGAGAGTTCGTGATGCGGGGAGTCGATATTCAAAAATCGAAAGGAAATTTGGTGTGCGCCTGCGTCTGTGGGCGACTGTGCTTCGGTCCGGTCAGCTGCCGAGCGATGGACCCACCCGGTAGCTCAGGGCTAAGGGTCACGTGCTGGAAAAAGGAGCCATGTGTGTGGCTGGTGCAAGCTGACTGTGGCTGGCGTTCCTGCCAGGGGGAATATCCAGGATGGGGGACAAGCAGGCATGGGCCCACTATGTTTCTGGACGGCAGGTCCCACCCCGCCGCGTCTCTCGGTCGCTCTCCCGCGTTTTGTGCTTTGTTGATGTTGAACTCGGCGTTCCGTGAAAACCAACCGGGACCGTTATCGCCACCCGACTCCAATTCGACACTCTCCGCCACCGCATCGGTACTGTCAATGCCGTCTCGACTTTGCTAAAACTTGTTTGTGTTGTTGCGCTTGCAAAATATTTCATCCTGCTGCGTATCGTATCGAAATCATGCGCCCTGCGCATTGCAGCGGGTTTGCCGAGATTCACGATGGGGTCTCCGTTTCGAAGCACCCGTCATGACGCCCGCAACCTTTCCTCCTCGCCGGGCCTTCCATCCCTCGATCAACTCAAGTCCCAATTCCCCAAGAACCCTCCGATTCGACGCGGCAGTATAGCCATGCCGATGCCCAGCCAAGCGAGCCACCATTCCTCCAATGCCTCGAACTTCCTCCGCCAGGAACAGTCTGCGATCGACTTGACGACACCCTCCAAGGGTTCCATTGAACCTCCGATGCCACAGCAGGAGGAGGATGTGACTGTTGTATCAATTGCGACCTTGACTTCGAAGCCGAAGCGGAAGAGAGGTGTCAAAGTCCTAGAGAAGAAGGCAAACGAACCGCCACCAAATCCCACGAGAGATGTCGAAGGGAGCCCGCCATGGAAGAAGTACGTGAAGCCCAAGAACGCGACCGAGATACCTGAGAAAATACCGAAAACCACAAAGGCCAAGGCACCCACGAAAAAGGGCGGTGTCAAGAGTCACCACTTTGCAAAGGCCAAAACTGGGGAAGAGGCAGAAACTACGGTGCTACCCAAAAAAGATGCGCCATTGGAGCTGGAGGCAGCTTTGAGACGTCGCGTAGACTGGACGCCACCGCCGGCTGACAGCGGACTGGCTGCTGGGTCCAAGTCTTCACAAGCCATCGAACTTCTCTCCTCGGCTGCGAAAATTTCGAGTCGTGCAGCATCGAAGGATACTTTCGAGAATCTCCTGAAGAAATATGGCCGGCCGGATGAAGACGCACTAAAGAGGCCATCTGCTGAAACTTCAGATAGCGACAATCCAGCTTTCAAGAAGCGAAAGCTGATTGGGGCGGTGCCCGTCAGCGATTCGTCAAAGATGGCACCACCAGCAAAGGGCGCCACGAAGGCAAAAGCACCCAGGAAGAAGCCGCGCACAATCACCGAGCTGGCCACAGCGGCCTACGTGGTCCCAGCCGCTGTTGAACAGGAGACTGTCCCAGCGATTCCACAAGAAAGCGCTGCAAATGAGGACGAAGCGGCGAAACCGAAGGGGAAAAAGCGGGCGTCAAGGGCGAAGAAGCCGAAGAAGGTACTTCCGCCAGAACCTGTTTTACTCTCGCCGACCGCGGCTTTGAGGCAAGCGGCAAATCAGGACTACGTTTTCGGGACTTCCAGCCAGCTGGCACGAGAACATTCTCCTACTTTCCTGAGGGATCTCCAGTCCGCGCTGCAGGCGTCGAACTCGTTGAGGGAGGAAGACCCATTTGTGACACCAATCAACAGCGATGCTATCGAACCTGAACCCAAGCAGAAGCTCTGGGATGTCGGTGCAAGGGACGAGGATGGACGGCTTTTAGATCTGGAAGTCATCAATCTAGCTGATACCCCTGACGTAGTCCCAAGCGCAACAGCCGGTATCAACCCGTTCGGATACGCAGGCGTTCAGAACCAAGCAGCACCACTGCCAGCCCATATTCCATCAGACGTGTCTTTCCCAGACATAGAAGACCTCTTGGGTAAGGGTCCAGTCGGCGACGCTTCCACTGAGCAGAAACCAGCGGCGCCACTACCAGTCCACATACCCTCTGATGCTTCCTTCCCGGATATAGACGATCTCTTGGGCAATAATACAGGCGGCGACATGACTAAGCAACAAAAAGAGGCCCCGCCTGTCTCTCCAGCTGCCCGGCAAGCCGATCCTGAACCGGAAGTTGCCTCAACGGTGTTGGTTTCGTCTGGGTCGGTGCCAGATATCGAAGCAGCTCCTGACCTGGCGCCTCCTCGATTGCCATCGGCATCAGAGGCCGAAGTTTCCAAGTCGATACAAATAAACAAGCCTGTGCCAGAAATTCCAAAACCGAATTATGACCTCTACACCGATAACCAGCTTGCCAGGGAGATCGCCTCTTACGGATTCAAGCCGGTCAAGCGACGACAGGCCATGCTCGCCCTGCTGGATCAGTGTTGGACGAGTAAGCAGAGGACGGCCCTTGCTTCGCTTCCCACAAACCACCCGATCTCGACGACCTCTCGGGCGCAAGCCGCTGCTCCAAAGAAACCCGCAGTGAACACATCACCCAAGCGGCCGCGAGGTCGTCCCAGGAAAAACAGCGAGATCGAGATGCCTTCCAGTGAGCCGCCACCATCAGCGCAACCTCCCCCGCCGTCGCCCAAACGGGGTCGCGGGCGCTCAAAGAAGACCACAGAGCCCTCGAATACTACCACTTCGACGTCAGCGGCGGCCAAGAAGGGCAAGGCCAAAGCAAGCACTGCGGCACAAGCGGTTCCCAAAGTGGCCTCACCGGCTGCTTCTCCACGTCCAAAGAAGGCCAAGGTGTCGGTCATCATTGAAATCCCAGACTCGGCATCTGAAGGGTCGCTTTCACCGTCGCCGTCGGCATGCTCCTCACCCGAGCCAATGTTTTCACCACCCCCCGAAGACGTCTCGGTCTCCATCGGCGATGATACGGAAATGTCACTTGCTGCATCGCCAACCAGCCAGTCGGCAGTGCTATTTGCGCAAATCACCGAAGCGGTGACTTCGGCGCCGCCGACGACAGACCCCAAGAAGCCGTCCTTCCATGAGATGATGTTGATGTATGATCCGATCGTGCTAGAAGACCTCGCCACTTGGCTGAACACGGGCCAGCTCTCTAAGGTTGGCTTCGACGGCGAGGTGTCGCCGAATGAAGTGAAGCAATGGTGCGAATCCAAGAGCGTGTGCTGTTTATGGCGCGAGAGCTTGAGAGGAAAGGAGCGGAAGAGATATTGATTCGGAGTCTATGCAGTAATGATACCCAAAAAATATTTAGGCGCTGTGCCTGGCTTGCAGGCTTTGCTCGAGGATGCATTGCGCTGAGTGAGATCAGTTTTACACACGTTGGAACACATCCATTAAAACAGATATCACCTACAAGAAGACATCACTTTTCCTCTCTCGCAGTGATGGCAGCAAGCAATTTGTGACGGACAACTCACTCAAGACTATGCATGCGATGACTTTGATGCTGCTAGTGCATTGTGCATTTGGGTGATACGATTTGGCTGGCGCGCGGTCGCAGGGCGCGTACCGAACCTCGGCAAAACGCCAACGCCCCCCGCCGGTTCGATCATTTTGTCCCAGACACCTCTCGACATGAGCTAAAGCGGCTGCTACCACAAGGTCCTGATGACTTTACCATTTCATCCTCGTAGCCTCCGTATACCAGGCACATCGTTTATACACTCATCACGGCTCACTCGTCACCCAGACTCGAGCTCAATTGTGACGCGAATCTCGAGCAGGGGTCTAAAGGGTCTAAGCTCAAACACGTCACTGAAAGCAACGCCTCTTTTAAGCACCTCAGGAACAAACACAACCACGGCTCGACGATACGCGGACGCACCGATCACCATCATGTCACAGCAACGTTCGTCGTCTTCATCACCGCCGAAGCGCGAAAAGGAGATCATGGAGCCTCGGCCCAGCTCCAGGTAAGCCCGCCCATGACATGGCTGAGGTGTCGTGTCACGCGTTCTGAGCTCACCTGAACATAGTATCCTGCTGCTCTCACCAACGAACCAGGTTCTCCTGTTGCATCGGGTGAAGACATCGACTTCCTTTGCGTCGGCGCATGTGTTTCCGGGTGGTAACCTAGACGCTTTCCACGACGGAAAGATCCCTCCAAACGATGCGCGCGAGCGGCACGAGGATGGCTATGCCTACCGGCTGGGAGCCATCCGTGAGTGTTTTGAGGAGACCGGCATTCTCCTTGCGACAAAGAAGGACTCAGACGACAGGTCTACGCTTATCAATGTCTCCTCTGCGGTCAGAGATAGGGCTCGCAAGCAAATTCACGGGGGAAAGGTGCGCTTCAGCGACTGGGTGGACAGCCTAGGCGGCGTCCCGGACACCGGTATGTAGCACAGTGTTCATCGCTTGCATCAGCCGCATCACCACAAAGCAGACGCCCGTATCGCTCACACTCACTACAGGACGTCTGATCCCCTTCACAAGATGGGTGACGCCCACCAACGTCCCCAAGCGCTTCACGACGCAGATGTACATTTACATGCTCCCATCCTCGGCGTCCACAGGCGCCTCGGCCATGGAGAACGAGATCATCGTGCCGACCCCGGACGGCGGCGTCGAGCACACGGCCGCCAAGTTCGATGACGCCTCGACGTGGCTCTACCGCGCCGACAAGGGCGAGATCATCCTCTTCCCGCCGCAGTATTATCTCCTGCACCTCGTCTCGCAATTCTGCAAAGCCGCCGCGCCGTCGCCGGCGCCTGGCAAGGGCCACGGGGACGCGTACTTTGTGTCGCAGCGAAAAGGCCTGTTGGAGTTTCTCAGGAGCGTGCCCACGGCGACTGGGTCGGAGGCGGCGCGGAGCCACCCATCGTCGGAGATCCCATGGGCGGACAAGGTCATGAGCCCGCACAACTTGTTCATCCGCGAGGCGGACAATCGCATCGTACTCGGGCTCGATAAGCCGGGCCCGGAGCTCAAGGGCTCCGGCCGTGGCGGCGACTGGGAAAGGGTTGTGTTGGTCAAGTTTACGAGGGACGGGCCGCGCAAGGTCGAAGTAAGGGGGCGCGAGGAGGTGTTGAGAGAGGAGAAGGAGGCGAAGAGGGCGAGGGAGGCGGAGCATAAGCTCTGAATCTGTTCGGTCCTAGAGACTAGACTTGAACGGTCAGCAAAAACATGATCAAATCTGAAACCCTGGGAGATGGAAGCCTCGTACGATCGTGCTCTGACGATGAAGACTTGGAGACAACAACTCTGGGTGCTGCACCCGATCGTCACCTCATTCTTCACCCAACACTCTGGTCAAACTTTTGCACTTTTCTCTCGCCACAACAACAGTCAAAATGAACTGCACGATGAACAGATGAGATCTGATGAATGTCGAGCATGGGAAATCCCTAAAAGAAACACTCCGTTGCAGAAACAGGAAGGAAGGCGCAGCAGCGTCGCGTGCAGCAATCTGCTAAGTCGAGAGCCAAACCACACCCTCCCCCCTCCCCTTTCCCCCTAAATCCAACTCACTGGAACTACACAGCAGTCGTAGCTCAAAGATTGAGGATGGGTCGGGGGGTGCGTCCCTCCCTGAACGGCGGCGGCTTAACGGAGCCACCAGAGTAGCAGAGCCGCAAGTCTCTGGAAGAGGACTAGTTCCGAGGCAATACGTCCAACCCCACACCATGAGAGATGCAGATGAAGCTTGGAAGGACGCCGTTGGACCAGCGTTGCTTCCACTCTAACCGATGCGGAGCGTCCTCGGCGTATGACCGCATGAGGGTGGCCTTCTCGTTGGCACTCTATCAACCCCTCCCCCCTCCTCTTGGCCACAAGGAGTTGTTGTGTGGCCCACCACCTTCCCTCCTGTCACCAACCCCCCCCCCCAGTTTCAACGGCACGGCTGATAGATTCATTGGTCTGAGATATAATATATGATCTGATATCAAGTGGTTATGCGGGCGAATCCATGTCTCTCACCGTTCATGGTTGGTCCACTAGACCGGGGCGAATGCTGCGTAGCGCGAATACACGGTCCATGAATTTGCGATGGAGAGTTTAAACGGTGTTGATGGATGCCAATTTTATGTTTCTCCAGTGTTGGCCCAATCTCATCACCACTCCCCCACGTGCTGGGATGCAGCGCTGATACGTCAACGATGATCTCGCTCTCTATCTGGTTTTTGACTGGTCTTGCACGCGCACAATGAGGCTCTGCCACGGAGTGCCCGATGCTCTCACGTCCGTAACCTTCATGCTCCGTTCCATCCCTGATCCCCGTCGTCTGCATTTCCCGTTCGTCGTTACCTTCGTGGCCATCAATCCGTGGCCATTGTATTTGTGGCTTTCCACCTTGCCCCTCCTTTTCACACGTATACAGGCTCATACGTGGCATCGGGATAAATTTGGTGTCCCGGCTGGCTTCGGGTCGTCGGTCTCGTGGGCGAAGATCGAACGATCATGACGTTTCGCGCGCGGCAGAGGACGGCGCTTCCTATGTTGATTTGCTCAAGAACCTCATCTGACTCTAAGTCGACATGGTACGTTGAGTGGACGTCCATCATCGGCCTCTTGTCCGCGATATCTTGCACCAGTAGAGCGTCACGGACTCGGTGGAACTCGGTGGTGATACCAGACTGCTTCATCGCATCTATTGATGTCCTCAAGGCGGCAAGTAGAAAGATACTAAAACTCATCAGAGCACTACAGGTAAAGCTATCTGAAGCTGGATGCCGGGGATAATCAGTTTTCTGCAGATCCGCCGCCATTCACCATGGATGACGAAACCCTCGATGCCCTCGCATGCCCGGGGCTTTACCCCTCCTTGTCTCTCTTGCATACACTACTGTCGCTACTCTTTCGTCCAGACCCTTTGACAGGGGATCCATTCCAACTTCCCTATAGGGCTAATCCACGGCGACGTGTATCGCAGGCCAGAGACCCCAGCATGCCATCCATCTCTGCCACCGGCAACTATAGAAGGAAATAAGTCGCAGGAAGTACATCCACCGCAACGGAAATTGTTCCCGAATCCAAGTAATGGTGGCCAATGATTGGCTGGTTTGAAAACGGTTGGAAGTAGCTACAGCTGCAAGAAGTTGCATGGAAGTGGAGGCACGAAATCGATGTACCCAAATCCAGATGTGGGTCACTTCTCAATCAAGATACGCGCCGGAATATGTGCCAGATGAAGAGAGAAGATGCATGGGTGAGATGGGAAAGGTAAGGGAATGGGAACGCGACCATGATCCGAGGGAGGGGGCAATATGGGACCCAAAATTGCAGTGAAAGGATATCAGAGCCTAGCCATGAGTCGTTGTCGTTAAGAAGCCTGGTATACTAAACCGATCGTTCCCGTACCCGCGTCGGTACCGCTGTCCCGTCATCGTGCCGTCCCATGGCGTCTCTTGTGGCATCCGTTAAGCGACGGGAGGGGAAGGAGGTCTTGAATGACCAACTATGATCCAGATGATGGCGGGGTGATGAAAGCAAGGAAGACGCTTGACAGGTTAGAGATAGCCATAGAGCCTCAATAATGCTGCTCGGATATTGTTACTTGGCTAGCTGATCGATCCCACCCTGGCAAAAAGTGGTTGAGCTCGGTAGATTCGGTTTGGTTGTAGAAATGGCGTCGGCGCTACTAGCCTTCATTCCGGTCGTGGGGGAGGGGGATGGGCGTCTAAATGCAGCGAGGATTAGACATCCCACATTGCCCGGTTGAGGAGCAGGTGACCCCACGCATCAGATGTATTCAGAGTTGACCCGTTAAATTTCTCATGCATGACATGTGGTATCAATGGCGAGTTAGATGCAAAAGACACAAGAAGTCCGCGTTGCTCTCCGAGCTATGATTAGGACAACAAAAGCATAAATACCCCCGAGATTCCTTTGAAGAAACACAGTGTCACTTCTCCAAACCATCCGAAGCTGGTCTTCTTCCAGATACCCCAGCAAACACACAAACCCCTCTTATACTCCGCAAATACAAACGAAGGCCAGGCGCCTTGAGCCTAAACACACAAATTTCGTCTTATCAACACCACCCACGATGTCTGAGTGAGTAGACTGAACATGAAACATTGGCCCTCAAATCCGTAATCATATGCTCATTGAGATATATCACAGATCCAGCACAACCACAACACTTGAGATCTTCATCAATGATACGACCAACGTGCCTGACAGGTTGACTGCCGCTGCGAATGGTTCAAATAGTACAAATTCCACCTAGTCCGATGACGGTGGAGTGAATGCAGCGTCTGGGTACGCGAGACGAGAACTTATGACTGACTTCCTTGGAGGAGAGTCAGAGCAAAGCGAAGAGTAACATGGATTTGCCTGATACCCTGTTCTAGAGAATTCTGGTTGTTTCATTCTTTGTATGGTTCATGATGTTTATGGTATTGATGCCTTACCAACCCGAGAGGTGTAATAGGAAGGAGGCCGAATATCGGCTCATCGCTGTGCCTCTGCTTCTGTGCAGACGGATAATTCGTTCCTTACAGATGCAATCATCAATATCACTATCATCGTTGGACTCTCTGACCTTGTGACAACGCGGAGATGGCCTTTGCGAGTGTTTCAAACGCATTGAACGTGATCGCCATTGGTAAAAGATGGAAAAAAATGATTGAAAAGAGCGGATAAGCTGTTGGCTTGAGGTTATTCCCCTGGGTGATATGTCTCAACAGATATCAAGCTTCACTGTTCCATTTCTGGTAGCTGCGCCAAGAACCACCCTAACCACTGTCTCATGTGAGAGAGGGAGAAGACCTTTTCTAAAGTGCAAATATGCTTGTTGTATTCTGGCCCAAAAGTTTTCGGTGATCAGGGTGTCTCAGACACGGTTTCGACGCCAAGAGCCTGATAGTATCTTGGGAACTTCCCTGGGTCTATCAAGAATATTTCTCTTTCTGTTTCCAATTAATACTGTATTATGATAGCACAAAGTCTCTGTCTGATATCTGGATTGATCGCCTCTAGCTGGAAAACAGGGATGCAACGGGATGAGTCACAATGTCTTGAGAAACACCACCAACGTACCATGACAGCGAAAATCAATCGGCATGGGTCATAGAAACGAACGTCTTATATAGCCTTTCACTAGCCGCCACCGCCACCGCCGCAGCCTCCTCCACCTCCTCCACAGCCTCCACCTCCTGCGTAGCCTCCGAAGCCTGCTGCAGCCATCCCAGTGGAACAGTCTACATAACGCCTTTGTTAGGACTCGTACCGAGAAAATTGGAGCAGGATCACACTTACCACCCATTCCCCGAGAAGGGCCAGACCATATTCCCTATTCGGAAGATTAGTCAAAGAATCCAGAGAAATCCAAGGAGGCCTTAGACTCACGGCCGAGTTGGTACACCCTCCAGGACCGCCGCACCCACCAGCAGCAATGTCGTTCGGACCCCACAGCCCCTGAGCGCAGTCGGCCCACGACCCGTTGAGAATTCCAGGGTCTCCAGCTACGTACATGTCCGTCGTCAGGTACGCAGGGGCGGAGATCGGGGCGTACTGGAAGTAAGTCTTGCCCCAGTGGTTATAGAACTCCTCCTTGGGTGGAAGTTTCTTGCCTCGCTTCGCGGCCCGTTTGACAGCACGCTCGTAGCCGTCGTCAAGGCGAGAGGCCCAGATGGACCTTTGAAAGGAGCGAGCCCTGTTGAGAGGCGACGATACGTCCGCATGGCAAGAGTTGTGCGCGGAGACATGGGCGGAGGACGAGGAATCACAGGCGGCCGCCACTGAAGAATTGAAGTTGTCGATGGCTGAAGAACAGCGTCAACAGACGGACATCGAAAACATGATACATGTGGGAGTTTTCTTATCCATACCTTTCTGTGCTTTGGTTCTTCCGAAAACGGCTGTACTGTTCATTGTAGAATTGACACGAGTAGCTATTACAAGGCGTCAGTGATGCATGGGTTCAGTTCAGACTTGCTGAGTGTGAATAACGAAACAGACCTTCGCAGTACCAGCAGGTACACTCAGAGTAGACCTCGCCAAATTTCTCGAGGTAAATCTTGCCCGTCCAGTCAAACGAGGTGGAAAGCTGGTCCTCGTCAACCTTGTCGTTGTGGTCGATGAACTTAGCCTTCTTTGTGCCGTTGGTCGCGCTGTTGTAAGTGGAGAACTTGTAGTACGCTCTCGGCGCCAGCTGGTGGGTATGCCACGCAAGATCGACGTCCAGGGTCGGGACACACATCGTGAGGGGGTTCTCGGTCATGATAAGCATGAAGCGGTGGTACTTTTGAACCAAACGATCCATGGTGCCTCGTGCATTCGGACTGTGGAGCCAGTCGATCTGTGCGAGAGTCTTGTCAGTTGGAAGTTCCTGCTGCCCAGGACATGGTGTAATAAGAAGCTCACCGAATACATCTTGCCAACGAATACTCCCTGGCGCATAGTTGCAGCTACAAGATCCAGAGCAAATATGGAATGATTCTCCCAGTATCTCGCCATCATCTTGGAGCTTTGGAACTTCTCCGTCCGTGTCAATATCCTACTTTGTGCAGTCTCTTTCACTCCAACCTTGGCAAATTTATCCTTCTGGATTCTGGCATATGACTCGTCATTTGCCAAAGCTTTGGAAATCAGGTCTCGGACGTTCTTCATCGTACAATTCCTTTGCTGGCCTGGACGGATGAGATTGAATAGCTGCTCGGAGATCCCGTAGCCTACGAGCCGGTTCGGAAAGGTCACTTCCAAAAGCTGTTCATCGTTGACGGCTGGCATGCCGGTCTGTGGGTCGAGGACAGTGCTGGGGATGGTGACGCCTTCGTTGAGATAGCCTTCTGCGTCACTGATAATCTTCGCCACAGAAAGGAGGCGCTGGGTGATAACGCTGTCGCAGCCAGGTGTACATGGCTGGGAGAAATCCCCATCTCCATACCCATTTCCGACCAGACCCGGTCGTCTATCCCCATATTCATGTCAGTAAGACGATCCATGGAGGACATTTTAGCCACGAATAATACTTACGATTCACCCTTATACATCTCTGGCAAGCCACACGTGGTCCAAGGGACCTCCATAGTTCGCTTGCATGCGGGGCAGCCAAGGACTTTCACCATTGGCTCCTCAAGGTTGTCCCAGGATCTTCCTGTCGCCGTCTCCCAGTTGGATTTGGCCTGGTCAGGGACCTTGTAATTGAATTTGGAGTCGATTGCCTGATTGACTTGGGCCCAAGGCATACCCGTTGTCCAGAATTTTCGGAGACCCCAGCGCATGGTGTCCTCGAGGAAAGCTCTTGGGTTGAGCATGTGCGAGTGCCAAATCATGAGAACGTCTATTATCGTCAGCTTCTGTAATGCGCCCTTGCTACTCACATTGTGCCACTTACCCAAAGGGGGCAGAGTATCAACGGTCCACGGGTAGTCTTCAGACCCCTCGGGGAATGTCGCATACTTTGCAGAGAACTTGTCGACGTTGCCCATTTCCGCCTCGCGTAGACGCCCTTCCGAGAGAGTCTTCCACCAACTCTCATAACGGTCTACAGCCCGCGCCAGGTATACGGCCCACCGCTTCTCACGAATGATTGCCAAAACCTTCTTCGTCCGGTCAGCTTCATCCTTGCTCGAACCACCCTCCTCCTTAGTATCGGTATCGGGAGGTGGTCCCGCACGAACATCCCACAAATCCCAAAGCCCATCGGTGTAGCCCACATCCTCCTTCAGCGTCTGGATGGCGTACAGGAGCTTTAGATGAGCGAGGCAGGAGTCTACATCCGGGTCCCTCTGGGTACCTAGTCTGAGAGAGCTGAACGCAGCCGTGATGTTCGCGACATCAGCTTCAGTGTTTGGTCTATTCCTGTTGGGGCCGCCGTTGGCTTCAAATGGCGGTGGCTGATCTTCGAATGGTGGGGGGTCTTCCTGCGCGGCGTCGTATGTTGGCGGAGGCGTGGCCGGACGCTCTGTCTTTGCCCTCTCCGCCTCCGCCTCCTTCTCTTTCGCCTTCGACTTCTTGAAAAAAGAGGGCATCGTGATTATTCGGCGCTGACAGCAATAAATTGGATGGTGTCGGAGGCAAACGCCCGACGTTGGGGAATGCGGGGTAGAGAGAGTCGTGAGGCGCAGGGGATGATGAACCAACGGTGTCCAGAGTTGCAGAGTCCAACGATCTGAAAAAGAGAAGCGTACGGAGTCGAGTCTGCGACTTTTAAAAGAAGCCCTCTGGAATCAGCAAGGCTTTCAATGGGCACTCAAGGCTTCCGGACACGTCACGCTCTTCTCGTCGGACGAGGTAATCATCAGACCAGCTGCAAGTCTCCAGGGCGGTTAGGCTAACTGATGGGCAAGACAATGAAAGGGGTTGTTTGGTATGCAGGGCAGCGGCGCAGTAGTGAGAGCAAGACCTGGGGTTCGTCGCCCAGAGCGCCTTCAAACCTTCTACGGCCGCACAAGACGATCTAGTCGGGCGAAGGCGCCCCTCCACTATCGCCAGAGCCTAGTCTCCAATCGGGTCAGTGGTGGGTGGGCACACGGATGGTTACCGAGGATCCATCTTGTTCACTCAGACCCGACCCTGTCCCAGACTAGCGGGGTTCGAAGTACCTGGGGAAGGGGTTGATTGTCGTTCAAGAAGTGTTCATAAAGCGCGACAACTACTACTCTGAGTCCTTGAGTCGCCGCATGGGCATTGGTTTGCCCGTCTGACATTTCCGTCTAGCCCCAATTCGCTTAAGTGCTTAGACGTAGCCACTCAGAAGCTTGGCATGCCTTATCAAGTCCCAAGACATCCCACCGGCCAGTGAGGCTAGCTAAATATGATATATGAATGCAACTAGATAATAGGTCGTGGCTGTGCAGATGGCTAACGATTATTGGAACTTAGGGTCGCAAAAGTACCATAATAGTTACCCTAATAATATTCGAGAAAGCACGACGCACGCAAGTGAGCCCAGTTTCTGTTAGATCTGTGTAGCTGTTTCAGAGGCTGTGTACAAGATGCTAGCCGCCCGCCCTTAGTTCTACACTGTTTAGAAGAGTCTCTATCTGTTGTTCGGGCGTATGAAACATATGTACATCTGCGGCGGCCAAATTTGAATGATCTGACTTTACCTTTTTCCGGCCCAGAATCTCAGGAGGGCTTCCTTCTTGTTCTTCGGTGGGGGCAGAGGCTCTGGATTGCGGTCCTCCTCCTTCAACACTTGTCCATCGTTTCCAACATTCGTGACAGCGTTATGCTGCTTGCCGAGGTAAAAGTTGGTTTGAAAGAGAGCCGCAATGAGAGGGATAAAGGCCAAGGCCAGCGCTGGCACAAGACAGTAATACAGAGTGCGGCGGTACGCCTCGATAGCACCTTGTCGCATGGGGTCGTCGAAGGCGTACTTTGTGCGGATTGTCTTGACGCTGTTGAAGAGACTCTTGACGTCCTTGTCAGTGGCCGTGGCAGGTAGGTACTGGCGCAGGAGCGTAGGCATCTTTTCAGCCCAGATGACGGCGACGATGGCACTGCCAACAGAGCTACCAATCTTGGACCAAAGGGAAAGCAGGGCAATGGCCAAGGCGACGTCCTGGTGAGGAACGGAAGCCTGGGAGGCAACACGAGAGCCGACGACTGAGAAGGCACCACCACAGCCGATCATGACGAGTGAGAGTACCATGGGTGCGGTCGAGATCGTGGCTCGGGGACCGTCGATCATAATGCCCATACCAATGATCTTTATGCAGAGTCCGACGATCTGAAGCATCTTGTAGCGATGCGTCCACCGCTGTAAGAGACCTGCGACGAGACCAAAGACGCAAAGGGCGAGGGTCAACGTGTTGTTGTAGTACACCCAGTCTTGCGAGGACCAGGGCTTGGCGATGTACACGTAGGATGACCAGTACAGACCGCGCATGTTACCGGCGACTGGGTTGTGTGTGTTAGCATTGAATGGAAATGCTTGATGCGAGTATAACTTAAAAAGCCAAAGACTTACGCATGTAGAAAGAATCAATAACAATGGCCATCAGAAACGTCTTGTTCATGACAAGTCTGCGAGGCGCGCTGGGCACCTTCGCCCACTTGATCTCATAGACGACATACGCAATAAGCAGAATTCCTCCCACGACCATCATGGCAATAAGAGACTGGTTTCGCCAGCCGTGCTCAGCGTAAGTCTTGAGGCTGAATGGCAAAAGCAACAAACTCCAACCGAATCCTAAAAGAACAAGCCCGAAAGCATCAATCTCGATCAAGTTGCGTTTGATACTCTGGGTCCAGGTGCTCGAAGGCTCCGTGGCAGGAGCCACGATAGAACCACGAGGTCCCTCGTAGCCCTTTTCCTCGGCCAGCTCCCTGGCGGCGCGACGAGCCTCGTTCGAAGAGGCGAGGTTCACGATGCCATCCTTCTTCGCCTTCCTGTCGAGGTACAGCAAGGTCGCGATCGCGGGACCGAGAGCAGCAGGCATGATGATTGCAAACATGCCGTAACCCCATCGCCATTGGTTCTTTGCCTGCATGGCATCAACAATCTTGCCGGCAAACCATGTGTTGATGATGAACGGGGTAGACAGCATCGAGCTGACAAAACCACGCCATTCAAGGGGCGTCAGGTCAGCGACGATGATGTCGTTGGTGAGGTCGAGCCCTGAAGAGCCAATGGCGACGAACACCTCACCGATGACGTACGCCGAGATGGATGTGCTCGAGGCCGCGATGATATATCCGATCACGTAGAATAGGAGGGTGACGATGTAGGTGTACGGCCGAGAAGTAATGTCAGAGATCTTCGCGATGAAGGGTTTCGAAACTGCCGAGATGATACTGGTCGCGATCGAGAGCGTCGACAAAACGGACGAGTGCTGCTTGTAGTATGAAGAGGCGTCGATGCTGTAGTACGACGTCGTTGAGCTGTCGAGAGAGTAGGCCCAAGCGCAAACCAAGACGGAGAGCCCGACGAGGTAGAAGGAGAGACGGCTTTGCTTGGCCTCACGGTAAACCGCTTCCATGCGGGTAACGCCCTGAGACTGGAGGACTTCGCCCACTGAGGAGATCTGGACCTCCTCCCGGTCCGTGGAAGGGGAGATGGTGCCGTCCTTTGGAACGTGGACGTTGTCTGAAAAGACGCCCGACTCTTTGCCACCGCTCATGACGAAGAAAGACGACCGCTGGCGGGAATAGTGATTAGATACGCTTGCGTAGGCGTTGAGTAGCAAGCATTACTTTAGGGAACGCATGAGTTATATGTAGGTTTTCAATAAGTGGCATAAGATCCATCGGGTGTCTTGGATGCAATTAGCTTCCCAAGCTGGCCGTGTCACTGGGCACAGGATTCCCACTCGGAGTGTAAAATTTGTTGCCACGTTTCGACTGCGGAGGTAGCGATCATCGGATCTAGAGACATGGTGATATGTCCAGGTAGAAACTTTTTGGGCTGCTGGAAAAGTATGGTTCAAACAAGCCTTGCTAGTGTGGTACGTGAGACTGCGGTGAAAGATTAACGCCAATGAGGGCTTTTGGGGTCTCACTTTACCAGTATCTAATCAGATGGACCCATCATCTTATCTTTTCCATCGGGTTAGTGATCTCGACCGGCTGGTGTGGGCTTCTAGCGGAATTCCGGTACTAATGACAAGCTAAACATGTGGGGAGCCATCCCTGGTGCGGAAGTGGGTAACAAATCGTGACGATCGGATGGAAAACTTGACAAAGCAGTTTGCCGTCCTCGAATGGCCGAGTTTGGTGGCTCCATCCACTTCGCTCAGATCCAACGGCAAAAGGTTCCTCACCTTAGCTTGGTCATGACCCAGCATCATGCATTACCTGGAAGTGGCTTGTTCCAACAGCCCATTTGCTACTGATGGGCCTTAATTAAGAATTTAAAATAAGAAAAAGCCAGTTTTTCAAGACCTGGAATCGAGGTACCGTGACTAAAAATGTCTATGTTCCCATTTCATTTCCGCCCCGATCCACAATATCGTTCTCGGGCATCAGTAAGCGCCATTCCGCCACGAGTAGCCTCAAGTAAGTGATTTTTGACACATTTATCGGTCGATTCGAGTTCAAGTCAAGGGCCTTTTTGGTCTGTGTTTAGTATAGAGCATATTGACAACAAGTCATCATTGGTGTCGGAGCGCGGACTTGCTTGTAAACACAAGAATTATAGATAACACTAATGTGTTTTGACCATCGTTAAGAAAATAGGTGATCCCGCTGACAGGGTTGCTAAAGTGTTGTCTGGCTTCGAAACTGCCATTGTGCTCTAGGCTGGATCATGCAACTAGAACAAAGAATCCTGCAACAAAAAAAAAGTAGGGTTTTTAAGGCCGAGATGCCAGTCTAGTCCTTGAAGAGCGTTTATTCTTTGCTTCTGGGACTTGGTACAGGTCTGAACGTTGCTATCTGAGCAAGTACCATTTGCTTTTGATCCCCTTCCCTGGGAAAACCCTCGTCACCCACTTCCCATGTATACTACACCCATCATTTGATTGTTAAACGTTCAGACACCTGGTAGAACTTTGGCTGGTACGAGATGCTCTGACGCTTGAAAATCTGCTCTTCGTGAATCTTATGGCCTGCACACAGAGATTGCTACCTGGACGAAGGTAGAACTAGTGACGGCAGATGTGGAGTTGCTGCTCCCACCGGCCCAGTCTCGCGGGACTCCACGGATTCCAGGCGGGTCGCAGGAATCATTGTCATGAACGGATCCACACGATCTCATGGACACAGATTTGAAAGAATACTTTCGCCTCGTATTTACGCAAATTATCAGAAGAGCACTCAGTCGAGGTATGTTCGACATAAATATGGTTCATCTCAGTCAACGTGTCTTTGATACTGGCCGTAGGAGATGCTGGCACCCTTTGCCTACAGATCGTTTGAACACTCAGTCGCCAAGTAGGAAGCCATTAAGAGTTGGTCAGTGTCAGTGTAGTGTCTTGTTGCTGCTAGTCTTAACCTACATGAGTGCCTTTGTTCTCTTTCCATGGTGTGTGGGTGTGCTCCGCCAGAACTCCGCGCGGGTGCCGGTCTCGGCTAGTGTTGGCTTATATGTCACCGAGTCTGGCTCTGGCAGTAAGCCGATGAGCCCGATGATTTATCTTCCGGGTTGTCCTCGTTTCTTCGCCAGAGATTCGCGATACATGAAACGCCTGAATGATTATAGCTTATGCCAATCGCCGATATTGTCTGCCTAGCGAATCTGATGATTGCAAAATGGAGGCTGTTGGTCGCATAGACAGGTTCTGAGTAACACCTATGGAAACTCCCAATGTGTTCTGTCTAGCTTCCGGTTGGCATCAGCTTGTTACTAGTCATGTAAGAAGGAATGGGCAACTGCATTCGTTGTTTGTTCCCATGGAGCGGAGGAACTCAGTATTGTGCGGTTAGGATGTTGTTATCATTACGCGCTTGTGCAGCGCCTGGCTAATAGAGCAAACATCTGCACAGTGACGCTGAACTTTCGAATACAACGAGGCTGCTGATGTTATGGAACTCATGAAGAGACTCGGAAATTGGCGGCTTATTGAATCTATAACCTCGCACAACATTGGGTGCCCCGTGCACATGTCACAGTTGTCAATTTGTCGATCATGGGGAGGATAAGTGTGGGCCAACTGTCCGGACGGATAGACGATCCGATGTTAATTCAACGAGACAGAAGCATTTACAAGCCATCATGAACTCAGGCAGAGATGGATGTACACTGGGACTGTAATCTAGTCTGCAGGCCGACTGAACTTCATGGTCAACTCTTGCATCTAGGCAACATGTCATACGATGAGGTCAGGGCGACCCCAAGCCATTCGGTCTCAATCACCATTTAGGCTTAATTCACCGGCGTCTCAATTAAGACGCTCCCTGGCTACCATTGACTCAATTGCCTTAGAGCCCCCGCACCCAAGGCGCTAGACAATACTACTCCCTTCCCCTCACTCTATCTCCAGCGAAAAAAGGTTTCTCCAATGTTGAAAGTTATTTCATCATGGACCAGGGCACCCACCCGAAACAGCATAGACTTTTGGACGCAATCCTCCCCTTAATCAATCTGGCGCCTCCAAGTCGACATTTTGTGGTCTTCACGTTCGATATATGCCTCTTTTGAGATGTTGTCATCTGAACGTGGTGGAGACTGAAGACCATGGACTTCCAGCACTGCCGTTACCCCTGAGGGATGAGTCGACCGCACGTGGTCGTTCGGAGCCAAACTCTCCGCGGGATCCTCATGGTCCCATCTCCTCAAGCTGTGCAGCGAACCGCCGGATTTTCCCAATCTGGCAAACGTCCAGGTACCGACGGCTCGGCGCCAATGCTGTCGACCGGCTTCCAAGCAACATCCCCGCCGTCGAAGCCCCGGCCTCCTTGTATCCTACCCGGCACGAAGCAGTAACCTCAGAGGCCCCGAGTTCCTCGGCACGGAGAAGCACAGAGATCGTCCCGGCATCCTTGGAGACTACATCAAAATGAAGGACCGATGTGGCCTTCAGAACCCTTGGACCTTGCTTCACAGGTGCGAGCCAAAGGTATTAAACTTCGGGACCAGGGCCTGAGTCCCACCTTGGCAGGATGGCCAGTGTTGTATAAGAGCAGAAAACGCCTACCCACGTTGAGCATCATGAAAACACAGTTCATCGCGCAGCATCCATCTGGGTACGACATTCTTTTCATCAACAGCCCTTTGTTTTTCAGTCATCCTTCAAAATGGTCGTCGCTCAACTTCTCCTCGCCGCAGCGCTTGCGCCGGCTGCCCTGGCGAGCCCCCTCAAGCAACGTGATGTCGCATCCTACGAGGGAAATCCGCTGGCAGACAGACAGTTGTTCCCCAACCCTTACTATGCCGATGAGATCAAAAACCTGGCCATTCCGAAGCTGAGTGGAGAGCTCGCTGAAAAGGCGGCCAAGGTCGCGGAGGTCCCGTCTTTCGCGTGGCTGTAAGTGTCTCGACTGGAGCCAACGCGTCGCATGACATGTTGCGCTGACAACCATAGTGACACCCGTGAGAAGATCAGCCTGATGAACAGCACTTTGGCTCAGATCCGCAAGCTTAACCAGGAGGGCGCCAACCCGCCGTACGCTGGTACCTACGTCATCTACAACTTGCCGGACCGTGACTGCTCTGCCAAGGCCTCGGCCGGTGAGCTTGTCATCGCCGACGGTGGCGTAGAGAAGTACAAGACGGAGTACATCGATCCCATTGCCGCGCTTGCCAAAGAGTACTCCGACGTTCGTCAGGTGTTTGTCTACGGTTAGTACTCGAATACCGTGCAACATGACAGATCGCGGGAAACTGATTAAGGACACAGAGCCCGACGGTCTCGCGAACCTTATAACGGTGAGTTCATCAACTGCACCTGAGTCAGCTCTCATAGCATACTAATGACAACTAGAACTTGAATGTTCCAAAGTGCTCCGGCGCCGCTGATGCATACAAGGAGGGCACCGAATACGCCTTCAAGACCCTCAACCTCGATAACGTAGCCATCTACGTCGATGCAGGCCACGCAGGCTGGCTTGGCTGGGAGAGTAATCTGGCGCCGACGGCGGAGCTCTACGGCGAGCTGTACAAGAAGGCTGGGACGCCCAAGGCGGTCCGCGGCATTGTCACCAACGTTTCCAACTACAACGGCTGGAACCTGACTACAGCGCCCTCATACACGTCGGGCAACAACCAGTGGGACGAGTCCAAGTTCCACGCTGCGCTGACCCCGCACCTCAAGGAGGCGGGATACCCAGCCAACTACCTCGTCGACCAGGGCCGCAGCGGCAAGCAGCCGACGGGACGACAGATCTGGGGCGACTGGTGCAACATCAAGGACACTGGCTTCGGCATTCGCCCGAACGCCAACACTGGCATTGACACGCTGGATGCATTCGTCTGGGTCAAGCCTGGTGGTGAGGGTGACGGAACCAGCGACTCGACTGCCGCGCGTTATGACGAGAAGTGCAGCTCCGCGTCTTCGGTCATTCCGGCCCCGGAAGCTGGAGCTTGGTTCCAGGAGTACTTTGTGCAGCTCCTGGAGAACGCCAACCCTCCGTTCTAAGTAGTTGCCCAAGAACGAGGCTACGAGGTTTGCATTGCACACTTTTACCTTCTAAGTATATCAATAGGGATTACGGAGTTAGCGTCTTTCAAAAAATACACACTGTGAAAGTCTCGTTGAAAAGTCCATAGTTGTCTTGCCAAGGAGAACGTTGCAAACCCGGCTATTCACCAAGGTGAGCTTGTTGAATTAGTGGAAGCTTGGTGACAATGAGGACACCAAACAATGGTTTCAAGCATCACACAACTTCTTTGAGCTATCCCAGCGCCACAACATCATCCCAAAGTGGAAATTGCCAGATACAGAATGTAGTGTAAGCTTAAGGGAAGCACGCCAGGCGAAGGATCAGTCGCAGCGGCTAACCCCAAGATCTGGCAACTTCAGTCAATCAAGACTCAATGGTTCGCTTTCGGCCCCGCATGCTCCAGCAAGGCGCCTGTAATCTCGCCCCTTTTGGGGGTTGGACCGCCCCGGCCCAAGCTTCAACAAGGACTTCCACCAATCGCGTTGAACTATGACTTGGCCGAGTATGGGGAATCCAATGTACTGCAAACGCACAGTGACGAAGTCTTTTTGACGAGGCAACCCACTAGGTACCGGACACTCGACTCTTAGTCGAAACGTTGTTATTATATACTGCAAGTTCCACGCAGCCCAAGCCCGTCGGTGTTCCAACTATTGACCACAGTTGTCCCCTCTCTCCTTCGTGATTCCTGCACGGTCTCATCCTCGCATTCTCTTCGCTTTCGCTTCGCTTTCGTTCTATTTGTCTTTCTTCTATTGTCGATATTCTGCTGGTGCATAACAAAAAATCTGTCAAAATGAAGTCCTTTACCCAAGCCCTTTCCCTGGCAGCTGGCCTGTCCCTGTCTTTGGCCACTCCCACTCCGGATGTCTACCCGAGACAAACCGGTTCCAAGAACTTGGTGGTCTTGTAAGTCTTTCTGCTTCTCCGCGTTAGCACAAACCGTCTGACTCGAATGCTACTGTAGTGGTGACTCCTACTCCACCGTTGGCTTCTGGCCCGGTGGCACTCTTCCGGCCGCCGGCAACCCGCTCGGCAACCCCGCCCTCCCGGGCCAAACCACTTCGAGCGGTCTCAACTGGGTCGGCCACCTCACCAGTACCCTCAACACCTCGCTGGTTCTGACTTACGACTTTGCTGTCACCGGTGCCACCACCGACAAGGAGATTGTTGACACCTATGCGCAGTACTGTGTCGACGACCAGGTTGAGCAGTACACTCAGTACGTCTCTAGCAAGGTCGACAAGGCCAATACCCTTGTTGCTGTCTGGATCGGCATCAACGACGTTGGCGAGCCTTTCTGGGACAATGAATCCGCCCCTGTGACCAAGATCATGGACCGTTACTTTCAGCTTCTTCAGACACTCGCCGATGATGGTCTGACAAACTTTGTCTTGCTCACCGTCCCTCGTAAGTTCATTAAGCACCACAAAGCCCTGACACAGACCATTAACGCTACACCACCAGCCTTCTCCGACCAGATTCCCGCCATGATCGGCCAGTCCGAGACCGACCTGGCCCGTCTGCGATCCGACATCACCTCCTACAACCAGGCTCTAGAGGACCGCCTCGCTACTTTCAAGTCATCCAACAGCGGTGTCAAGGGCCTCGTCTTCGACACCAAACCCTCTTTCGATACCGTCGTTGAGAACTTTGCCAAGTACGGCGCAAAGGACGCGACCTGCTATGGCTCCAGCGACTGCTTGTGGGCCGATAACTACCATGCTGGCCTGGCCATCCACAAGCTCCTCGCTGAGAACTTGGTCAAAGATGTTGCTGAGAACTTTGTGTTTTGAACAGATGAGAGTGGACGGACTGCCTTTAGACAGCATTTTGAGCATAATCGAAATACATGACTCGTCATGAACTTGTTGTTGTCCAATGTAGACCTACATTGAATGTATTTTCCTTTTCAAAATTCGCCGTTAAGCCTGAAGCCATGTGAAGCATTCAGCAAGTAATCCTTTGCGTATTCTATCCAACGGGTTGACATTCATATGTTTCAAGTCATACTCGTGAAACTTCTCACCTTGCAAGAAAGAGGATTCCGTACCTCATGTCTTCGCGTCGGTCCTGACATCAAGTATACATGAGCAAGACACTTACATACTATATGATGTTTAGGCACCTGTCGATGATATTCCCCTAGAGACAATGCATACATGGATACGTAGTCAAGCGATACCATACGGGCAATAGTACCCTCAAAAAGTATCTTAACAGCACGAACTTTCTATGTACAAAAACCTCATTTCCTACGCCTACTGTAGCGACGACAACCCTGAAATGTCACCCAAGATGCCAAGAAGCAAGGTAGGGGCTCGTCGGTGCACCGTCTTAGCGTCTGCAGATGCCGCACGTGGGCCTAACGAAGACGATTGCTTGGATAGTTAGCGAGTTATTGCCTCACATTTTGAGGTAACTCTTAGCTGTTCTTGTGCTGTCCGACAGATACAATACTTCCAGGTAAGTGACTCAAGAGGCTAGCTGCCGCGCACAAACCGTTGAGGTGTGTATTCATGTCACAATACATACTTGACAGCAGAAGACTTGTCTCACAGCAGAGTCGATGACTTGCGTAACATGACCAAAGCTTGTGTTCGAAATGCCACGGGTGAAGCCTAGGCGGTACAGAGGTGGTTCTGGTATTCCGATTGAGATGCGATCGCTTGCTGTTGACGCTTACGTGTCTCTGTGCTGTGCGACTCTCGCCCTACATAGGCAAGCAAATGCTTTTGTCCAGAGACTAAGTCTGACAGCATGCTTGAGTCGTTTATGAATACCATGGTGTTTCTGCATCTAACCAATACTATCATGTGATACCATCGAGTCGGTTATATCCGCACCAATGGCAGTGCTTCCTAGATCAATGAACCATATGCTTAGTCCTCCAGCGACCACCGTTTATGGTTGACTATAAAAGATGTGCTCAGTTTGGACTCTTTTGCTTTTCTCATCAGCTCACGACCAAGTCTATAAATCACTGTCTTGGTCATTTATAAGGATCATAATAAACCCACAAGCTCCTTTCCCGGCAAATCTTTCAATATGCTCATCGCCAATATCCTCACCACCGCCGCTACGGCTTGTGCGGTCTTCGCTCCCGCGGTCATGACCGCTGATATGAAAGTCAGGAAGAACGACAGGGCCGACTGCTCCCACTGGGAAGGCCCCGTCAGAGATTTTAACAACGGCGATTGTCATGGACTATATAAAACCGACCGCGGTATTAGAGTTATTAAATATAACACTAAATGCAAGAGTAAGAGAAGCCTCACCATGAACAAATAACACAAAATCATGTCTAACTAGTAGAACAGTGAGGGGATACCCAGACGGAAACTGCAGGGGCAAGGTGATTACGGCTTTTAGTACAAGGCAGTGTCACTCTTTGAAAGGAGTGTGGTCTGTCAGGGTTGAATGTCAATAATTGAGAGATGTAACAAGACATTGCAGTATTTTCGATAATCATATAGCTGGAGAAGGTAAGGGGCGGAAATTCAAAATTTATCTTATGCACTAGCTATTGGTGCCGGAGTCTGCATCTCACAGGTTGAGATGTATCTCACCAACCACAATCCTACAAAAATGCCTAGCTCACCCTGCTCATCTCATCGCAAAATCTGATGGCGGTGGGTGATACTACGGATGTACTTGAACGACATAGTGCTTTGGTTGTGGCGAGGTATGATACCGACACATTGTGTTTATTAGTGAACATCTGGTGTCCCTAAAACACTGCCTATCCCACAGAGCGAGGCTAACAGCCTCATTCCGGGCCATACCGCTTCAAACCCTTGGAGTGTCAGCTACTGCCAGCTTAATTCCGGTTCAGCCTGTGAAAGGCTGCTGAAATCATGCCAGATCCCTTGTGAAATCATTACATCTTTGACAGCCATCATATCGGCATTCGGGCACTGTTTGCAAGATAACGACCGCAATCAACCCGCTTCCATGAGACTGATAAGCATCCACCGCATTTTCGAGCCGCTATGTCTTGATTTCGAAATGAAACCAGGGTTGTTTAATTCTCGTTACGGTGGCCCGAAGGGGGGAAAGGTGATGCGATCTATGATCACTTTAGAGGCTGAAGATCTTGATGAGAGAGACACAGCTTCTTTGACCGACTAGTGTGAAGTCTTTATTGGCGGTGGGCCGTCTGCGGATCTTATGGTACGATGGAGACCAAAAGTGACGGACGTGGCTATCTTGCTCCCCATCACATCTGTTTGAGCGCTCACGGTGCTGGAACACCACAATCTCCTTGGTTCAGGTTGAGAGATAAGTTCAGTTGCGTAACCCACAAGCAAACACACAATCTAGTACAGCTAGCTCGAGCTTGGCATAAATTGACAAGTCTAATTGACCAATAGGAAATCGCTCCCTATCGTAATTAACGTTCATGCCGATGATAAGTAGATCCACTCCGAAATGAACATGCGGGGCCCCGGGATCGGCCTCGAGAACTCTCGATGACAATAAAGGTTTTGGTTATTCGCTACTCAAAGCTTCCGGTGGAATTCTCAGCTGCACTTGCATTGACTTTGTCGGACGTGAAGATGGTGAACCTACGAACATCTGTGCTTCTCAATGCTCTTCTGGGCGCGCATGCTGGAGCTCAACACCTCGGTACGGTGCAGGACAACACACCATCATTGTCCTACGCCAACGTGACTTCTCTTCTTGACACGATTCTGGCTCGCGGATACATCAACGTCGGCACAACGGGCGATTACAAGCCGTTCACGTACCTTGTTACCAACCAAACGACTCTGCCCAACACTACCGCAATTAACACGACTTACATCGGCGCGGACATTGATGCAGCTCAATCCTTGTCTAACGCTCTCGGACTTCCTGAACCACCGCGCCTAGTGGCCACGAAATGGGCGAACATCACTAGCGATCTGACGGCTGGCAAATTCGACATCGCCATGGGCGGCGTCAGCCTGACTCTCTCGCGCGCTAAGACAGCGTTCTTCTCGACCGCCATCCAGCGGGTGGGCAAGACAGCCTGCATCCGCTGCGCTGATGCGGAAAAGTACACCGACCTCGCGTCCTTGGACCAGCCAGGCGTCAAAGTCGCCGTCAACCCTGGTGGAACCAACGAGGCCTTCGACCGCGCGAACCTCAAGTCTGCGACTATCGTTTTGGTGGAGGATAACAATGCCGTTTACCAGGCTGTTCTGGATGGCACGGCTGATGCCATGATATCTGATCTCATCGAGGTCGAGCTGCAGGTGAAGCTACACGAGGGCCAGCTTTGCATCGCTAACCCGGATGAACCGTTCAATTTTGAGGAGTTGGGATACGCTGTTCCTAGGGACATTGTCTGGAAGCAATTCGTTGATACTTGGGTTCATATGCAGCTTGGGGGTGGGTCTTGGAACCAGACGCTAGAGAAGTGGTTGAACTACAAGTGGCCGAGTGTGTAGCTTCAGAGCCTCGATTCGAAGTCTGTATCAATTAATTACCTAATGCATGACGCTGGCACTATGTTTAAGCGTAATATCACCAACGGCCTTTCGGGGCAATGTAATCAACCCAAAAAAGTTGTAATTAGGAGGTGCTCTTTACACCATGATAAAGCATAAGCAATGCCCAATTTGCATCGATCTAAAGTTTTGCTGGTAGCTTTCTGGATCCTATCTTGCCTTCGACAAGCCCTACAGCATGCGCAGCCATTCCCCTGCGGATCGTTAGCACAGTTGCCACGCCCTCGAAATCCAGTTGCAACTCACCAAGATGCCTGGTAGCCTGCTCCAGATGCGCCATAGTTGTGCACTATCAAGCCGTTACCATTAAATTCAGCTTCAATTCTCGGGCCGCCCTTGCGATTGGGCCTAAGTCCAACACCGTGCCTGATGATCTTGAGATCCTCGGGGCGGCCTAGTTCGGGAGCTAGAGCACAGCACCTCTCAAGGATGGTCTTTGTCAACTCCGGGTCAACCTCTTTGTCCCAGTTCCCATCCTGGCGACAGCCACCGAGCACAATGCCTCCGGCGAGCGGCCTTTGAAAGATGTAGGTGGTGTCGTTGTCTACCCGGCGGGGTGAGCGGAAGTACATCCTTTTGAGAGGTTGTATGGGTTGTTCCACGAGGATAGTTTGACCTCGAGTAGGGTACATCGATTTGTCCTCAACGCCGCCGAGAAAATAAGATCCCAAACCAGTACAGTTAAAAATGGCGGCCACGTCAGATGAGATGCGCGCGTCTTTGACATGTTCAATCCGACGACGCACAAGGTTAATGTTGCTTTGTCTGCATTGTTCCAGAAGCCTACGATTATAAGTTCAGACGCCCAAGTTTTGAAAAGAGACGAGGTACACACCACTGCAGGTAGATCTGAGTGTTGATCACAAACGTTGAGGGCACGTCAAGCCCAAAGACGGCCTTATCCGGCAGCTCGTCCTTGCTCAGTGCCACCGTACCTCCGACCAAGTCTTCATACCAAAGCTTTCCGGTGCCCTTGCTAAGGATCTCAGCATCTTCAATCTTCTGGTCGAAGATCATTCTTAGCGACGAGCTCTTGATCCCCGCCTCGGGGGTGTTCTGGGCGATTTCCCTGAACCGGTCAAAGGTAACGCGATCAAACGACTCGAGAAGGCCATTGTCGTTCGCTGAAGAACACCAGTTACCTCCCGCCCAAGGAGAGCAATAGTCGATGTGGTAGTCGCCGGGGAAGTATTCTGCCAATATGGTGATGCGACTTGCCGGGTACTCGGCCCTTAGGGTCAATGCGGTGGTGAGACCGATGACGCCGGCGCCGAGGACGATGAAGTGACAGGAAGATTCATTTGTGGAAGGCATCTCGGAGATATTTTACAGTAAATTGAGAAGAAAACGAAAGAGGAGCGACATTTGATGTGCAGCAATAAGGTGATGTATTGCCGTGAGCCGTCCCGGACCCGCCCAGTGCTTTCGGCCCCAGCAAGGTTAGCAATGAGCGTCCGAAGTCGGCGTTAAATGAAAGCGGGCGCCGAGTCATGGGTGCGATTTTAGCTTATGGATGGCCCTGAACCATTTTAGGGTCTTTCCCGGCCATCTGTGATGCACGTTGGCCATTGCAATCACTAGTGTTCAGAGCAACAAGATGTAGGTGGAGTGGAAAAGGTAAGGGCTCCAATGTATTCATCCAAACACTATTACATAGCTATCAATTACAGATCCAATTACAGATCCAAGTGACTTTTGATGGTGTTTGAAGCCAGCCTTTTGATAACCAATGTCGGTTCGCGTCAGCTACGGCTAACAGTCTCAGCACAAATAACTTTATTGTCAATCTGGCTGTTGGATCAAAACGCCTTGTGACATGTCGCGGACCAGAAAGACCACAGATGAGTTTTGCAAGACAATTTGCGGCTAGGTTTTCTTGCCCGCCTTCTCTTGTCCCGTCGGGTTGCTGGGTTGCATACCCTCGAGGTTTACCCCCTTCTTCTGTTGAGATCCCATTGAAGGCATTGAGTTGAGGTCTCCGCTGTGTCTCTGGAAAAAGCCAGGTCATTAGCATCGTGATCGTTCGACTCCATGGAATACATACTCGCTCCTCCTCGACCTCAGCGTCGTGAATGAAGTCATGTCCTGCCTCAACGGCGTCATCCGACAGACCATGCTGCTTCAGACCGTGATCCTTTCTGTTAGACATATTGATAACGCTGTCTGGGTAAGTTGCTTTCAAGCTATGTTCAGAGCTTCAAGGTAATCAGCGTGTTTCACGGGACATTGTTTCGTATCGAATCTGGGGGCAGTCATTCATTCATATATTTTTACTGTGTTTTCGAAAGAAGAGGACATGTGATGCCTCATCGTCATGAATGTGCCCAAATGAGGGGTCTGTGGTTGCCCAAGTAAAGTATCGACGACACCATCCGCGAGGACACGGAAAACAACCCCGCATCGATGACGGTATCGCAACCATTCAGGACCTTCCAGCAGGGATGACTGGACATCATCAATCGTTATTTGACACATCAGAAGGCGGGGTTATTAGCATATCGCGACATGATCCAGGCTAGGCTAGAACTTTGGAATGTTCAATTGAAGGGATTTCGACTGGGAGGTTCATTGCAGTGAGGGGCTCGGGGTGCACGGTGAGCAAAGGCGTATCGAGGTATATGGACTAGATTGAACCTTTCATTCGTCGCCAGATTAGGAGATGAGATAGAAATAATCAGTCTGGACGGAGATAGGCTATAATATAACTGGGCAAGTATTTCCTTGGTTTGGAAGCCCATTGAGTACCTCATGTGCATCTGGAGAATATAGCCTGATGCTCGTTTTGATGAGCTGTCCAAAGGTCTGAAATACAGTTACATGCTTATGTTCAATCAGTAGAACCGGTTACAAACAGGTTGAACACCATAGAAACCAATGGCATAGTCATTCATTGGCCTTACTGTATCACTTCACTTACACAACGTCTCATTATCTCATTGGTAATGACGCTTGGTAACTGTTATATCGCAAATAGGAGCGCTTGACCTCCGTGCTTTAATGCGATGTCAGAGAATTTTGTCTCGTGCAACGTAGAGATTTCATTTCGGTCACTAAGTTTTCGGCCTACAGTTGAACCATAATACCTTTCCAAACTAGGTAAACAAAATTGTGTGCATGTTAGTGGCTACCCGGTCTCAAAGCTGTAACAGTTAGCTTAGACCAAAGCGACTCAAAGCCAAGTCTGTCAAGTTTTTCATCACTTTCCCGTGCAACCACGTACATAAAAATATAGACCGCCTTGCTCAAAAGTATCATTGAAACATAGCTCAATTATCCATTATCATTAGTGCTATCATTACTTGAACCGTCAAGGGCATTAACCATTTTTCCTTGAACCGAGAGGTAGCAGCGCTGGTACTACCCGATACGCTCTTGTTTGCACTCGTATCCTCCCCATTGGATCTGCCAGGGTCGTTGCCGACAGGCTGGTTGATCCAGTCCTTTGGAATCTGTGCAATGAAGTCGTACCAATAATCTCCCATGGTACGGTAACCTTCATTGGTCGGATGGATGCAGTCGGCCCGCAGGATGCTGTCGCCCAGGGCAGCGAAATCCACAGCCAGAACGTGGTGACTGGCATTTCTCCGCTGCTCAACGACGGCTGGGATCAACTTCTGGAACTCTTCCGTTGCGGGCCTCTGGTTCTCATCGCAGGTGTCAACGATTTGGGCCACGAGGATGGTGGCATCAGGACAGGCGGTGATCATCTGGTCGATGAGGCACCCCAGTCGCTCGGCAGCGCCCGCCGGATCATTGCCTTCTTTGGAAACGGTTGGGTTCGGGTTCATGTCATTGGTCCCAGCGTGGAGAAGAATGATGTTCGGCCGCTGTTCCAGGGAAGGCCCAACATTGTCTGCGATATACTGGATCGTTTGTCCAGACCAACCCGCCTTCTTGCGTGTTAGAGAAGCATGCACCATGAAATTAGTTTCAATTTCTCGACTTACATAGTAACCGTCGGTCATGTTGCCGGAAGTGAGTGTTCCGGCAAAAACCACATCATTGGCTGTCGAGTTGTCAGGGTTTGTCGTTGATGGCGAGTCGCAAACCCAAAGTCTGTCGACAATTGTGCTTGCAGGGTCAACTTACCAGACAGGTCCTCATCGAGCTCCAGCCTGTAACCGTTCCCATCACTGCTTAAAAAGCCCACGGTAATGGAGTCACCGACGGGGAGAATCCGGAGTTTGACTCCGGCCTTGATCACTTGTCCAGGGGGCGTCGACTTGTATTCGAGGACGTCGGCCGCGGCGAGTGCCAGCGGGGTGAAGAGAGCTGCGGCACTGGCGAATGAGAGCCTCATATTGAGGGCAGTCGGTGGACAGGATCTAGCGAGACCATGACAGTGAACCCGATCAAGAATCCGTGTCAAGATGGTGTGGGAAGTAACCACTTCAAATAGTTGGGGCTGGAGTGGTCACATCGTGGACAACGACAGGCAAGGTCATAAATGCATACCTCGGGCACAGCTCGCCGCGATCCACCCAAACCAACACAAGGAAATTTCACCGTTTAATGCTAGGCAGCCCTCTTGGCCAACCGGCGAGTTAGGCGACACTAGTCCGGCCCCCGTCGCATTGAACGCGAAGTGAACGAAGGCCCCGTTCTTTACCCCACTGGGGAGTGAGACCAGATCCGTCTCGCCCGTTGGGTTGCGCTTGATACATGGTCTTTTACCTTGCGGCAAATCGATTAGGTCCGGCTAATGGCCGGGGTTTGCTAAGGGCCGTCAGCGTGACCAGAACGCTTGGAAGCTGTTGGAGGGAATTTTGCACCACGGCTTGGCTCCACCCTTGAATCATTTCACCTGCAGGTTGCAGACCTATTTGCTATGGTGCCAATGGCCGCTACCATGGCCCGTGGTGGGCTATCGGCAGTTTGCCAAGATGTGCAGCCAAGGTGCCTATGTGGCACAGGTCGCACAAGCGGCAGGCAGTATGTAGTAGGTATTTGGACTGTAGGCTCTTGTCATTCTCGCATCTTTTGGGCGAGAAGCAAGCTGCCACTCGGGTGACAAAAATCAGCGCCAGGATTTGTATGTAAAGATATAGAAAAGCGGCGCTGGTTTTTGTCACCCGAGTGGCTGCGCAGCAGCAGGGTTAGCCGGGAGGGGAGAAAGAAAACACAGTTGACACGGAGAACACAACAAAACACGGGAAAACGTGGGAAATGGGCTAGCCACCCTTGCCGCATCAGCGAGCAGCAAAGTCCGCTGTTGAGCCTTGTCCCTTAAGCATGATTTCTTCGGGCCGCTCCCTTGCGTCAACACAAACCACTTCGTTCTATGGGCTCAACTGACAGATCCCAGTGTGTGCACCGCCCATCTTACATAAGGTGTCGGTGCGGCGCATAGCGAGGGGTTTTGCCGGGGGATGGTCCCAATTCTGCATTCCCCTATTTTTGTCAAGGTTTTGTCTTTCCATTTAAGCCTCTCTTTATTTTAATTACCGATATCAAGCAGGCAATGGTCCTGCGAGATATGAAGCATGCACGCAAGTGCCATCCCGGAAACCGGAAAAAAAGGGGGCAGCATGAATAATAGTGCATCGAGGCTCGAATCGCGGGTCGACGCTAGAGAATAGGCTTGAAAGATAGTGTACACTGCCGATGACTTCATCTCCTGACGTCGCTCTGGGTCCCAAAGGCTTAGCTCTTCCCACAATCGCCGCAAATCCGCCATCCACCTAGTAGATCAACCCACCGGACACTGCTCTGACGTCGCTGATCACCAGACATTACAACATCGGCAGCATCGGAACCAACGTCAGTTGCTCGCCCGCCGCCGTAACGACGATTTAACACCTCAATCGAATGCCACCCGGTCGCCGGCATTCTGGATAGGCCTATTGCTTCATATATCCTCGGCTGACAATTGTCCGCAAATGTGAACACTCTTTTTACTAAGCCGAAAGGTATGAGTTGAGACTTCTAACGGATGGCTCCAAAGGCTGTTGCAACACACCTAAAGTTCACACCCAGTTTTGGTGACTGGGATATCTGCTTATAAAATCAAAATTAAAGTCCACCAGAACTGATAGAGCTCACAGCTATGAACGATCCCAATGCACAAATAAACGACAATGGCTGCATCCTTGATAAGAAGATTTCTAGTTGTACCTAGGTCAAACCCCATTTTTAAATGACCCCCAAAACAACAACTTGAATGTCTCCTTCTATATTCAGAACTAAACTGTCGCGACTACACCGCAGCCCGCACCAGCTTAGTTATCATCTTGTGTCCCTATAAACTTGACAGTGCAAGCTAAGCCACCCGGCTTCGACATCAAGACTTTATGTTCATCATCTCACAAACCAGTCTCCATTTTGTTTCCCTGAGTGCAAACAACAAGAGAAAAGAAACCATTGCTTAAGAAAGACCTGGGCAAGGCTCACCCCCGCCGTCTTCGCCAATGTCGAGCTCACCATCTCCGGCTGGGAGTTCCATGATGAAGCTGCCACATACAAACGCATTGGTTTGGTCTCCATGATTTTCATGACAGTGCTCATCAATTCATCTGAACTGACTCAGCCGTGGCATTCATGATTCTGAATTAGGAGGAGGACTTTCCCACGCCTGATATTACTTTCAAAATCATGAGCTTTCTAGGCATGAGTTATCTCGATATTATGTTTGATACTATCCGTTCATTCCGTACAGTCCTTTTGCTTGGGATTCAGTCACCTAATCTCGTGAGTTTACTTTTGACAAATCTTGACTTGGCTGAAACCGCTGCGGCAAATGCAAATCTGTTGCAGATCATCTGCGCTTTTCGATCACTGAGGTTTGTATACACTGGTATTAATGCTTATGGAAACCACTCCTACTCACTGGTGAACTCTGATCCCTCCAAAACTGCATTGTTGCCTAAGCTGTCAACGACCGCATCAACTTAGATGTCCAGACAAAAATCACAGAGTAATAAGCTACCTCAATGACCTCTGAGTCCCCTTCTCATCTTCCTCCGCGTTCTTCTTCTCGACACCCTTGTCTGTTGGCGTATTCACAGATGCGATTCTGGGCCTCGGCACAATCACCATCAACTTCCCACGCATATTGTCTACAGCGACTGGAAACTTTCTATTCTCCTTTGTACGTCTCGAAATTTCTATGCTGACATGTTTTATGCTGGTACTATCTTCATTTAAGGGACATTTTGGCTCTCGAAAGCTTCGTCTTCACCCAGATGCAAAGGCTCTCGGTCATAGTGAAATCCATGCAGAGGCTGGGCATCGCATTGACAAAGCTCCCACAGTTGACAAAGGATATACTCGATAAAGAGCGCCAACGGAATGTTTTTGCTCCTTCTTCTCCATCCTGTTTGTCGTCGTCAGATAAGATACGACAAATATACCAAGAGCTCAAACGACAGCCCAAGTATGACTTATTCACTTCAATCTGCGCTCGGACTCACTGGCCTTCGAACCCAACTGATGACTCCGACCCACCGGCGTCCGATTGGATGCGGCGCAGCTCATGACACCACCCAACGGCACAAATCTCCCTTGGTCTGGCGGTTACCGTGCTTGTTCAGGTCAGGAGGTGTTCCAGGTAGTGTTTCTGACCGTCATCGCGACAATTTTCGGCAAGTCCACCGTCGAGCCGGTGCATCGGACCCGGTGTGGGGGGACGCAGAAAGCGAGAGAGGGTGGTTTTAGACTTGATTGAGGATAGCCCAACGTTGTTGACCTTCCAAATGAACCGTCCCTAGGACGTACATTTAAGGTGGTTGAGGCAGTTCGGTAAGTAAGTTCAGGAGTGCCGCCCTAGGAATTAGCTTATAAAACAATATGCTGTGTATTAGTCTTATGACTGCCTAATGTTTTCCTCCCGAGTATAATCAAGCAATTGCATTTTTCTTCCGCTAGCAAGAGCCATGTACAAAGTTGGAGTGTAGAGTAGTTCTAATCTAGGCTCTTGACCTCCGCTACTTGTGCGTGGAAAACATTCTTTTGCAACACTAAGGCGTGATATTGTTGTTTGTTTCGTGCCGTTTATGCAAATACTTAGTTGGCCGCAATCCTTATGCGACAACCAAGCAGACGGGCAAGACGGGCAAGACTTCCATCGTGCTCGACGGTGATTTCACCAAGAAGCAGGTCAATGACGCCGTCAACGCCGTGGAGGGCTTCTACGAAGCGCTCACCAAATTCGAGAACGAGGAGACGGATGAGCATCAAACCATCGCCCTCATGCAGGCGCTTCGATCTCTCGCCCCTCAGGCTCCGGACGTCCTCAAGTCCTTGGTTTCCAAGGCGACCGACTCGGATTCGACCGCCAAGGACGACCCGCAAGCCTGGGCTCGTGCAATGATTGAAGGCGACGAACACGAGGAGATTTCGCCGTATAATAGTGTCAATGAAGTGCTGATTGAGAACTGTGCCACACGGTCCATCCATGAGATAGGCCTCATTGGTAAAGCAGCAATAAGGACCTTCTACGGTATCGATGCCCACCATTCTTACTTTATTGGTTGCTATCAAGGTGGCTGCCACGATTATTTCTCGGCGCAGTACCACCCGAGGGATTTTGATGGTATCCTCGCCATTGCTCCAGCTATCAACTTGCAAAGGCTCGCTTCAGCACTCTATTGGCCCTCAGTAGTGATGAATAACGTCGCCCTACCCCCTCAATGTGTCTTTGAAGAGTATCAGGAAGCCATCATTGCGCAGTGCGATCCTCAAGATGGTGCCAAAGACAGCCTTATCTCAGCCCTCAGGAAAGTGCACCTACGACTTTAAACGGCTTGTTGGCCACTCTCTCAAAATCTTCCGACACCGAAAAGGTCATTTCGATCACTAAAGACGATGTCGAGATCGTGTCAAGAGTTCTGGAAGGAGCAAAGAGGACGTCAAAAGGGATCCTTCAGTACGGTATTCAGCCCGGTGAAAGGTTCAAGGGGCTTTTAAATTCTCAAGCTGAGGATGTTGTGATTACACCTGCACTTTTTCAACCTGCCAAGTCCTAAATGAGCCACTTCCTGGTTCAAGATCCAAGTTTCGATACGACATCTCTAATCTTTGCCGATTTTGATCATCTTTTCGATCAGTCCGTGGCCAAGTATACAGAATCCTTCGGGTCAGAAGATCCCGACTTGGTGGAGTTTACGGGCGCTGGGAGCAAGCTGATGACTTGGCACGGCTTGACTGATGAGCTCATAACCCATCACGGTTCGATACTGTTTCGGCACAGAGTCCCGAAGGAAATGGGTGGACGCAATTCCCTAGAAATTCACTATCAGCTGTTCCTGGCACCAGGTGCTGGACATTCCGATAGCGGTTACGGTCCAGTTTCCGTTGATTCGCTCTCAGTCCTCCTGGATTGGGTCGAGAAGGACAAAACGTCAAACACCCTGTTCGCTATAAAAACTCACAATTGAATGGTTACGTTTCGTGATCTATGTCCGTACCCTCAGACGATTAGATACAAAGGAGAAGGAAAAGTGAGGGATGCCACGAGTTTCGAGTGCGCATTTTAGAATCAGATATATTACGCAACGACAGCGACTCACTCTTAAATCAGTTAAATCTTGCTATGCCAAGATGTAATACGTTAATTCTTGCAATTTTGAAGTGACGACGCAATGCGCTCGAGATTAGATGCTGATTAAGAAACGTTGCTGCACTCAGTTTAGGTGCCTAGCATGTTTGAACCCAAAACAACTTTGGAAGACCAGTCACAAGAAACCGTCAAACTCGACATATCCATATCAGAGCTTTTATCCGTTCGTATGGAACGAGCAATGGCTGTTTCCTCAGCTTGAACTCTACCACAAGACGTAACTGATCTGACCCCAAGGGCACGCTTCCAAACTAAAGGCTTGGGAAATTCTTGGTATGCGGGGATAATGGCATAAATCTTTGGGTAATAGTTGAAGAATTCCATCGACATGGTCCAGGAGTTGATATTACGGATCGTTTTGTGGAAATCTGGGGACACGCAGTATCGTCCGGTTCCGACGTTTCGCGTGTATCAATCGCGGAACTCATACGGCCACAAGATTCGAAAACTGCTAGCGAATGCCTTCCAGAAGAGATTCGAACAGTATTGGTGCTGCGAGAAAACGAAACGCTCTCGAACACCCGGCCTGTGGTACAAGGTGTTGCATGGTTTAGGTTACAGGTATAACATGAAGCATGTCGCTGACAGATTGCTCACCACACAAAGAAATCTATCGCCGAGGAGTGAGACAGCGACTGTGACGGCCTTACAGTATTTGTCAGAACGGTTTGCGTTGTTAATCCATAGGTCATGATCTTTGCTTACCTGCTCAGATACCATGCTGGCAACCTGGCACATTGCTCGACTGTGGGCTCGGCCTGATACCGGAGGAGGCTGTGCATTCATCCCAGGATTGCTAGCCGCTCGGTATCCGGACAGTTGCTGAACTGAAGGGTGTCGATCCGTCGAAGTCTCTCACATAGAGGCGGTAACTCCCTTAAACGCTCAACGGCCTCCCAACCTTCAATAATGACTCGTGGTGGAAAATCGTCAACCATCGCTCTTCCATGCTTAACATACTCCTGTAACATATCGCAACCGCTAAGGGCTTCGTTCGCCGATCGCCAGATGCTTTTGGTGAACGCTATAGGGCTCTCAGGGTCTTGTATTGAGAACGAGCACTCGCAGACAGCACCCGGTTCCGGCAGGATGACACTGCTACCTCCACTGTGAGACAGAAGGGGGTTGGGCAAAGGCTGAATGCTAGGGTGCCTTGCTAGAGTCAGAGAAGATTGGGCGGGAACGTATGTGGGTAGGTCCGTCTCTGTTGCAATACCGCTACCGGCTGTATCATGCACCGGCAGGCTCCAGGCCATAGTCATGGTGCCAGGGGTGGAAAACTCGACAGCTACGTCCGCCATGTCCAGGCTAAATGCGTCTGATACCCTGCATCCGCTCAACCAATTTTGGCTTTGCGAAGGTGAACTCAGGGTTTGGGTGGCCTGATCCATAGGCGGGTCTTCAACTTCATTTATTTCTCGGTCTATTTGGATGGTTGTCTCCATTGAGGAGAGTGTTCTGACTAGATTGTCTCTCTGTCTCGTCATGTCTGACAGTTGGCTCATGAGGCCGGCAATCTTTCCGTTTTGCTCATTCTCACTCATAGCCTGGATAGTCGCCTCGAGATAGGCAATGCGATTCTTGTTCCGCTCGCGAGCAGCTCGCTGGGCGCGTCGGTCAAGCTCTCTCTTCTTCGCACGGCGGGACTCAGGAAGGTCAGGGATAGCGAGAAGCACTGCCGAAACTGGCTGGTTGGTGGTCATGGTATTTGCGGTGTCTGTAATTGTCAAAAGGTTTACTTGCTCTCATGAATAATGATACGGATGGGCAATCGATGGGATGGAGATGGTTGGACGAAGCAGCCTTACAGCTAAATGGGGTGCATGACTGCATCCGACAAATTGCGGGGAACCGGGACTGACAGGGCCATGCCGAGCCGGGGATGTGAAAACGCGGGTAGGCCTCATGGTGCCTTGCATTAGTCATCACAGGGCAAGACTCGTATTCAATAGGAAAAGACTAAGTCTAAAGCAGGGAGATAGCCTAAACCAAATAACGGAAGGCAAAGCTTCTGGCAACTTGTCGGTCCCAGTAAACAACATTTTATACACCACTGTCAGTGAAATGTGAGTCAACGACGGAAGAGGCCAACGAAAGTGAGAAGCCTTCGACTATGGCAGCCATCTGTACTGCCTTGGCTCCGTTGGGAAATGATATTCAACTAGGATTGCATGACTAGTTGTAGTCGCCTCGGGCCAAGACAAGAAAACACGAGGGGTTTTCTTGAATCAGAATGCCTAGACTTACGTGTCGGATTATGCCAATCGGCTCCATACAGGCCACATCCCCGTAGTCTCTTGCGCGCGACTGCGAAGAGGGTTGCCTTGCTTCTGTCGGCCAGCCTTCTGTCACGACCGCTCCTGAATCGAACCTTCGGAGTATCATCATATGATTAACTTCAGATGTTGGGACGCCTGAAAGCTTGTCAGTGTCAGTGCAGAAGTGAACAATAATTAGGGCACGCAGTGTTTTCCCGAACTCATTTTGAGCTTCGGATCCGCGAGTGCTCAGACAGCCCCAAATCTGTTGCACCACGCCCATTTTAACAGTAGAAAGTTACGCTTCCATATTGTGCTATGTGAGATAGGTGCATTTTATTTTCTCAAGAGCGGAAAGACAGCATGCTGTCTCAACTGCTACGAATTCCCACATTGATACCTGAAAGCAAACAATTCAAGGTCATGGGATGACTGAAAAACGAAAACGAGCTGCCAGACCCAGAAGCGGAGCTCCGTGGCGGCAGCAGATGATGACCGAGGTTTCGCCCCAATTTTCACTGACCCCGGCATCGCGGCACAGCTATATTGTCCAAGACTTGAGGGCTAGGACGTTAGAGGTACCTGGTCCCTTCGAGAATGAACATCATGACCGTATCAAGCCGGAGTTAAGGCTGGATAGAGGCTTCTGGACAGAAGAATTCGGTGCTGTCAGGTAGGAGATACCTCGCCTGTCAAACATGACAGCGCCAGCCGTCATGCACGTTCTTCTGTCCATCAATCGTGGTATAACCTACACACTCTAACAAACAAAAGGAAATATTTGAAACCATTCGCATACCAATAAGCAGGTTTTAGAAAATTCAGTATTGCGGACTTTGGTGTTTACAGATCTTGATGGGAATAGTAAGAGTGTTGCAAACGATTCCAGCTGGAATTATGGTATGATCAAGGCTTTTTCTAACACGGACTAGCCTCCTCGAACCATCATGGAACTTGGATCATATTCCGAGTGCATCTAGCGGGCTGATCCATTGTGATCGAGCATTGAGAAGTCGTCACCATAAGCCGAGTTCCATTCGTATTCGGGAAGAATAGCCCGAATGATGGTAGGTTGAGTGAGGCAAATGAATCCATCGAGGCCGAAGACAGCAACAGGGATTTGTATGGCCGAAACCGCCTGACAAATACATTTCAGGGGTTGCATTGACCTCTACAAGCCAACTATGTTGCGTTCTTTCATGTCTTGGGATTGGAAACCATCACTGATCGAGCTTTCATCTCTCCATTCATGATCTGCACTTGGCAGCTGATATGGAATATTCAGACAATTAAGACTGCCAAGTTCATGTGGAAGCCTAAAGTCAGACGACCATTGGTTTACGGTGGTTCACTGCCATCTTAATATCGACGTTATAGGGGAGACAAAAGTGTGGATAGGAAATTTGAAGTCGCTTGGGTGTGCGAATTGTCACCTCTTACAACTGGACTGTGGCAGTAGCGATCTTCGACGGTGTACGTCAGAGAAACAACCAGGTAGGTTGTTTAGGGTTGTTGAGAGACATGGATGAGGTCAATCTCCCTGCCCATCACAAACAAAGTGCGCTGATCGATCGCTTGGTCCAGGTGCCAACATTGCTGCTAGGACTTTGTTGCATCAAATACCGTACTAGTGCATCTACAGCCACCCTGGTCCAGTGGATGAAGCTTTCCTTGACCTGGTATGGATTGATCCAGAGACAGATGTGGTGTTTCGCGGGTGTCTTGACAGGGTTTGTTTTTGTTGATGACTTGCTGGCGACGCTTTTCGCAGTTACTTCAAAGACAAACCTGGGCAACCTGCTGCGTAATCAGAAACGTGTTTGCGCGAAAGCAAGCATTCGCTTCGCCTTTTTGTCATGTAATATTGTCTTCACCGTGTAAGGCTGCCGATTAATTAGGACTTTAGGGAAACAGGAGAGGTAAAGCCGTTGTTGGAACATCAATCGCTGCAAAACTTGCGATGGAGAGTTGGGGGCGAGAACTGGGATGCAACTTGTGTAGGCTGGTGAATCCAGATGACTGGGGCTGCTAAATCAGTTTCAATTCATCCACGAACCTGACTTTAGCCTCCAGAGCATTCGGGTGCTCAGAGTTCCTGTTACAGGCATGTGGCCCTAATGTGAGACGATCCATGTGCTGAATGACGCCGATAGAGCTTTAACAGAATCCTGCCATCTTCCAGTGGAGACTCTGCTAGTGAACTATGCAGCCCCCGAAACATACAAGGTGAAACGGGTTCTTCAACTTTTAAATAACCGTCTGATAAGACTTGAGCCGTCCGCCCAGGTCCACTGCTGTGCGATGTCCCTAACCTCTCTTTGGCACACCTTTGCGACTTAGTGTGACAGCACACTCCGCCACACACTTGGGAAGGCCACAAGTCGAACTACAGCAGTGAAGGCATTCTGGGTAAGGTTGACTCCGTAACTGAAACGGCCCCCCGTCGAACTCCTTTCTGCCGCCTTTTGTTACCGATTTCGCCAACTTCACAGTTACACTCTGTCCGTTTGATTCATGACTATCCTTGCTCTAGAGGGGTTCGCCTTTCTGCAGCCAGCCTCACACGGAGCGACCCTAGCTCTTACACTCACTCTTCCTTTTTTGATCCACTCGAGATCAGTGTCACAACGACTTCCCGCACATCTTGTTTGACAACAGAGTCTCTTGTACCGGTACTGATGCATTTTCTCAAGGGCGGGAACCGAGCGTATATCCCTGCGGGCCGCTGCAATTTTGACAATGATTAAGCTTGTCTTCTAGACGTGTTCGACAGAATCGGCCGTGCCCACTTAGAGTGAGACCGTCTTGACGATCACTTCTGAGCAGCAGCCGCCCAGACCACACCCTTCAGTCTACGTCGTCTCAACATCCGTATCTAATTTTGTACCTGCAAACTTGTCAAAGCTCATCACAGTGCTATTTCTATCTTGGGCTCCGAAGCCAGAAGCTGTCCAGTATCAAAATTTTGCCGGGTTGGACTGCGGAGTTCGCTGACGGCGCTGTCAGTACGTCGGTACTCAGGACACCAGCTCACGTTGAGCGGGCGAACTTCCCATCGGCCTCCCTGGTTTGCTACAGTAGCACCCTTATTCTCCAAGGCTAGCATCCTCGCTCAGTCCAATTACGATACGCGACCTGGTGTGAAATCCCCTACCCTCTCTCCCCATGTCCATGTAAAACTAACCCCAGTCCAAGTTCGAATAATGTCTGGGTTGGTTTACTATCGGCGGCTTGGCGGCTCTCCGAAGGAAAGCAACTTCAGCCGACGACCCTGGTGGAGCATTAGCATCACACCCTCTTCGATCTACGGTGTTATATCTAGACTGTTTTTCGTCTTCCGTCTCTCAATCCGGAACTCGATGCCCATCCTGTATGCTCGCCTTATCACTCACATCCCCCCAATTCGTTCCTTTCTCTTGTACAAGTCTACAGCGTAGGCTTTGCAATTTTGATTCTGACAGGCTTGACGTCTCAGAAGCATATTTTTACACCATATTTCATAGACTTTTGTCTCAAACACGAACGCACCATGCATCCCGTTCTCTCCTGGCGCCAAGCTGCTGTGGCAGCACTGCTTCTCAACGCGGCAGTGACGGCTAACTACGATACTCGCCGAGATATCGACGTCTCGGAGGACGCAAAGCGGGCTTTGGACACTGGATCCGTCCGAGCACGAAATGTCGACATTAGAAACTTTATGCAGAGAGTAGATGCTACCAGTGTCTTCGCTGCGCGAGGCAGCACTGACAGCGCTCAAGGTTTGTCACATTATACAATGCCCTATCTCTGAATAATCGACTGACTTTATCCAGGCGATGGATCTTCGGACACGGTCCCTGTGGCTGCTGAGGGCGCCACTGGGGCTTCGGATTCTCAAGCTGCTGCGCCTCCCGCCCCTCCCGCGGATGCTGCAACTCCTCCCGCCCCTCCCGCCGATGGTGCTGCTCCTCCCGCCCCTCCTGCCGACACCGCGGCGCCGCCCGCACCACCTGCGCCGCCAGCTGATGGCGCAGCTGCACCACCACCACCCCCAGCGGCCTCAGCCGATCCCGCGGCTAAGAAGGCAAAGGACGACGCAAAGAAGGCCGATGGAGCAGCCGGCCCTGCCGCCGGCGCTGGTGCTGCGGCTGCCAATGGCACCGCAGCCGCTGCACCTGACGCAAAAGCAAAGGGCAAGGACTTGAAGGCCAAAGATCTGAAGGGGGATGCCAAGGGCAAGGGAGCTGCGGCTGCCCCTGCAGCAGCCGGAAATGGCACCGCGGCAGCACCACCACCACCACCGCCAGCAAAGGCCAAGGATGCCAAAGCAACCGCTGCTGATGCTAAGAAGGCCAAGGATGCTGCCGGAGGCGGAGCTGCGGCAGCAGGCAAACAGGCCGGAGGAGCTACCGCTAGTGGAGCTGCCAGTGCAGCAAGGCGGGCGCGCTCCCTCAAGAGACGAAACCTTATTGCTGAATTCGGATGGTAATCTGGCATTATCTTTCCGTATGCCTGTGTGTTCTCACAGAGACTTGTGGGGCATTATTGAAAGGAGGGAGAGGGGGGGGGTTCCTGTTTCTTATCATCATTATACTTCGCTCGTGTTTTCCTGCTCTTCAACAGTCTCTCGATCTCTAGGTCAGCGCACTCTTCTTTGGTGGGTGTGGACAGTCAGGAACACGTTTAGCGGACGGGAATCCGAGTTCGGCAACGAAAGCAGATAACGATAAAGACAATAAACTACAAAAAAAACGAAACAAGAAGAAACATTGACAAGGAAAACGCGATGATGTGAGATACTGGGTCATGGAAACTGATGCATCTCAAGTTCATAGTGCCTGCCTGACATGATGGAGGACAGTGTACATCTTCCCATCTGATCACTAACGCACAAAAACTTATTACTCTGAGCGTGCACTTGCAGTTATCATCTGGGCCCTGCAGAATGTACTGAGGTTATGATCATTGGATACGCCAACCTAATGGCTGGCATGCGTAAAATAAACTTCGCCCACCCGTTCATCAGAACTTCATTATCATAACATTATGTTCTGATTCGATACCCATACAGTCGGGTCATCACTGCTACATAGAGTTCTAAGTAATAGCGGCTGTTGCCTCGGTTCGATGCCATCGAGGGTACTCGAAAGTGGTGTCCAGTCGACTCGTTTCACAGAAGAACTTTGTCCCACCCTTCAGCAATGGACTTCAATAACCCCCAGAACGCACTACTTCAGATGGTGAGAGTTATCCAAAACTGTCATCTAAAATGTGAGTATGCTGTATTTTTGACTTTTTTGCTCATTTTCTGTCATCTACATACAAACCCATCACGTAATTACTGTCCGAGGGGCGAAACATCGTCATCTTGGCACTAGCGTATCTTCATAATGACCTTGTATCGCATGCGCCAAATTTCGTCAGATTCTTCTATGTGTTTAGGCGATGGGGTCTTGTACTAACGATTTTCGACCGGGGAGTTAGCGAATTGGTCATCATGGGTGGGCGCACACAGCTCACATCAGCGATCTCACGATCGAGGGACTTGCTATCGACTGAATCCCTCATTTCAAAGAGACATGGGCTGTCGTTCCTTTGACTTCACCTAAGGACAGGAAGGTTTGGGCGATTACCCATTGAAGAAGCAGATAGTACCGTGTTGTCTCATGCTACCGGCCGGTTGTAACTGCTACCAAAAGATCACCACCTGATTTCCGCCCCTCTTTCTCACGTACGAGATTGGTGACGCGGGATGTGCCACAGTCAAAGAAATACCCGGTAGGTGATCGAGCTTAAGGTATCTGAACTCGGTTCTTATGCTGAAACAAAACAGAGCCATGGATCCTATAATTCATCTTGAAGTGAAAATTAATCAGATCATCATTTTTTCTCTAGCAGATTCAAACCCGCTAGTGAGTACAGTAGTCTCTCATCAGATCCGACTTTGACTACTGCTGGCTGTCACCGAAGGCAGCCTAGTGGATGGCGAATAGAGGTTAGTAGAGCGGCAGAATCAAAGGTTGGATGTTACTGAAGTCACGCGTTAGTGCTGTACGTCAGCTAGTAAATGGGGAACGAGTGCTAACAGGCATGCCGACCGCCTTCATTGATAGGCCTGAGACGAAGGTGGCCGCTAGGCTGCCTTAGGTTAAAGCCAGCAGTAGTCAAAGTCGGATCTGATGAGAGATTACGGTACGCCTGTCTGGCCATTGTGTCTTCGGTGGACCGCGACGGAAACAGGCCCGAAATCCCGCTCCGCCCGGCATGAGTCCATCGGGATAAGTGGAGCGATACCTTTATGACGTATGCTAATGCTTGTCACTCTAGCCACGGCCTCGTCGAGATTCGTGGGTTTGATACGCGAAGCCGACATTTACCCGCCCCAATTCACCGATCGTAACGTATTCCAGTGTACATAATACCAGCAAAGGTAGTTCTTGCACCTCAGTTGAGGGCTCAACATATCGTCATTTATCGATCGACTACTAGCGTAGCATACTGATACAGCATGGCAACAGTTACACAACAAGAACACGTCCTGGCAAATTCGCACGAACTAACCGAAGTATCGACTCAAGTTCCTCCAGGAAATGCACCCAAATCCACATTGCCTCCGGTGCTGGACGACGACGACAAGCTTAGCAAGGCGACTCTATTGAAACTCATTGCTGCTGGGTTTGCATTTTTCATCTCGGGAATCAATGATGGCAGCGTCGGACCTCTTCTCCCTTACATGATTCGTGACTATGAGATCAGTACAGCAGTTGTGTCCATCGTGTACGTGACTTAACATGAAGTCGTCGAAGTCAAGTTTTTATGCTGACACCTAGCCTAGATATGGAGCAAACTTTCTTGGGTGGTTTCTCGCGGCTCTTACAAACACACATCTGAGTCAAAAGTTCAATCTTGGAGGACTGCTCACGTTCGGCGCATTTTTCCAAGTACTAGCTCACGCTCTTCGTGTGTGGAAGCCTCCCTTCCCCTTCTTTGTTGTCACGTTTTGGCTCGTGTGCCTTGGACAGGCCTACCAGGATGCGGGGGCCAACGCTTACGTCGCCAGTGTGAAAGCTGCACATCGTTGGCTTGCGTTCATCCACGCCCTGTACATGGCTGGGTGCCTCGTTGCGCCGTTTGTCGCAACACCGATTGCTTCGACTGGTAGGATTTCTCGATGGTATCTTTTCTATATTTTCCCACTGGCCGTCGGCGTTGTGAACTTTGCTTTGACCTGTTATGCCTTTCGGGATACCATCAGCATAGGACGCAAGCGGGTCACATCAGAGCGAGGTCGGCCGGAGACCGACGCTGAAGCGAAGAAGAGCGCATTAGAACTGATGAGAAAAACTCTGATGACTAAGTCACTATGGATGATTAGCTTGTTCTTCTTCTTTCTCCTCGGGGCGACTATCACGGCTAGTGGATGGATCGTTGAATACCTTGTCGAAACCCGCAATGGCAATCTCGAACACATGGGTTATGTCCCAGCCGGCTTCAACGGTGGAGCTATGCTGGGCCGCTTGCTCCTGGCTGAGCCCACCTACCGCCTTGGCGAGCGAAGAATGGTTTTGGTCTATGTAGTTCTCTGCATTGCTTTCCAATTGGTTTTCTGGCTGTAAGTTCCAGTAACAGTTTTTACAATCTTGCCTAGGTCTGCTGACTGGAATCATAGTGTTCCGAATATCATTGCTGCTTCAGTGGCTATGAGCTTCGTAGGGTTCTTCTCCGGCCCCTTTTTTGCAACAGTAAGTTGTCCGAGTAGTCGACATCCAGTTCTGGTCTGATCGTCGGGCCTCTTACAGGGCATCTCTGTCGGGTCCAAGTTGTTTCCACCTGAAATCCAACCAACGGCTCTGTCTTTCGTATTTGTAATCGGACAGATTGGAGGTTCTCTCTTTCCTATCATAACTGGTGTCATTGCCTCACAGGTAGGCGTTGGCATATTGCAGCCTGTCCTCGTTGCCTTGATTGCTGGGACCGGCATCAGCTGGTTGCTGGTACCGAAGCCAAAGCAATCAGCGAATGATTCTTTGCATGAAGAGTAGCGATGGCACAATGGCTCAGTTGTGAGCTGCACTTGCATGCTGTTTTCCATGATGAAATTTGTGCAGTAGGCTTTTTGAAGATAGTTCCAATTTAAGCATCTAAAGATATCTCAGCCAGTTCTTGTTGAGCGCAGCTTGGTTATTACTTGCAGAAAGCCAAGAGCCTGGGAAATAACTGTCATCTGTCTGAGACCACAGCTTAGGTTTTTTCAGTCACAATAAGGTATTACTTTGGTTAACCAACTCTGACCAGTGCAACTTCACCGACGTGGATATTCAGATGGCACAAAGTGTCCTTCAAAGAACATGCACTTAAGAATACATAGTCAAAAATCAAGTCCTTTTTGGGTATGTTGGGTGACGTTAACAATGTTTCGGTAGTCAATAGTTGACAGTCACGCCCAATGACCAAGTACCAATACTAAGCCTGTGGGTATGGTCGTACAGAGGGGGCGGTCACAACAAATTCTTGAGCTCGGATATTGAAACTAACTAAATCCGAATGAAATCCTTCAATGGCGTCTATTCTTTTAGCTGGACCCATTTACCATCTTGGTTCACCTCACATATTGCTAGGCTCAGTTCAGGTGGATACTTTTCGAGCACGCCATGATAACTCACATCACGAAACGCTTACCACCGCTATCGGAACGACACTCCCTGCCAAACGCTTGATCCCATATCTGTGGCTTTCTCAATTCAAATATCATACCTGCTCTCACAATTCGGTCGCCAAACTTTGACTTCGGTAAGGAGACACAAAACGCGTACAGATACGCGGATGTTTGTCCTACAGCTGCTTTCAAAGGGCTTCGTTTTACACCGACCAAGGTTTGGCTAATAGCTCATCGCTATGGCACACCATAAAAGCCAAGAACAAGAGGAAATCTCTGCAGCTACATACAACAGCTCTCTCGAAGCCGGAGCCATTGCGAAGACCAAAAGAACATGGTATCGAACAGTCTTCTTTCAAGCTACGGCTATCGGTCTCTGCGCGTTTTTCGCCCCTGGACTGTACAATGCTATGCAATCAACTGGGGCAGGTGGGCAACAGACACCATACTTGGTGATGTAAGTTCACTTAGTTATCAAGCCTTTATCATGTTTCACTTTCCTAGTGCAGCGGCACTAAATCATTTGCAGGTCCGCAAATGCTGTACTAGGAGTCATGATGGTCGTGACTTGTTCGATGGGCAGTGTCATTGCCAATAGAATCGGGCTGAAGAACGCATTGATCTTTGGCACAACAGGATAGTCAGTATATGCCACCATGGTCTCAGTAGACCTGCAGCTGACCAAGACCAGTGCCATCTATTCGGCTTCTCTTTACACCAACAATCGATATGGCACTGAATGGTTTGTATATGTTGGTTCCGCCGCCTGTGGAATCACTGCGGGCGTCTTTTGGGCAGCTGAGGGAGCAATCATGATTAGTTGTGAGTGCAAAAACATACACATGTCGCCCTGTCATGTCTAACTCTGATTTACAGATCCAGAAGATCACAAACGAGGCAGATACCTCGCTTACTGGCTAGCGTACAGAAACGTGAGAGCCCCTAAGATCAACTCTGAAGAACGGTATACTAACAAAATGCAGGGAGGCTCTATTGTTGGGGGTGCCATCAACCTCGCTTTTAGTAAGTTCAAGATGGTGGTGGCTGTTTGGATCATGTGATTTCTGATCGAATCTTAGACTCAACAGGAAAAACAACCGGAAAACTGGATTGGAGAACATATGTTGTATTTGTGGCTTTGCGTAAGCCCTCTCATCCCCCTCAAAAAAAGGGTTTTCATATGTTTACACTTCCTAGAATGCCTTGGTCCGTTTGTCGCAATGCTACTTTCTTCTCCAGAGAAGGTTCAGCGCCAGGACGGAAGGAAAGTCTCTAAGGCAGAGCGAATCCCAACTGTGGCTGAGATAAAAGAAGTAGCCAAGATCCTCGTCCGTAAAGACTTTCTACTAGTGTAAGTCTAATGCTTCAATCTGCACCCTTCAGCATAATGTTCAAAGATTGTGTTCAATGCTGACAGCACACACCAAAGCTTCCCATTCTTTTTCTACGCTACCTTCCTGCTTTCATACGCAGGATCCTACCTCTCACTCTACTTCTCTGTCCGCTCTCGCGCATTGGCTTCATTGGTCTCTGCACTAGCTCAGATCACTGCCAACTTCTTCTTTGGCCACTTCCTGGACTGGACTAAATTTACCGTCAATCAGCGTGCTCGCATCGCCTATGTTGGTATGATGGCCCTTTTCGGAGGGACCTGGGTGTGGGCAACCGTCATTCAACGCGAGTACGGCTTGAAGGCACCGGCACTGGACTGGGTGGACACTGGTTTTGGCCGTGGTTGGGCACTTTACATCCTGCTACAGGTTAACTTGTAAGTATTGGATACCGGAGTATGCTTGCCAAGCGCGACTGAGCTAATAATATTAGTGCGCTGGCTTACAATTATGGCTACTGGTTAGCCGGATATATGGCTCGTGACACTGCTGAAATTATTCGATTCACGTCAACTGTACGTGCGGTTGAGGCTGCCGGTGGTGCCGTCGCATCTGGTATCAGCTCTACTCATGCCCCCGTAAGTTGTAGCTAAAATCTCCATCAATGCTTAGTTCTAGTTACGGAATGCTGAATGATGTTTCTCATAGCTTATTGCTGCCGTTGGTGTCAACTTTGGGCTTTGGGGTTTGGCGCTTATTCCGACATACCTCGTCGTGCGAACCATCGACGTGGATCATCCAAATGCGGACTTGGAGGTAGAAGTGGGTAAAAGTGTGTCAGCTTAGATCCATGTAGAAGGCGAGAAGTGGGAGGACATGGTAATTATCTTTGTGTTTCCCCGTCACGACCAAATCCAAAAGCGGACGATGGCATCCTTTGAAATAGTTGGTCATGAACTTCAACTGGCCCAGGCTATGCAACAAGCTTAAAGGCTCTGTTCATGGCCAGGGTAATCCGAACGCATTCCTCGTTGGACACCACTGGTCTGAATCTGTATCCAGCCAAGCAATACTTGTGAGCAACATCTTGGGCACTCTCACCTTTAGTCTATCGGATTTTTCCCGATTTTGGCCGTTGATAAGCCCCACACCGGGCCGGTTCCGACCTCGCAGACTCCTCCGGGGGTAACACGGCGGTTTTAAAGCCCCGAAAAGTGGGGGTGGGTGCTGTACAAGCACCTAATCCATTGGGAACATTTCGTGATACCTCTCGATAAGGATGCCCCTCATTGGTTTTCCCCGCGGAATCAACACGTTTCTCATCAATAACAATCTTACCTGGATCGTCGACCTTGAGCGTTTCGCAAACCAGACACCCGACACACTAGCACCGCACCGACGAATTTCGCTCTCTCCTTGCACATCTGTAAGATTGTTGAGATAATCATTATGTCGGGAGCTTCTTGGCATGACGATTTCGAGAAGAATGGCTTCGCGGTTATTCCGTCCGTGATTTCTCGCGACAAGGCGGCCCAGTACCAAAAAGAAGCCCTGGCCTGGCTTCATTCATTTGACAACCCGGCGTTAGACTTGGCCAACCCTGCGACCTGGACGCCTGAGAATCTGCCATTCATCTCTGGGATCAATACATTCAATCACTACGGAGTCGTACACGAGAAGTTCATGTGGGACATTCGCCAAGAGCCAGGGGTCATTGACGTTTTCGCCAAGGTCTGGGATACCGACAAGCTCATTGTCTCATTTGACGCTCTGAACATCACACTCCCACGACGCCCAAACCATGTACCTCGAACAAAATGGCCGCACGTCGACCAGAGCCCATACAGAGAAGGACTGCAGTGCGTGCAAGGGATAGTGAACCTGTCCAAGGCTGGACCTGAAGATGGGGGGTTGACGGTGTACCCCGGAAGTCACAAAGTTACCGAGCTGTTCTTCCGCGAACATACCGACAGAGCCCAGTGGACGAGAAAAGACTTTTTCAACTACACACCGGAGCAGATCGCTTGGTTCGAGGGACAAGGCTACCGAGAGCACAAGGTTGTCGCGGAGCCAGGTGACCTGATCATCTGGGACTCGCGGCTGATTCACTACGGCGCTGAACCGACGGCCAAGAGTGATGTTACTCGGACTGTCACCTACGTCTCGTACGCGCCGGCGTCGTTTGCAACAAAGGAAGCTTTGAAGGCAAAAAAGGAAGCGTTTGAGAAGTGGCTAGCTACCACGCACTGGCCGCACGACAACATCGTTCCAAGGACGAACCAACCCACTCTTCCAGATGGAACAATCGACGCAAGAAGATCGGAACCGCGAGAGAAGCCAGAGTTGACTGAAAAGTTGCTGAAGCTGGCTGGTGTACAGGCGTACTAGAGCGGAAAGCGAAGCACTCGCTCTGCTGAAAATGCCGTTGTTATATTTCAAGGGAAACCAGTCGGCTCCTGAATTAAACTTTGGTTCAACACTAGTAGTGAAAGACGGTCGCAATTCTGGGCATGGACTTGGACCTCTTTCGCTTAGATCAACTATCAGATCGTACCATCGAGTTATAATACCGACATAGACGATTTAGCGGACTGGGTATTGGTACTCTTGCGCATGCGGAGAGGGCAGCCATAGTCACAAACCGACAGACTATTACTTTTTTGACCAAAGAAATAAAAAACACGGAGATTGAATAATAAAACATCAAACATCACATAGCTCCTCATTAGAAACCGGGTGTTGGTCTTAACCTTGCCAAACATTGCGTTATGCGGTATTGGCTCCGTGCAGATTGCTAGCTGAATGTTCAACTAGCTCAAAACGCCCTACAGTGGAAGTGGCTCCGCATTTTTGGCCATTTATTTGGATTCCGATTCGTGTTCTTTTCTCCTCCCCTCCCTCCCCCGTTCGCTCCGTAAACAATGCTTCTCCAAAGTATAATCCCTCCGGGAAGAAGCAGCCGAACCGCCGCATCGCAATCGCACTGGTTACTCGAGTCGTTGCGCTGCTGATAAACCGTTATCTCGGCGACTATCACCGATGTCGGGACAGCAGCGTAGCTCCGAAGCTGCCTATCCCAGTCGGTACCTCAATTTAACCTATCAGTGTGCATACTCGTTATCAGGGTCCTAGGGGCGCGACCCATCGTACAAAATGGCACATTCGGCTGTGGCATGCCACAGCAGATAACGTTCACGGATTCACCTCACGATCGATTCACTGACAGTTTCTTGAAGACGCGTTATTTTTCAAATAATTTCACAATGGGTGATATTGCTGAGCGAACAAGCCCTTTGGCTCGGGACGTGCTTTTGTTGGTTCTGGCGGCCCCAGAAAATACAACATGGAAACGTAGGGTGTTGGAGCGCTTTCCCGGTCTCGAAGTTCGCTGGGTAGACAGCCGCAAGCCCGACGGTGGCCACCTCGCGCCAGACGATGTCCCGGACGAGGTCTGGGATGGTGTGACGATATTCTACTCATTCACACCTGCGTCCCCGAAGCGCATGGCGAAAGTCCGCTTCGTGCAGGTGTCATCCGCCGGGGTTGACCTATGGATAGACCATGAAGTCTACAAGAACCCAAATGTGCCATTTTGCACAACAAACGGATGCCAATCGTGAGTGAAGACGGTCAACCCCGTACAATGGGGCATTGGAACCCAACTGAGATGTCAAACCATAGACCGCAGATTGCCGAATGGGTCATCGGCACCTGGCTGTCCAGCCAACATCACTTCTTGCGATATGCGGAAAACATGAAGGAAGGCTTGTGGGATACCTCAATAGCTGCGAATACTGAGGACTCAGTCAGTCTCCGGATGTAAGTCATGTTGAAATTTGTCAAAGCATCAGAGTCCCTCACTGACTTTCGGCAAAACTCAGGGGCATCTTGGGATATGGCGCGATAGGCCGTCACTGCGGCAAGATCGCGCAAGCAATGGGAATGGAGGTTTATGCCTACACCAGAAGCGAGCGGTCGACGCCCGAGTCTCGGAAAGACGACAGCTACTGCATTCCCGGCACCGGCGACCCGGACGGACTGATCCCGGCCAAGTGGTTCCACGGCTCATCGAAGGAGTCTCTTAACAACTTCCTGAACCAGGGCTTCGACATCCTGGTTCTGGGCCTGCCGCTGACCAAAGAGACTAAGGGTTTCTTCGGAAAGGAACAGTTTGAAATCCTGTCGAAGCGCAAAACGTTTGTGTCGAACATTGCCAGGGGCCCGCTAATCCAAAACGACGCCCTTATCGAAGCCCTCGAGACGGGGAAGATCCGGGGCGCTGCGTTGGATGTCACGGACCCGGAGCCGCTTCCCAAGAACCACCCGCTATGGAAGGCTCCGAAAATTTTCATTACGCCTCATATCAGCTGGATAACCAGAGTCCATTGGGAGCGGGTCTTGGGTCTGTTGGAGGCGAATTTGGAGCGGTTGCACACCGAACAGCCCCTCATCAATGTTGTAAACAAGGACTTACACTACTAGAGCTCTTCGAAAGCATGGCATCAGCATCAAATAGACTACTCAATTACTCACGCTGAACATGTACATTTCGAGGTGCATCTGTCGGCTATTCTATAACTAGGGACAGAACAATGGATACTCTAGGTGTGAAGATAATCAAAATGATCTACTGTGACTGTCTTGTCAGGTATGCCAGTTGCCTAGTTGTGACTTCAATGTGTAGCTTTTCTTCTGCGGAGACGGTCATCTCCTGTGGCCGACAACAGTTCGGCCAATTACGTCGTCGTCGGCTGTCACTCTCGACCCAGTAGGATAAGAATGGGCTATAGCAGGAGCTGAGGGACTACTGTCCAAACCGTTAGAATGATGGCTCGTTATTAATCCTAATTAAGTAATTACGCGGATCTGGCCAACGCGATAGGTACAACGAATCCCCAGAGCTAAAAAGGAAAGTGTTTTGAGTTGGCTTTTTGTTATTGCGAGGAGACCGTATCTCGTATCTGTCTGAAGAGAAATCCCCGAGGCCAGGTCCCTAACAGCCAAGTAGAACTTCTCCCACCCTCCCTCCCAGCCAACGTCCATATTGGTCCGGGCTCGGTACCACGGTTTGACCCTCCACTTGGAAATCTCCCGTTCCGGCATCCGTTGCTGTGCCCCCGAACACAGCGTCGCATGAACCCTAGTACGTCACAACGGCTCTTCGTCCGATCAACGACTTCCGGTTTCACTCAAACTCCAACGGCGGAGCTTCCCCAACCGCATCCGGCTTTAGCGCCAGCTCACCGATTACCTCGATGGTTCATAAAAGCCATGTGGTTGCTGCCGCTGTTGTTGCCGCTAAGACGCCTCGTCAACTCAGTTGCCCACTCTAAGTCAACCTTAGCTTCAACTACACGTCGCAACTCGACGTCCTAATCTCAATTCCCAAACAACATCAACATCCATCTCTCAAGAAGCAAAACGACCAAACCGCCCAAAATGAACGGCACCGCCGTCCCCCAGAACCTCAAGGACCTCCCCGAAGTCTACTGCCGCGCCTGGGCCTCGCGCGACCCCGCCCCGCTCCTCGCCCTCTTCACCGAGGACTCCGTCATGACGGATCACGGCGCCCAGATCCACACGCCCTACGCCTTCCTTGACCTCCACCACAAGCACTGGAACGGCGCACACAAGGACTTTGAGGTCTACCTCGACACGCAGTACCCCGTCTACTGGGCCGAGATGGACGCCGATGGCAACGGGTACTGCAGCTTCCGCACCGTCAACAAGGGTGTCTTTGTCAACGACCTAGGCCGGCGCAAGGCGACGGGGCTGCCGTTCCAGTACTCTGGCGTCATTGACTTAAAGCTGAAGGGCGGCAAGATTGTGCAGGCGGATGAGTGGTTAAGAGTTCCGTTCGAGGACAGCGTGTCGCCGGACAAGTACATCACTATTTCCGCGGAGAGTCTGAAGGGCGTGATGAGGAAAGAGCTTCATGAGGACAATTAAGAATGCATGCACTAGATCAATAATTCACTGAGCCGTCCATGAGGACGATGCGCTGGGCAAGGGAGAAAATATGTGAGTGAGCAAAATGCTGCTGATTGAGACATAATCTAGAAACGGTCGTAATGTACATGCGTAATCCGTCGTCCACCAGGACCGTTTATCTACGTGTCTCGTGAATTAAAGTAGATATCAATTATGTGCTAGGTCAACCCTGTCCGGGCCGCCGAAGACGAAGAGAAGTTCGCTTTTAGATCACAGAGCCGAGGCTCTGCGGGGGTATCATCACCAACATCCATTTCTTAAACAACGTTTCCGCGCACCTGCTTGATCTTCTTGACGTTGATGTCGCGCCACATGGCGACGGAGGCAAGCGCACCGACCAGGAGACAGACACTGGTGATGAGCATGATGCGCTGCGAGTCACCGTAGGCGCGCTGGATACCAATGCGCTCGGGTGTGCCAATCGCGTAGCTAAGCTGGCTGGTGATGTCGTTGTAGATGGTGTCGACCGGAGTACCAGCGGGCGTGTACTTGATGATGTTCTTCCTGAAGGTGCCGGTCCAAATGGCGGTAGCAACGGTGTAACCGACGGTTGAGCCGATACTGCCGAAAAGATCCAGAATAGCCATGATGACGGCAACGTGTTGGTGGTCGGAGGGCGAAAGCATAGCCATCTCACCACAGATGGTGATGGGGCCACCAGCGAAGGCGACGAAGATCTGGGTCATAATGATGTATCCAATGGACTGGTTGGGCTGGCGGAAGTGGATCATGAGACCGACACCGAGCATCATCAGAGGGACGAGGAAATACAGAGCGAACGGCTTGAAGCGTCCCGTCTTGTAGATCAGAGCCGAGATGATGATGGAGAAAAAGCAAGACCCGGTGCGGTAGATGTTGCTGATGTAAGTGGCCTGCGCAACGGTTGTGTTCCAGACAACCATGAGCATGGAGTTAAAGAAGGAGCCCCAGACAGCCGAGTTGAAGAAGACGAAGACAAACATCAAACCGCCGAAGAAGACAGTCCTGTCCATCAGGAGCGAGAAGGGAACGAAGGTGACGGGGGCCAGGAACTTCTCGTACAGGACGAATCCAATGATCAAGAAGAAGCCAACGACGACGAAGGCAATGATCATGGGAGAGCGCCATCCTTCGGTCTGGTAAGAGTAGATGTTGAACGGCAAGAGGAACAGAGCCATGCCGGAGGCGAGAATCAGGATTCCAAGAGCGTCGACGTCAATCAGGAACTTGAGAATCTTGCTAGGGTTGATGTTCTTGATTGACCCACGGCCGTCGATGATACCCATCTTCTTCGCCTTGTGCTGGTTCCACAGGAAAAGGAGAACGAGGGGGCCGACAACGACAGGGGCAATGATTGCCCACATGCCCAAGCCCCAGCGCCATCCCATGCCGTCATCGCTGAGGATGCTCTCAGTGATGGGCCCAGCCGCCCAGGTGATGAAGATGTAGGGGGTGGTCGCGAAGGAGAGCATGAGCGCTCTGCTCTTGAGGGTCGAGGTGTCGGCGATGAAGATGGTGACGCAGTAGCTGATGCCCTGGGATCTATGCAACAATGTTAGGCGCCATCGTTGGTGGTGGATAGTGCTTCATGAACTTACCCGACGGAGTAGAAAACCTGAGCCGCGGCGTAGGTTTCAACATTCTTGCAAGCAGCCATCATGATGAACCCGAGGACCCAGCAGATGAGCATCAAGCCGAGACCCTGGGGGCGACCCCAAGTGTCAAGAATCTTGGCCAGCGGCAGCTTGATGAGACCAGCGATGAGGGTTGACATGACGCTAGTGGTCGCTGTCAGAGAGTGTAAGGCGAATTCACTGGTGACGAAGGGCGACAAAACACGCATCGAGACCTCCTGGATGGAGGTGACGACGTAGAACAGCCAGATGCTTTCGAGGTTGTTAGAATTTACTGTCAAAAGTCGACGCGCAAGTGGCTCTTGTATAAGCTTACAGGGCATAGGCAATGATCAGATCGCGCTTAGTCCAAACGGCGGTCATGGCCTCGACCTTGGCAACACCGGCTTGGACATCCTTTCCGATGGGCTCGTCGTCGCTCGACCTGTCGCCAGGCTGCTCGCCCGTCTTCTCGTCGTAGGCGGGCGTCGCGGGGTCGGCAGTGACATGCTCCTCCGGAGCCTTCTTGGCGAAAAAGCCCATGATGTTCGAAAGAGCTCGTTCGTAAACGAGTCGTGTTGTGGGAGGATCTGACTCTGCGATGCCTTGTTTGTGACAACGTCCAAGCTTTGGGACGTCGAAGCAGCAGAGCAGTGATGGCGCTTTTTGCAGTCGATGAGAGCGATGAAACCAAGGGAAGCGAGAGAGAAGTTGGGCGGACACAAGTCGCCTCTATGTATTCGAGAGAGAAGCCAGGGGGACCCTCAATGGCACCCTTGGATCCATGCAACCGCCATCGGCTCGGCGATGTCAAGATGGTGGAGGGTTGACGGGTGCCACCACTAGCGTAGGGACGGAGGTAGCTCTCCACTCGCACGCAGCAGTGGCACCAACTCGTTCGTGTACGATGCCCCGCCCATTGGTGTCCACCATAAGCAAAAGAACCTCCAAGTCGGAGTGGGTTCTGAAGGAGGGTGGGAAAAGACCCACGGGGGGGCTCAAGGGTCAGTGGCCGAAGTTGGCTTTGTCCGCGTTGGAGGGGTCCAAAGTCAAGCCAGACCTCGTAGATCCCTCACGAAAAATTCGGGCAACTCCGGCTTTACTGGCGTCGGGATTCACTAGGCGCGCAGAATTACGAAATGGCGGCTGCGAAAATGAGCGGACCTGGCCCGGATCAGTGGGCGACTCGGACGATGTGGGGATAGGCATCCCTTGAGAAAGCCGAGGAAGGGGTTTCTTGGGTTGATCAACCGACAAAGGGCTGTCGAGTCACCAAGAGCATTGGACTGGCTTTGCGTGCTTGGTATCATGCAGCTGTGACATTGTCATGGGTGACAACTGTGGGAGCCGATATGCCAAAAGAAGTTCTAGGTGCAGGTCTGTTACCACTCTTGGGTGATGGTGGTCCAAACGGTGGCATCGTCGCATCGGTGCGGTGCTGGGCCACACAAGTGAGATGTGGGCGGAAAATGGCTCGTCTCGTCGCGGGTTGGAACCTGAGTCCTGGCCGTCATCTGCGGATCGGTGGGCTAACTCAGGCATGGCAAACGCTTGGCAGATGGGCCTTGGCTCTTGAGCAATCATCGTCCGATGTGCTCTCGACGAAAAATTCCGGCTCGGCGTGCTTCCCGTCGCGAGGGATGATGTGGTGATGTCCCATGCTTGGCATCTGCAATCGGGGGACTTCTGCATCAGTTCTCCCCTTTGCTCGGATCGCGGGCGTACCATCTGCAAAGCTGGTGTGGGCTTGCCAATGCAGTTTGCTCGGCCGACATGGAGTCTGGGAAAATGTCGCCCAGCAATATGGGCAGTCAACGGGTCAAGGGGCAGAGGCTGTTCGACCTGGCGGGCTCCAGTCGTTGTCGTCCGCGAGCCGAGGGATTTTGAGGACGTAGGTACACTAGTGTTTCGTCGAACACAATAAAGACAGAAAAAAGCTTGAGTTAAGCATGACAAGGGCCAAGAGTGAGAAGCAACCGGAGAATGCGACTGGGCAGCTGCATAGGCCCAGACAGATGGAGGTGTGACTACCTGAATGAGGAGAGCGTTGGATGTTTGTTGTCCCGCCCACGCTTTCCCCTTCTGAGGAGCTCGCCGCGCCAGTCCCAAATCACCAGCCATAGAAAAGTCCAGGATATTGACCGAGAAGGAAGGAACGAGCAAGATATTGTGGTGAACGGGCAGGAACAGCACCACTCGTGGGACCCACTGATACCGGGATGGGCTGTCCACGACGCAGCCCTTTGGTTGGTCTGCCGTCTTAGTGCCATCTTGGCAGTGGGGCCGTTGCCAATGGCGCCGAAGAAGATTTTTATCTGATTGCGCTCCGCTTTTCCAATCTTATCAGATCATCTGGTCGGCCACATCAGGCACTGAAGCATCCGCCACTTTCAGAGCCCAGCAGCACACCCGAGTCACGCCCACCCTTGTTTCCCGAACTCGCAGGCAGACTTTGCATCCATCCATCCATCCATGCATTCCCACATGCCGTACCAACGCCGAGTTGGTGCACGACCCGGAGAGCTGCCACCTCTTAGCTCTTGGCGTTTGGCTCTTGGCTCTTGGCTGTTCATTCTCTCTCTTATCTCGTTCCGCGCATCCGAGAATCCGCGGTAGGTAGGTAGTTGGCACGTAAACATCCGGGCCAGCCTTGGCTGACTACTCTGCAATATACTATGTACGTTCTCGATGCAATGGGCCCGATCATCCTGCGGTCGCCGAGCGTCTATTTCTCCCTGGCTGTTCCAGAACCGCGTTGGCCCGTCCAGGTCGCCCGACTGCAGCCCAGCCCATGTCGCAACGGCTATTACTTCACATTATTACCACGATTGGGAATAGTCCCGGTCATCGGCCCTTCGAGTTTACGCACTCTTTTCGTACACGCCCCACCAACGTTGTTGCTGTGCCGCACACAAAATTCCAAGACATTTCGTCAAGCGGATTGACCCTGTACCCCAGCGGCCGACAGTTGGCGGCACATCCCATGAAGGCACGTCTTGGTCAATCTTGGTACGCATTACTGGACGCAAATGCACGAGGGAAAATGTGTCGTAGCTCCCTGCAAACGCGGCATATTTACCTTGGACGGCTTGCCGTCGTGTCTCGGTATTGCTGAATACACGTTAAAGCACCGTCTACAGAGCCCTCCGCCGCCCTCGACGTTGAACCCCACGGATTTCGTACTACATGAGTCAATTGAAAGCCGCAAAGAACCGGCTAGGCCTTGGCTAGCTCAAAACTGTTCCTAAGGGTCGGTCGATCAAGTCGCCTCTCTTGCGTCCTCACCGAGACGGGCCACTCCGGATCCTACCCGCATGCGGGCGTCGACCCAGCTTTGAAGCAGCATGGCAATGTGGAACTTACTAGCCCACGACCTGCTTCTCAGCGCCCACGGGCAACCACAGCCTAGTCCGCAGGATTTCGTGGGTTTCAACCAGGCTCTTGGGCCAAGTCAGTAGGCTTCCGTCCATCGACAAACCAGCCTGGCCCCATGGCGCCACATTACATTGCATTCCGTCTAATCCAAGGTTGCATTTTTCAGCCCTTCAGCTTCCAATCGCGTATCCACCGATCCTTTCAGAACGATCTGCTAGTAGGCACAATCGAACCCGGCTCATGTGGGATAAAAACTCTTCATGCTCGTTGGCGCCAATTTCAACGGCTGTCCATCGCTTGCTGTCTATTTGTCTCGCACTTGACGCCTGATGCAAAGGTCGATCGGCGATTCCGCCTCTAAAGGCATCATAGCCGAGCTCGCTGAGACCGGCCAACAAAGACAAGTAATGCAAGGGTCTTTCCGTGATCCTTTGCGACATCGGCCCACTATCCGGGACTTCGTGGGGTTGACTGACTGCTTACTACATGGTGTACCCACGACTCTTGCAATAAGCTGACAGCCCCCGGAAATATGCTTCCGGCACTCGATCCACGTCCGCTCGGGCACAGGCCCCATGAGGCCTTCCGATGCAGACGCTGGCATGAGATGATCCGGATGCAACCCCAGCATCCAGTGCTGAGGTCCAGCACCAACGGTCCCTTCACGGTGATGAACCATCTAGGGCCGCGTGGGTATGGGACTCGAGCATGGAAATGTCTTGCGCGGCGTAATCTTGTTCGAAACGTCCTCCAACCACTACGACCCACCGACGTGCTAATTATTTGGACATAAGCATAAGCCTCATTCTGAATCGGGATGGATGATTTGCTAATGATAAATTTACAGCATGGTGTTCTCTCGCTACCTGGTGACAATATGGTTGATGACGAGAAAGCGCAACTGAGTAAAGTTCGGCCAGACATGGTTGAATGATCAACTACCCACAACTCTGGTTTGCTAAATTAGGTTGCCGGAATTCTTGCCAGGTCTGGCACCTAGGAACGTAACGAAGAGGGTGTGGAGCGGGCCACTTCTTTTGCTATCTAAGCTATCAGTCTCAATTCTGCTATGGGGTATGGTTAGTGTGTTACTAGCTGCGAACACCATTTAGAAGCGTTGGGTTCTCGTGCTCTCAACTCAGAAAAGGCCTTGCCACCCTGATGTATCAGGTTTCTGGCAGGAAAGTCTACGTATGCATCCAGCATAGTCAGGGCTCAATCCGGAATTGCTGTCAACCAATGTTGCATCCAATATCCCCAAACTGTCCCATAGGAGTATAGATGTTGACTGCCATTCAATAACATGTTATTGGTAGCTTAACGAGGTCAGTTTCGTGCCGATAGAGGTGAGTTGTTTTGGGAGGCAAGAACCAAGACCATTTTCGACTCCGATAAAGCCCCTTTTAGCAAGACTTTGAATGTCACTTTGAAGATATCAGTGGACTGGTGGCTAGTTCCTCTGTCGATGAGCAGCGATACGGCTCCAAGTAGTTCGAAGCGAAGAGGTAATAATTTACGATCTCTCGACCCAAGATTCGCGTGGAAACTCAGAGTACGGACCCATACTTAAAGCCATCACGGGACCTTGCTAACCAAGCTCTGGATACTGCGACACCAAGTCTTTAAGACAATCAGTGAAGTTGTCATAGATACAACCCACCGCTTAATTGCTTGTCAAAGGGCAATGTCACTCCTATAATATGTTCTCTAGCCCATATCTTGTTTTCCTACTTTTCTGTACTCACTGTGCGAATAACAATATCTGCGGTCTTAGTCCTTGCGGCATGTGCTTGTTTCTGGTTTCGAACCCGTTCCTGAAGTTGCATCCCCGCGCTGCCGAATACCTAAGTGCCGTCATCCCGCCCGAGCTCGACAATTGCAAACATATTCGCAGTGCACATCCCCATTTCCAAATAACTATCGTTGCTACACATAGTCGCAATGAAAAACTCAATTCTCTGATCTTTCGTCGCCAAATGCCCTCTGCCGCACCGGCCAGATGTTTGAGGGGCAAACCCAGAGCCGTTTTTGAGGGGCAGTGATGTCATCCCGACATGACCATCACTCAACACATACCACATAGTTCGTTTCCCCACGCGACTCACCTTTCAGTAAGATTCGTGGGGTGCTACGTCATGCAGGTACATTCTAGAACTCTAGATAATGTCTTTATTCCAATGGCACGAAGGTTGTACGGCAAGCCTACCGCACGACACTACCGCACACTATCGATAAACGCACACCGCGCAGCAGGACGACGCACGCAAAAGCAGCTACTCCACAAAGCAACCCGACTGTCAAAACGGCGCGACGCAGACGCAGATCTGACTTGGATTATAGCATCTGACCACCAACAATACAATATGGCGGCACAAGCGACCGAAGACATGGCACACCCGACGCCTCCCCACAGCGAACCTCAGAGTGAAAACGAACAGAGCCACGAGAGGAGCGATGTCAAGAGCGAAAGGCAACCGCTCAAAACCAAGACCGAGACGGAAGAGAAGATTGAGAAGGAAACGCCGCCATTGAGCTCGGATGCATCCGTGTCGGGGGCCGACGGCGCGCAACACGAACCCAACAAGCACGTCGCGCGGAGATCAAAACGTACAGCGGTGGCTCACAGTGGAGAGCGGAATAATCCAAGACAAGCGCATCAGTCGCAAGGCGCGCAGCAGGTCGTACCGCAAAATCAACAGGTGCAGAACAAGGGCAAGGGAGGGCCTTCGGTTCGGCTTGATATGGATCTGGACGTCGACATTGATCTGAAGGCAAAGATTAAGGGTGACATTGAGTTATCTATATTGTGAGTGGCCGCATCTCTTGCTTTGCCTGGTTCAGTTGGGCGTTCTGTAGACATTCTACTGACAACCAGCAGGGGTGGTAATCAGGACAGGAGATGAATTCATGAAGGTCTCATACGTATCACGAATGACATGACTTTAATGTAATTCTGTATTACCAGTTAATAAAGGAAATAACCCACGGCTCAGTTCCATTTATGCAACCTTTTGCTGGTACGTTCTGGGTATCTATCGATGTCCAAGAATAATGCTCGCCATCTATTATTATCAGCAAGAATAGTAATGAAAACCGTCAATCTATGTTTGAGTATTACTAAGTTCACAGAGAAAGTTTTGGTGTCAAAGGCAGACTTGTAACCAGCAGTGTCTTGGTCTTATAGTTGCAATAACACTGTCTGTGCTATTAGGAAGTTTCGACTGCTGACAATGGACAAATTCCTTCGAGATTATTGGAAAGAAAAATATTTGGGTAGAGGCCACTATAGCTCTCTAGTGTCACCCTGAGGCAGCGCTATCTCAGGCATCCTCATCAAATATAGATTCAAGTCGACACTGACAGAGGCTAAGAACAGGAATGTTTTACTGTTCCATTCGTTATGTACACCCTTTTCCTCGCTGGCCTCGCTTCCGCCTGTTGCCTATGTGACTTTCAGTTCCCCTGGACAGGGAGCGACCATATGCGCCAGGTTTTGTCGCGCGATGCAGTTCCAAACAGAACCCTGTTCTCTCTGACAGGCCCCACGGCTACAGAAAGGACCGAATCTTCATGTCCTACGAGTTTGGCCAGCACTCTGCCAGTTTGCCAGTCCCAGAAACGTACAGACTTATCCTCTGAGCTCGATAGAATCCATTCAAAGGTTGGTAAACTAGTATTCGCCAGAACGAAATCCTACATTTCAGAGATAAGCTTTAACTGGGATATAGATGGTGAAGTAACTAAGCGTCTGGTTTTACATACCGAGTGACCCACGAATGTGCGAATGCATCTTAAGTATACTGGCCAGTCTTCATCCGAGTGGTAGTCTGTGAATGCAAACATCTTGATGGATCTGTCTAGAGAAGTTGTGAAGATATTTCTTCCATCCGCAGAGAACTGACAAGAATGAACAGAATCGGAATGGCCTTCACACATCGAGGCCGGGTCGTCTTCGTAGACAGCGAACGTCGCGCCAGGACTCCAATCATGATTGTCCTTTGTCTTCCAGACATGGACGGGCTTATCCAGGCTGGAAGCGGCTATAAAGTTGCTGTCGGGTGAAAATGAAACCTCAAGGAAAACGTCATGAGTCAGGATGACTCGCCGACATTCCCGGGTCTGAGTGCTCCAGAGGCGGATGGTACAGTCGTGGCTCCCTGACGCGATCAATCTACCATCATTGGATATGTCCACTGAGCAAATGACACTTTTGTGGCCGGCAAGCACTTTCAGAACGGATGAAGATTGAGTCTCAAAGACCTAGGCAGTACCGAATGAGCTTTGGAACGAAAAGTGCCGGAGCAGACGGACTTACCCGTACAAGCTTGTCCTCTGATGAAATCAGCAATTTGTTATCCGGGCTAAAGCAAATGCTCCGATACTCCATATCACTGTCGTCTTCATAGGCGACTATGTCGTCAGATCTCAGGATGCAAAAAGGATCAAGGGTTAGGCTCGTTCCAGGTCGCATCTCAAATACCTGCACCCGACGATTGCTGCAGACTGCAACTAAGTTGCCATCTGAGCTGAAAGATACCGCAAGGACTGGAGAATCACATGCTTCAGTGTGAACTAATTCAATATTGAACATCCGCGGGAATCTTGGGTTGTGTAGGATCGTCCAGCCACCACCTTCGTCCTTGTGACTGGGAGATGCTAGCTCGAATTCCACATTTGCCAAGTCATCCGGCAAGATCTTTTTCTCTCTTTGTGTATCATAAATATTTAGAAAGAACGAGAAAGCTGAAAAAGCCGCCCATCTTTCAAAACGATGCGCCATCCCCGTGATAAGTGATCTCGACCCCAATGGAACGGTGCGTCTGGTTGAGAATCCATATCTCTATCTGGTACAACGCTAGCACTATTGAAATCTGCTTCATTCTCTATACCTAGTCGCGGAAGCGAGAAAACTGACACTTGCAAGAGAAGATTGCCGAGGTGCTTGCGGAACTGATCGGCCTCAACAAATATGATTTTGTCGTCGTTGCCATCTTCGATCGATAGTTCTGCCAGAGCCCATTTGTCTTCGCAGAAATTGCATTCGTCAGCCGCGATAAACTTTTGAGGCCGTCTTGACTGGTTGACAATCGTTTGTACTTGATTTGCTGGTACATCGTCATAATGACAGCGGGTGATATGGTCCTCTATGTCTTCAGAGTTCAAAAACGCTTTTGTACACATTGGACACTCCCACATGGTTCGATGTAATAGTAGCTCGTGCTCAAACCATGCATGAGCGGATGCAAAATTTCCAGCCCGCAACTTGGATAAATGCACACATACGGCTCCAGATCCTGGATGACGTGTTTTCTTCTCAACGTTAACCAAAAAAAGCATTTCTCGACTTGTGGACATACCTCCAGTGGGACTCTTTGTATTCATATTTCGAGACAACGACCTCCAAGCCTGCTCTGTCCACTCAGCTTACAGCTGCACGCACTCCGAACTGGCATCATATTGCTGCACCACGTACATAGCTCTGAGAAGATGCTCAAGAAATGCTGGAATGCTCAAGAAATGCTTTTTTTTTTGGTCTGATTGTGAGAGGCTGCTGAGATCTCGACCGTAGCTTCTTTAGACGAGCCGCAATCCAAACCGAGTCTTTTAGGAATAACTGTAAATCAATTGTCACCAAACCAACTAGAAGGCGTATACTTAATGCAGTACAATTTCGCAGGATTTGTAGACATGGGCCAAGGTCGCGCATAGCGTCGGTTCGTCCCATACGTACCGAACGCTTACATATATGTCTTCTGCGCCCGGTTGCCGCATCATGCAGGTAATTGGAGCCCACTCACACCCTCTTGGCAACACAGATCTATCTTGACATCGTTTCTCACTCTCTTCCGGCACCTCCTCGATGAATGGACTGAACGTCCCTCGTTAATGTCAGCTTTGTATTCGGAAGACTACTGACCACTGAACTGCAAAACAGCTAGGGACGGCTATCTTGGAGCGTATTGAACGCTGCGTAGTTACCGCGGATCGGGAATAATTTGTAGCCAAGGTTACTTCCACCTCCTTCTTTATCCAATTTCTTTGCGCTCTTACTTATCTATTACGGCTTCCACACTTGTAATCGCGCCTAGAATTGTAAGCCCTCTTCGGTATTGGCTTGCTGACGTTTGTGTAACACTACTGTTTCCATGATGCAAATCATTATCCACATGTCTCTATTGCCACTTGACGATGTGACGCTATAACTATTTAGACCGAACTTTAGGCTCCCGAGGGAAACAATTCTGCTCTGTTGTCGCTCGTCGAGGCAGCTCTGCCTCTGGTTAACCAAAAGTGAACTGGATGCTCCGATATTTAGTTAGGCCTTGCTGGTCCATCAAGGGATTAATGAGCCTCTCTCAGCTTTCACATTCTTGCAACTATTGCAAACATCGTAAACGAGGCGAATATTGTTCTTTCCCGTCCCTCCATCGTAATCGCTGTATACCTGCTCCATTAAGTAATGCGTAACTGTCAATGCAGGAAATGCAACACCGGCTTTTTGCTTGGGGCAAATTAGCGCAGTTGGAGTACGACATGGTTTACAACCCTCGCAGGATAACTGCTATGCGTGGAAACGTACAAGTAAGCAGGTCTCGGAGCTTTACCATTCGTGGAACGATGGCGATCATCACGCGATGCCTCAATAGGCTATCTGTTCAATGCTTGTCCGTTATCCATCGACTTGTCCTATTGAAGCCCGCGTCCGACGTGCGTTTGCGGGCCGAGAGGACGGCATTGGGCCGGAGAAAAAGGGTACCCGCAGAGCCACGCACGAGTGGGAAGGGTGTGGGTAGTAGTTGATACTACCACGTTAGGCAGCGCTCAGCACTAGCCGTGCCGAGGACCCTGACAAGTAAATGCAGACCCCATCACTTGGCATTACTGAATTATAAATTGTATTTAAAGATGCATAAGCGGAACGAAAACGCGTACGAGGAGGAGAGGTTCTCGTTCTTCCCTTGATCCCTTTTCTCTTCTTACCTTGTCAGTCGCGAACATGGAGATCATAACTCTCGCGATCAGCTTCATCGGTCTCGTCATCGCCTCCTATCTTGTCGAGAGGGTGTTTAGCACGCTCAAAAATGGACGCCGTCCCCCCCTGCCGCCCGGCCCCAAGGGTTTACCCATTGTCGGCAACGTGAATGATCTACCAAAGCCCGGTGTACTAGAGGCTCACCACTGGGTGAAGCACAAAGAGTTATATGGTCAGTTCAACAACATGCCAGGCCCATAACCCGCATCTCGAAACCTCTTTCGAAACCGGGTATTGGTCCATGTTAGAGCAGAACCTGACTTTCATACTTTCACAGGGCCAATCAGCTCCATCACCGCAATGGGGCAAACGATAGTCATCCTCAATGACTTACAGCTGGCCTTCGATCTCTTGGATAAGCGTTCGGTCAAGCATTCATCGAGGCCATCACAAGTCTTAACCGGCGAAATGTGTGTGAAGTTTACCATCTGTAATAAGACGTAGGCGTGTGTTTCTAACGTCTTGAATACCAGGGTCGGTCTCAAAGATATCATGGGCATGTTACCCTATGGCGAGCGCCACCGCGTTCAGCGCAAGAATATGAGCCGCATTCTCGGTTCCAAGCCGGCTGCATCGCAGTACAACGCCTTGCAAGAGGCCGAAGTCGGCCATTTCCTGCTTCACCTGTTGGATGAACCTGAAAATTTGGTCAAACACATCAAAAGGTTAGTTGGCCACATACCACTTACAAGCACGCCGATGAACTAACAAGCTTCCCAGGGAGGCAGGCTCGCTGATTCTGAAGATTACTTATGGGTACACTGCCGAATCATTCAAACAGGACCCCTTGATTGAAATGATTGACGAAATGATGGACAACTTTGGCAAAGGAGCCGTCCCAGGCGCATTTTTAGTCGACATCTTTCCCTTCCGTAAGTCTGCTCAAACACGCCCAACCTGACATAAAACTATCTAAACTCTGTGAAAGTTCGGTACCTACCCGACTGGCTTCCCGGGACTGGATTCAAGCAAACTGCCAAACAGTGGAGAGCTCAGTTCCACGAGACCAGAGATAAGCCGTTTGCTTTTGTAGAGCATCAGATGGCGCAGGGCAAAGACAACGAATCTTTCCTTGCGCACCTCCTCGAATCATCGGACCCCTCGCCAATAAACGTCTTCGACAGCAAATACTCGGCGATTGGTGTGTACGCCGGTGGCGCCGACACGGTATGGTGTTTTCCGTCCATGCTTTTCCTGAAAATGAGAAAAGCACAAATATGAGGTGCTAACATGCTTGTTTCCAGACTGTGTCCTCCGTCGCATCCTTTTTCCTGGCCATGATGGTGTATCCCGAAGCCCAGCAGAATGCTCAAGCGGAGATCGACAGAGTTGTGGGACAAGACCGGTTGCCCAACGTTCAGGATCGTGAGAGTCTGCCGTACATCGAGGCACTGGTAAAGGAAGTGATGCGCTGGCACCCGATCGGGCCCATGGGGCTCCCCCACTCCAGCACAGAAGACGACATTTTCGAGGGCTACTTCATTCCGAAGGGCGCTATGGTGTTCCCGAACATCTGGTCAGTGACCCATATCAAGATCTGTTCTTACATCCCCGTCTAACCTCATGTCCGTAGGCATTTCACCCACGACCCCGAGAGATATCACGACCCCATGACCTTCAAGCCGGAGCGTTTCCTCGCCAGCGAGGGCTACGAGCCCGAGATGGACCCCCACAAGTTCGTCTTCGGCTTCGGTCGCCGTATCTGCCCCGGACGCATCCTTGCCGACAACTCCATCTATCTCAACGTGGTCCAAATTCTCGCTGTATACAGCCTCAGCAAGCCAGTCCGCGATGGGAGGGTTGTCGAACCGGATATCAAATTCAACCCAGGCGTGGTCAGCCACCCGGCGCCGTTCGATATCTCCATCAAACCACGGTCCGCGCATCACGAGAAACTGATTCGCGCGATCGAAGAGACGTACCCGTGGCAGCAGAGCGATGCCAAGACACTGGAGAAGATCCAGGTTTGATCGGATTTCAGCTATTGGACAGACGAAGAACGTGTGCTGGTAAATGTCTGTTGGAACACAAGGCGCTTAGGATATCGGCTGTAATTACCTTACGGCTGACTGTGGGTGGACACTTCTCGAGCACGGGCAGGTGAAGTGGTGCTGAAATTGCTCATTTATGTCTCAACGTTCAATCAACTTCCTCCAGGATTGCCGGACTGGTCTATGGCTATCTTTTGTGACTAGTGGACAGTGTTCATATGCCAGCGTCGTTCTGCCAAAGGTTTAAAGCACCTAGGTAAAGGACAGAGAATGGTGTCAAAATTGCTGACTATGGTATTTATTACAAGCGGGAGTATCGACCAGTGTTGAGCTCCACGACTCAACTCAAACCGTCCCAATGGTTTTCCGATATTAGCGTGGTTATATTGGGTCTGATTAGACTTTCAGAGAGTTTCCCCCCAATCTCCTGGAAACCATATTGGTTGATTTTTCTGATGCCCTCAAGGTGAGGTGAATATTAGACCACCTCAACCTGAACACTCTGGGGTGTTTCTCTTATCGTCGGTCGCTCTCCAAAGCAATGCCTAAGAATGATTCGTCCCATCATTTATTTGGGCCTTGTAACTAATCTACTCAGTAGCCAGGGCCTCAATGATGAAGACTGCTCAGCATGAAGCTTCGAAACCGAGGGTCATGTGAACTATGAACGAGACACTGGCGAGGAGTAGGAACACAGAGGTCTTCAGCCTGGTGTACTGATTGGTGCTCGTTAATCGGTCCCGAACCGAGCATACCGAGTATTAAGTATCAACCTTATCTCGAACAAGCCGGAACTCTCGAAGTTGGAGGACGTGGTCTGTACTCACTTGTTTCTAGCACTCAGTGTATGATTCGTAACGAGAAGTGCTGGACTCTCATCGGCAAACGTTGCCATCAGGTATCACTTGCAGCAACTAACTCGCTTCTACTTGCCCGCGTGGGCGACGAGGGTAATAATTAGACAAGGGCTCCCGGGCGACAACTTTCAGCTTCGAAAAGTCCTTCAGAGATCGTTGAGAATGCGAAACGAATTCCCGATCGCCCACAGGATGAGACGGCGCAAACGCACATATCAGAAGTAAGCTCGTCTGAGCTGTTGGACAGCGTTTTGGTTCAACGGTTTTGGTATTGTGCGTGCCGAAAAAGCATAGGTGATGCTCGGCTGATCAAACAGAATAGACAGTTTAGAGAAATAAGCTAGGCTCCTACAGTTTGTTCGTGCGTCATAAGCAGACCGACGGCGAGCCATCGCAAACCTTGAAAAAGAGTCTGGGCTCTTCTGGACTGGGCGCCGTTCTCGGTGATATCGGACTTGGGGAGCACCGACCGCCGGTGACACCACAAGCAAAAGCTCTCACTGAGCCTGGTTCATTGCTTCGTTCCTGGGTCTATCCTGTCTTTGGTCTGCTGGGCAGGACTGCCAAGCCTGTAATCTCTCGAAAACAATGGTCTGATTCTCCGAGGCGCAATGCCGAGTAAAGTTAGTGTACCGAGGGACTCGGAGGTAGAGACTGTCTCACCGAGCTTCACCACGCTGCGCTTTGCCCTGTTAGTCAAGGTCCCCCAGGTGAGCAAGAGGGGTATCTCGGTGAAGCACAGGCGGTAGCTTCTAGGGACAGAGAGCCAATGAGGACAACGGTAATGTAAGGCCGTGGCCGATCTAGCCCTCTTCCCCCCCCAGCTTTGCCGGTCTAAGCTCCGACCCCCGATCCCGCCAACGTCTGGAGCATTGATGTTTTCTGCACAGATGTGACAGTTGTTGGCTCCCGTCCTTCTCTTCATCCCCCCACTTTGAGCATCTGCGGCCGCGCCCTTTCAACCCCAACAAACAAGTTAAAGACTTGTCGACGACGACCACGATCACGACAATCTCCAACGCATCCACCACCACCACCACATACGTCCTACCCCCTTTTCGACGGCTTACTGTGTCGCACATGCGCTAGACTCGATCGCCGGCACAACTCATGTCTCTGGGAGGGTAAAAGCGAAGAGCGAGAGCGTCGCAAGAACGCCCCATTTGTCAGCCTCTCTCTAGCTCCGACCGCTACAGTGTGTCACCACCATCACACTCTTGTCTCCGTCGAAGCCTCTCTCTCAAAACCCCGTACCGAATCTTGGTGATTCTCCCTCTACCTCGACCACAGCAAGCACAACCTCGAGCGACCAGATTCGACCCCCGGCGTCCATACGTTGCTCGTGACGAGCCATGGAACTCTTCTCGCCGACGAGCCAGCAGTCGAACCCCGCGACGCCGGCGCATCCAATGAACACCAACCCCCACCATTCACCCAACTCCCCGACTGTGATCCACGACTTTCCTGCCCTCGGCCGCCATGGCGCGACCTCGATACCCCCCGATCAGCCCGTGGCCATGACGCCCTCTGGCCAGCCCGCGCTGAACCCGCGCAGCTGCGTCACCTGTCGGAAGAGGAAGGTCCGCTGCGATAAGCAAATGCCCTGCAGCAACTGTCGCCGCGCCGTTATCCAGTGCATCTTTCCGGCGCCGGGCCGCGCCCCGCGTCGACCGAGACCAAAGGACCCGAATGCGCCGCCCAAGAACTCGAGCGAGCGCGAGGTCGAGTTGATGAAGCGCTTGCGCAAACTCGAGGGCATTGTTGAGGAGCTGAGCGGCCAGATCGAAGTCGAGAGCGGCACGGGGAGCAACAGCGGACGACAGAACTCGAGCACGGGAAACTCGCCAGAGACCTTTGGCAACGACGCCGGCGGTGACAGGGTGGGGAGCACGCAGAGCAACAGTTCTACAACGACGGCGCTGAGGGAAGCGATTGCGCCGAATAAGATGGACACAGACTCGGACCCGAAGCGACCCAACGACAAGCAACCGGGCCTCAGCAGGCAGTTCGGCAGGCTGGTGCTTCACGATAAGGGGAAAACGAGCAGATACGTGAGCAGCGCATTCTGGTCCAAGCTGAATGACGAAGTAGGTCCGCCCGAGTCATATTTCCCCCTGCTATCACTGACATGGGTGTTGCAGCTGGACGAGCTACGGGAAGAGACGCACGTTCTGGACGAAGATACCGACGACTCTGATATCGATGAGACACCCGACCACTCCCCTGAGCAGACTGTGGATGCCGCGACCGACCACCATGCCTTCATTCTGGGTTACCGGTCTTCCGATGTCGACCTGCGCAAGCTGCACCCCCTGCCCTCGCAAATCCCGTTCATGTGGCAGATCTACCAGGAGAACGTGGAGCCGTTGCTCAAGATACTGCATATTCCAACCATGGAGAAGCTCATCCGCAACATGCGGCGCGACATTGACGAACTGACCCCCGGAAACGAGGCCCTTTTGTTCTCCATCTACTATGCGGCCATTACGTCCATGGAAGACGAGGAGGTGTGTAGCGCAACCCCATTCGCTGCGGCTTATCTAACCCGATCCGCAGGTCGAAAAGAACTTTGGTTCGAAGAAGGAAGTGATGCTGTCGCAGTACCGCTTCGCCCTCGAGCAGGCCCTCGCAAAAGCAAACTTTCTGAACACCTCAGACATGGTGGTACTGCAAGCGTTCGTCTTGTTCCTGACACTGGTCCGGCGCGAAGACGACACTCGGTTCTGCTGGACACTGACGGGGTTGGCGATACGCATCGCGCAAGGTCTGGGCATTCACCGGGACGGGACGAACTTTAACCTCCCGCCTTTCGAGACTGAAATGCGGCGCCGATTGTGGTGGGCCATTTGCACACTGGATTTGAGGTCTGCCGAAGAGCTGGGCAGCGACCTTACCGTTATCGATCGCTCGTTTGACACGCAGCTTCCCTCCAACGTAAACGACTCTGACATCGAACCGGGAATGACCGAGGTACCAAAGTCGCGACGAGGCAAGACGGACTGCGCCGTGTCGCTGGTCAGATACGAGATTTGCTCGCTGTCGCGACGACTACACACCGCCGGCTCGGCCATGGCCGGTGTCTGCCCTCGAGATGCCTCATCGAGCGTTGAGGACCGGGAGCGGATGCTGATTGAAGTATACGACCGCGTCGAGGAGAAGTTCCTACAGCACTGTTTTACGGATGACGATCCCCTCGTCTGGATGGCCGCCATGATCGCTCGTGTCATCATGGCCAAGATGAGCCTCGTCATCTACCAGCCGATGCTGTTCCCTGGCAACGGCCACGAGCTCTCCAACGAGGTTCGCGATCGGCTCTTCTTGTCGGCCATCGATATCGTGGAGAACAACTACATCCTCAACACAGACCGCCGCTGCAAGCAGTGGCGGTGGCTCTTCCAGACTTATCGGCAGTGGCACGCCATCGCTTATATTCTCATGGAGGCCGGAAGGCGCCCGTGGTCGGCGACGTCGGAGAGGGGCTGGGAGGCCGTCAACAACACCTTGCGATTTGACCGAGACCCGGCGGAGATTTCCAGAATGGCAGACCACATGGCAGTGTGGGTGCCGTTACGAAAGCTCAGCGCGAAAGCGACCAAGCATCGGGAGGCGGAGATTGTTCGCCTGAGGTCAGATCCCGAGGCTGCCCGCCAGCTCGATGTCGACGACCGGATGAACCCTATACCGGCGAGACTTGGCCCTGTCCCGGGGATGGAAGCCCAGCATGCGCAGATTCGCGCCCGCTGGCGAAATCTCGTGCGTACGGACGGTGCCAGTCCAGTGCAACCGACAGCCAACCACCCGAACCAGACTCAAGCTGGACTGGGCGCACCGTCCGCCTCTCAACCACACCAGCCGGCCCAGATCCCGGCTTCGGTGCGCCCGCCAAGGGAGCCCGAGTTCATCGACACTGTCATGATGGCGCGGGGCTTCAACCCCAATCATATTTGGGAGTACCTCTACCCCACGGCTCAGTCTATGGCGGCTGATCCGAACAACGCACTCTTCCCGCCCAGCGCCTCACAAGCGCCGACTTCGCAGCCCGGGATGTCCTCTGACGTTCAATCGTCAACCGCGCCGGGCCAAAACATGGACGCAGAGCAGAGGCAGCGGCAACAAGCCATCGCGATGACGTCGCAACCCACCGCATCGTCGTCTCTGGACGACAACCAGCCCCCGTGGCTGTGGGCCGACCCCTTTACCTCGATTAACAACGTGCCGGGCGACTCCATGGACGTCAACATGGATAACCTGGACGACTTTAACTGGCAGAACTGGCAGGAGAGCATCAAGGGTTTCGAGATGGATCCCGACAACATGACGCAGAAGGGAGCGTGGTAATGTGGGGAGATGCGATGCTCATGTAAAGAAGGGAAGTGGCTTAGATGTCTCCTCTCACGATTCGGCCTATGCAAGGGCCATGTAATGATACCCACGGGAAGTAGAGGTAATGAATGAATGATACATTGTATTTTTACCACAAAAAAACGATATTCCACACAGCTGCTGTTGGTTTACTCGCGCTTGTCCTTGTGTTCGACAAGTCTTGTCACCACCAAGACTCATTTCACCCAGTCACACATTCTTAGGTCAGCGGTACTGCTCAACAACCACGAATCTCATCTCGACGGCACCATTGTTCGCCAATCAGTCAAAAAGATGGACGATCTGGGAATCGAACCCAGGACCTACCGCAGACTGAACCAGGACTGATTCCTGTGCTAAGCGGTCATTATACCACTAAACCAATCGCCCATTGTGGATGATCTAGCCCGGACTTGAACCGGAGACCTTCAGTGAAGCCAGGGCGAGACAGGACATCGGGCGGATGCTGAATCGAACTGTTAGACTGACGTGATAACCAACTACACCACCAGACCATTCATTGGAAGTTGTTGAAGAGATCGTGGGCGAACCCGCTTTTAGGGCAAGCGTGGTTGAGCGAGGGCGGTGCGGATGGAAGTGGAGGTGAATGGGGGTTGAGAGATTAATAGCTCGCGCCTATGCGGCTCGGAGAGGGGTGAATTCGTGAGTCTGAAGTACACTTACACTCCGTTCTGCTCTACCTGTTCCCGCCACCGCTGAGGGAGAATATTTACAAATAAGGACTTCATGTCATTCACAGCTTGAGGCGGAGCGGGAGGTGACCCGGGCAGTGCGACAAGTGAGAGTCAGTCAGCCTTAGAGGCTGTTTTTTTTTTCAATCGGTCGCACTAGCCCCGCAGCGCACGCGAGCAGGCCCGATAAATACCGCCCACCCGGCCGATGGGTGCGTGAGTGAGTGACTGGGCATGACTTGTAATAGTAAAGCCGCTATAAACTCATTGGATGAGTCAACCCCCGCAATAAGATCCAACTTCACCTCCTTTTCAGCGCTCGATATCTGAACAACATTGCGCTTCATCAACAGTGAGAGTCTGGGATTATAACAAGGAAGAAAAGCAAAATACCACAAGGCAATATGGCCTCGAACCCTTTCGCGAACCCGCGCGTCGGTGTCGCGGCCATTATCCAGCGCCAGGACGGCAAGATTGTCGTAGGCAAGCGCGAGAGCAGCCACGGCGCAGGTACGGACATGCATCCATGCTCCATCTTTTTTATGCTCTCTCTTTGCATGGTTGTCCATGTGGAAAGGCAAAAGTGCTGACGTATAGCGACTCAGGGACCCTGCAACTCCCCGGAGGGCATCTCGAGTTCGGGGAGTCCCTCTTCACCTGCGCTGAGCGCGAGACATTGGAGGAGTCTGGGCTAAAGGTGCGCGGCGTCAAGGTCGTGGCCGTGACGAACGACATATATGAAGACCTCGGAAAGCATTACATCACCGTATTTGTGAGGTGTGAGATGGAAGATCCTAGTGCGGAACCGGTTGTGAGTAGATTGCCCTCGACGTCCTGGGTGTTGGCGAGATGAGAGTCAAGGAAATGTGAAGCTGACTGTATTGGCAGAACTTGGAGCCTGAAAAGTGCTCGGGCTGGGACTGGAAGGCGTGGCAGGAGGTTCGGGAGATTAACGAGGCGGCCAGGGGGGGTGATGGGAAGGTGAAGCTGTTTCTGCCATTGCAGCACCTTGTGGAGGAGAACCCGGACATTGAAAAATCGGCTTAAAGGTAACGAGCATATGTGGCGTTTTCTCGAGTTATTCATGGTTGAGGGGGTTGTTTTTCGCACTTACCTACCCGTATAGAATGGGGCACGTGTCATGGTTCTGACCGATCTGCACTCACTGGCCCTAAGAAGAGAGAAGGAGGGGCCTGGTATTGACAGGTCGGATCGGATGGTAAATAGATAATATGCACGAGCAGGCCAATTTCTCGTCTGCCGTCGTGTGTTTGTGGTTCGTATCTGGAGTATTTCCAGCCATGGAAACCACGGTGCGTGGGTCTGACTTGCTCAAGATTAATCAAGGAGAAAATGCTCATGGTTTCTACAGGACAGCGCAATCTACGTCTATCTTGCCTACATATCCTGGCGGCTTCTGCACTCCCTCAAGTCTCTATACTCATATGTTGATCAACAAGGCTATATGCACTTGTGCTTGCCGGCTTGTTTCTATTGTCCAAGTTCAGCCTTACTCTCGCTTTACCAAGTTTCTTTGGCGTCTTGAAACAAATGGTTGATGAGAGTATCATTGTTCCAGAGGCAGAACCCTCCGTCTCCTGAATGTATCGTGGATGTCATGTTTACATCGCAGTCTCTGGCCCCGTCGTCACAATAAGTGACGCTCTCTGTGGGGAATCCCGGAACTGGTCTGATGACGGGGCTGGGGAAGACGCCAGCCTTTCCCATCTCATCCAGCGAACAACACTACAAAACAGGATGTGACCCCTGCCTACATCCACCCGCCATAGCCGCCCGCCAATCAGATGAATGTCAATGTTTGGGAAACAGTCCTTTCCAAAGGATGTAATATTCAACTCTCAAGAGCCTCGTCTAAATCTGCTGCGAACACTTCGGCAGCGTTCTGCATCATTGCAAAGTTCTTCGGTATGTCAAGAAGCTGAACGCTGGGGATTAGTGGTTTGTTTCCGGCCATCAGGAACAAGCATAATCGAAGGGATTAATAATTTAACCGCCAAAGAGCTACTAGAAACCCAAGTCCACGAGTATTAGCGAATTCTGCCATGCCGCTGCCTGAGAATAGATGGGGCATATCGTATCTGTACAACCCCTAGCTTAATATCATGTTTAGCGTTATGCAAGGGTTCGAAGCCAGAGTGAACCTCGAGTCCCCAGCCTGGCGCCGAAAGGGTTGTGACGTCGATGTCCATTGTTCGGTGGTTGATTGGTGGGACTGCAAGGGCATACCACCTCAACTCTGTCCTAACGGCCGATCTTCTGGGACGATGCCTTATGTCCTCTGCAGCCCCTGGTATCGAGATCCCAGTGGAGGATTATCGAGACGGCACGCTCTGTCATCTGACCCGTTTTGTGCGTATATCATGGCTGCCGACCCAAAAAGAACTGCTCACGGCACTATCCTCCAGAGATGCTGCTTCTTGACCTTGTGCACCCACTGTTTCGGATCGTCACTCGTCTCTCAATTGCTAAATTAGCTATCGAAGGAGTGAAAAAGTGGACTGGGCGTGTGTTATTTACCGAAGGTGTGTCGCACTTGAAAATCACCAATGGCTTCATTACCAACATATTCATCACCAGAAGGGGGACGCCCGGCTGCATCACTCAACAATGACGTGGCCTCTTCACAAGACTCCCTAGACTCCGACCGGGAATTCAAGTACCAGTCAGGACTGATGCCCGCCGAATTTGGGGGCCTCGAGGTGGCATCGTCACTCGGGATGAAGTATTATCAAGATCGCGGGCAATACCAGCCCGCTCCGAGCGCTCCCGGCCACGTCCCGAGTGGCTACGCGTCATACCAAGACCAACATACCGGCGCGCCCTATGACAACATACATTACAAAAATTCGGCTGTTGCGACGGCATAAGATGGTCGGGCGGGCGGGTCATCAAAAGGGGAGAAGCGAATTTTGGGTGTAAGAGCAGCAACGTTTTGGGTGGCCATCATTGCCCTGGTCTTCTTCGTAGGCACGATCGGTGCGTCTGCGGCTGCTGGGACGATTGCACAAGCACACGCGGCATATGTGAAGACGTGTCAGGCGTGAGTAACCAAACTTGGAACGAGACGTTGAGAAGCAAGTACTCACAACTCTGCCAGTAAGCTGAAAACATCATCGGCATCATCACTGGCTGCTTCTGCCTCAACAGTACAATCAATGGCAGTATCAACGTTTGGAAGATCATCCGCCACAACTACCGCAACATCCTCCCCGGCCTCAACCTTAACATCTCTCGCGTCAATTCCACTTCCAGAGCAAGCTTCATCGCTCCTCGGCGAAGCAACCACCCACTGCCCGAACCTATCGTCGGAAATCAGGACATACACGGTCCCAAATTCAAGCGTCCGCTTTGTGCGTGAGTGCGGCAACAACTACCCGATGAACGACTTTGGAAAGATTCCGTTGACGAGGATGGAGGATTGCATGAACCTCTGCGCGGCGCTCGCCGTCACGACGCAGAGCGTCGACGGGCCGTGTGTCGGCGTCGCGTGGGTCACAGCAGGGAAGCAGGGAACAGATGAGAACTACTGTTGGCTCAAGGGCGCCCAGGGCTCGCCAGATCCAAAGGCTAATGTTGAGGCAGCATGGATTGTCAGGTAGTTGATGAAATAGCGAGGGAACGAGACAAGATATAGTGAGATGGCTTGGGAGTACGGAGTAGTTGATGAACGATCGCTTGCATCTATAATACCATTGAGGATTTCCACTTCGAGGTTGAAAGGTCACCCTTGCTATGTTCTCAACCATTACCGTCATTGTTGGCAGGCGCAAGCCCATATTCTCTAGTATTCGTGGACTGCCCAAGAGTCGGGACACTAGACTAAATGATGGACCGTGACTAGTTGAAACTATGAAACTGCCTCTCACCATCACTGCAAAGCAATTACGTCTATTTTCAGCACAGTAGATGGATGTTATCAATCAAGTCTGAAAAGGGCTGCCGACTTGCTTATCAGCCGAACTTCACGAAGATTATTGTGGCCACATCATACGCTCCATTCCTGTACATACCACGCAGGACTGACACGCATCGACCTGATTAGATTACTAGCGTTGGCCAGTTGGGAATAGCATCACTTATGAATTTTCCAGCGGTTATGAACATTATTTGAGGAGAGGGGCCTCCATCTTTATTTGAGACTGGCCTCTTGGAACATTCCTGCATGTATCTTCAAGAAGAGTCAATTATAAGAAACTATGGCCTACTTAGATCCCTATGTTACTACTAAAAGTGCAAGGCCACCGCTTTGAAACTCCGTCTGTTGTACCGTGCTACGAGGATTCAGCAAAATTATCGGAATATCATGGAAGATTTAGTCAATCACAACTGATGAAGCTTTATTGATTCTGTTTACTACTGTTCCTCTCTTTTGAAGACATCTTGACTACAAGTTTATATTACCACTCCGGGATGATTCGGGACGATTCAAAGGCCAGTCGATGGCCTGCTGTTCTCTAGATGATCTGCCATGTGTTACATCCCAACCTCCTCGGTATCGTTGGGCCTATTACACGAAGCGCTGTCGGCATGTATGTCCGATGATCCAGCTTGCTCATGATTTCCATTTTCTGGATCATCTCTTAATATTTCTGCCGCCCTACCAGATGTTCGGTCGGTCAAGGAGCCGCGAGAACTTCTCCCATAGCTTATAATGAAGAATACTGACAGAGGAATGAAGATCTTTGTGGTGTGCAAGAATATATGGTCGCGGCTAGGACTGAATAGGTGAGAACAGATGTGGTCCAAAGCAGAACGTTCTTATAGAAAAGGTTGAGAATGGCAGGGGGAACATTTGTTTCTATTGCTGACATGAAGTGGACATTGTATGTATATGAGAAAGTGCGCCTGCAAGGCATCCGCTGACAAGACCCTGGTTATGCATGAGCCCCGATTTGATGCTCCAACCTAACATTTCACGGTCGTGGCCCGTTATCCAGCGACTAGCCCGCCTGTGACTTTGCGTTTGGCTGGATGAGCGAGGGATTCAAGAGACCAATTTATGCAGCGCCAATGGCTTCCACAAAAGAAAGCACATCTTCAAAATAGCACAATTTCGTTAAAGGACTGAAGATACGGAGACAAGCGCTCAGTTGATCTGAATACCTTGTAGATATGTGAGCATTTGCATCATAAATAGAATCCTTGGTTCAAGATCTCTAACCCGAGGCCTGGAAAGCTAGTTTAACCGCCATATAAAGTCAAAATAATGGAAAATATCAACCCAGAAGACAGCCTTACATTTACAGTCAGTTCCTTTACTAATTCCTGTTGATCTGCTTAGCAGCCAGAAGTCTTGACATTGGTTTCGCTGCAAAGGGTGGGATCGTTGGGGGCATCGCCGGGTTCACCACCGCCAGTGACGCCCTTGGAATTCTTGCACACTTCGGCGCCGCCGAGGATGCAGGCGCCGTTGATGGTGACCTTATCACCGAGGTTGCCGTTGTAGTGGGCAATAGTCTTACCGCCGTCAACGTAGATGTTGTTGAAGACGGCCGTGCGGGCCGTCTGTTCTTTGCAGTTTCCGCACGAGCGCCAGAACTGACCGATGTTGACGCCGTAAAAGTCAGAGACCTCAAGCGTGCCGCCACCGTTGTGCTGGAAGAGCTTGTCGCTGGCGTCACGGGCGCCGCCACCCTTGACCGTGGATGTGCCACCCGTTTGGCGGAAGGTCGCACCGTCTTCGCAAACCTTATCCCACCAGCTGTGCCATTATCAGTACATGAGTTCTCATAAGGATTTGGAAGGTAAATCGGGGTATAGACTCACACGTTGACCAAGTTGCAGCTGCCCTGGCACTGAATACCCTCACCGGCGCCACCGCCGATGATAACATTGCTGAGAGTGGCACCATCCGCAAGAATAAAAGCCGCGTCCTTCTGGCCACCCTCGCCGCCTGTGCATGTACTGGGAACACGGTCGAACAGTTTCATGCCGCCATCAAAAGATCCCGTGATAGTCCTAGCCTCGGCGAGGTTCTCAGTCCCCGCAGGCGTAGGAAACGTTTTCTGAAGGCCGCCACCAGAGCCGGAGCCAGATCCAGAGCCACCACCACCGGGAGCAGTGCCGTTGTTAGCGGAGCTGCCACCGCCAGTGCTACCACCACCAGACCCACCCGAGCCGCCTGAGCCAGAACCGGAGCCGGATCCACTGCCGGATCCAGAGCCTGAGCCGCTTCCACCGCCGCCGGTCTCTTTCTCCTTCTTCTTCTTGTCTTTATTCTTCTCCTTGCTCTTATCCTTGGACTTGTCTTTTGACTTCTCGGCGTTAGACCCAACGTTTCCACCACCGCTTCCGGATGTGTCGTCACAGGTTCCGTTTTCACCAGGGCCACTGGAGCTGGCATATCGGATCTCGACCTTGGCCGGGCCGCCGACAGGGGCAGAACGAGGCTGCTGAGGAGATAAGACGGCGCGGGCGAGGTGACCGACGCCTCCTAAGTGTCGACGGGCTTGCCGCTCTTCGCCACTAGGGTGGATGGGGTTCGCAGAAGCCAGCGCGGCAAGCGAGTAAAGGATCAGCCGGGACGCCATTGTTTATGATGATGTTAGCAATTCTATCGATGATGGGATAGAAGTTCGCTAGTGCCAGACTCAAAAGAAAGCAACGAAAAAAAAAAGTGTTGTCGGCAAGCGAGAACAGTGAATGGGCGGGTGAAGATGTTTGGAAAGGTGTGAAGTGAATGCTTGACGATGAGAGCCTGATGAGAAAGAGAAGGTCTGCTTGAAAGGAGGAAGTGAAGTTGTCTTATATCTTAACTTGACAGTCATTAGACGTGCAGTAGTCTCGCGCGAAATATAGTGGTTGTTCATCTGATCGAGCCCCTGTGTTAGCATACCAGACAGCGATTCTTGTGTAGCACCTTGGGTCGCCCCGATCATGTACGAAGAGAAGCTAGTATATCGACGACTGCCCAGAGTTTCCACCATTTGATGTATATTGATGAAGTCAGCACGACAGACTAATATGGAGTGCTAGATTCAGTATGCGGCTATGTCCCAGATGAACCAGGTCCGTGTTCCAGGTTCAATTAAAGTAGTGGGTGTCATGTCACAACATAAAGTAGAAACACAGAGCCACAATCGCCAAGGAGCCTAAGTGTTGTAAGTCAGTTGGTTTAGGGACAACCCAAGGTATGAATCGTCTTGTATAGATTTGATGGGGTCGGGATAACAGCTCGAGCAGGAAATGGCCAAGACCTTTAGGAAATGTATCCGCCATAAGCAGTCAATTGCATCAGAAGGATCAAATGAGCCTGGTGGAGGTGCGGCTATTGCACAACATATGTAACTTGCTAATGGTCTGGGCGCTTCAGACTGTCATTGCCGAGTGGCCTTGGCCTTGGCCTCTTTGCGAACCTTTCCGTGCTTACTTCCTTGCATATGGGTTTTCGCCCCCAGTTGAGGGGCTTCTAGAATGGGAAATAAAGCAATGCGTCTGGCTTAATCTACCTGAACCCCTCCGGTCAGGGGCTGACCCAAGAGTACGGATCCCGGCGATCTCGGAGACCGGCACGGTGACGGCAGCTATCCGTGCGGATGCACCTGCGGGGTTCTCCTCAGATGGGGCTCTTTTGACTGATCTGTCCCTTAGGAGCCCTGGGTATTTGGGGTTGAAGAAGTCGTACTTTTAGGACCCGCTCGACAAGGCTAAATGCGACCTTATTTTGAGGCTCTGTCGAATGCTGAAACTTGTGGTGCAGAGAAAAGCGAAAGTGCGGAACAGACAGGTTGTTATGTCTTCATAAAGACTAAAGGGCGCGGAGTTCGTACAGCTGGTTGTTTACCAAAATAGAGTTCAGTCAAAAAAGAGAGATGGGACGTCCCAAGTCCCTAAAAATCTGATTTTGGGAGAGTACCGGTAATGGTCTCGCTGACTATGATAGAGTTCAGCCGCCAAGAAATGCTTTGCACGCCAAGACACAGGCCTCATGCAGCTACGTGATTTTTGACTCACGATCTCGTTCAATATGTACGAGACGCCCTTGTAAGAGAAAACCGAGACAAATGGCGAGATTCATTCATAATTCCTGTCTAAATCGAGTTTATTTCAACGCTTGTATCGAGTTGCCCCTCTGCGTCCGTCCCTTACCGAGACACCACAGCCGCCGTTCAAAGTTTGAGACCAGAAGGTTGCAATTGTATGGAAGGGCCCCATTTTTTCTCATCTTGTTTCTCTGATTTATATTATAGTCATCTGTACTGTTTAAGATGGAGCTATAACTATTTTTTAACTTCGCTAGCAGTGCTTCAAGCACATGGCAGTGCCTGTAGTGGGGAATCAGTCCCCTTAGAATATCAGACTGAAACTGACATTAGACTGACTGGGAGAATATCGTAGACACTGGATGAGCAGGAGCCAAGATCCACAAACCCCAATAGTATCTGAGCCGATATCATATGACGAGCTCGCTATAAACGTGCGTGAATGGCTAATGCCGTGTCTACAAAGCTTAGGTCCAATGCCAAGCTTAGATAAAGCTGATCGGAATCAGCTTCTCTTGAATGAGGCCGGCCGATGGCCGGCGGTCTGGTTAAGTGCCCTCCGAATGGTATTGCCTATGATACAACCAAAGAATCATGTCTCGAGAGGCAGCGCTCACTTTCATGTGTCATGCAGGGTATCCAGAAACTACTCCAAACGCCGGGGTGATTGGCAAATCCAATAAGAAAAACATTGGACCAAGAACACGAAATACCAAGGTCTACACCATGTCGTCAACAGAGGGACGACGGCTGCTTCTAGCATGGTGCGATGTCACCGGCTTGCGGGGAACCCCAACACCACGTCCATCTCGACTGCTAGTACTATACCGGGTCCTACCAGTCAATCTGTCGGTGGCAGTGATCTTCGCCCCACGCCTCTTGCCCCATCCGGCCTTCCGAGTAGCCACCGCCCCATCAAAGTTGTCAATGTCGTTTTCGAGAGGAAGTTTGCGGTGTAAGGGAATATGGTTGAAACGCCAATCCCATACTGAGGCGTAGACCATCCTGTAGGCTGAGAAGGCGAACACGGTTCCAATCACCGCACCAGCTAGAACATCATACCAGTTGTGAGACTGGTCGACGGTCAACGAGCCGCCTACCAGGGTAGCGCCGAGAATTGGAGCGTAGGTAAGGATGAGCTTCCACATGGATGGATGGTAGTTGGAGAAGACCTTTAACTTGGCGTTAAGGTACAAGTACAGGAAGACCATGCCGGAGAACATGGCGGTCGTGTGACCCGAGGGGAATGATTCCAAAGCGTTGGAGAGAGTTCCGTCCATTTCTCTGGTGCAAATGTCTGACGTCCACATGATGCCTCCATAGCCTGTGCCGTCGAGACCGGTCGCATTGCCACCTGGCTGGGAGGCCTTGCTGATGTCGGGTTGGCAGACCTCAAGGAAGTTGGGTCGCAGTCCACCAATGAGCCACTTGATCATGACTTGGAAAACAGTAGAACCGAGGACCGAATAAAGTAGACCCATAATGCCGTTATTGATGTCCCAGAAAGATCGTACGCGGATCTGGCAAAGGAGAATGGACAGAATGGGAACGCCGATACCGAGGGCTGTTGCAGCATGGCTGGGGATGTATTGCGGGATGTGCGGATAGGCGAACTGGGGGTAGACAACTTCGCCGTTCTCGAATGTGATGGGAAATGTTCGGTGAGCCGGTGGGTGCGCTCTAAAGACCTGGAGAGGCGGTATTAGTCAAGTCGATGAAGTAGACATGAAAGCCTGATTCAGAGTCCAATACTCACTACCAGCGCAATAACTCCCATAATGATCATGGTGATGATGTCAAGCCAGGTCACCTTCAGCCACAACATGAAGGGCGGCCGATGGGCCATGCTATAATCTCGGCCATACCACCGGTCATTGACCTTTGTGTCCTCGCTGCTTTTCCGACGATGGGTTGGGAGGGTTGTCGTGTTAGGGTGGCGACGCGCAAAAGGGTTGAACCGTGCCATGTTGGAGAACGGGGTACCGGCAATATCGAAGCGGATCAGAGTCAAATGGAGATGAGGAGAGGTATCCGGGGGCCAACTGGGCTGGAGCTCCGGCAATGCACGGCGAGAGCAGGTCTAATGGTAAAGGCGATAATGAGCGAGCGTCTTGATGGCGATGGACTTATGAAAGGGGCAGAAGGGCACCATTCTAATATGCGAAGTGCGATTCTCTCATCGCCCATTCACATTCATCATCTCTTTCCCCAAGCAGGTCATGAACTCTTGGCAACTACGCTATTCCAACAGCCGAACTACGTATGTAGGCTGTCCCTGACTGAAAGACATAGACAGAGATGAGAGGGCAGGAGAGCGTCGCGAACGCGCTGTGCCAAGTCTTGGTCCGCGCTGCTGACGTCACTTTGGGTGCGCCGGTGCAACTATCGACGGATAGTCAACGGCGCAGTCTCAGCTCTGCTGGCAGGGGTCGACAGCAGCCATCGGACGTTCAGCCATTGAGGGCCTGCCAAAAAGTCTTGGCTGATGCCTTCCTGTCGTGCCTGTCCAGCCACAAACCAAGAGACATTCGCTTCCTGGAATGTTTGGATCATCTCCCATCCCGTCACGGAGGACAGGAGATTGTCCCTGATTTAAGCGAAGGAAACCCAGTGGCATTCCTGCTCAGCCCATTATGTCATCTCATATTGTTTTTGTCGATTGTACGATGGAGGATTTGTGTCTCATGATCAAATGCGACTAACTTTATCAGAAAACTGCAGAGGCCCCAGCTCAGTACTTTGCAGCATTAGGTACCCAAAGACGTATTGAAGACGTGTCTGCAGTCTGAAGCTGCTGTATCAGAGCACAAATTTCGAGGGCTGTGTATACTCAAACAACTTGCTGGTAGTCACTTGGGTAGCCGCGCCGGGATACTTGTGATAGAGGTAGAAGGGCGGCGCGGTTTTCTGTCACTCAATTGGTAGTCAACCAGTATGAACGATTCAGCTTTTATGATCTGATATTTTGCTTGGGAGATCTGGAATTCTAATCGCCCTGTCTCAATTGTCTGAGGCATTTCGCGAGCCATAACTCTGTGGAAGCAGCCTACGCCCGAGGTTCTCAATAAACCCTAGCCTGCAACAACATTTCGAGCATGACAACAATGGAAATGCAGTTTGACGGAGCCTCCCAGCAACTGCGAGTTAGCCTCCAGGACCATAGGCGCGTGCAAGCAGTAATTGATCAAAATTGAAGTCAAATGCCGACGAAAGAGGCTCTGGCATTAGCGAACTTTGTGCTCATCTGTCTAGAGATGCGGCTACTGCTATAATCCTCTGCGTTTTGACTAGTCAAATTCACAACAGATAGGTTGAAGAAAATCAATGTCGATTCCGGAGAAAACCCGGAAGGTGAATATGAGATCATGTCACATCCTCATCTCCCTTTCTCGGATTTTCAGGTATTGAAACAATTGGTTATCGGTTGTGATACCACTTTAAAAATCTATGGCTTCGCCAGGCATGGTAGCCAATGCCATCAAATTGATATGTGTCCTTAAAGGGTAGATTTTGTGGTGAGCATGATCAACTAGAAGGCAGAGACTAAGGTGATCCCGAGTTGGCACGCCAATACATCGCCACGCGAATCAATTCAAGCCTATTTGACTCTATCCATTGAGTAGCACTGCTCGCCCCACGTTCTGGAAGTTATGGAAATCTTCAACGATTTCGTTTGAAAGACCTTCAAGATAGGTACATTCTCTAGTGTCATCTCTGCCGTCGCTCTTTTACCTCAAGTGACTGGTTTTACTGTCCCTGGTCAATGGCTGCGTCGATGGTCAGATGCAGAGAAACTGAAAAACTCGGTTTCATAGACTTGCAAACAAGTGAGGTTTGTTATTCAGCCAGCTGCAAACACAACGAGAGTCGGCATCTTGGTGTAGCTACAATTAATATAATATTTACAGTCAGAAACTTGTGAAACCCTCCAAAGCTTGGCTGGCTCGTTGCGCTTGGCGACCTGGCCAGCAGCTTCCATTTCTGAGAGATCGTGTCTTGCGAGCAATGATCATAGTCGGAGTCCGCTTACATAACTAGGCACACCGCTAGTCGTTCCTTCAAGACTGAACAGCCGGGGAAAGCGGCAACTGTCTAGTGCTTGCGGCAGAAGATGCGGCTGCGGCGAAGGGATCTCTTGGTCTTGCAAGTACCCTTCTGAGAGTTATTGCTGCTGCTGCTAGTCGAAGCGGCAGAAGACGCGGTTTCGGTCTGATTGACGCTGCTGCTGCTGCTGCTGACAGACGAAGTGGTGGTGGACTCAGTTTCGGTCTGGTTGCTGTTGCTGCTGCCACCAGTCCAAACGGCGGGGCCGGGCATGGGCCAGTCCTTGTAACCGTTGTAAATGCTGAAGTTGAACGACGAGTCGGCCTTCTTGTAGCCGCCGGGGATTTTGATCGTCGGGCCAGGGGTACCGTTGCCACCGTTGGTGATCTTAACTTGAGCGCAGCTGTGTAGAGAGAAATGTTAAGTCTTTGAAACAAAAGGTTTGATGATAAGGGAATCGGGTACTCAAGAGTTATAGAACTCAGCCTGTCCAACATGCGTCCCATGAACAGGGATATGCTCTACGCGGACAAGGTACTCTCCGTCTGGGGTATCCTTAGGAACAGTGAACTCAATGATGTCCTTGTCCGAAGTGCACCAGGCGTCTGTAGGTCGCCACACTTGTTGCAAATACTCTCTTCATAGACCTTGAACCAGTCTCCGTCACCCTCGTAGGTCTTAGCGGTGCTAGGGGCCTTCGACATGTAAACAAAAGCCCCACCGGGGTGTTGCATGGTAGCGCTCACGCCGAGCTTAAAGCCAACCTTTGTGCATACATCGTTGCTATGATGAAAGCTGCCGTGAACCCAACTGATGAGTTGGGTGAAACCAAGCGCAAGGACAAGAGCTTCCCTCGAGTATGGGTTAGTTTGAGCCGGCCTTGATTTCATAGGTGCCAGTCTTGGAAGCAAAAGTGAAGGCACTCTTGTTGCAACAAAAGTCAGGCGAGTCAGGCGTCATGTCATCGCGAGTGTTCTCCCACTTAGTCGGGTTGTACTTAGCTTCGCGGGTGTTGGAACGGATATACTCGAAAGAGTTGGTGGAGACGCCATCGACGATGAGAGTATCGAAGAAGTAGTGGGCAGAGACGAGGGGGCAACAACCGCAAGAGAAACAATAGAGAACTTCATATTTGATGATTGTATGGGATTCGACAAGTAGCTTTTGATGTGATCTCGAAAGAAACGTTTGCAAAAATCTGAAAGGGCTCGCCCTGAACGAATTTCGATAACGAATGTAAGGTATGAAAAGAATGAGCAACCAAGGGGTATAACGCCAACGCGGATGCACAAAATAGAAATTTCTCCCAGGACTCACCGCAGTCTTTGTATCGTCCGCTTCATATTGCAGATATCTTAAGTATGCCTTCTCTGCCACCCACATCCCCTAACGTAACGGTTGTACAATGGCATTGGGACCACACCACAACCCAAGCCAATATTATCTCCATTAGCGGCAGGAGAAAAATTGCGTTCCCCATAGCCCCCATGGTCTAGTGCAATCCTGTAGTTAATTACCTACCAGTAGATAGGACTCCAGCTAACGGGAGATGCCGCCGCTTACGCAGCGTGACGAAGTCCTGGTCTGCAGTGACGGAACCCAGATCCCTCTTGCGAGCTTGCACTCTTCATGTTCCCAGTGTTTGCATTGCTTTCTTCCGAGTGATCCAGGATTTTCGGCCGAGTGCGATTACCTTGATGTGGTGGAGCCAGTGCCCCTTAAACTAATTATCTAGAGTGTTAATCTGGACGGTGTCTGAAACCCGATGAGATCGCATCGAGAGCCCGAGCCCTAATTTGCATCCAACGAACAGTCCAGTAAAAAAATTTCTGTACTCGAACGACAAACCATTTTCCATCGTCAATGAGGACTGAGCCTAGTAGAAGCCACCTGGGTTGCTCTTGTGCCGCGGCTATCGTCCGGGCCCTTCCATTTCAACTGTGACCTTGATCCTTCCCCCGCTTCGACAGACCGCTTGAGTCATCCATACATGGCTAGAATTATGTATCGGGTATACGATGATGGAATCAGAACCCGAACTCTTGGGCCGGCAGTTATGCGGCGGATTATCAGTACCTAGAACAACAGCATGAAGAGCCTCAATGAAGCTTCTAGTCATTAATCATGCAGAAATATAGGAAGAGCTTCATGCTATGGAAAGATATGAATTGCTTGCGAGCCAAATGAGATGAGAAACAAATTCCTCCCTCGTCGAATGATGCACAGAGTTTGGCCGTATCAAAGACGCGCTTTCTTCTAAAGGGGTCAACTATGTATATAATAGCTGGTCAGGGCAACACATGGTACGTGCTGCATTGGGCTGGTATTCTCTGGCAAAGGCTTTTAAGAAAGGAGATATCTTAGCGCATAAAGAATCTTGTCTTGTGAGTGGGTTATCGCGGAAACGGGACGGCTTGGCGAATTCACCTGATTGCGCAAGCATTTTAACCCTTTAAGTTGTTGGTTCACCGATTTACTGGTTCGCCTATTTGCAGGGGTGTGAACAGAAGATGCCCTGAAACAAGGACAATTCGTCTTCGCCCTTGGCCCCGAGGACCGAGTCGATGTTCATATTGCAATGAAATTGCCTTTGAGATGGCCAAAATGCCAAAGGCAGAAACACCTAGGAACATTGGACTGCCACGGCCCAGCGCAACTTACCAATCGGCTGGCTTGGAAATACGAGCTTTTAGCAAAAACATCGAGCTGACGTAGATCTTATACTATAGTCGAAACCTTCAGAGGCGCGATGACGGCGACCAACTGCATCAAGAGATAGTTAATGCATTCGATAGCATGCTTCGAAGTGACCGTCTCATTGCTTCTGGGCCAAGGAATCAACGGTTTGTCAACATCATATCTCGGAAAACTCTGTCTTGTCTACACTATGCTAACGGCAGCTGATACAGCGCCGGGTCGTAAGTCTGGGCACACCAAAAAGGATAATCCAATCAACAGCTACAGTAATATGGGGAGACACAGGACTTCTGGTGGTGCACTGTAAAGTGACTCCAAGCTGATGGGTCCTCTTTTAAACTGTTGATTGGATTATCCTTTTTGGTATGCCCAGACTTATGACCCGGCGCTGTACGTCCGCTCTCTGTTTTAATCCTCACAGGACGGCATTTTGAAGGAAGCAAGGCTCAATAAAATTGCTTTGACTGAATTAGCTTGTTAACATACGGAAGCGCTGTTGTAGCAGATGTACGTTTCTGATTTATGTTCTGTCCCGCGTTAGGGGTCGTCTCCAATTGAGTTCCATATTATCGATGGAAATCCTCTGGCGGGAGAAAAGGCGTGACCAAAGAACAGAGATGTAATCCTCGGTGGGATAACATGACCGTGGAGAGATAGAGCAAAAAGAAAATTTTCTTGTTGACCTTGATGAGGTGCCCAGTATCTGTTCATCAGTTTATCTCAAATCTGACGTAGAAGACGTACATTTAGAGCCTTGGGAAGATGCTCTCCAAACTTTTGAACGACTTCGTGAGCAACCGAGTCCGATCAATGTTCGATGTATTAACCCGGCCATGGCTACAGCCAGTTAAAGAGGCGATGCAAATTTTAAGCAGTGGCTTACAGTGGTTACCCATTGGTTAAGGTAAGTCTTGTCCATACCACAGAGTTTAATTAACCAAGTGTTCGTCCTTCACCGCTTGCTCACTATTCTGATTCATCAAAGGACGGGAAAAAACCCATGCCAAATCATTTTTATCTTTGTAGAAGTCTCCTACTTGATTCAGCTGCCTTCGAACTACCTTGACAAAGAACGGGAATGGTTACCATCGTCCGCAGAGAAATGTCGCTCTTCGTGAATATTCTTGCCGACTCAAATAAGCTTCATTTAGGTGACCGAATGGGTCAAAGATTCTGGCCGTATTCAGTAGCCTTCGCTGTCGTTACCTAGCATATGTGCTGTGCAAGTCCCAATAAGCCTGATGGTCAACAATCAAAACAGCAAACGAAACCAATGCAAAGAAAAGGTTTTTATTTATGGAGCAATGCTGGATCTTGATATTTCTTTACCACTTACAACAATGACAACCCTGAAAAGGCATCTGCAAGGTTGTCTAACTAAACTGGGCCTCACAACAGAGACGGAGGGAGGAGATCATTGTCTGTAAAAGACCAAGGATTAGCGGCTGGTCAATATATTCCTGAAAACGGTTATATGTTCCATTCTAAACCAAGTGAATATAGCATAACGGCTTATTTACTACAACTCTCACTGGCATCCTATTGCAGAATCTTGCGCAGGCGAAGCTTCTGTTTACAGAGGGTTCATGCTTTCCGGGGCTAAAGCTCCCCGTTTCATCAAAGATTTCTCATCCTCGCCAGCCTCATATCTCTTCAAAAGTTCCTCCGGATCGAACCGTGGTCCACGGGGGTCTTCGGTAAACTCGGCATTCATCATGTACTGAATAGCGTCCTCCTTGGTTTCGAACGCATCGACTTGATTTTCGATCTTGTTGCCGTCCGGGTCCTTGTAGTACATGCTCGTAGACATGCCGTGGTTGGCACAGTAAGCAGGTTCAATGCCAAATTCTTTTCGGGCTTTGTATGCCTGTAGTAAGTGCCCCAACGAGTCGAACGTGAGCGCGAGATGGTCCACGCCGACTGCGTTCTCCGGTTTTGGTACCGCGTTTGGGTCGTTGAGAACCGCCAAACGGTGGTGCTCGTGGTCCCAGGTCATGAATGTGATAAGATCGCTCGAGTGCGTGATCTTGGCGTTGAGAAAGTTTTTGTAGAATTCAACCAACTGCTGTGGATTCTTGCTCCGGAGGACGAAGTGAGCCAGTTCCGAGGGTCGGCAAGCCACTTGAGAAGCTTTGAGAGCCATGGTGATGTAATTGCAAGCACGTTGTTATTTAAGAATATCATGCAGGCCCCTAGAAATGTCTCGGTAGAACATGCGGGGAAACTCCCACTATTTGAAGCTTCCTCGATGTGTTTATGACGGAGGACTGCCACGCCCCGGGGCCGAGTAAGTTTCACGGCATACCCATTTTCGCCGTGTTTCCGTACCATAATACCTGATTACAAACCAAGTTTCCATGCGATATGAAGTCATCCAATATGAGTTGGACACGTTCCTCTCCGGTTGCTCAAAGTCGCCTAACATCGAACTTCCTCATAAGTAAATCCGTTACCCCGCCGCCGCCGGCTGCGCGAGCACCCGAGTCGGACGTCCGCCCACATGGGACTCGATAGTTACCTGTCAACGAACCTCGGCTGTCTATGAACCTAGCCAATGTGATCTGCAAACTGGTAGCATTGCTGTAACTCTGGACTCCCCAGACGAAAGGGCGCTTTGGCGCTGAGATTGGACGACAGGACCGAGCTTTCGCAACCCGACCATTCACGTGCACGTAGATACTGACTGCTCGCTGAGCCTTTTGCCACAGTGAAGTGTTTTTCTGAATCAGACGCTTCAGAGTTTGAGAAGAAAGATATCGATCAAGCTGATGGAACACATTTCTTCTCCCGAAGCTTCAAGAATGACTGACCCAAAATAAAATGACCAGTTCACTAAAGTGGTTCACCAGATAACGCTCTCTATTCCTGGGAAATGATCGGTGTATCCCATTTGGCTACGCTAGTGCCATCAAAGCACTTCACAAACCATACCACAAACGTCGAGTGACTGGATTCACTTCAGAGCTCATCCTTTTCGCTTCCAACACCCCCATGTGGATTACTAGGACTTTGGCAGAGTCGACCGTCAAGCCCTGGCGACCAAACATCACCCCCAACTGCTTTGCTTCCGTAGAAGATGTGAGCCGGGTCATACTCTTTCTTGATGGCTAGAAGCTTGTGCCATAGTTATTACCGTAAAAGTTCTGTTTCCACTCGGGGTCGCCGGGGTCTGCCTGCCATATACTGTGAGTTAAAGGCCATGGTTTTCATGGCTATTATTATCAGTAATCGTGCTACGCACCCCCTACCACTTGATTTCGGAAACCTCCACCCGCGCTAGCGGGTGCTCGCCACCCATTCGTAAATATCACCCATACGTAAAATGCACTGTGACGCTTAAGATACGCCTCAGATACACTAAAAGGTGGTTTCCCTATAAGCTCTATTTCTCTACTACTTATAGAAATGAAACTATAGAAATTATAAATTAGAACTACCTTAGTTTTAATACTAGTGAAGTACTTTTTAATTAGATATAAATAAGTAGATATACATAACAGTGGTTTCTTACAGTATAAATACAGTGTAAATATATAATATATACTTATACTATAATAAAAATAAATTAAAAGCTTATTATTACTTATTTTAAAAGTAATTATATAAATTTTTGTAAGTTTTCACTTATATTTTATAGCCAAAATGTTAATATATCTTTTGGTGTATTTTGGTGCTTTACGAATGGGTGATATTTACGAATGGGTGGCCAGCACCCGCTAGCGCAGGTGGAGGTTTCCGAAATCAAGTGGTAGGGGGTGCGTAGCATGAGTATGATAGGAACTTACTTCGTTAGCGTATGTTCCTGCGTCTGGGGCAGGATTTTGAAGGTTCGAGAGTAATATGGTGGCCTTCTGGCGGACGAGTTCCATAGCTTCAGCATCGCCATCTTTATCAATTGGCTTTTTCTTGTCAGGGGGGTCCGCTCCTTGGTTGTCATTTCTGAAGCTTACAGCATCAAGACGGTATCAATCAACATTCTCCTCCACCCTTCATGGACTGAGTTCTCAATGTTTTCCCAAACTCTGACAGGTTGAAGGCCATGAATAACTGTATCGCTCCCTGGTCCTGTATTTTGAAGCTTACCTCGTCGAGCTCTCGACTGCGGGTGCCGATTGCAAGACTGCGGGGGATGAACCAAGAACCACCATAAACAGCATTGGCGCCGCCCTTGGCCTAAGCCTACGAAATGACATTAAAGAACCCTCCGTAAGTTAGAAAGGGAATATTTCTTTTCTCAAAAATGATATTCAGGCTCTTCAGGTGGGTTAAGAAGGGTCCAAGTAAGCCATCAATTTGAGCTAGTGTGAGACCTGGAGCTGATAGAGCCGAGAGATCGAAGCCACCCCGATAAAAGGAATATAGCGGTTGGCATCCTGTGTCAACAAGAGCAGAGAGGGTAGCATGGAAAGCTTCGATAGTACCGATGAAGTCAACCTCCTCAATACCTTCTGAGGAGAACTTGAGGGTTCCCAACTTGATGGGCACTTCAGAACCAGCTTTGACCGTTGTGGATACAACCACTCCGTAAGAGCTGCCACCGCCTCTGCTCAACGCCCAGTACAGGTCTCTGTTCTCTTCACGATTGGAAATAAAGTATTGCCCATTCCCGTCAATGACTTCGTATTCAAGAGCTCGGTCCGTTGACAGTCCATATCTTGAGGAAAGCGAAGAATGACCGCCACCGAGCGTGTAGCCACCGGCGATTCCTACCGTTGGGCCATTACCAGTTACTACGAGTAGGTTGTGTGTTATTGCGAAGCTTACTGCTTCATGGACAAGGACGCCGGCCTCCATTTTCAAGGCCTTTCCACTGTAGAAATTGTCTTCCCATTTGACAACCTCCAAAGATCGGAGATGATGCATCCACACAGCTAGGGAGCCTGAACCTGTGGATTTTCCCAAGTAGCTGGATAACTCAGTGTTTTAGCAAAAAGGGCGTTGCGAGAGTTTGGGCCAGCAAACTTACTCGAGACCTGTGTTCTGATCACAAGCCGAATTCTCAGCATTCTTTATTCGCCAAACAAAGTCGAGCCAAACCACTATATCCGACTTTAGAGCGTTAACTTTGACCTGCCTTCAGCCGCTTTGAATCTAAGTTTGAACCATTCCAGGATTACCAAATGAACTTGGGCTCTACCTACGATGGTGCTAAGCCCACCACCAGTATAACCCCATCATCTTGACCGCTCGTCACAAGGTTATTGTTTCTGTCAGACGTCTACTCAGTCCGGATGACGTATGATAAGCCCAGTATCCAAATGACCGGTGTTTTATCTGCTGCTGGAATCCAGCAGATGGCGAATTTTTCTGGAAGCGAATACAACTCGAAGAACTGAAACTAGCTCTTTGTGACAAAGGTGAAGCACACCTTCTTGCCCTTGCCCATGATGCAATCGGCAACTCCAAGCATCCTGTCAACCAGAGAAAGATCCAGTGACTCAAAAACACCAACGTGCTGCAACTTGAGATCTTGTTCAGAAACAAGTATACCAAGATCGAGGCATATCCCCTCTCAGGGAGTGCAAGCTACGGCAAAGACTATTTGACCCTCATCGCGAGTGCAATGCACCCAACAACTAAGCCAATGAAGGTACTTGGAACCGCGAACCGCAGAGTTGCTAACGCTAGTAGCACTCTTGCCCTAATCTCAACCCACGTTTCGACTTGCAGTCTATGCCATTACCGAGAGGCAGTCGATACTATATTTAAGCAGGTTACCAACTAAGATATTGTCTTTTCTGTTGTACGTGCTGCCATCTATACTTACAACGTCTCAGGATTTATTCCAAGATCCAAAGCTGGTAGCCTTTATTTCGTCTTGTTTATCAGCGAACCTCCCTGACTGTTACCTTCTGGCCATTCGTCTCCTTCCATTCCTGCAGCCAGGCTCGTACAAACTCTACCTCAAAGTCTTGGGCTTCCTTCACCGGCAGTGGGGGCAGCTCAGAAGTCGTTTCGTTTATAAAAATGCCGTTTTCATCCCAGTGATGAACCGCTCCGCCCGCAATGACAAGATTCGGCTCTTTTGTGGTCGACTCGGGCCTTGCTAACCCGATCTTGTTGGGAGTTGCAGCACGCCATGGGTCTGACTCGCCATCTATGATTGCAACGCGTGGGTAGCTAAAATTGTAACCACCGTACTTATTGATGGCATCAACGTCGGGTGGCGTGGTAATGTTAAAGGCCTTTCGACAGATCCTGGTGGTGAAATCAATGTCGATCAATCGCGAAATCAGCCCAAGTTGATTGTTTGGCACACCGGATCCCGTCTGAAGGTAACCCCATCTACGGAAAGAAACATTAGACTGTACCTAGAAATTTACAGAGGGGGCCTTGCTTACTGTGAGCAATACTGGTATGACCAGAGACGCCAAGACGCATTGAGGTCATCATCGGCATAATCTTCATCATTTCCAGCTCCAAAGCATTCGTCTTGTGTTTGGCGGCAAGTGGACACACTAGTGAAGTTGACGTAGCCGATGTAATTCTTGAATCGTGGAATCAACTCCTCGACCTCAGACTCGTAACCGCCACTTTTCAGTAAGTAGCGAATTGTAGAGTCCAGTTTCTCTGTTGCAGGCCAGATGACCTTGTCCGAAGTCATATTACCACAATAGCGTAAAAAGGCACGACCGTCAATGGCCGGGTCCCAGTTGCGACTTTGCAGGCCTCCAATACCACCCCGTATGGTGCTGGCAAAATCGACATTTTCGGTAACGTTTTGGAGACCAAAAGCAGTCTTTAGGGTCAGTATGTCGTCTTTCGTGGTATTTCCTTTTTGCAAAAGAACATTGTCGACAACGTGGGTCAACTTCTGCGTAGTTTCGGCGCAACCATCAGGGGAGTAGAGCCTTGCGGCTTCATAGTACTCCCAAAAGTCCACCACAGCGGCAGTGACGCCGGAGGATGAGATAGCACCCCAGAACACATCAGGGTACACCTTACGGAGGAACGCGACGAACGCGCCAGCGTAAGAGCCACCGTACATGATCCATGGCGTCTCGGGAGCCGTCAAGTTGATCTTAGCAAGTTGACCAGGGAAGACGATGTGCTTCGCGAAATACGCCGTGTCAGCCAACGCTTGATCAGTAGTCAAGAATCGTAGATTTTTTGTGCTGAAGTCTGGAGTAGGGTAGCTGCTGCCGTAATATCGGTGCTCCAAGATAACGCCAACTCCGTTGGTTGCTTCAGCCAAAATGGCAACTATTCCTTTCTGCAAGAAAGGCAAACGGCCTGCACCATTGGTTTCGCCCGCTGCAAGGGCGATAACAGGACCACCAGGCTTGTAGAACCGGTCATCGTACCAATACCGGAGGGGAAACGTTCCGTTCGAGTGTGGCTCGTACATGGAGTCGTTGTGGAAGTGGTCAATGGGGACCGAGAGGTTGTAGGCCTTGTAGAGGGTAGCAGGGTTCGGCGCGCCCGGTGCAGTGCCGTTTGTCGACAATCTGAAGGTCACTGACGTTGACGCTGTCTGGACGACAGTTTCGAGCTCAGACTCGCGACGAAACTCTTCCCACATTTCAGGCAAGCCGAGCTGTGGTCCTAGAGCGGCTGAAAGCCGAACCAAGCCGAGGAGGCTAGCGGTCAACCAAGACCGAGCCATAGTCATTAATGAGTGGAAAGGCGAATATACCGGTTGAATAAGACATGCACGCTGAAGAAGGTAATAGGCAGCGCGCAACCAACTCGAGATTACGGCGATATTTAACTCAACCACCCTGCTTCCCACGCAACCCCGCATACCACGCAGCCCCAAACCCCCATCAATATCACCATACCCATCAACAACATCCATTATTCCTCATCCCTACCACCTACCCAGATGCAACTTTCTGCTTCACTAGATAATTCAGATCCACTGGATTCACTTGTGCTACTCTCTGCTTCGCCAGCAGCAATTTGCGCCCGTCGGATATCCTCGATATTAGCGAACGTCGTGTTAGGGTCCGTCTGGACCCTTTTTCTCCTGCCTTGTTGCTGACTATCCGTCTGGGCCTGGAATGCCTGGGCCTGACGCTCTAGGACTGTCAGTCTATAGGCCTGTTGGTCCTAGCCTTTTTGGACCTTTCTAAATAGGTGGCGTTGGGTGTAGATTTCTCGGGTATTTTGTGTAAGCTGGTTGAATAGGTGCAGCTGACGCTGAAGATCAGCAGACTTACGCGGGGTTGACCATGGGATTATAGATACAGCTTCATCCCACTGCTGACTTCCTGACTGCCCAGTTGTCTGGCCGTCTAGCTGTCTGGCTGGCTGGCTGGCTGATGCCTTAGACACGAAAGGGCTAGATAGAGGTTGCGCTACATCAACTGGCCATAACCCAGTGTGTTTCTAGCCGCTTTTAATAACCTAGATAGTCAAGGCGTCTAGACGTACCCTTCTATAATAGTCTATAAAGTTCCTCTTACCTGTTACAGTTGAATCGCTTTGTATATCTAGGTACCCTAGATACTTCCTATAGGCTACCTTAAGAGGTCAGAATACTGACTGATCTAGAGGCTGGAGGACGTGTGATGTGTGCGGCGGCAGAAACAGGAGGTGTATGTGGTTCTAGAAGCATCGCCATAGAAAGTCTGTTGTTGTATGGCTGTGATGGGCGTCTAGAACTAGTAGTCTAGTATCTGAAGGGTCCTCTGGGATAGTCTAAAAGATAAAGACCTTTTCTAGCCATTCTAGGGCATTCTGATCAGTTGTCTAGCCGTTCTCTATTGCTATGAATTTCCAGCTAGCATAGGGTTAAAGATCTAGAGGAAACTACTATTGCTAGACTAACTTGCCCTTATATATAACAAGAGGCAGAAGTGCGCGTCCTCTGGCAGAGACATACTTGATCAGAGATACCCATGCCCGCGATCTAGGCTGTTTTTTCTGGATATACTTGGTCTCTGAGGATCCTAGTACTAGCCCATTGCTTCCTTTGCCCTCAAGGATACTAGTCTCATCCATGTTCCATCTATTAGCTAGCTTGATGGGCAGGATTGCTAGTAAATCAAGGTAATGAAACCATTCTTGGATAATGTTAGCAGTTGCCCCATTAATTCGCTTAGCGTTAATTGCCCTGTATCGCTAAGTTCTGATAAATAGGTTTCTGCAAAGAAATCGCTATATCCACTTCCTCCCAAGTGGTCGCTGCCCATCGCCCAGCATGCGCTCAGCCAGCCCTTTAACTTGCTAATAGCAAAACGCAGAGCCTAGGGCAGCCTACTTAGATATCTACTTAGCAAGTAGACCTTCCTGGTTCTAAGATAACTGCTATAGTCTACCAAAGGCAGTATTTTTAGACTAGGTACCATAGAGACGTTGTCGTATAGTCGCCTCTGGGATGCCCTATTTGCGACCTGCCCTGCAGATACTAAGCCCATCAACAATATCCCAAAGTGCCCACTATAGCTCATATTCACTATACTGCTTCATCTTATAGTAAAAAAGATATCCTCAAAAAATGGCGTTGTTTAGGGTAAAATAGAAGATGTTGTGATAGTTAGAAAAGAGGAGTAGGTTTTATGGTGACGCGTTGTTGGGCTGCGTGGTATGCGGGGTTGCGTGGGAAGCAGGGTGGTTGAGTTAATCATTTTGAGGACAGCGCAGATCACCGGTTGTTCTCCGTAGATACTACAGCGTTGCGGGAGTGCCTAGCGGTTCGATTGCGTCTTTCTGTACCCGAATGCTACCTACCTCATCCAGAGTCGTGCCTCATTCGATACCGCCATTCTCTGGTGCGAACTATTCTAGTTGACCTTCCCGAAAGGCACAGAGTTGTATGCAAGATGGGGCCAGCCAAGCCTTAACCCCCATCTTTTGGTCGTCATGGATTATAAATACGCTAGCACATTGATAGGGATCTGCAATCGCTACAGCTCAGTTTTCGAGCTCCCGCTTCTTTTCTGACAGAGTCATTGGCAGTGAGACTGTTGTACGATCTAATGTGCTTCCCTTTCTGACGACACTTCACGAACAGTTGAGGACCCGCATTTGGCAAACAGCAGCATGGGAGCCGGTGTCAATAAATGAGTGTGGCTTGTCACAAGCGTAGAAATGAAAGGGGTTGGTTGAAAGACCCGACATATTTCATTCTAGAACTATGAAGTTTAGATTATAAATACAAATTCTTCTCCTAGAGGGACGAACGAGTTGCATAGTGATTTCTTGAGGGGCAACTGCTTGGTATGCCTATCTGAGGGCCCAGACACACATATATATTTATATGCTGGACATCGACGTAATGATGCTTTTCAGGCAGCTAATCCCTGCCGAGATACCCGTTTCCAACTTCCAAGGATGTGACTAGTCGCCGCTTTCAGTCGAGAGAACATCGTAGAAACCTTTTCCCCATTTTTCAAGCAATCGAAAGAAAACCGATATCTTGTCGAAAGTCAAGGATCAAATGAGGAATCTACATTTGTACACATTCTGCTATGCCGCAGGTTGTACTCGGGATAACAACCTGCTTCAGATAAACCAAATCCCAGATCAGTGGTAGCTCTGGAAAATCGCAAATGCATAATTTGGTTGGCATCTATTACTTTTACTACAGATCTGGGAAACGTACTGATTCCATGCGGGTTATGGTCGTCGTCAATGGCCGGAGGGATGCGGTTAATCTCTCAGCCCTTCTAGCGTATATGGCCTTTGCTCTGGCAATATCACCACTGGAGATTAGGATCAAATATATAACTTAACATGTTGTATTTCTGCCGCGCTACTATTGATGTGATCGATATCAGTGGGGTATCATAGGATTAGAGCATGTTGCTCTTCGACAGACACACGTCGTTCTCATCTGCAACAGCTCCCCATGTGCAGATGTGGTCAACGAATAGGACGTCAAATAGAGTAAGCAACCTTCAGAGAAAAGTAGCAGTATGTCTGAGTGATCTTATCTGTCTCTTGTTGGACCAATACCCTTTTGTTGTTTTGGACAACCTCAGCTCCCTCCATGTTCGATTCCGAACACCCATCTTGTTACCCCTCCTGTCCCGCCCCACGCAGCCCCGAAATCTGGCCCTGTACATCTCCGAGATTTCGCTCGTTACATACAAGAGGGAGGCCAGCTGACCACCGTTTGATGCCTCGGCGCTGTTATCCTCGTTGGCTAAGTGGTACCCAGTACCCCCAGCCACAACACATGTCGCACGAATTCCTTCGACGCGCTAGTTAACCAAAGCTTGAGGACTCTTTGCTTGCATCCAATAAGAACGGCCTTGACAGATGCCGTAAGAATGCCATGTACCATGGGGGCCAAACATGCGCGTCTGCGGCGCAGCGACCAGGAAGTGGCATCGAGACTAATCACAGATTGGGAAAGCGGCACGGAAAGCGACTTGTGAGCAATGAATGCACGGCTAGGATATCACGAGAGAAGACGCAGAGAATTAAAGCCTGCACGGTGTACAAAGTGTGGTATATTGGTATCGAACATGAGATAGGCCAGCAATAGAAAATCCAACAACCACCGTAACAGCAGAAGATCATTCCATTCCCATTAGCCACATATGGCTAGGCTGAACGTCTCCGTTGTTTCTGTGTCCTCTTGACATTAAATCTGTAGTGCTCTCTTAACAAAAACAGAGACGCAACTCGCTCGCTCGGGTAGTTATTTTGATTGTCGCAGGAGAAGGGGCTGCACGCTTAGACGTCCTGAACGTTGACGACGTCACCGTAGCGATCGACAGCGACAGCCTTCTTCCTGGTGGAAGCCTTGACAGGCTTGGGGTCGGCGAAGATGTGGTCGAGCTCCTCGAGCTGTTTTCGGAATGGTTAGTAACGTCTATGGATGGCAGAAAGGGTTGTGCGAGAACTTACAGTGCGGCCCTTAGTCTCAGGAATGTAAAAGTAGATAATGACAGTCTGGATGGCATCCCAGATGGTGAAGATAATGTAAGTCTTCCAAGCAATCTTCTCCATCGAAACAGGCCAGGCGAATTGGTTGAGGAGACCGGCAGCGTTGACAGCCAAGTTGGAAAAGGCCATACCCTTGGCACGCATCTCGAAAGAGAGGACCTCGACGGGGTAGAGAGCCTGAAGGGGTGTAATACCGACGGAGTAGACGGAACCGAAGATGAAGATCATGGCCAAACAAGCTTGGGAGGCGGCCGGGTTGTCAAAGATGGGAGCACCGCCATCGGTCACACCAATCTGTGACTTGGAGAGGATACCAGAAGCAACGGTCATGCCGAGCCAGACGATTGTGCAGGCGGTGAATGAAAAGAGCAGAAGAGGACGCCGACCGACTCTGTCGACCAGGAGGGCACCGAAGATGGCGAAAGCGAACTGCTGGCAAGAGTTGATGAGGGTAATGTTTGCCTGCTGGATGGGGTGGGTGTAGCCGGCAGTGTCGAGAACAGAACCGAGGAAGTAAGACAAAACGGCGTTACCAGCCCACTGACCAAAGATGGAAATACACACGTTGCAGCTGAGGCGGTAGACAGAGGCACGGTTGCGGAAGAGCGCGCGGTAGTCCCACCAGCGCTTGTCAGCACCGTCCATGTTGAGGAGCTCCTCGTACTCGTGGAGCTGGAGCTTGACCCAGGGAGACTCAGCGTTGCCGTTGCCGTGGTACTTGGCGAGGACGGCAGCGGCTTGGTCCTTCTTGTTGTTGACGAAGAGCCATCTGGGGGACTCGGGCATCCACAGGCAGAAGATGCAAATGAGACCGGAGAACAGGGCTTGGAGCCAGGTGATCAAACGCCACGAGGCATCTCCGTCAATGTCGAGAGCGCCACGAGCCGCACCGGAGGCAATGATGGCACCGGAGAACCAGAGAGTGTTGTACATGGCACCGACGACACCGCGGTAGGCGGGGTGGTTAATCTCGACGACGTACATGGGACCAGCGGAGGCGGCAATGGACACGCCAAAACCGAGGAGGAAGCGACCTCCCATGAACTGGCTGGTGCCGTTGGCGGTGGCCTGGATGCAAGTTCCGATGATGATGATGGCGGCACCGATGAACATACCGACACGACGACCCCATGTGTCGAGGGCAGGACCGACAAAGGGCAAGGCGACGACACCACCAATCTGGTACATGGAAGAGATGATACCGGCCCAGATACCGTCGTTCTTGGCGCCGTAACGCTCTTTGAAAGACGGGTTCTGAAGCAAGTTGTTGATGAGCGATCCATCGTATCCGTTCATGGTAGAACAGAAGAAACCGACGAGCGAGAAGGCGTAGATCAAGATCTGGGCTTTGCTCCAGGCATTGGGGGGCTCCTTGATCATAGCCTCGTTGAAGGCCTCAGAGCCAGTGACGACCTTGGTCTCGATCTCCTTCTGTGAATCAAAAGCATGTTAGTCCCTGCTGGTCAAGGCAAAGGCCAAGTGGGAGCATCGTCGTGACTTACCTTTTCGGAGTCATTGTCGTGAACATGGACCGTGTCCACGGGGTCGATCTTCTCGGTCATGGTTGCTGTAGTGGCACGCTGCCAGAGACGCGAATTCCCTTCTTTGTAAACGATGAGAGGACAAAGCTTTAAATTGCCAACTACCCACAAGCCGGAGCTTAGAGTGATGGAAAATTGGGCGGAGGGAGAAGCGGATGGGTGAGGATGAGGATGGGGAGCTCGAGACAAACTGGCGAGGGATCGCGGGAACACGCCCAGGTTTTATGATTTTGGTCGGCCTCACCCCAATGCCTAGAGTGACTTCGACGGGGATGAGGAGTAAGAATCCCGATGGAGGAGAAGCGGTGCCTCGCAAGAACGGAAACCCCAACCCCAATTGCTCATCGAACTAGTCCGGCCGTTTCGAGCCTGCCACCCCATACATGGGGTGGAAGGACGGGCCACTCCCACATGGGACCGAAAAAGCGGCTGGACTAGGCGAAGCATCCTTGGGACTTTGCTTATACTGGCTGGGCAGATCGTTGGTTGCACCACCCTTATCCACACCCCCTCACCCCTTGTGAACCCTGGTCTCTTCTGCATTATTGTAGAAGAAGACGTGCAGAAAATGGTTGCCACTTGGGCCATATGCCAGTCAATCAGCATACGATGGACGGACAGGGAGCTTCTCGACATGGCCTCGTTGGATGGCAGGACGCAGTTGCCGGTTCTCGCCTACGGTGTTAGTCTGGCCAGGTCGAGCGGTCTACAAGTGGTGCTATCATGATTATGGGTGTGGCCATCTTGTGGCCTGGCACAGCTGCTTGGCAGGTACCAGCTAATCGTCTTCTATGCCCTGTGATGGCTGCAGAGCAATAAATGTGAATGAGATTGAGGCGTCTGAGCGGTTCGTCGAGGAATTCATGGGGGCGGCTGATGAGTCCAGCCTGCCTGTCTGTCTGTCTGTCTGCCTTAGCGTGGAGGAAACCCCCCATTGTCTCCAACAGAGAGGTTCATCCAGTGCTGTTCTGTTGGTGTGTCAGTTGATGGCGCCTACTGGGCATGGCGAAAGCGCGCTAGGCTATGGCAATCCGATTGAGTGCCCCGTAGAAGCAGAACAGACGAAACAGGCCTGCAGAAGAGGTTCACCATCATGGGCAAGTGTTTGGCGGTAACGAAGCATGTATGGAGTTTCGGCTTCAGCTGTCAACGTTTGTTCACGCGGGGAAAGAGAAGCGTTGCGCTGGCCTTGCTCTCTACTCTACCCTCAACCCGGATCAGCGGGTCGACAGGCTCCGCACCCTATGCCAGGGATGCTTGCGGACGCTGCCCGGCGTGTTGGGCAACGGCCCGGTGGAGTTGCGCTGGAAAATGGAGAAACGCCAAAGAAGGTTTTGCTGCATCTGGGGTGAGTGTGGGCTTGTGGAGATGCTGCCCGTCGTGCCTCGAGTCGACCGGGTTGGTTTGGTTAGCTTGAGCACAAGGGTAACCTATTCGTGACAATTTTAGAGATTGTTCTTCGTAGCAACAGCTACTTTCAAGTCGGGTCAAGCCAACCACGGTTGGATGCACGAATCATCGCTGGGCAGGTTCCGCGGCTGCGCTGCCTACATCCCAGCAGGCTTTCTTCCGTTGAGGCGCCCGCCCTAGGTTCTGACACCATACACAGCAGGAGACACAAAGCCCGCCGCATTCCCGCGCACGCGGACGGGTCCAGGTGGCGACAGGGTTGGCTGGGGATAGTTGGAATGGGGAAGTGAAAACCTGGAGGTCAGATCTGGAGAAAGGAGACGCCAAACCCAACTTGGACACGAATCGGTCGAAATGAGAGGGTTCAGAGTCGACTCCAACCGGCCCGTCTTTCCATGTGGCCTGAGAGCGGACCTATTTGGTTTGCCCCTCGTTGCCTGAGGGTTGATTACCACAGTGGTGCATTGCGCTTGTCTACACAAGGATGTCCGAGACATACCTTATGGTAGCTGTCCATACGTCGTTCGAAGTACCTCGCAATAGAGTGGCGGCAAACGTTCTAACTAATCAGCGCTTGCTGGTCAGCTTTAGGGAGACCTGGAATAACGGGGACATCGCAACGTATCGGTATGTGGGCATGCTGCTGCCATGGTTTCGACACTATGATCAAAACTAACGGAGATATGTATTACCTTCCCAGCAACCCAGCAACTGGCCCACAGGCGGCGCGTTAGGCGAAAGGAAGACCGCGGACCCCAAATCCTCACCTCATCGCGCCCACGACGCTATTCCTATCTGGTAGACGGGCCGCCTTCCTCCGCGCTAAAATTGTGCCCAATACGGTAACCCAGCCCGGGAAACGCCTCTCGACCCGCCTGCATATGCTTAGGCAGCCAGTACCTGCGATCGCTGGCCCTCTCATCCTAGTCAAACCTGAGCTCTGCCTTTTTTCTACCATATTGAGCACTGTGATGTCGACAACCCGTTGACCTCTTACAGGAGATTGGTTGCTGCCCGCAAAAAACGGCATGTAACGGCATGTGCAATTCAACCTCCCCAGTCCTTGATAGGACCATGCTGATGTACAGCAGGTCCTCCTGGGCTCCTGGGATCCTCGGCCGTTACAAGTCACCGGCAAAGGGATCCTCTCCCTGTTCCCGTATTTGGAGTATATGGACTAGTTGGCGTCTGGCCTAGGCGACTTGGTAATGATCCACAATGAGTGGTGGAAACATGATCCAGCAAGAGAACCGACTAAGGTGAGGCACATTGACACACGCGACCCGTCGATGCGGATCTCGTTGCAAGCCTCCCTTGCCTGCTAGTCTGACCATTGCACTACATTGGCCGTTGGCCGCCCCTGCCTCTCGCTTTGCCTCGAATCGTCTCGACCTGTCAGTCGCTCACCTGATGGGCGGAACCATATTAAGGCCCAAGGAGAATGACAGGACGACTGCGAAAAATTCCAGCCACACCTGCTACGTTCTCTTAGAGTGGGTTCTCCCTGCTTCGAGCGGGCCGACATCCAACGCCACTGTGCTATCGCCTACATCCCCCAGCATCTTCGGTCACTTGATACCGTCACGGAGGAGGAAGTTCACCGACTGCTTATCCCTTAAGAGACTACGGGCCCGAAAGCCGCCCTTCATGCTGCACTGCTGGTGCCATTCGTGACTCTTAGGCCCAGCCAGCCGGCTTCCGACCATGAAAACACTCAGGTTACTGATACGGCGGCTTCGACCACAGCACGGCCTCGTACTATGGGTAAGGAGCTTCGAGACTTTCTAGTAGTCCAAGTACTCAAACTCTAGTTTACCATCCTGAAGATTGCCAAATATATTGCGTTCACGCTAATGATGTCTCCTTCCACCGGGCCCGGTCATGCTCGCCGCCATTGTATCCCAGTAGCACAGCATTTCACTTCAGCAGGAAGATCAAAGTAGTCAACGTTCTGGAGTGAGAATAGGGATTCGATGAATGATCTGACATTGATCCTTGCCCCCTAATTGATATTCCGGAAATCGGCAGGTCATGTGCGTCTAGATCCGACGTAATCAGCAATCAGCACCGAAAACCGGGGGGACATGAAGGTCCGCCTAGGGATCAGTCCCCACCAAGTTGACCATTGACTTCTCCCAGACGCTTTGGTATGACTATGATGGTTCCCAATTCCTCTTACTCACGAGAACGGTCCCGTTTTGATATTGCCGATGAGCTCGAACGACCGAATAATCCATTGTATGCATCAATTTCGAAGAGGCCGAGGCCGTCGTAGCCGTATCTCGAGACATCTCGCCTCGGGGAAAGCCGAGCCGACCAATAACCGTGATGAAGTTAATTTTGAATCACACCGGTCAGTAGGGTCGACGGAGAGAGCCAAGGTACCAGGAGAATTATGTTGATCCACATTGCCGCCCCTCGGCGATCTCCAGTGGCAGCCTTGGCCGACTTCCCGCTTGATAGGCAACCTGGTAGGCAGCTGTGCGGCGCGGACGTCCTGCAAACCACATGTTTTCACCGTAATCTTGCCATCAATAACTTTTATATTATCGCTTTGCAAATCGTACTTCAATTACTTTGGTCAACACGAGGCTTTGGGGCGAGAAGCTACAAGTGCAAGGTTCGCGCCGACAAGCCGACGCTCTTCGGTGTCCCTGGGAAGACTAAAACGTCCTACTGTGGCACAGCGCTTTATGTTGACACCCAAGAGCTTGTAGCCATTGCACAAGCCGAAAGACGGGCAGACAAACGCGCTGACGACCGAATAGACTCCCATGTCTGCAACCAACTTGTCTACATTGCATGCAACACTATGCTGACCCTTGCCACAGCGCTAAATGCCTAGAACAGACGAGATGGCATGAAGGCGAGGTGCCAGCGAAGCCATTCTTCTTAGATCGGGATCTCAAGACTACATGCAGCATGGCAACCCAATTTTGTCTCGTCTGGGGTACCGGCATACCCAGACCCCAAACTAGCTTCACAGGCCACTCACGGCAAGGCCTTCCGCCAACCAGTCCAGATAGGTTGTTGGGGCCCTTTTCGATTGCAAAACCTCATGACCAAGCTTCGCGTACTGGGCACAAGGCGGCGCTAACGGAACATCTTTCCTGAAAGAAGACCGGGGTGCCACCTTCCAGACCCCGAAAGTGTGGGACGATCCGCGGTTCTGGAATTGCACTCTGATAGCTGCAAGACCATTTAGGTCCAAATGGCCTAGGAACTTTCGGAACTCGATACTTCCCACAGAGGACCAGAAGTTCTAGCGGGCTCCATTTTCCTGGGGAGAAACTGCTTCTCAACCAACTAGACGACAGCGGGGTTCAAGGACCATGTATGCATCCAAGACAAGACGACACACGGGATGGTTCGCGGTTCGACCGAGGTCATGTTGTGCGAAAGGGTTACTTCGGTGATCCTCATTCCATAGTTCTTCACTCCCTATTTTTGCTCGATCCTGTTCTGGGTGTGGTCGTATACCGGTCGCATGACGGTCAGCCCGGGTACCTTGCCTCGCGGGAATATGAGGACGCCGAAGGGGGGTTCTTAGGAAGCACAGGCAGCACATTGCCCTATGCTAATTGTACCAGCAAAGAATCTGCCGCGCATGC